AGGTATGCCAATAATGGTCACGGTAATGTTTGCGGTCATGCTAATACTTTCAAGTGTTTCAAATACATTGTGACCGACCCTCCTCGCCCATTGACCGAGGAGGACATCTGGTTCCAGATCGGTCACGTCCACGAGCAGCAGAAAGATGTAAGCAAGTTCGAAGATGGGCACGAGGCGAATGTGGTCGCTAACAGACATTCAGTTCGAATCTGCGCAGCAGGCTTACAGAAGGGTTCTTGACCGTGATCCCAACCATGCGAAGGTCTTGCAACAGCTTGGATGGCTGCACCATCAACAAAGCAACAACTACGCTAGCCAGGAGAAGGCCATCGAGTACCTCGAGAAATCCGTCAGCTCCGGTACGTTCTGCTCATAATCTGCAATCGTGCACTGTGCTAATCGACTCTTAGATAACGGCGATGCTCAGAGTTGGTATCTGCTCGGTCGCTGCTACATGTCGCAAGCCAAGTACCCCAAGGCCTATGAGGCGTATCAGCAAGCCGTCTATCGGGACGGTCGCAACCCGACCTTCTGGTGCTCGATTGGTGTGCTCTACTATCAGATCAATCAGTACCGGGACGCGTTGGATGCCTATTCTCGTGCTATCCGTCTAAACCCCTATATCTCGGAAGTGTGGTACGATCTGGGAACTCTGGTGAGTCAATTTGCCCATGTAAGTCCGTGATGCAGAGCACTAATGTGTTTGCAGTACGAGTCCTGTAACAACCAGATCGCGGACGCGCTCGATGCGTACGGTCGGGCGGCTGATTTGGACCCGACCAATGTCCATATCAAAGCGCGCTTGCAGCTCCTCCAGAGCCAGTTGTCAGGTTCCAGTCAGAGCAATGCCCCGGCTCCTCAGCCCCAGGATGTTCATCCCCAGGCTTATCAAGCTCCTGGTGTCGGAGCGCCTCCGGCGCCTCAATGGGGTGCACCAGCACCCACCGGTGGTCCACCCCCGCAGGCTCCCGCTCCACCAAGACAGATAGCTGACTGGAACCGTGGCATCAATGATATCCAGTCCCAGGCCCAGGCACAAGCCGCCAATGGTTTTGACCCCCGTGATGCCGTCCGTGCCGCTGCCTCACTCCAGCAACCCAGCCCCCGACAAGAACCGGGACGAGGCTTCCCCGACGCTGTGCGTGCGCAGCCAGCCCGTTCTCCGAAGACCACCCTCACCGGCCCGGGTGTTTACGCGCCTGCCCATGGCCTTCCTCAGCTTGCCAACCCCCCCGCTTCCGCTCTCGATCGTGCTAGTGGTGCTACGGCCTTCTCGCCCGCTACCCGTGGACCGTTGCCGCCTGCTCCTGCCGCCCCTCCTGCGCCCGGCGGTCCCAATGGTCCTGCTTCTGCTAACGCTCTGCCTCCTTACCATCGTCCGTTCAGCCCTCCTCCAGAGGTCCGGCCGCTGCGTGATGATCGCCCTTCCTCGCCGGGATCGACCTATCCCCACCAACAGTACCATCATGGCCCTAGCGTCCCGGTGCAGGGCGCTAGCGGTGGGGGTATCGCAGGGGGTGCTCCGCCACCAGCGTCTGCTATCAGTGCCGCCGAGGCTGCCGCCCGCGAGCGTGAAGAACGTCCTGGCTCCGCTATGAAGCGTGGCCGGGAGTGGGAAGCGGAGGCTGGCCCCGTCAAGAAGCTTGCCAGCGAAGAGAACCGTGCCCGCCTTGATGACCACCAGTTGGCTCGTCGCGTCACTTCCCCCAACCGCATGCCGTCCCCCGGGGAGATTCAACGCCGTAGCTCTTCAGAGATTCGCCGTGAGGACCAGCGTCGCGTCAACGAGAACTATCATCCCTCTGAGGCGGCTCACCACCCTCCTACGCTGCCTTCGATCCAGCACATGCCCCCCCACCCGTCTGGTCCTAGTCTCCCTCCCATGGCCGAGAGCGCTGCTGCGGCTTCCAACGGACCGTCCTCCGGATCCGCGTCCGCACAGGTTCAGGTGAAAGAAGAGCCTACTCGCAGCGAACAAGCTCCTGCGCACGAGCCCGCGGCACGAAAGATGGACGTGGATGAGAACTACGATGACGACGATGATGAGAAACGAGCCAGTGCTGTTGTCAAGGGCAGCCCGCACGCCAGTGGGTCGGGCAGCGCCAACAACAGCAATGGGGTCTTGAGCGGCGGCAACCCCCCTACGCCGGCCAAGCCCGAGTCTACGGTTTAAGAAGCATTGTGGTGCGACACCACTTGATGTATTATTTGAGATGGATCGGTCGGTCTATCAGGGCCCCAGGAAAGAACAGCCCGAATGAACCCTTCGTCATGAGAAGTCACCCCTGCCCTCGTTTTCGCCATGCCCTGTTTCCTTGGTTTCGTCTATATACTTCTCTCCCGACTTTCGGTGACAGTTCCGTTCCTGCACTGTTTTTTTTCTTTACCACCAACGCTTGTTTGTATTGTAGGATTGGCATTCATGGGGCGGTCTTGATGGTTAGCTGTTGTTTGTTCCCTTCATTTGTGTGTATGTGGGTAGTGCAGGGTGGTAGGTTGGCCCTGGGCAGCCCGGAAATTCAAACATTATCTACTCTACTTTAAGTTGTCCTGCGGATGTTGAAAGACGGTTAGGCAAAGGGGGAATTCTGGCCTCATAAGGTACAGAATCTGGAGTTGTGCGATTTCCTCTTATATTCTGCGGAACCCCGTTAATGTAGGCTACGGGCGCCAAGTCTCACCGTGCGTTTCAATCGTGGGTGTACGTGGGGACGGACCTCACTGGGGGCCTTAATTCTGGGTCTGGGACTGCGGTGGATGTCGGGCCAGTGGCCACAGGGCCAGTCAGGTCGGACAGTCAACAGTGGTCGCCGCACCGCCCTGCGACCTGCCGGGAGTCGCTCATCAACAAGATCGGGGTAGAGCTACTCCGTGGTACTATGTACAGGGTACACAGGCATGAGGGATAACCAGGGACGAGAATGGTCCGGATGGGGGGGATTGCCACTCAGGCCGACCGTAGGAATCGATAATCGCGGCGTCCGTCCGACCGACCGAAGGCAGCACCTCGAGAGAGTCCGAGACAGGCAATGTGCGCGTGACCCAAGGGTTCATGCCTGAGGCAACCACATCCGAGTAACCCAAAATCGCTTAACCCGAAGGGGCAATGCCCGCCAAGACTTCGCTTAGATCAGCCCACACTCGTTAAGCGTGCAAAATACGACTTCCGGCAAACTCAGAGATAGACACTCTCACTCACCACTTCGACGACTAACGACAACAGGGTCAAGATGTAAGTTGGTCCTGCCGCACCATGGCAATTCTCTGCTCTCTGGAGCCCTGTCGCTGATTCGATTGATTTTATAGGAGTCACCGGAAGTACGAAGCGCCTCGGCACGGTTCGTCCACCTACTTTGCGACCTCGCAAGCGATCATGAAATTTTTTGGAGGTCTTGTGTGGATAGCATACTGACTTGGATTTCGACAGGCTCTCTTGCCTACCTGCCCCGCAAGCGTGCCGCCAGACACCGTGGAAAGGTCAAGAGGTTAGTTTTGGATTCGCAACCGGAGGGGCGATAGGAAAGGCGATATACTGAACTCTTTTGCGACAGCTTCCCCAAGGATGACCCCAAGAAGCCCGTCCACCTGACGGCCACCATGGGTTACAAGGCCGGTATGACCACTGTTGTCCGTGACCTTGACAGACCCGGTGCCAAGATGCACAAGAAGGAGGTTGTTGAGGCTGCTACCGTCATCGAGACTCCTCCCGTATGTGGATTCTGCCAAAAGAAAAAAAAAATCTGTCCGACGATGGCTGACCTTCTCTAGTTGATCGCTGTCGGTGTTGTCGGTTACATCGAGACTCCCCGTGGTCTCCGCTCTCTCACCACCGTCTGGGCTGAGCACCTGAGCGACGAGGTCAAGCGCCGCTTCTACAAGAACTGGTACAAGAGCAAGAAGAAGGCTTTCACCAAGTACGCCAAGAAGCACGCCGAGGAGAGCGGTGCCTCCATCACCCGCGAGCTCGAGCGCGTCAAGAAGTACTGCACTGTCGTCCGTGTCCTCGCCCACACCCAGGTCCGCAAGACTCCTCTCAAGCAGAAGAAGGCCCACTTGATGGAGATCCAGGTCAACGGTGGCTCCGTTGCCGACAAGGTTGAGTTCGCCCGCAACCTGTTCGAGAAGCCCATCGAGATCGACTCCATCTTCGAGAAGGACGAGATGATCGATGTCATTGCCGTCACCAAGGGTCACGGTTTCCAGGGTGTCACCAGCCGTTGGGGCACCAAGAAGCTTCCCCGTAAGACCCACAAGGGTCTGCGTAAGGTCGCTTGTATCGGTGCCTGGCACCCTAGCCACGTCCAGTGGACTGTTGCCCGTGCCGGTCAGATGGGTTACCACCACCGTACCTCTTGCAACCACAAGGTCTTCCGTATCGGCAAGGGCTCCGACGAGGGTAACGCCTCCACCGAGTTCGATATCTCCAAGAAGCAGATCACTCCGTAAGTCCACTGATTCAAGAGATTTTTAGCAAGTTTGCTAACGGGTATCAGCATGGGTGGTTTCGTCCACTACGGTGAGGTCAAGAACGACTTCGTCCTCCTCAAGGGTTCCGTTCCCGGTGTTAAGAAGCGTGTCATGACCCTCCGCAAGACCCTGTACCCCCAGACCAGCCGCAGGGCCACCGAGAAGGTCGAGCTCAAGTGGATCGACACTTCCTCCAAGTTCGGTCACGGTGCTTTCCAGACCCCCGAGGAGAAGCGTGCTTTCATGGGTACCCTCAAGAAGGACCTGGTTACTTCCGCTTAAGGTGTTTATGGAAATGTCGGTTGGGTGTAGTGCAAATTCTATTACGTTTCAATAAAAAGCGAGAATACCTTTCACGTTGTCCCGCCGGTTAGTTATTGACGTAGCTACACGATAACAGTGGTTGAATTACTTTGAGCCGGTAAAAATTGCATAAATCATTCTGTAGGGAGACCGTCCAGCTGGTCGGTGCGTAACTCGTCTGCAAAATTTGCTGGGTCCAACGCTCGTCCCGGCAACAGCCACTCGTCCCTCCAGGATCCATCATCTGCAGAGTCAGTCCCATTTCGCGGCTTTTATCCTCCGTCCCACTATCTACTTCCTTCTAGAAGCCCCTTCCATTGTCTCTGACACCCGTTTTTCTCCAGCACCAATCAGATGAGTGCCGCGTGTCTGCGACCTCGACGCTGGCCGCTCAGCCGCCCTGCCCATTGCGTCATTGCTCCCATCGCGTCTGGGGCTTCTTCTTCTTCCTCCACGACACATCCTCGTTTCTCCTCCCAGATACAACCTACTCGAATCACTGAGGTACACCGCTCCCAATACCACCATTTGTGTCCTGCTCGACTCCATCGTCAGACCACACTTTCCACCACCACCACAACAAGACCAACCCACTACCACATCACCCCTCATCCCCTCACCACCACCACCACCACCACCACCACCACCACCACCACCCGCACCATGTCATCCGACGACGCCTACATGTCCTTCCTAAACAAAGCCAACGCAGACTACTCCGCCGGCCAATCCCAACCCGCCACCACGACCTCTTCTTCCTCCGCGCGCACCGAAACCGTCCACACGGACGTCCGCGTCCCCGCGTCCCTCACTTCCATCGACGCCTTCTACGTCTCTGAAACAGATGAGCCGTTTGAACCTGTGGCGTTGAAGTGGGATGGTGCGGCGAGGGGAGTGTGGCCGGATGCGTGTACGTGACTTTTTCCCTTCCCCCCTTGTTTCTTTCTTGCCATGGTTATGTGTGTACTGTGGGGTTTGAAGCTAATGGAGTACAGCTCACCTCTCGAATCTCATCTCCCCGGATCAAGACCTCACGGCGGATATCGAGACCTTGTCGCCGTCGATGTTTGATCCTCGGAATCAGTATGGTGGTGTGTTGCGGGCTGTGAGGGCCGCGGTGGGGGATGAACAGGCGGCGGATGTGAAGGTTTATCGGGTTGAGGTGGGGAGGTCGAGGGTTGAGTATTTTGTTTTGGCGCTGGATGGGAAGCAGGGGTTGGTTGTTGGGGTGAGGGCTAAGGCCATTGAGTCTTAGGTTTTTGTTCTTTTGTTGTTTCATTGGGTGTGATGGGTTGGGAGTGGGTTATGAGTTATGATTTGGGTTGAGGTGTAGGTTAGGGGGTATTTGGTGATGGGTTTGTATGTGAACTTGTTGATGATGGAGCATGGTATGCTTGTGTTTTCTGCAATTCTCATTGATAGGGTTTTTGTCAGTGCCGTTCGGTGTAGTGTATGATGCTGTATGGACTCCGGACACTGCTAGCACAGCTGTTCTGGTAAGCACTGTTCTTGTGAGCTCTGTTCTTGTAGACACTATTCGTAAGCATTCAGAAATGCACATCTGCACATCTCCAGCATAGTCTCCAGCCCTAACCGTCATTCTTTGCCACTCACGGTGACAGTTCTACCTGCAAAGACCGATTCACAAGTCTGAGCCCAGAACAAAAGCCGTATAGCCGCGTTGCCAGGACATCCGCCTCCTCTCCTGTCACCAGTGTTAATATCCGTGCCGTGAAGTACATGGCAGTGGATCCTCACCTGCTCTAGACTCGTATAGCATCGTATCATATCACGCATCGTCATACTGATTCCACCGGTCATTCACCTTTTCCCAAGATGAAGCCCACTGTTGTCATGTTTGATAGCCCCATACCTGTCAGAGTTTTCTCTCATTCCCTGCAGGCTTCTCTTACCGCCAGTATAAAGCTCCTTTCTTAGAGCGGCTTTCTCAATCTCTTCTCATCGCTTTATACTTCTCGCAAGGCTTATGCCAAAGCAATCCCTCACCGACAAACCAAAGGAATTCAAGCAACCAACAAAATGACCGAAGTCCTCATCGCCACCGACGCCTCCAACAACCTCCACTGTTGGATCTCCGACAACGGATCCCCCAGCGAAACCACCATCCCCATCACGACCATCATCCAAGACCCCTTCTCCTACATCTTCGCCTTCCGCAACGCCTACCACCTCTTCGTCAGTTTCGCCAGCGAAACCATCTACCACTTCATCACCAAACACGTCCGCATCATCCGTCTCTACATCCTCCGCGAACTCCAAATCATTTACCCTTACCGATGCGAATCACCCACCGTCATCACTCCCACCTCTTCCTCCTCCTCCTTTTCCTCTACCAATACTAGCACCACTAGCGGCAACGGAAATGGGGAAATCCGCCCCGACGCCATCCTCCCTAATCTCGACGCCATCATGGAGAAATGGCGCTTCGCGTGCCGGGCTATTCCCAACGGTCATGATATCGCGTTTGTGTGTTTTGAGCTGTCGGCGCCGGATGATTATGTGCCGGCTGGGGTGTGTCGTGTGCTCCAGATTATGAGTACCGTGTTGAGTGTGAAGGAGCGGGAGAAGGGCCGGTTTCGTTGTGGGATTGAGGGGTGTAGTCCGTCTGCTGCGGAGCGGTTTGATTCGTGTTTGGTGGGGAATGTGGCGGTTGTGGGGTGGTCGTTGGTGGGGGATGAGTGTTGAGATTGTTGATTATTGATGGGTTGGTGGATGGATGGATGGATTGAGCGGTTGATTGACTGAGATGGACTGAAAATGTCGAGGTGAACTGGATGGAGTGGGTGGCTGGATGAGGTGAAATGAATATGGTCCTCTTATGGGGTGGATATGTATTGTCAGAGCTGGATATGTACAGGGGATGAAGTCAGCTTCTGAGTGATCAATGATAATCGCTAATAAATAATGACTGGGATGTGATCATATGAATTTGTGTATAGAGTACTAGGATGCAAAAAGAACTCACCTTATTCCACCATCTCCCTCCCCCTCTTCTGCCTATGTTGTAGACAGCAATATACTTCAATAACGCCGATCATAGAACCAGTAATTTGATCAGCTGTAGACTCACTTTATCACTCACATCCACCCCAACGAAACAAGAGTGTGCTGTTGTTCAATGTTAAACTATCCAGCCCCAGCCCCAGCCCCAGCCCCAGCCCCAGCCCCTGAGTTATCACAAACAATAACATATCATGGTTCAGCAACACGGGATGCATCCAACACTATCGAATGAAAGTTTGGTTCAACGGGTAAATAGAAAAGTTTAATCACGGACTCACTTTCTGGAACGTTACTACTTTGTGGTGAGTTGGAGATGGTGGGGTTTTATATGGAGGGGGAAGTATGGAGTATTGTATGAGTATGAAGTAGTAATGGTGGTGTTGAATGGGTGGAAGAGTTTCACTGGGTGTACTTATTGGCGGTCACTGGTTCTGTCACTGGGGTGGATGGGGGATGGGGGATGGGTTGGGTGAATCGGGAGTGTGCAAGGTGGTTAATGGAGGAGAAGTTCCAGGGGTTTGAAAAATTTGCTTGTTCGAGTCAGTTCTGATGCTTGGAGGTTTTGATTTCAAGTCTTTTCTTGGAGGGTGGTTGTGGCTTGATGGCTGCTGAGAGAAATATATTGACTTCATGGGAACGAGCTAGTATATAGATCAGGTATCAGATGCTCTGTACTCTGTATAGGCAATTAACGGCCTGGAAGTACTAGATACGTAGGTAATATTTCCCGAATTAGTACATGAGGCAGTAATACTCCGTATTCAGGTCCAGTATCTGGGTAATAGGCAGTCATATATATAAGCCATCTGACTACAAAGTCACACTGTCGCCATACTTCATCATGGCTGGTGTCGTGCCACTGAGCAGATTTTCCATCGCCAAAATGACAATAGAAAGGGAAAGCAACCAATTCTTTGCTTCCCTGTCGAATCAAGCAGAAGATGGATTCATCCGCTACAATCAAGCACCTGGCCGTCCCCGTGGCTGCGCTGCGCTGCGTTACACACCAGAAGAAATCCCCACGAGATAGCTCATGAGTGACAAACTCGAGGCCCCGATCTTCGCAGGTTGGTTTGTAACAACGGCCTGGCCAACCGTGGAATGTGGATATCCATCAGCCCATCGGCGGGTTGCTTGACCGGCAAAGCACAGGCCAGGGGTTCATAGCGTACGATGGGAATTTTCCTATCTCTCCGTAGACTACGGAGTACTGTGAGTATTCCATATTGGCACATAGATTGAAATCCATCCTTTGGAATATCATCATATTACAATATCTAGTAGAAAATTGCCAACGAGCCGGCTGCTTTCTAATGGATCAATCCCAAACACCAATATAGCATGTTTCACAGGATCCATTGGATCGCGATGGGACCCGGGTTGTCGCCCAGTAATTCAATTGCTGCCCGGCTGACCTGTACTGGACCAACCGTGAGCCACACTACTCCGTAGCAGATAGCAGCAACAGCACATCGCGATTTGCGAGTCCACTGACTTCACACCAGGCATATACCGAACTCGTCCGGGCGTAGAATCCAGACTTGGCATGGAGACCCGTCCGGCCCGACAGAAGGATTTCGCCAGTGCTCTGGCAACCGGGGGAAATAAGGTTCTCCAGGCCAGTCACAGTGAGATTCAATCATTCTATCAATTGCTGCCTATCTTCTATGGCCCGGAGACCCGATCCAGTGCCAGGATACGGAATGCCGTCGCAATGGCCACGGGCGGCAGGAATGCGGGTGACCATACGATACGGTCAGGGCGCGAGAAGATCGGCGCTACGCCTCGGTGATACTTTCATGAGCGCCTAGTGGCCGTTCCATCCTGGTACCGCCTAGCCTGGACAGGCCTAGTGTCCCCGAGGCCCTGCCGAGCCCAGGGATTCGGCCCACCCGCGCTGATAAAGGATTCCCGTGGTTCACGCCCGTCATTCCGCCAGTCAAGGGCAACCAGATTCTTTCCCAGCATTCAGGAATCTGCCGCCTTTTCTTCCCTTTTTTTCCCTTCCCTCTACCCTGTCGAATTGAGCCTGGTAAAAGTGTCTTGCACCCATGGGATAGTTCGAATCTGGCCGGGATGTGCCCAGCGTGCAGATGCAATTGACCATCACATGGCTGCAGGCCGACAGCCAATAACGGGGGCCGGGACGCAGTATAACCTCATTTCGAGACAGCATCCATGCAGGCGCCACCCCTCTGGGACTCGCAATCCCCAAACTTTGGCGGCAGATCCCCACCCGGCCAGGGACTCCAGGGTCTGCAGGAACCAATGACTGGCTGGCTCTATTTTAATAATGCATTCCCCGATGTCGTTCCAACCGGTTTCGGTTGATGGCAGACCAGCCTTTGTTTGGGTCAGGCACCTCCTGTACCTCCTGTAATTATCCCACTTGCAGGTGTAACGCCGCCGTCACCCAGCAAATAAAGTGATCCCGTTCAGTGGGCACAAAGCTTGGGTCCATCCATGTATGTAGGATCTTCTCCCGCCCTGGGATGAACATTGTTGCCCGCTTGCTTTTTCGCGCCTTCACCTCTTCTCCCTCTCCCTCTCTTCTGCATTGCGCTACCATCCATCCCTTTGTTGTTTCGGTCACCAACCTTCATTTGTCTCTCGTTGACTCTTCTCTTTCTCTTCCCCCCCTCACGGCAGCGATTCTTTGCAACCTTATCATCAGCCCGTGAGCAGTTTAGCGGTGCGCGACTGTCCTCCTTTATCCGCGCAAATCCATCCTTAACCATCGCTAATCCATACGGTGCTCCAAAGTGCGTATTATCCTCATTCTATGCATCGGCCATAGACACATTGGACATCAGGTCAACGACCTGTCCGCTCATTATCGCGTTTTCACATATTGATACCTGTCGCGCGTCCACCGTCGTTCGTTACAATTACAAAGGAATTGAGGATACCTACAATCAGATCTGGGCTCGCACTGAAGCGTCTCATCTGGGTGAAGTCGGGGATCCGGGCCGCAGACAGAGCACGAGGAAGTGAGAGGTCGCAGGCAATTTGACAGCTGGGATTCTGAGAAACGGGCCCGGTGGTGTCGGTCACTGCAATATTGATACCATATTGCTATCTACAAGAGCGCATCACATTAGAGGAAACCCATCACTCCACCAGGCCAGTCCTTTGAGACGGACTTGTCGCACAAGATGTCCACAAACCCCTCCCTTCAAGAGACGCCCCAGATTCGTCTCAATTGCGGGCGACAGAACCCATTTGCTGATTCCGACGACCCCTATGTGCCAGTACCACCACAGCACCAGATTGGGCGGGCACTGACCCCCGGGATGGTACAGTCGCCGTCCGATGCCACATTGCAGACGACATGGGGTTCGCCCACTCCCCAAGAATCAACAGAGTTCTTAATACCCCCCAAGCCGTATCCCCACAAGGAACTGTACCAATCCCGGTCACCGGATCTGTCGATTCGGTCGCGGCGCACGAGCTGGAGTTCAGAGGCAGCCAGTTATGATGCTCGGGGGTATTCATACACTCGTTTCGATGAATCTCGGGCGCCGTCGCGTGCAGGGAGTGATGAGAATGATGTGAACACACAAACAGTGACGGAAAAGTACAACATAATGCCAACAGAAGGATTGTTATTGTTTCCGGAGGATGTGGAGAAAGATGACTACTTGCATAACCCGGATCCAAATGATCGGGATATTGATTGTGATGTGTGGAATCGGCGGGGACTGATCAATCTGGGTGGACTGCTACTCATAACAGTGGGCTTTGTCGTGCTGTTTGTTGCCTATCCGGTGATGTATGACATCTATACCTACTTTGGCTGCACATGCGGTGTGAGGGAGATTCTCATTGACTGGCTATTAGATCGGCTGTGGGCGGGGTAGAGAAAGCAGCCCAATCGAACTGTGACCCTGATGATTCCTTATGTGTCGACGTCGGGGACCAAGCAGGACTCACCAAATTACGAACGGGATTGATCGACCCAGACACACCGGCTTCTGCGATGACAAAGACATCAGCAGACGGCAAGGAATGGCATCTGGTGGTGAGTGTCAAGTGAAATTATTGGCGACCTTGCAGGGTGATTGACTGGAGTAGTTTTCCGACGAGTTCGAAACCCCTGGTCGGTCCTTTTATGACGGTGACGACCCTTATTATCAGGCCATGGATTTCTGGTATGGTGTGACGCAAGACCTGGAGGCTAGTACTGATTCCAATTTTTTGTCGCTCACTAGCTGACCGATTCATAGTGGTATGACCCGGACGCAGTCACGACGAAAGATGGAAGCTTGGAGATCCGATTCGATGCCTTCACCAACCACGAGCTGGGGTATCGTTCAGGAATGGTGCAGAGTTGGAATAAGCTGTGCTTCTCGGGTGGTCGCTTGGAGGCCAGTATCTCCTTGCCCGGCGCTGGGGATGTATCTGGGTTCTGGCCTGGCTTCTGGGCGATGGGCAACCTAGGCCGACCGGGCTATGCTGCGACTACCGATGGGATGTGGCCCTACAGCTACTACGACCGATGCGATGCCGGCATCACGCCCAACCAGAGCTCCACCGACGGGATCAATTTCCTCCCCGGCATGCGTTTACCGGCTTGCACTTGCAATGGCACCGACCATCCGTCCCCGGGCAGATCCCGCGGCGCCCCCGAAATCGATGTGATTGAGGCCAGTGTGGGCGCTCTGAACAACAACCCGGACGCCGTTATTGGCACCGTGTCCCAAAGTTTGCAGATGGCTCCGTTCGACATTTGGTACATGCCTGACTACGGTACGTTGCGGCAGCTGATTTGCATATGCTAGGGACATCGTTCTGACATCCTGCAGAGTACACGGCCGTGTACGACCCCCATATCACGGAGATCAACACCTACCGAGGAGGACCGTACCAGCAAGCCATGTCTGGCCTCACCAACCTCAACAACAAGTGGTACAATGGCACCGAGTACCAAGTTTATGCGTTCGAGTACACCCCCGGTGCCGTGGGCAACGTGACCTGGTTTGTGGGCCAGGATAAGACCTGGACCCTGGACGGGCGAGCCATTGGACCCAACGGCAACGTCGGCCAGCGGATGATCCCCATGGAGCCAATGTCGATTGTGATGAACCTGGGTATGGCGTGGAGTTTTGCCCCGATCAACGACACGATCCGGAGCTACCTGCCTGGGTTCATGCGGTTCGATTACATTCGGATCTACCAGGACCCGAACAACATCAGTGTCACCTGCGACCCACCGGGCTACGAGACGACGGACTACATTGCCAAACACCCGAACGCTTACAACGACCACAACCAAACCTCATGGTATGTGATCATTTCTGTGATAGCGATGTCAATAATCCACTAACATATTGCAGGGCTGATGCCGGATATGAATGGCCCACGAACACACTCATGAACGGGTGCTAGATTCTTCGAGAAGACATCGTATGAATCCTCGAGGGCGCCTAGAGTTTCCGAGGTGCTCGATCTACTCATTCGCTCCCCCGATGCGAACACCGCACGGCTTCCTGACATGCCCTGGTGCCGGTCCAGGCGCCTGCGAGTCATTTTAGCGGCATTCTGCTTTGGCGTTGACGGCGTCCTTCCGTTCTTCCAAGCTGGTGGCTGGGGCTAACCTTTGCATTTCGATTTTCGCTTGTACTTTTTTTTCATCTTACATCACATTTAACGGTTTGGCATGGTGCTTTTAGCTTATTCTTATTTCGCCTGGTCTTTACAGACGGGGTTATTTTGTTGGAATCATGGAGGCCCGGTTGTTCGAGTATGACCGATCACGGTCGCAGATAGTCCCATAGAATCGAAGACAATCAAAGATCTGATCAAGAGTGCGATATCCAGTGGAGGGGCCCGTCATCTGACCTGTCATTCAGCCCTGAGGCAGGTAGGGCACACCCCTGACTAAGCAGACTGACTCGCGATAGTTAACAGTTAACTAGTCAACCCGTCAACTTATCTTAGTTTAAGCCCACCTCCGCCTTCGTCATCCGCTTCCTCCACTCACTGCTTCGCGCTCGTCTCCAACCCGCGTGACTGGAGGTTCGAACTTCCAGTCTCTGATCCTGCCGGACGGGGTCGACCGCTTTGTCACTACAGTTAGACTCGTACAGGTACTCCATCGTCCTGATCAGGATCCAGTCTTAGCATCCGACCCCTCGACTTGTACAGTCCGCGGAGCTGATTCGGAGAGCACCTCACGTCACATATATCCGATCTATCGCGTACATATCGTGCTGTTCACTCCACATACACGAGACAGTTCTCTGAGCCAATCATCCACTCGGCTCACCATTCATTGATTTAGCATTTCACTTCTCAAACAAAAAGAACAAAAAAGAACAAGATGTTCAACCCCCACCTCCCCATCCCCGGCCGTCGCGAACACCACCCCATCGTGATTACCTCAGACGACTCCGACTCCGACGACATCATCGCCGACGAAGCTGAAGAAGCACGGGAAGAAGAAGAGGTAGAGGAAGAAGACTCAGACGAAGACCTCGATCACGATACCGACTCGGATGAAATGCAATTGGACTATTCGTTGCATTCGAGACCGCAGTCGGGCATTATGGGGTATGGTATGTATTATCCCTTCCTCCTCTCCCAGACTTTCTTTGGGGTTGGTTTGTTTCATGCTTGGGGTTGTGTATGGTTGAGGTTGAAAACAACACTCCGCATCACATTATATCTCTGATAAAGAATACATACTAATAAGAAGAGGAAAATAGCATACCCGACAACCCAAACCCCCCACCTAGGTCCCAGTCTCTACCAAGCAACCCTCGATCAAGAACGTCGCATGCGGACCCGTCTTCGGGAAGAACGACACGCCGCGCTTTGCGTCCTGCTGGATCGAGAGTTACTTACCATTCAGGCGTTGGCTGCGCAGGAGGTATCCATCCATCCCTCCCTTTCATCCATTCTTTTCCCCGTCCCCACTACATTTTACCCAGATGCTAATAAATCCAGACCCTCCCCCAATCCCGCCGCCGCTTCCTCGCCCGCCTCCTCGCCCCCGAGGATCCCGAATCCGCGGCCTCGATCCGCGCGGACCGATTCACGGTACAACATCCCGCCGGCGCCAGCGGCAGCGGGAGTCTTCTATCGTCCGCTACGGCGATGATTGTGCCCCGACGGGTCGTGGATGTGTACGAGACGGATGATGCCGGGTGGAGGAAGCCGGAGAGGGGCGGTCGAGGGGGCGAGAGGAGTGCGGCCATGCAGTCGTCGCCGGCGTCGGTGGGGTCCGGGTCGGTGTCGTCGGCGAAGATGAAGGGGAGGATGGGGACGCCGGATCGGGTGGGGAGGGGGACGAAGGGGCGGGGGTTGCAGAGTTCGTCGTATCGGGAGAGGGAGAGGGAGAGGGAGAGAGAGCGGAGGAGGGGGTTGTTTGAGGGGGTGTGATTGGTTGATTGAGGTAGGTAGATCGGTTGATGGGTTGTGTTCTGAATGGGGTATTGGGGGAGTGGGTTGTCTACGAGAGCAAGGTGTTAAGAATATTCACATCGCTGCGTTCTGTACATACATCCAAACCATACCATACCGTGATATCCCGTCAATCCGTAAAATACTATACAAGGAGGGTCAAACCAATGCAAACGAGCAAACAACCATAACAATAACATGCCAAACAAAAAGATGGTGTCCAAGGAAGTCCGCACAAGCGCTCAACCATCTATACTATAGATCGCCAATCACCATTCCGCGCGTCGGTCTTCCAATGCGTCCCATCGTACCAAAGGGTATCTAACAGACCAAAACTGGGCCTTAACCTCAATGCATCCCAAGAGAATGCTAGAGGATCACTTTTCAAATTTCAAATTTGTGCACCTTTCCACCCTCAAGGCTTTAGAACGGCCACATCACATGCTCAGCCGGTAGGCAAGGCTCAGGAACACATTTTTTTTTTTTAATAGAAGCCTTGCCTCGGCAAACCTGGTCATGCGCATCGTCAGACGAGCCGACTAGGGTTAAACAATACCAAGCAATGCAGCCACCTCAGCTCCACCTTTCAGCGTTGAGCAGGCTCGCTGCATCCCCAACTTGCTTGCGTTCGGAAACTTCCCGGGTTCGCATCCGAGCACGTGCGCTTTCAATATTCATAGGCGTCAATCCTTGGGATGGTGGTGGGTCCGGTTCCGCGTAGAAAGGATGTAGTCTGTGGGAAGTAGAGAACCGGACACGACCATCCCTCATGACTGGTAATTGTCATTGCAGGGGTTCCGAGCTCGACGAGAGTCGGTTGAGATGGAGATAGACATCGGTGCCATACCTAGGCGATGTTAAATAACCAAGCGATTGGTCTGCAGCGGAACATAACTTACCCCTCCATACTAATCAGCTTCAGATCCCCGCCAAAGTAGCGAGCATACAGTCGACTGATGGGCAGACCATACCCGAAACCCGCCATAGGCGCCTTAAAGTCGCTCTTGTCAAAATCGGGATCCAGGCTTGGGGTTTGCTCTACGGTAGTGTACATGTACGTCCAGACCAAGGGGATGGCAGAACGGGGGATGCCACCACCTTCGTCCGAGATCTTTATGGTAATATCTTCTTTGCCTTCTGCAATGATAACCTTGGTGACCGGGAAGGCGTCCTTGTCTGCGCCGTGGGCTTCCACCACCGCACGCAGGGAGTTCTTCAAGGTCTCAAAGAGCATATGCGATAGGTGACCCGGAACGTACATGAAGTTCAGATCTTCCTTGCAGACAAGTTGCACCTTGGGCGCATCAAAAAGACCATAGTAATCTTCACAGACGAAACGAGCATTGTCAATAGCCTCAAGAGCCACTTCGCGTACATTGGTTTTCGTGCAGATGATTCCGACATAGTTTGGTTGTCGAACGTGCGTTTGCTCCGTCAAGGCGATGTGCTGGCCGATTAACATTCGTATACCAATGCGGGACATGTAGAACCGATCGAGGAACGACTGGACGGTGGAATCAATCTGTAGACGTTGGCGCTTTCGCTTCCATTCGAGAATACCCTGGGCGACGGTGGTCACAACACTGTCGTGTCTCCGTTTGATGTGCTGTAAAGTCCTGGCGAAGCGTTCATTGTAATCGTTCAATTCCGGTGGCCAATTCCCCTGATCATCCGACGGGGCATAGTATCTCCGTCCCACCGCAGCTCCTTTGCCGTTGCCATTACCATTCAGCAAGGACGAGGGAGAGGACCGATATTGACCTTCACGGATACTAGGGTTTTGCGTGGTCTCGGAGAGGATCTTTGAGAATCCCCCATTGACGCGCCCTGGGCGTAGCAAACGGGTCTTGACTTCCTGAGTAAGGGTAGGACGGGGTAGGTTGATAATTTCCTACACGACAAGTCAGTCACCACCGGACCAAAAATGGGGGTTGACATGTGAGTCATACCTCGAACGACTGGGCGTACCAGTCCTGGACCTTCTTGATGGATGGCATTTCACTCAGGCCATCGGGAAGTTCTCCAAGGTCCTGAACACGATGAGCGAGACGTATGGGCAGTTCTTCGGAAAGGAATTGGGACGCGCGAAAGAGAGTGCCTGATTGGGGAAAGAGATCACGAGGTTAGCGCATGGTGGTCACTCGAGCATCATGTGGCAAAGGGCACCACCGTGAAAGGGAAGAAGCTAACCTGTCGAGGGCCGATCTCCAAATTGGACCATCTGCCGGAGAGAGACACCAGTGGCAGGGAAGCTGGCATAATGTCTGATGGTGTCCATCAGCCTCTCCGACGGCTTCCACATGATGTCAACGGTATGTCAGGCCGGACGGCCTGGAATCACACTCGATACAACCAATATGGACCGTAAAAACGCCCCCGCGTGGTCAAGAGCAGCTGAAAGAGAGTCAGTCGGTCAATTGTGATTGTTGTGAGGGTGGATGGTTTGAGGGGAGGACTACCGAGGTTGAGGGACACCTCCGCTCGCAGGCGAGCTCGGAACGGCGGGCGGTACGAATTCCCCGGAGTGGTGCTTCCGGTAGCAGTCGTGGCGAACAGAAACCGATCAACGAGGGAGGGAGCTTCCACAGGGCATCTGGTAGACACGCCTTTTCTTCAGTGAAGCCGAGACGCTGGGGGAAAAAGAACAGGGAGGACGGAGAGGAGAGGAAGACGGGCGGAGGGAAGTCGAGGTGGGCAGACCGACCGGTGGAGGATGACTCTTTTTGGATGCTGGGCTGCTGCGGAGACTCGCAATTCCCGGGGAGTCACGTGCGCAGGTGGGGGGGGCGCGCAGTTGCCGTCTTGATGGTCTGCAATCCCGTGTGTGGCCGAGGGTGTTCCAATCATCAACAGCCGATTCGGAGCCTGTCTCTACCGTCTTCGCCCATCGCACCACCCGTCCACGGGGAAAAGCAGGAGCATGTCGGACTCAAATACTCCGTGAATCGCCTGAGCTGATCGAGATGCCGCGCTGTTATCTACGGAGTAAACTGGACAATTTCAGTCAGAGCCTATCCCCGTAGACCCTTTCAGCCGACCGTCGGACTCTGCCGCCCGTTGGCAAATTCTCCATTTAGTAGGGAAGGTGCTTAGGGGCATGTATGTACTGTGTAGTACACACGACTCCTCCGTCCATAGGCATAGTAGGTCGGCGCGCACGGGACTGCCGGTGTCAAGCTGAACCTTTCTCCGGATCTCCCCTTCGTCCGAGGTGGTTCAAATCCGGGGCACGCGCACTCCGACTGGCTAGGATCCATGATGCAAGAGTAATAGTCCCTGGCCAGACTCGGGCTCCCCCTGCTATCCGCTAATTCAGCTTATAATCTACCCCTCCATGTCCAGGCGCAGCTGGCTCCTTTGGTCAAGGTACCTGATTAGCCTCTCCCCTTCCGCGGATCTCCCCAGTCGCTTGCGGTTCTTCATGGTTCTCGACAAGCTTATGTATCCTCCTCCGTACACCGGCTCCCGATTCGTATACTCGGACGATGGGAATGGCTCATCATTATTGATTATCGCTTTCGGATCTGCCTCGTGATCTCCGAAAAAGGAGTTGAGTTTGGAGGAAGTCACATGCCATGCCCACGGCCTCGCAAGACCGGCAGACACTGGAAAGAAGGTCCCCAAGGAGCGATGACCGGAAGAGAAAATGAATACGAAATAAAGAGGACGATACAAAGAAAAAAGAATCAATTGTATTGTGGTAGGACTGTCTCCATGACTTAGTACTCTGTATTGTCCCTGCATGCGGGACAATAGAATTTCCCAGCACACGAACTGCTGGACAGCCACGGCGTCCGTGTGGTTGTCGCTGGATGGATGCCACTGGCGACAGCAAAGGAAAAAGCAAAGAGATCCAGGTGGAATATTTAAACGACGGCCGCAGCAGCAGCGAAGATCCTCGTGGTGCATCTCCTACTGTTAGTCCACCGCCAGAGAGAGCCAATCAGACTAGGCCGCGTCCTGATAAAGATGAGAGGACGCGGACGACGCGATGAGGGGAGAACACCACCAACCGTTGCATAGGGCTGGGACGAGAGGGAAGAAAAGGAAGAAAAAAAAAGAAAAGAAAAAGAAGACTGGAAAACAAAAAAGAAAAGAAACAAAACGGATGCCCAACCCCAGCCTTTCAGGCAGGTTTCAACCTTTCCCCATCATCGCGTCGTCATGATCTTCTCTGTCATTTCTGCTCTATCACCTCGAAGAAGAAACAAGCCCAAGAGATGGAGCCCGATTGCGCTGCCGCTGACCCCCTTTACCCCCCTGTCGTGGAGGTGACAATAATATGGACCGGCTCTGAGGCCCTTGTCCCTCCCCTAAGGGGCTCTCCATTAGCAAGAATCCCGGGGCATACTTAGTGACTATTATTTCCAGCTGGCGTCGCTCCAGTCTTACATCCAATTCTTCGCATGTCTTTCCGCCCGAAACCTTCTTGTCAGTGGAGTCTCGTTAACTTTTTTGACACCTGTCTGGCCCACCAACCGGAAAACTAGTTGTCAGTTGAGTATCTTCCCGTCAGGTTATCTGACTGGCCGTCATCTCACCGCGCGGTGAGTTGACTGTTTAAATCGCCGAGGAAGCACCGGCAACTCTGATGACTTTTGAATTTTTTTTCTTTGAGTTCTCCTGGGAGACCGTTGCATGTCCCCTCCCCGCCATCTTACCTTATTTTTTTTCTGTTTGCCCAAGTGTCAGAGTCACCAGGGAAGGGATCCATTATTCTTAGAGGGGCAGGCTTGGCCGTAATAGGTGAGTGGAAAGTGTCCGATTTGATGTCACGGACCAATTTCTTCCTCCGAAACTCGTTATTATTTGTGCGCGGAAGTGGGTTTGTTGCCATTCTTATGTATTATGATGGTGGCTATAGCTCATACCGGTTGTGGACACACACTGGACTGATGGATCGGGGGGCCCCCATCGACCAGTTTGTTTGCATGCAGAGGAAGGATCCTTAACCCAGGATGCTCCAGCGGCTTTAATGGGGGCACTGTTCGTTTTTAGTTGCTCGTTTTTTATTTCCGTTCCCCTGTGGGTTTATTGTTCTAACCCGAAAAAAAAATAATTGGGGGAGAAATGATGCAAACCGGCACTGCACGAACATCAAACCCTCGTCATGCTTTTAATTTTTTTTTTTTCCCTCTCTCTCTTCCTATTTAATTTTTTTTGTCTCGTTGGCTTGGGTGGTAACTCTTTTATAGACGGATAAGTTGATTATCCTTTTGGCAATTCTTATTGTTAATGGTCCCGACTGCACTGGAGAGGCGCTTTTTCTCTTACTATCTGGCTGGGTTGTTGCTGTGCACTCACTCATTGGCAGGACCCGATAGAGAGGATCCGCAAACCTTCCCAGCATTGCCCTTTTTGCGCTCATGCTGTTGAAGCCGAAATTCTGCCCTTCACTGGTCCGGATCCAGTCAATTAGCCCCTCCTTATAATTACTACCTGTCCCCGTTGCCCTCTAGGTATAATTCTGTCACTTTGTTTTATCTCCTTCTGTGTGTGGCTCAGGAATTGGAGACTTCGTATTGGTTAATATTCAGGGGAAAGACCACGTTGGGCCAAGGCAAAAAAGAAAAAAAAACAAGCCTGAAACAGGCCAGACGCAAAGATTGAGAGGGTGGGAAGTAGAAACTTGCTCGGATAGGGAAGGAGACAGACCACTGGGCAACTGCTTACTATCCTACGCTTGCTACGTCTTACTACTTACTACTTACTCATTGCGACTTGCGACTGGAAGGGTCTTCTTCAGTCGGACCGGGCAGAGGAAGAAAGAAAGACCCGGAAGGTGAGGGAGAAAGAAGGAAGAGGAAGGAACGGAAGAGAGACAGACGAGAGGGAAAGAGGCACCGATTGGGAATATCCCAATCAGAAGGACACCTGAGGAACGAGCCCTCCACTCTTCAAGGAACTTTCCCCTCCATCCCCTCCTGAAGCCGTCGCCAGGACGAGGCAGTGGGCAGGCAGTCCAGTGTCCCACGCCACTACTTACTTCTTGCTACTATTCCTACTACTGCTTGCTCGGCCTCAGGTCACCCCTCCTCTGATACCTACCCCTCGGGGAGGTTTCCCTGGCCGGCCCCATCACGTCTGCTGGTAATCCTACCTTACCCGGGCCTCTCATTTCACTGGCCTGGTCCTGACATCGGCGATTCCTTGTTACGCCAGGCATTCGCCAGTCATCTATTTGCCTAAGCAAACAAGGACCGTGGTACTTCAGCAGATGCATCTTCCCTGACCACCTACTTTACCTTGTACTACCTCCCCCCAGCTGCATGTTCATGTAAACAAACCCCAATATGTCTCGCCGCCGTGCCTCCCACAGCGAATCATTGGGTCTATCCTCCACTATGAACGAAGCCTTTGCCTATCCTTTCTCCGGGATGCAACAGAGCAGTGCTCCACAACGACGCGGCCCGATCGAAGGGCCCAACGGACGACGGTTGATTCGTAGGGTCACCTGGCGATCCTCCACGTACAAGCTGATGGCTTGTCTGTGGGTGTTGGGCGTCTTCTATATCGTCTGGCTCATTCGGGATGTCTTCTACTATCCATTCTACTCCTCCTCCCAACAACCTCTCCCCCCCCAGCCAGCCAATGAGTAAGTCTCCAGATGCTTCCCCTGACTCCTGGTGCTTTTCGTCTCTTGTCGATGGCCAAATTTGCTTATCTGGCCCCGTCTTGTACATAGTTTGTTGGCTTCTTACCTGGGTCGTCAAGAGTGCGACATCTCGTCCCTGTCCCTCTTCACCCCCCCTCCATCCGGTGATGGCGAACGAGCGTCAAGCAATCCGTACTGCCAAACCCGTGACGCACTTCTCAGCGCCATGAGCAATGGCGGGCGTCATGGCTTCGACGCTGCGTATACTTCACAAGGCAAGTGCCCACTCGATGCCGTCCTTCTTGTGCCTGACGTTCCTGCTTCTGGGGGTTCCGTTTGGGCAGCAACCGCCCTCGTATCACTCTGACTGACCGTTCTTGTTCAGGGTGCTCCTATCGTTGGTTCACCAGCGCTGAAGTGTGCAATATTCTACGCAAATTTGATGGAATTGTCTTCATTGGTGATGATTCTCTGGCCGACGCTTATGCAGGGTTCAACATTCTTCTCCGGGAGGACCTGGCGACCGGATCCCTGAGAGAGTGGGAGATAAACAAGGACCATGGTCACAGTTGCCGATGTGAATCTCAGTTCACCAGTGCCTCATGTGTGCCACTGCGGATTACTTCAAGCGATGATGTACACGCGCAGGATGGCGGCAATCCCACTCGTAGACCCTATACTTGTTCTTCCCGTGAGCATTCCACTCCTTTGGCCTGTCAACGCTCGTCTATGGGCTTGAGTACTGATCCTCACCGTGCTCTCAGATACCCCTCATGCATTCCTCGCCACAGCCGGCTCGCCTGCTCCGAAGAACGCGTACGAAAAGTTCCGTCGAATGGTCGGCCGAGGGGCTGGCCGGAACAAGCCAGTACCCGTGGTCTTGAGTCTTTCACTTTCCACGTCCTATTCCTTGCCCACGGCCAAAAGTAGCATGGAGGAATGGCTCACATTGGCCCAGGCCAGTGGACGAAACACCCCTTTTCTCTGGGTAGGCCCCACAGCCCCTGGGCTGCAAAAGGATTCTGGAGACAACATCCACGCGTCCAGCTGGCAGTATTCACAAGATACTGCTCAAGAAGCCCATGATCGAGGCCTAGATGCCCTGGCTATGTACAACGCAACACTGCAGGCCGACAGCTGGGATGGAAAACACTATGGAGAAAAGGTGGCTTTGATACAGGCAATGATGGTGAGTGAGCCTCTGCATCTTGCACGATCAAGTGCTCTGATTGACACTTATCTCTAGGTTATCAACTGGCTGTCTGCCATCTAGGGTTGTGACCAGACTTCTATCACTTATGCGCACAGTGTGGACCCCACAATGGTGCCGTGCGCCCATGGCCTCTTCAAATGGACTACGGATTTGGATACTCCCAGAAACATGTGCATCAACTTCAACGAGTCTTAGCTGGCTCACATTTCTCTGAATCTTCTTGAAACTATTTCAATTTCATTTATCGAGCGGACATCAGTTATTCAGTTCTTCGCTGCTCATCTTGTTATATAGTGTCTTCTCTATCTTTTGCATTATGGCATCTCATACTAAGGTCATTCCAGAACAATCTCGCTTCTGCTGCATGGAGCATTCGTTTTCTTTGGTTCCATATTACAATTACTCTACTGTTGTTTCCTCAATATGCTTCCTTGTATTCTGCGGTCCCCTCTCCTTCCATCGAATTGGTATTAGAGGGGAAAGCGTCGTTGCTACCGTATCTACGCAAATCCGTGCTAGCGTCTAACCTACACTCCAGAGCAGCTTCATTCGGGTCCAACATGAGATAATAATAATCCACAGAAAGGTGGCTGGTCATCATAGTGTGCCAGTAACCGAATCGTGGGTCTCATACCAACGGTAGTAATTCGTATCCGAGGATCTAGTGTGTTCTCCGGCAAAAAGAAGTGGCTTGGGTAGGTAGTGGGGTTTCTCAGGCCGTCCCAGCCACCCTACCACTGGGATCCGGTTTACATGCGTCTCAAGCCGCAGCCTGAGGCTCTCATCCATCAAAGGGCTCAAATGCTACTCCATCGTAGATACTATGTAGTATCCCAGTTGACTTCTCCATCTTGTTTTTGAGTTTGGCCAAACCTTGTTTTGCAGCAGCCGGGTGGTTGAGCCGCCCGTTGCAGCAGAAACTTGACCAAAGTACGATATGAACCTTATTATGAAGGCACCGGATAGATGGCTTTGAATTGAAGCCCACCAATATGCATTATTAACATCTCGTATCATCTCATCAATTACTATCTATATACATGGACTCTTGCGCTGCTGGAATCTGCTGAGATTGCTTTTCTTTCTCCCGTCTTGAACATATCGTTTATTTAAACAAATCTTTGTTGACAACTCGCATGACGATTTCGCTTTTGCATGGTATAATACGTATTGTCCCATCATCTATCCATTTTGTGTCCTGCCTGCTTGCCCTGTTAGTTCGATGAGAAGTATGTGCGCGAAATTAGACGTAGAGAGCGGAGGTCTCGGCCTTGGCAATCTGGGCCTCGTACGGCTTGAGAGCCTGCTTCACCTCGGTAGAGGTGAACTTCTCGACCTGCTGGGGAGCGCGGCCGACGAAGGTGCTGGGCTCGAGGAGAGCGTCGAGCTCATCCAGAATGGGCGCAAAGAAGGCAGTGCGACGGACGCGGTCGAGCAGGTCGTTGTTCTGGCCGAGCTTCTTGACGTTGTCGGAGGCTTGGTGGGAGAGGACACCTGTTGTAGTACAGAGGTTTGTTAGTTAGGGCTAACTAGCGTGGAATTGATTTGGAAGCCGCGACGTACGGATTTCCTCGTGGGCGTCTTGGCGGGACAGGCCCTTCTTCACACAAGCCATGATGATCTGTCATTGTATCATTAGTATTCATGCGGGAAGGGGTTCTGGCTGAGGGCGGCTTACGTTCTCACTATGGCCTTCAGGTTAGCAGAGATTTTAAGCCGGGGGGGGGAACAAGGACTTACGTAGCCATGAAGGGGAGCTCATCGTTGACATGACGTCTGATAACTTCGGGGTAGACAACGAAGCCGGAGGTGACGTTGTCTAATTATTGTCAGCAGCATGACAGGGTTTGAGTGATGAGCTGGCTACTCACTCAAAAGGATGAGGCAGGCATCAGCGGAGAGGAAAAGCTCGGGAATGCTGATACGGCGGATAGCGCTGTCATCCTGTCCACACAGTTAATGAGAAGATTCTCAAGGAAATGGAACGCAAATCTGTCATACAAGGGAGCGCTCGAACCACTGGGCCGAGTAGGTGTCCAAGGCGTCCTTGGGAAGGTTCTGGAGGTGTCTTCCGAGAGAGCACAGACGCTCGGACCGCATGGGGTTACGCTTGTAAGCCTGCACAGACCAGCCGCGTTAGCATTTCCTGCCGTTCTCATTGGTCCTTGTAATAACTCACCATAGCACTGCTACCGATCTGGTCCTTCTCGAAAGGCTCCTCGACCTCCTTCAGCATCGCCAAGTGACGGATGTCAATGCCAATGCGCTCGCAGGTCGAGCCGAAAGAGCCGAGGGCATTGCCAACGTCGACATCAATCTTACGGGTGTAGGTCTGGGCGGAGATGATGAACGCAGAGTTGAAGCCAGCCTTCTTGGTGACAAGCTCATCCAACTGCTCAACCTTGTCATGGTCACCCTCGAAGATCTGGAGGAAAGAGGCCTGGGTACCGGTGGTACCCTTGACACCACGGAAACGCAGGTCATCGCGAGCTCTCTCGAGGTTCTTCAAGTCCATGAGCAAGTCCTGGATCCACAGGCATGCGCGCTTTCCGACGGTAACAAGCTGAGCGGGCTGTCCGTGGGTAAAGCCCAGACAGGGCAGGTCCTTGTACTGCTTAGCGAAGGCAGACAGCTTGTCAATGACGACTGCGAGCTTGGGGATGAGGATATCGAGACCGTCCCGGAGGAAGATCAGGTCTGCGTTGTCGGTGCAGTAGCAGGAGGTGGCACCCCAGTGGATGATTCCGGCGGCGGCAGGAGCGACCTGGCCATAGGCATGGACGTGGGCCATAACATCGTGTCTCCGACGCTTCTCTTCTTCGGCAGCAACCTTGAATTCGTCGTCCTGGATGGTGAGGTGAGCCTTCATCTGCTCAATGGCCTCATCGGAGATCGGCAAACCGAGCTCTGTGCGGGTTAGTCGGCGAAGTGTGGAGGGCGAAAGGCGGAGAGACAATGTTACCTTTCTCGGACTCGGCAAGCCAGAGCCACAGCTGTCTCCAGGTCGAGAAGCGGTTCCTGGGGGAGAAGAGATACTTCATCTCATCGCCTGAGATGGAAGCCGCACGGTTAGTCCGATATCGCACGGGACACTAAGAGCTCACCCGGCCTGGATGGAGAGACTCACTGGAGTAGCGAGAGTTGAGAGGGGTCTGATAGACATCGTTGCTCGAAGCCATCTTGACAGAGATGAATCGGAGGGAATTGGGGGGGGGGGGGATTCCACGAGAATTGTGATGAGGGACAGGGGAAAAGGCGGAGGAGGGGCAAGGAGAAAGTGTGCTGCGGGATGCCAGGAAATTTTGGTGCGGGCCCGACGAGTCGGAGGGGCCCTCCAACTACTACACAGTACTAGTAATACTACTATTAATTAAAATGACTGCATCCGGCGGGGTCTCCGCTTATCAGTCACGTTATCATCTGGAGGGGCTATCATCACATGATCCCCAACGTGGGGCAATCTCGAGACTCCGGATGACTATGATTATCACATTACAACTACCAAGGTATATCTATATAATGCCCCTCACGCTAATGCCGCCAGCTGAGCAGACAGGCTGCCCTTGTCGTACTTGACGTATTTGCCTCGTCCCTTGTCGATTTCATGGTACCGATCCCAGAATCGGGCATAGAGTGGCTCCAGTACGGCCTGGACCTCCCGAGCTAGCACCCCGCGGACTTCGCGTTCCATATACAAGGCCTTGTGGCGGGTCACCAGTTCATCGAAACTAGCATTGAACGCCTTAAACTTGTCTTTGATGGCGTCCTTGTCTTTGGACGAAAGGGATTTGACAATGGCACTGGAATCAACGACTCCTCCAGACGCCGGCCGTGTGGACCCGCCAGAGCCCCGAGAGGTATACTGCACGTCCAGAAGATAATGGGAGGTTTCCTTCCATGCATCGAGATAGGTTGAGGTGGCCCGTTTGCGGAAGGTATCGATCCGTGCAATGCTGTCGGGGGAGCCAAGGTATCTGGCTAGCTCGGAACTCTGCCGGATGGAGCGGTCGACAGTGCAGAATACGTTGGACAGGAAAACACCCTGGACCGCTTTCGAGCGGTGAAGCGCTCTGCCTCGCGCTTCCAGGGCGATCATAAGGGCCTCAATCATATCCAGGATGAAGTGCGACAGGAGGGTCAAACTATCCGGGCTAACATCCAAGGGCGCCGTAGGTGCTGCATTGGATGTGGACCGCCAATTGCCATCTCCCAGAGATGTCAGGATCGATGCAAGCGGCCCGGAGTAGCCAGTCAAAGTAGTTAGAGAGCTCATAACCTCGCTGACAAGAGGCACGGATCCACCATCTGGTGGAAGCATAGCAATACCTGCAGCCTTGCGCTTTGTTTCTTCTAACAGCTCTGAAAGCGACGACTTTGCAGTCTCGCGCACCGGCCGGAGAGCCTCGATAAACAAGCTCTTGAGCTCGCCCGTTTTCGATTCCACGCGATATGACAGGGCAGTAACGATCTCAATAATCTCAAAGGCTAAGAAGCAATCCGTCATGAGGTTTGCCTTGATGTATTGGTTGAGCTCTCGCAGGGTCTGTGCATATTCGGCTAAGGCGGAGCGACAAGTTGCCTGGAGCGCCAGTCCCCGTTGGTCCCCCGTAAAGATGCGCACCAGGACATCATGCTCCGCGTATATAAAGCTTTCCAGGGCGTTTGAGTAGATTCCAATGCCGTTGGTGCCTTGCTTGTAGGGGCCGTCGGCAGCTCGTCGCTTGACGGTATTGAGTGATGCTATTGCCAGGTTCTGCAAGCTCGAGGTGATGTATGGTCCACGGATATCGGCATATATTTTGAGGGCAGGGTTTCCACCGTCACCCCGTTGCGGTCCATAGCTTGCTGCAGAGCCGATGGCAGCACAGACCGGACCCAATTCCGCGACAGTCTCTTCAGGTAGCGACGGGAATGAGAGTTCTAGGTGCGAGACAAGAGACATTAGCGTCTTCATTCCGAACGGGTTATGCATGGTCGGTACCCACCTTTTGTTAAGTAGTGCAGGGGCTCGATAGGACTAACGTGGTCGCCCAACGTGCTGCGGAGCATGTCCTGGAGCTGAGAGTTCCCGAGGACCAGTAGAGAAGTAAACTCGGAGATGGCCTTTTGATTCGACCTCAGATTTGTTGAATTGAGATCCGCCAGAGCCTTTTCCACGCGCTTGACGGCAGAGAGATATTGCGACAAGCCGACGGTCTGGGGGCTTCATGAATGTCAGCCAACGAGGCCCGAAACTGGCCCAACACCCACAGGGGCCGCTGCATACCTTGACCGTATAATTCCTTCTTCTTTACCCTTGGCATCGAGAGGCTGGCGAAGGCGTTCAATGGCCTCGTTGACCTTATCGATGTTGCTGTTGGTGATCTGTAGCGATTGGGTGTTGCTGTAAATGGGCCCGATTGCATGCTTCACCACGTTGCCTCCGGTTTCCAGGCGATTCAGTGAGCCTTGGATCTTCTTGGTGAGGAGCTTGAGCTTTTCGAGGTTGGCGTACAACACCTCCACTTCGGCGCTCTCCTCCGCGTAGGCGGCATTCCGTGGAGCGACCATGGCTTGAGGACTCGATCCTCGATCGGCAGGTCCCACTAGTGTGTCAGGCAATCAGGGATGCGTAACCGGAATCAGACACTCGCGACGGAGAGAGATGATGTCATGACTTTGGCCCGAGAGGTCAGGCAAGAGAAAGGGAAAGCACGGCGAAGAGAACAGCTGGCCGATGAGGCACCTGGCCTCATGAAGCGAGCATAGCTTGATCCAGCTTGTCCCTTCATCTCCCCGGACGAACAGCGGGCGGCGCCTTTGCGAGCGCGCTAGACCCCATCCGGTAATCTCGGCCCGTCAGTGGCGCCGAAGCTGGTTCCCATTGCCCCACGTGACATGTCGTCATGTTTCCGGCCTGCTTCCGGCGCGTCTCCCAAGCTTGAGGTCCGTCCGAAGGCGCCTCTTTATAAAGTCCTGCCACGATCGTCGAGGTCTGGCCGCCATGGCCTCAGCACTTGCATGTTGTTTTCCGCCACCCCTCCAATCCTCCGTGGTGCCCATCTCAACATGGGGGCTGCACAGGCATTACGTTTACGATGGACCGTTCCTCCTACCGTCTTGATTGCCTTGGGCGGTGGCATACTTTACAGCACTGGCGGACGAACTCAGTCAAATAAGCAATTATTGCTGCAGGCCGAGCCGAAAGCTCTCTTTTCCACGAGCTCAACCCGGGTTCTCGACAATCGGTCGGATAAATCATCCGAAAGTTCAGATTGGAGCACTTCAGGGCACACGCAACATGGCGACACAGGCTCCATCTGGACGAATGTTCTGCACAAGTTCGAGGGGGTAAAACAGTCTGTCGGCTCCCCCGATTGGATTGAGCTTGATAGCATCAAAAATTACATTATCCCCGATTGGACCCGATTGCTCCCGTCGTCGGTGCAAAAGCTCCAGCGCGAACTCTCCATGGCCCCTGGCTCCTTGGCGGACGACATCTGGCACGAAGCTCATGATCCTGATCTCAATCCAGAAATCTTACGCAAGGCCAAGGTTCGTGTTGGGGATACCCTTTGTGTTGAAGAATTGGCGTACAGGCAGAAGCGACAAAGGTATGCAATCAAGGCGCTAGCTTCCTACCTTGACATTCCTGAGGATGACATACATCCGGACGATGTACCTATCATTGCCATGTGCGGCTCGGGAGGCGGGCTTCGTGCGCTGGTGGCTGGAACTGGCTCGTATCTGGCCGCCCAGGAAGCTGGCCTATGGGATTGTGTGACCTATACTGCCGGGGTCAGTGGAAGTTGCTGGCTGCAGACACTATACCACTCGTCGATCACAGGACGCAATTTCCACAAGCTGGTTGACCACTTGAAGAACAGACTGGGAATCCACCTAGCCTTTCCTCCGGCCGCACTCAAGCTTCTCACCAATGCTCCCACAAACAAGTACCTTCTCAGCGGGTTGGTCGAAAAGTTGAAGGGCGATCCTGGTGCCGATTTCGGCTTGGTGGATATATATGGCATGCTACTGGCTGCACGGCTGCTGGTGCCCAAGGGAGAGCTGGGGGTCTCAGACAGGGACCTGAAATTATCGAACCAGAGGTACAATCTCGCCAGCGGGGCTCATCCACTTCCCATCTACACGGCTGTACGCCATGAGATCCCGGTGCTTGAGAATCTAGAGAACGTCAAGAACACAGGGAAGCCCGAAAACCTGATCAAAGAGTCAAAGAATGAAGCGTGGTTTCAATGGTTCGAATTTACGCCGTATGAGTTTTTCTGTGAGGAGCTCAGCGCGGGTATACCGACATGGGCTCTGGGAAGACACTTCAATGGTGGGGTGAATGTCAAGCCCGAGGAGATCTCCCCCATTCCTGAGCTACGTGTCTCCGCCTTGATGGGCATCTGGGGTAGTGCTTTCTGTGCTACCCTGTCTCATTACTACAAGGAAATCCGCCCTGTCATCAAAGGTATCACCGGCCTCGGAGGTATAGACTCTCTCATCCAGGGCAAGACCAAGGATCTCGTCCGAGTCCACCCGATTGACCCTGCAACCATACCGAACTTCGTGCTCGGTATGAAAGATCAGCTGCCACCGTCCTGCCCGGAGTCGATCTTTCAAAGTCGACATCTCCGCCTCATGGACGCAGGGATGAGCAACAATCTCCCCATCTACCCGCTACTCAGACCCGGCAGAGACGTCGATGTCATTGTCGCCTTCGACGCATCGGCGGATATTAAGCGGGAAAACTGGCTCTCCGTGGTGGACGGCTACGCCCGCCAACGAGGTGTCAAAGGCTGGCCGATCGGAGCCGGCTGGCCCAGGGAAGACGAGCTCATCAAGGACACCGAAGAAACGCTCCGTCAGCCCCAGAACATCACTCAGCAAGAGCTCGCCAACAAGATGGCCGAAGCCCAGGACAAGAGCAAGTCCGATTCTCACGGCGGGACAACCAGCTACCTCTCCCCGAACAGATCCGCCAAGGACAAGCATCACGGTACAGACCTGGACTACTGCAACGTCTGGGTCGGCACCACCCAGGAGATGGTCTCCGGCAAGGAGCCGCCGCCATCCAAACGTCTCTTCCACCCCCACGGCGTCAACCACTCCGAATCCGACTTCCACCTCATGCGACCCGACGCCGGCATCGCCGTCGTCTACTTCCCCTTACTCCCCAACCCGTCCGCGCCCGAACTCCCCTCCAGCTCCTCCCTCTCCAAATCCCGTACTCCGGCCCGCAAATCCGAAAACAAATCCTCCGCCGCCGTCTCCGACCCCGCAAAGCCCCTCACCCCGCATCCCGCATCCATCGATCCCGACGTCGACGATTTCCTCTCCACCTGGAACTTCGTTTACACGCCCGAACAGATCGACTCCGTGGTCGGGCTCGCCAAGGCCAATTTCGCCCAGGGCGAAGACCAAGTGAAACGCGTGGTACGGGCCGTATACGAGCGCAAGAAATCGGATCGATTGCAGCGCGAGGAACGAGATACCCGGAAACGCATGGAGGGGTTCGTTCCGCTGTGATGCGGTGCAATCACTCATTGGCATATTCCCTGGAGTCGTCATCGGAGTTTACACTAAGGAGATAGGAGTTAGTATACAGTAGCAAGCGTAATGTAGATGATTTTTCAAGAATTTAGTTCTGAATGTTATGATATACTCATATGCTCAAATTCTCTCTCTCTCTCTTTCTCCTTTTCTTTTCTTTTCTTCTTCCTCAGAAATATGATTCCAGTATCTTTCCGTCTTTCCAATGTCTTTTTTCATATATCCTCTGCAAATCTTCTTCTATAATACATCATATCATCCCTTATCATCATGTTTTCTCATTTATGTTGATTAATTGGAAGAAGGGCGATTTGCCTGAATGTATTCATGTATCAATATATGTATGATATTATGTACCACACAAACCAAGTCCTATTCGTATACACAGACAAGATAAGAAAAAATCAGGACGATTTAAAATTACAGGTGACAACGATATCACAGTGTTCACGTTCACGCTCCTTCCAACTAGTATACTACTAGTCGGTTCTCAAAGTCTCAAAAGAATGTTAGTTAATGTATGTCCATCTTCTGTATTGTATGATAGCCAGTACCCCGCGGTTCATTTATCTTCATCGACAGATGACCACACTTTCTTCGTCTTGGATTTGGAGTTACTCCCGGACTCATCTTCGCTGCTCCCAGCCAGACTGACGTCTTTGCTTTCGTCGGTTTGTTTGCGGAGGCCGAGCTGTTTGTTAAGTCCTTCCATGGCGCTGGCGGCTGCGGTGCTGAGTTCGGAGAGGATGGGGTGGTGGGTGCTGTTGTGTTTGCTGCTGTGGCTGTGGGGGTGTTCGGTGGAGTTCTTGGGTTCTGGGTCAGAGTCGGCGTTGACTTCTTGGGCGGGAAGGTTCTCTTGATCGCTGGGGGAATCAGAACCGTGGATATGCCAGTCCGGGGGCTGGGTTTCTGGGATGGGTTCGCCGGGTTGAGGCTCGGAGATGGGTTTCCCTGTATCGGGGTGGGAGGTTCCCGGTTGGTTTGCATAGCGCCAGACGACTTTCACTCGGTCTAAGGCTTTGACGCCCTTTCGGGTCGTGCCTTTGATCCCGTCGAGAGCGTCCCACTCGGCTTCGAAGACGCCCGAGTCGTGCTGGTCGCCGCCTTCGAAGTAGGTGTTGAACCAGACATGAGCGATGGAAGTTACCATGGCCCAGCCGGTGTAGGCGGCTTTGCTGCGTCGTTCGAAGTCGATGTTGATATCGGAGGTGGGCACGCTGATGGGCTGGTTGGGGCGGAAGATCACGGCTGAAACGTGTTTCGGGGGAGAGTCTGCTGTTACGGGGGAGTCGATGGCTGAAAGAGGGCTGTCAGTCTCGGATGGGAGTGCTGCCGCGGATGGGGGTGGTTCTTTGTGGCTGTCATTACCATTGGCATGCTCGTCTGCGGCTTCTGGGGACATCGTCTTCGACTTCCCTTCATCGATCACCGTCCGTTCACTCCGATGGAAAAGGTGATACTTCTTGATCCTCTTTCCTTGGTCGACAAATCCCTCCACCGCAACCTTGACCCCATCTCTCAATCCCCACACATGCACCTCAAGGATCTCCACCGGCCGCTCAATATACTTCTTCCCCATCTGATTCGTCCAGCGGTCAACATATCCCACCCACCGCACCTGACTAGGAATGCTCACGCCGGCCCCAAAACCAACTCTCATCCGCCGCTCAGTGAATCTCTGGAGCGCATCGTCCGCCTTCCAGCCCTCCTGGCTGATGAGGTAGCTGCAGGCCACGGTTCCACTGCGGCCCTTCCCCGCCTTGCAATGAACGACGGCGACCCTGGCCTTCTTCTTCTCCTTGGACTCCGGCTCATCGAGCCGATGGATCCAGTTGCGCATACTCCCCGTCATGGCGGGGATAAGCGCAAACGGGGGCGGGTGATGGTCCGGCCACGGGTAGTGATGGATACGGTTGTAGACCTCCGAGTCAGGATACCCGGTGCCTTCGGCTCGGAACTCCCAGATACACCAGTCGGAGCCATGTTTGTAGTCGAGGAATTTGACGAGCTCGTCGAGCGGGTTTCGGTAGGCGCGTTGCGGGTAGTTGGAGGAGGGACCGGAGGTGGCGATGACTATGCAGTTCGGGAACAAGAATGCGTTAGTCTAGAGAATCTACAACCAGAAGATAGAAGAGCTTACTATTATCCGTCACATAACAAAGATCCAGACCAGCTTCCGGATGTTGTAATCTAGGCCCGGCAACAATCTGCCGGAGGATCGACGCCTAAACCAACCCGTTAGTCTCGACGAATAAAAACACGACGGTGTTTCAAATTTCCAAGATGACGCTTACCATAGGATCACGCAAAGTGGGGATTAGTGCGAGGACTGGAATGCACTCACTCTTCAGCAAGTGGCTCGCGCGGTATATGTAAGGGAGGGCGATGCGGTAGCGGGGAAGTGGGCAATGACGCACGGGTCAACCGGGCGGTGTTCTGGGCGGGAGTGTCGTCCAGATGATGTGGACGGGAGTGCTGAAGCTTGTAAATTCCATTCAGTCGTCAGAGGATCAGTAGAGGGATGATCAGGAACTGCTTGACGGTGGAGGACGAGGGGGGCAGTGCAGGGGGACGCGGAGGGACGAACAATCCCGGGCGGGTGGCAGATGATGTCACGGCCGGTGATGCATTCATTCCTACGGGAGGTTTTACACAACCAGGCTTGCAGACAATCAATATTCAATTCATAGAAGTGGTATTTAACGGTTCATCAGATAACCTCCCCCTGTAACCAGACATTAGGATCCCCCCAAAACGCAACCCATTAACTAGAACAATCACACGCACAATCACAAAGTCATAGAGAGTATAACCAGCCCGATATAAACGGAATCGATCCATCCAATATGATACAAAACGAAGCAAGCATTCTTTTTCTCATCCAGCTCAATTCTAGCTTGAGTGATAATCCGCAGTTCGCAGTCATGACCTCAAGTCATCAAACACTGCCTCTGTTCCTTCATGCGGAACCCCTTCGAGAGGCTTAGGCAACGCCATACTCCTCCGTCACGGGGATGGTGAACAGTCGCGTCGGCGAGGTCACATTCGTCTCGCCAAAGTCATAGAACTCCATGTCGCCCGGCTCGGTCCAGGCATGTTCGACCCGGATGTTCCATTGCGGGTAGGTGGCGGGCTGCACCCGCGACCGGACCTGCGAGTCGGCGCACGCGGTGAGTTCAGTCGATGTGTCGGTGCCGGAGCAGGTGGTATTGAAGCCGGGGGTGTTGGCGGTGGCAATGCCGAAGATGTTGAAGTTGTAGGTGCAGCCACCGGGGGAGCAGCCGGTGGTGAAGTTGGAGACGTGCCAGGTTAGGGCTGGGCTCTGGGACCGGCGAATGGGACTGGCAGCGGTGAGGCCGAGAGTGGACAGGGCGAGAGGAAGATAAGCGAGGAGTTGCATTGTGAAGATTGGGTGGATGGATGGTTCTTTTGTAGTGGTAGTATGGTATGGAGGCGATGTATGTATATCCAAGACAGTGGCGGATGAGTCGATCTATACCGGAGAATAGATCACACAGAGATCAACGAAATTAAGTATTACCAATAGGTGAATATGAACGATATGACAATAAGATAAAAAGAGCCAAGCCTCGATCAGAAGTATTGAGGAAGAATGAAAAGCACCAGAGGCAAACAGCAGCGAGGCGAATAGTTATAACCGGATCTGCTTTGGAGCCAGTCGGTGGCGAGGGAGGCGGGAACAAGCAACTCGCTACCCCCGGCCAGGAGTCGTTGGAGACTTGGAGTGGAGGGACGCTTAGTGCTTGTTAGCTTCCTGCAGAGGATTCTAATTTCGACCCCAACAGTGGAGTAGAGCAGCGGGTGAAACGAACCAGACGGACGACTCATTGGCCCAACGGCGGTTGATCGCGCAGATTCCGTGCGATGATCCTTTGTGCTACGCCTGCAGTCGGGGTGTCTATCCCTGGGCTAGGGCAGGGGAGACTTTGTCCTAGTGACGGCGTAGGTTTCCTGGATGGTTACACGCTGTCTGCACGTTTGTCTGCGCAGTATAGAGCGAGAGATACGGGATGATAGATCATATTGTTTGGCAAGCAGGCGTTCCTCGAGGGCTTGCATCGTTCATCCGGCGGTTGGCTGTCCAGGGTCCATGCGGTCGATCCCAATCTACTCGCGGGTATTTATAGAAGTCACCACAACAAACCGTCCGTCAGTTCAGGAGAGATTAAACATTAATTCCCGATGGTGGGACAAGCCACCCCCGGCTTCAAACCGCTGGTCTGGGCTGAAATTCCGGGCAGGTCCCAACGGCGGTTTGATGGTTCCAGCATGTTGCGCCCGCGGTCTCAGATGGGCCCCTGGTGCGCAATGGGTCCGCTGCTGCAGTTTCTTCCCGAACTGCCCTCCGAACGTCCCGGAGAGATGCTCGGTTCATGCATTAGGTTGTTGACTTGTGTGCGGTGGGTGGGAGATTAGGAATGCAACTAGCAATTTAAGACGGGCAAGTATTCTTCCCTGACAGCTCGCCTGTCAGCTGGCGTAATTAAATCGCTTGTTGGCCCCCGGGGCCAAGAATGTCCACTATACATCGAACGGACAACAATAGTATACACGAAGCCCCGATTCCCCGTTCAACCGCTCTTCTCGCCCAGCTGATCCTCGGGGACAAGGCCCCCCGGCTCATACTCCAGCCATCCATCCTCCTCTTGCCCCTTTGCAATGGCCTCCCTTCTTCGCTTTCTCTTGCGTCTCTCCTTGGCGGCGGCCCGTCGCTGCTTGTGCGACACCAGATGTTGCACCTCTGCACGGGACTGTCCCGAGCGATGAAACGAGTCCCCGTCCGGCTCAGCCGTATCGAGCGGCTCGTGAGTGTTACTGATCTCGTCAACCAGACACCCGACCGACCCATCTTGGATCTGCGGATGTTGCTTCAGCATGGACGCAAAAGGGTCCGTCGACTGGGAACAGATCTCCCGGATTTCTGCGCGTGCCTCCTCGCTGGGGCGGGCCGCTTGTCCTAGAAGATCTTGGAAGTACATGTATCCCGACTCGAAGTTGCCTGCTTCCAGACACATGATGATGAGATGCTCAAAGGTCCCCTGATCCGGGATCACGCCCAGGGCCGCCATCTCCTTCACCAGGAACATTCCCGCCTCGGTATTGTGAGCTAGTCGACACATCCCAATGAGCACATTGTAGACAGAGACGTCCGCCTTGTCCGGACATAGTGCGTATAATTCCTTGTAGAAGGCAATCCCATCGTCTACCACAGACGGGTTATCAAGGGCTTCGTATTCGCACATCTCCAACACCACTTTGGCACATTCAAGCGGTACTCTGAGCTTCGAGGCCTTCAGCCTTTTAAGCATGACCCATGCGTCCCGGGGTGGCGTCTGCTTCTGGATCATGTGAGTAAGGAGGACACGCGTGGAGCGGTCTTCCAGCGCCATCCCCGCCATGTGCATCTTACAGAGCACTTCAAATCCCGAATACGGGGACCCGGACACGGCATGCGCTTCCACCATCCTTTCGTAGTCAACTAATTGAGGCGGTATGTCGACTTCGGCGAGGAAGCTAAACACCGATGCAGCGAGTTCGGTGTCTCCAGCGCGGGCCGCCACGGCGAGGACACTGCTGCACAGCGGATATTCGGGGCTTAGGTATCTCAGTTCCACCTTCTGTCTCCAGATGTACCGTGTAGTTTCGTAATGGAAAGCGGCGCTGGCTACATCCAGCACATACAACCACAGCGTCGAGGTCATTTCCAGACCTTGGTTTGTCCGCGTGCGCATCAGCCGGACCACCTCATCGAACTCTCCGAAATCGCACAGATAATAGATCAGTAAGCTGTGCAGCCAACTTTCCACCATCGTGCCTTTCCTCTCCATCTGTTCAATATGATCCAGGGCCAGCTCGAACTGGTGTTCCCTGATCAGGCCAGCAACCACATAATGCCACCCAACCGGGCTTAACGGCAACCATCGGTCCCGAAGCGTGCGCACAATCTCTTGACGTAGCAGGTAATCCGGATGAACCGCAAGGACCTGGGGTACAGCGAATGCGTCAGCAAGCGGTCCATCGCGATCTTAGATAATTCTCCAACCCCTTCGTACCTGTAAAGCCGCATGAAGTGTGCCTGAATCAGTCGGGATTCCATTCTCTTCCATCTCCTTGAGTAACGCGCGAACGGCATGTGGCGATCCACGTTCGGGGTCCGAATTGGCGAAAATCAACCCCCGGTAGTGTCGCATCTCAGGGCGGATATGCCGGTCTAGGATCAGGACACGCAAGATCTGGGTCGCGCTCAGAACCCTCGGATGTCGGGGCACTCTTTCTTGAAGTCGGTTCTCGAGGCGCTGCGAAGGTATATGTTTAAAGTACTTGGGTACACCGGGAGGAGGTTTGGTCAATCGTTCCATTGGGGTCAAGAGGGCCCCCGGCCGAACGCCCGTATTTTGCGCATCTGCATCCTGAGAATCGGAGGATTGCTGGTCGGGTATTGATCCGGGAACATCTTTTTGCTCGGCATTATCTTCAACGACTAAGATATTGGCGTCGGTCGGTTTGGGGGAGAGGTTGCTGAGACATCTTCGCGGAGGACTCGGCGTCGAGCTTCCTAGCACAGATAAGCGATTATATTTAGGGATGTGTCTCCCTGCTGTTGAAGAGGAAGTAGCTCTATTGAGAGTCGCGGCGCTAAACGAGGGACAAAGACAGTACCAAAGGCCATCGAGAACAAGGGTCGTTCGCGGCATCTCGAGCCTTTGCAGCGGCGGGAGATTCTCGACATGGCAGGACCCAAAAGAGCTCTATATATGCACGTGACCGTGACGCTATTTCCCGCATGCGCAGGTACCAGGATGAACAATTCAACACCCAGCCTAGCAGCTTCTCCTCCATAGACTTTACAACCGGTAGTACATTACAATAGTAAGGAGAAAGAATAGCCTGGTGGCACGTTTCCCATTGACAAATACAACCAGATACGCCAAGGCCATGCTCGGCTAACCCGCCCAACGGACTTTCCTAGCGAACTAAGTACCTACTAAACCGCCCCGGGGTATCTCTCATAATCTCTTTCATTGTCTCGTAGATAACTTCAGGCGTCTCTGCCACCACGGCCGCGACCGCGTCCCCGGCCCCGGCCACCACCCCGACCTCGGTCACCCCGACCACCCTCACGCGGACCGCGGTTGCGATTATTCGACTGGTTCTGCTGTTGCTCCTTCACCATTTCTATGATCTCTTCGGGGATTCGTAGGTATTTGATCTGGAATGATTAGACGGGGCCCACGTGATCCACGACGACGCAGGCACAACTCACATTGTTTCCTCTGACGTAGACTTCGGGTAGGCGAAAGAAGCGGTCACCTTCGGGGCTGGTCTGAACAACTTCCTTGAGTATCAGGTTCATCCAGTTGTCGCAATTGGCGAGGTGTCCGTTGAGGGTTTCTCCGTTCTTGAGTTCCACGAGCATGGGGTGGCCTTGCGCGGCCGTGAGGAGGCCCAGAGGTAACTGTTCGTTTACGAGTTAGCAATCGCAGCAAATAGAGCAGATTGAGTGAGGTGACGGGGCGCAATACCATCTTGCGATATATCGATCAATCTGGACTGTTCAAGGTTGTGGGCGGGCAGAAACCCAAGGATGTAATCAACTGATGAGAGCTGAGAAGCAGGGGATTTGATCCTTTGATCAGGCCGCTAAATCCTCCAAAGTGAGAAGAGGTAGCTTAGATACAAATAGAAACCAGTTTGACGACGTCAGAGGGAATAGATCTCAAGCAGCTCCCCTCGAGCTTCCAGCGGCGGTGGTCGCAACATGGAGAGACGCGGAAAATGGTAGGCCCGCGATCCGGGCAGTGCTGGGCTGGGCTTATCTGACTGACACCAATCGAGGTAACGTGCCCTACTCGACCAGGATGACTGACTCCTACTTAGTCCCCGTACGTCTCCGGCTCTAGAGAGGCCCGAGGGCCACGATGTTCTTTCAACTCTATTCTCAGACAAGTTGCCCACAAATATAACCTCTCTTCTAGTCTGAACCATCCATATTGTATACCCATTCTATCTCCCACCCATCACCACCAAGCCCAGCGGCACCCCATCTCCCCTATCAGATGTCTTCCCAACCACGCCCATGTAGCTCCTCCTCTCACACCACCACCACATCCTGGCTAGCAAAGCTAGCACTAATATGTCTCACCACCACCAACCTCCTGGCAGCCGGTGCACCCATAAACCATAATGGCAAGATGCGGCGACCTGCCATCTCAACAGCTGCCAGTCAGTCCTACCCATTAATAATAAATCCTTCTCAAGTTCTCATTCTAGAATTCTAAACAAATCCCCTAGAAGAGAAGGAGCATGCATCCGCGATCTCACACTCAACCTTCGAATTCCGCTGGCTCGCCGCTCTGATCCAGAAACTCTCCGCACTCACAATGCGAGATTACTTCATCAATCTCGCGGTGCTCGCTTGCATTATTGTCACCTTTGCGCTAGCGTACAAGATCTGTAGCAAGACTATGCGCTGTCAGCGATGTCGAGTGGATAGAGCAGCGCAGCGCGAGGAAAGAAAAGCCCGGAGAGCTTATAAGGCCGCAGCCCGACGACATAAATGGAGACAGTGGTGGGAGGGCAAGACCTACCCGAAATTCGAACCCGTGCCGATGGCTCCCCTCGCGCAGCAGGATTTGCCTGACAGAGATCTGGAACTGGGTCGGCAGTCTGATGTGGAGTCGTGTGTTATTTCTGAGCCTGTGAATTTGCAGACGGAGATTCAGGATTTCAGGCAGGCGCTGGAGTATGTCGGGGACTTGGTCCGGGGGAGTGCTGCACATCCCCATGAAAGTAAAATGGATGAGGAGGCAGGCCTTTACAAGGTGGACAGGGCGGGGTCAGATACGGCAGCTTCGTCGACGGTGGGGTTGGCAACAGTGATGTCTACGGGGTCGAGCAGCTTGAAGAGTTTGGATTGTAAGTCGTCTGTGACGCTGGATACGCTGGATAGTATGGGGTCGCCGCCCCCCAGTTATCATTCATGACGGACGTATGTAATACTAATAATGGTCATGGGAGGAAAGTGTATAGCTATGGCGAATGGCGAATGGCGAATGGTTGGTTAGGTGGTTCATAATGTTTATTATTACATGGCGATTTTGTTGGGTAGTCGGGATAAAGAAACATGGAACGCCGTTGCTTCACACCTTTGCCCGCTTAGCTGCCGAGTCGTCGTTCTCTTCTTCTTCTTCATCCTCCTCATCTTCTACCGTAAGCTTCCGCTTAGCCCGCTGGTCTCTGCCGCTGCTTGCTTCGCCCAGAACAGCGGTCGACTGTAACGACTCTTCTTCCTTGGCTATTAAGGCCTCCTCGCGGGCGTTGAAGGCTTTGAGAAGAGCATCATAACCCTCCTCAACGTTCGTGACAGTCTCCTCCAGCTTCTGAATACGCTCGCTCAGGTCCAATTGGATGAGCAAGTCTCGATGGCGCTTGTAGAGACGCTGCTTGGTGAGCATGCGCCACCAGTAGTATCGGCGATCATTGGCATCCTCTGCGTTATGCTTCTTGATCAGGAGTCGAGACATAATTGTTCCCCCCGAGAGGCGATTTTTGAGAGGTATTTGACCGAGAAGAAACATCTCCATGATATGGGAGAATTGGGTGGAGGCAATCTTGAATGACGAGCGGATATCGTGTAGTAGCTTTGTGGGAATGAGCGCTGATGTAGGGACACGCCGAGGGCGCTGCTTCTTGGAGGGTGGCCCGTAAGGGTTGGGGTTAATGTCCACCTTATGCTTGAGGAACTCCGGGCGCAAAATGTGGTAGTCTGCCGTGTCGCGAAGCGCATCAAAAGCTTCGTTCGGGTCTTCGACAGTCAACTCGGTGATTGTAGGATCGTTGAAGCATGCGGCATGAATGGTGGTGTAGAGATGAGTGCCATGTCCCGAGCCTTGATGAGGAGGAAGGATCAAAAATTGAGCGATTCGCAGACGGGCCGGCAGCTGAGCAGGTCTGATTTCGGGTGCCGGGAATGGGTCATTGATCACGGCGGGCTTCTGAGCGGAATCCCTTTGATAGAACCACCAGCGATAGGTTGTCGCATACCCGACAATGGAATACTGTGAGGCCATTGGCGCTGATGGTTTTACCTTTTCGTAGCTTCAATCCCATCAGTCATAGTAACAAGCGAAACAACCGGATGACATACACAAAGTAGACTGTCCATCTTTCCAGCGTCCATTCTGGATCATCTGTGATTAAAGGCGTGCCGGCTTCGATGAACAGTGACACGAAAACTTGCGCGCGGTCCAATACTCGTCGAACAGCGGGATCAGCAAGGGATCCGGCCCAGATCTCGTATGTCCTTTCGCCGGTGATATAACTGTGAACAAGCTTGCCAGGTGGCACAAAGTCCTTTGCATCTTTATCTTCCTGGACTGCCTTTTCATAGTCGGGAAGTACAACGAAGGCCTCTGTCATTTTTCGCTCAGTTAGACAAATCGCAACTAGGAGTAATTTGACTCCAGTGGGGTTCAGAATAGCTGCCAACCTTCAGGGACCCATGGCTTCAACGTCTTCAACAAATCAACGGCGGCAGTATCTCCAACAGGCTTGAACTTCTCATCGTAAGAGATATGGATATGCGGGCGGAGGTCGTGGGCTGCAAACCGCAAGCGGATGATCAACCCCTTGTAACCGAATATCTGCTCGTCGTCGCCAAAGATGGGATAGGTAAATTGAGGATGAAAGCTGTGGATGGTCTTGACTTTCTCTTCGCTGGGTTGGACGATCGTCAGATGGACGGCATCGTTGGCGTCGCAGGTCCCTAGGTGAAGTCGTTTCTGTCAGTTGACCTGCAACCTGGAGTACAAGGGTAAGGGGGGAAGCAAGAGTGGATAATTACAGTCGCCTTCGTTCATTGTGCCAGCTGCAGAATCAAGAACCAGCTAGTGGAAGAAAAGCTATAGCTAAAGATGGATGAGTGAGGAGCGCAGTAACTTCCATTGATCGCCCGAGAGGACGGCGCGTGTTGCTCTCGGAGCCTCGCGTTGCGCGGAGCTTGCTAGCTATAACCGCTTCGGGCTTAGCGCCTGTCTCCGGCAATCAGAGTAAAAGAAGGAGCCAAGTACAGATGAAAGGACACATCGGTTCCTAGCTGATGTGTTCTCTGACACAATCTCCATTATCCAGCAGCCTTGGTCTATTTGCGGTTATGACGTTGTCTGGGAAGCTTCAATCAACTTCAAGCCGACTCTACTGACATTTTGTGGTCTGTTGCAACGGAGACAGGCTAGCTGCAGACACGCATCCCCAGATGACGTAGACGCAGGGACCGACAAATTTACATTCACATAACTGAAGTTAGGTATCTTACTGGGGCGGGAACGGTGGTACGCTGAAAATATGACCATCGATGGCTATGACTGGTTAATACAGGTTGCTTGAAAAGAAGCCTCAGCTGCAGGTTATCGACCCAGAAACTACATAGTATTCAACGAATAGTGTTTTCAAACATGGCGGGGCAAGCAAGTAATTGCCTGACACCCCGCAATTTTCCATTCATACTGCTCCAATAGTCCCGGAGTTGTCGGGCAATAAATGCACCCTCTATCCAGCTTTATCTGAAGAGAATTCGCAGTTTAAGCGACTCTCTAGGTCCTCGTCAATCATCATGTCAACGTCCAGCCCACAGCGGATAGCCTTGATCGGTCTGGGAACCATTGGCATATCCATGGCTGCGCTGCATCTCTCTCGGGACGGCAATATAGTTGACGTGTTTGACACCAGACCTGATTTTGAGGACTACATCTCCAAGATGCTACCGATCTATATAAGAGATAGCCAGAAGCAGAATTCTGACGCCGGAGCATCAACGTCGCTGGTTGCATCGCTGGTTTCCTCTGGTCGTCTACGGATTCACTCGTCTTTAGAAAGCGCATGTGCATCGGCTACCATTGTCCAAGAACAGGGACCAGAGAATGTTGATTGGAAGCAGTCCATCTGGGCCCAGATAGAAGCGGTTGCCCCGCTCTCTGCACATTTCTGGACCAGCACATCTGGGATTGCCGCTTCCATTCAACAACGCCAGATGCATGACAAGACACGTTTGCTAGTTGTCCATCCGTTCAACCCACCCAATATCATGCCTCTCTTGGAGATTGTACCCGCTCCAGAAACCTCTCCAGAGCGGGTCGAGTTTGCTCGCGAATACTTTTCTGTTCCTGGTTCGAGGCATAGGCCAGTGGTCATTCGAAAGGAGATCCCTGGATTTGTGGGCAACCGACTGGCGTTTGCGCTGCTACGAGAAGCTTGCTATCTGGTACAAGAAGACGTGGTGGATGCGAAGGACCTGGACACAATTCTGATGGCTAGTCTGGGACCAAGGTGGGCTGGGAATGGTGTTTTCGAGAGCTACCAGCAGGGAGGTGGTGAGGGTGGCATCCGAGCTTTCTTGGAAAAACTCGGTGAGACCATGCAAACCGTTTGGGACGGACAAGGGAGGGTAAATGTGCTGGGCGATGAAGGAATCGAGTGGAAGGAGAAGGTGATTGCCCAAGTAGATGAGGCCTATGGAACTCTGTCCGCGGAGCAGATCCAAGAGAAGGAGGCACGGTTAAAGGACTTTGTACGGATCCAGACAAAGAAGTATACGCCCGACGGTCTGGAATAAATGATAGACATGGCGGTGGTCTTTGTGGAAGTGGGGTATCTTGAGGCCATAGACCTTGTCATTCTGGAAAATCAGCGCATCTGGAAATCATCATGGATTAGGGTCGCTAACACCGTGGGTGGAGAGAACACCAGGATTGTTCTCTGTAGAGTATAAGAAGCCATCATAAGACCATCCCTGGGGCGGGAGTGGGCCCTCCCGTGCCTCGGGCTGGGGCGTGCCTTTCCAACTGCGGCAAATCGCAATCAACCCGCCAGAATCAGGGCCGTCCACCTCCGCCACGTTTTCAGTTCTCTGCCTCCGACCGCCTTGGAAGACCTCTTTCCCGCCCACTCTCGGTTTTATCCCCTGTCCCTTCTGGTTCTCCTGAGGAATCCCGCCGTTCTTTTCGCCCGAATCCTACCCAGACGGCATTGCCATCGCAGCGGGATCAGGGGCGCGTTGAGACTATTCGTTTTGGAATTGACATCATGAGTGAAACCCTCTAGAGCACGGACGAAGCTCTGGGACGAAAGTCGACCATGGAGGGACTCTTCACTTTGCTCGCATTGAGCATTGTGATGGCAATTACGTGAGTCGAGTAACCCCCTGGAATGAATCTGCTGCTTGGTGCGAATCGTCAAAGCTAACCGCTTTCCCCACCGGGCCACATAGATCATTTGTCGTGGGATCACTACCGCTTGCCTTTACACTTTCCCCTTCTCAACTGAGATTGATATCCTCCCTTGGTATGGGAGTTCTGGTTGGAACATCCTTGATTGTGATTATTCCGGAGGGAGTTGAGACTCTATACAGCGCAAGCTCACCTAGTACCCGGAAAGAACTCAGTAGCCGGTCGACGACAGCGGTCAATTGGCAACACCAAGCAGCACCCGTCACCTATTTCCCCAGTTTGAGGGAGGCATCAGACTACCCAGACACCGATCAGGCGTCTCCTTCGATTTTATCCACCCTACCATCTGTGCCTGTCACGGTACCTACAGTGCAAAATGAACCGCCGAGACTACAGGGACGCAAAGAGGAGACATCGAATGATCAGGCGGACGAGAGTCACGACGAGGACAGCTCGCCTCATGCTTGGATAGGAATCGCACTCATCAGTGGTTTTATTCTGATGTACCTCATCGACAAACTGCCCGTTTTCGCATCCCCTGCTAAGCAGGAACGGACTCCTTATCACATCTCGTTGGACAACTTGGGTTCCGGACTGCGGCGCAACTCGTCACCATCACGGGAAGGAGGTTTACTGGACGCCGGCAGCATCCCTAGAAGGAGCCACAGCTTTGCAACTACCACTGGACTTGTCATCCATGCTGCCGCCGACGGAATTGCCTTGGGTGCATCCAGCTCCGACACTGGGCTAAGCTTCATCATCTTCTTGGCCATCATGGTTCACAAGGCCCCGGCATCCTTTGGGCTCACCTCGGTGTTACTGAAACAAGGCCTTTCGAGCCGCACGGCTAGAGCGCACTTGTTGATTTTCAGTCTGGCGGCCCCTGTCGGCGCTCTCATGACATTTTTATTTGTGCAGATCATGGGCTCGGGATCCGGCAGTGATGATATCGGGAACCGGTGGCGGACCGGAGTGCTCCTCTTATTTTCCGCCGGCACATTCTTGTAAGCTCTCATCCGCCCCATTCCTCGGTATGAGCAAGGTCTGACGTTTATAGGTACGTTGCCATGCACACGATGCAGGAGAACAGTCCGAATTCATCTGCACGTGAGACACAAGCCAACGGATATGGCGACCATAGGGAGGCACCGTCGGCATCTGATAAATCTATGAGGGATTTGATTGCCTCTGTTGTCGGCATGGTTTTGCCGCTGTTCCTACAGATCGGCCATGCGCACTAACTCTTGCTATATTTATATTTGGCTTTGGACAACGTCTTTTATCCTATCCTAACCTGAATTATTTCTTTCCTCTAGCACCGAAAACCGTTCTGAAAACGAACGTTTCTGTTTGGACACATCGCGAAGATTGTCTTGTGTAATAGATTTTGGCAGTTACTACTGGGCGGATTCCCTTCCTCTGGGTGGAGGGATAGGGATATGTTGTGATCTGTGTTATATTCCCAGGGAGTTATGCCTTTCTGTTTTGTTGTCAGTGTCAGCGCCACCAGACGTCATGGCCATGATTGTGAAGCATTTGCACGGTGCGGTTGAACCCTGTATTTTTTTTTCTGTTGAGAAAGTCTCTTGGTCAAAATAGCATGTGCTTCTTATTGTCAATCATCTTGTAATCATATTTACGTAGGATGGCACGGACGCAGGTTATAAAAAGGTGCAGAAAGCCGGAGGCTTGTCTCTGTCCCGACTTTTGGCATCATCCCCCGCAATCTAGTGTCGCGTTGAGTCGATGGTGATGAAACCATTCGGCAAGATTGAATCATCTCCAGAGCCCCTCTTGATCCATGGTTGTATGGCGCATGCCGTTCTTCTACCCGAGAACTCGGGGTAACTATAACTTTGCTCTTGCAGTGGAACCAGGAAAGTTAAACTCAGGCAGGCTACACCACGGCCACGCATCGGGAGACATTGGCTTGCATTGAAACCAGGGCCATCTCCCTGCGAAATTCGGACAGATGCCTTGTTTCCCAGCCGGCGGCAGATAAGCTTCCTCGCCGTGAGGTGCTGGAATGTCGAGTGGTTTTGTTGGCCTCCTGTGACGACAGAGTGGTGCTAACCAACCCTTGCAGGCATCTTGTACCACTCAGCGATAAGCGCTTTCATTCCGTGTGGGGGATAACTTACGACCGCACCGACCGCACCTCCGAAAACCAACGACGACCGACGACGACCGACGACGGTGAGTTGCGGGAGATCTGCAGGAGGACCTCGAGAGGGATCCCACAGGACAGGACTGACCAGGACCATCTTACAAGGTAGAGAGTCCAGATTGAAGAACCCTAGATACGAAGGGGGGCTGTGCGCTGTGCGCAGGGACGCGCTCTCACCACAGGGGGGGATATCCAGACCTACAACGGTCTACGACTGGCCTACTCCTGCTGCTCGTACTTTTCAAGTCACCAGTACGGTAGTCGGATCTCTCGATCTATCGAAGATTCTCCGGATCTATCTATCTGGGTAGGTGTTCTAGCCGGTAAGGTACTTCCGGACGGCCTGACTAACGGCGCCTGGGGTGGATCGGTGAACGAGCCGGTTGCACTAATCAGGAGGCGAAGAGACCGCCATCGACCGTGCTTGGCGGCATTTCGGGGCTGCTGGCTTGCTGGAAGGGCCCCGGGGGGCTGCACCTGACCCGTCACGACATCGCATGATCCAGACTGCCTTCGTTCGGTCCCCCGTTCTCAAGGCGCTTCTGCTTCTGGATGGCCTCGGGAAGTCTGCCATCCTGATTAGTGAATCCTACCATCCTTCTCCGTAGTACTCTGTCTGTACCGAGTACCACCAATCCATCCGGTCCTCTTGTCGCCCTCCTCCACGCTCCTCCTCCTCCTCCTCCTCCACCTTAGGCCTCGCCCCATTCCCGCGACATTATTCACCACCGCTTATTCCATTCTAACTTTCTTCCTCTTACTCCTACTCTCTTTTCCCGCCATTTCGGTATCCAATAAATATTTCCTTCCCTGCCACCCACCACCACAACCCTCCTCCACCCCCCCTCTCCCCTATTCCCTCTCTACCGCCAGCCTCTTTGCTTCTAACCTCCCGGCGGAGATCATCCACTTCCGTCTTATCTCTCGCTCTTCCCCTCCGCCTTCTTTTTGACTTTTTCTTGTATCAACAACCCCGTTCGTTCATTTGTCTTCTGCGTTCTCCGTTTATGAACGAGGCAGGTTCTCGAGGGGTTTGCGTGGGGTCATCTTGTTCACCGTGTGAAAGGCTAATCGGGTCGAATCCGCAATCCCCTGGATGACATAGCCGCCTCGCACCGCGGCAATCTATGAGCACCCACGATCCAGCAGACACCGGGATGAGTCCGCGCAGTGTTCCTGAGCAGCTGGCGACTGCGCCTTCCCGGTCGTCGGCTGCCAGAGACTCAGTCGCCTCGCTTTCCAGTGCTCATGCCAGGTCGCTATCCTCGTCCACCAAGGCCGGCACTCCTATTCCTCCTAGCCTTCTACCATCGGCGCCTGCATCTCCTCCCACGCCGGCTCCCAGTCCCACCCCTCATCAACGACCTCCCACCTGGCAGACAGCGGAGGAGGAAGACGATGCTTTCTTGTTGAATGCTCGCATACATTTTTCCTCGCTTTCCAACGCGAGGAAGCTCAGGTTCTTGGAAGGGATTCTCGGTCTGTGTGATAGTCAGCATCTTAGCTTCGTTTCCAGCTATGTTAGCCCCCGTTTAAGGAAAGACCCGTTCCAGGTGTTCCCGAATGAATTATGTTTGAGGGTAAGTTGGTACTTCTCGTGCGCAGGGGGTCACCGCTCCAACAAGGCTGACATCTGCTTGTCGGGTACCCATAGGTCTTGTCGTTTATCGACGATCCGAAGACATTAGCGAGAGCATCCCAAGTATCGAGACGCTGGCGGGAACTGCTGAACGACGATATCACGTGGAAAAACCTGTGCGAAAAGCATTCGTATGCGTCCCGGAGGATGTCGGAGGATGAACGGGATTTCGTCGACCCTTTCCATGGTCAACCTTTGCATGCTGTGTCCAGCACTCAGTCCTTGAGCGGGCTGCAGAGGAGACCCAATGTGTCTAGTCTTCAGTCTGGGGATGGCCTGGCTGAAGTTTCACGCTCTTTATCTGGAGATTGGCTCTCCATGTCGGGGTATCCGACCCGCAAACGGCGGGTCCGACCGTTGTCTTACAGATCGCATTTTAAACAAAAGTATATGGTGGAATCTGCCTGGAATAAAGGCGGACGCTTCAACCAGAGACACATCACCCCGGACCAGGGGGTGGTCACGAGCCTGCATCTAACTCCTAAGTATATCGTGGTTGCGCTAGACAATGCCAAGATCCATGTGTACGATACCAACGGAGACAACCAGAGAACCCTCCAGGGCCATGTGATGGGCGTATGGGCGATGGTTCCGTGGGATGACATCCTTGTGAGTGGTGGATGCGACCGAGAGGTCAGGGTCTGGAACATGGCCACTGGGTAAGCAAACCATGGCGGCTTTCGGACCAGGAATCACTACTGACGGGCAAATGAAATCAGTGCCGGGATCTACCTCTTACGTGGCCACACGTCAACCGTACGTTGCCTCAAGATGTCCGACAAAAATACGGCAATCTCGGGATCACGGGATACCACGCTGCGGATCTGGGATCTAGCCACCGGCACTTGTAAGAATGTTCTGGTTGGGCATCAAGCTAGCGTCCGCTGCCTAGCCATCCACGGAGATATTGTGGTCTCGGGAAGCTACGATACCACCGCACGCATTTGGAGCATCTCCGAGGGACGGTGCCTACGAACGCTCTCTGGTCATTTCAGCCAAATCTATGCCATCGCATTTGATGGCAAACGCATCGCGACAGGCAGTCTGGATACCAGCGTGCGGATCTGGGATCCGCACTCGGGCCAGTGCCATGCTATCTTGCAAGGCCATACCTCCCTGGTCGGACAGTTGCAAATGCGAGGTGACACCCTCGTCACTGGTGGCTCTGACGGCTCCGTTCGTGTTTGGTCGTTGACCAAGATGGCCCCCATTCACCGGCTGGCGGCCCATGACAACAGTGTGACCAGCTTGCAGTTCGACAGCTCTCGAATTGTCAGTGGTGGCAGTGACGGTCGCGTCAAGGTATGGAGTTTGCAGACCGGACAATTGCTCCGAGAATTGTCCACCCCGGCCGAGGCTGTCTGGAGAGTTGCCTTCGAGGATGAGAAAGCTGTAATCATGGCAAGTAGATCAGGCCGCACCGTGATGGAGGTAAGGAACAAGACCATCGTTTTAGCCCTAGTTCTATCGCAGACTGACGTATATGGTACCCGGCAGGTTTGGAATTTCTCGCCACCGCCCGAAGAAGATGGTGACGATACGGTGATCGTGGAGAGCGCTGCCAGTACACCGGGACTCCATCCTACAACTAATGACAGCCGCCTTCGAGAACGCTTCTCGGATCCCCCTCCAAGTCTGCCACTCAGTACCGACGATGATCACGCCATGCCGGATGCTCCGCTATCTTGACCCAGGGATACGATAATCTGCAATGATGAGCACGTCTCTCTTTCCTAATTTACGAATCCAAGCGTTATCGTCTATATACCTCTTGTTTTAGCGCCTGATTTCATGGCCCGGCTGATCCAAGTCGAGTTCCGCTCCCGCGCGGTCAGCGCTGCCAGGTCATCGAACATCAGCATTCGCATTCTGGGAGTTGGGGCTGAATCTTCCTTTCCAATTCTGTCGGCGTGGAGTTATAAAATGGCAAATTGCGGGCTACGGATGCGTTGTACCTGCAGGAGTCTTAGGGGAACCGGGTTTGACTCATAAAGGGTTTACCTTTTTTTTTTTTTTCTTTTTCTTTCGAGGGTTAGATGATACCCGCCTCGGGGGATGATGTAGTTACCATTTACACAAGATTTGGTCTTTGTACTGTTGGTCCTACAAAGCGAAGACATGGGGGCTGGCTCACCACACCAACACATCCCGGCGTGTCTGGAGCCACATGGGTGGCTTTTGTGCTGGGAATTGTTTCGTGCAAGCACTGGTTGTTAGATATGGCTCGAACGGGCCTCTGAGAATGGGGGTAAAGGCCAGAATAGATCGCATTGTTTTATAATGGGGGTCGTAGAAACGTTCCAGTCCATCCGCCGTAGTCTGAAGGATGGTGAAATCACCTGACTGGGCCTGTAGAAGTCCCGCCCTCGTATTCCCACGATCCATAAGCGACTACTTCGATTCCATGATCGGGCCGGATTGCTCATTTCGCAAAGCATCATCTGGGCCCCCACAACCTTGTCCCCATCTATGTCTTTTTCACTGCACCGTCCATCCCCCAGCTGGGCCTCTTATAAGTAGGAGAACATGGTGTACGGCGGGAAGCCAAGTACGGGGTGTCATTTGTGTCGCAAGCGGAAAATCAAGGTAGGACAGATCTACAAGCTCTATCTAGGTCACCAGTCTCAACAAGGCTTGTCCTTGTGTATTTCGTCTCACTGGATGGGGAATTTCCTTGTGTGGCCCAGTCATCGCTAAGCGTCTCCCAGTGCGATGAGAAGCATCCCGGGTGCCGGAATTGTGCCACATACGGACAACCCTGCCCGGGCTATCGATCCGATGGAATCTTTAGAAATGAAACGAACAAGGTACAGCAACTGGTGAAGAAGACTAGCAGTTCCCGTCCAAGTGGGAAACGGTCCAGCAGCCACGAGCTATCTGCCCGCAGTGGCCATCAACAGTCCCCACTGTCCCTCTATCGTATCAGTGATTCCACATGGGAAGAGAAAGCCATCTGTTATTTCTTCGATCAGTATACCATTTGTGATACGACCGGAGGCGTGGGCCACCTGGGCTTTGTCCCATCTCTGTATGCCGCTTGCCGAGACCAGAATGCAATCAACCCAGCATCCTCCTCCCTGCGACTAGCGGTCGATGCGACCGCCCTCATGGCCCTGAGCAATAGGGTCAAGGTGCCAGGGATTTTGATGCAGGCGAGAAATCGCTTTGGCTTGGCGCTTCAACGGTTGCAAGACGCGTTAGATCAGCCTGTCGAAGCGGTTAAAGACGAGACCTTTGCCACCTTGGTAATCCTCTCTTTGTTCGAGGATATTTCCGGGGATCGGCTGGGGCTCACCAGCTCCCATACCGCGGGCTTCGAGGCTCTGACAAAGCTTCGCGGCGAAAGTCAGCTTGGACATGCACGGGGTCTGGATATGTTCAAGTTCGCATATGTCCATATGGTAAGCTACATGTCCGTTGTTTGACTCCGGAGGAAGGGCTGACCATTACACCAGCAAGTTGAGTTTCTTCTTTTGAGAGGTAAATCCACTCTTGACGCGGATTGGGTTGTTGAATGGCTCAACAGTGCGGATCCGCTACAAGGGCTTATGATACTCGCCTCGAAGACTGCACAACTGCTTGCGGAGCCTTGGTCTGCTTCTGCGTCTCTGGAATCAATTGGGGTCACACAGCTCGCCACCTGGATTGAGTCCTGCCGGGCTTTGGACGCGGAATTGGTTGAATGGAGCCAGGGCTTGCCGGACATCTGGCTGCCTCTCGAGACCCGTTCATACACGGGCGAAGATGTACTCACGTACCGAGAGATGATCATCGCGATCATATGGGCTCATTTCCGCGCCATCCGGATCCTGGTCTACCTCACCATGGTTGATCTGTTCCGGGTACTCTCTTCCATTGTGAACTCGCCGGGAATCCACCGGGAGGCGTCCCAGTATGAGAGAGACGGCTTACGTGTCAGCCTCGATCTGATCTCCGATACCTGTCGAAGTGTGCCGTTCTGCTTTGGCGAAATTGATCTACTTGGGAATCCAATCCCTCCTTCTGCTGAGGGCACGACTCGCGTGCGAGCATTCTGGGTCTACAGCATGCTGTGGCCCTTATGGCATCTTGTGTCGTGCGGGCTAGCCCCTCCCGAGCAGACCCAGATGATTCGGGGAATGATGGCCCGCACGGGGTCTGAACTAGGGATCAAGCTAGCTATTATGCTGGCAAGATATGATGGTCAGGGAGCCATGCCCTCGATACCCGAGATGTACTCATTCGAAGAGTCAGTGGGACTACCGGTCATGTAGACTCACGACAGTGGACCGACGAGATATATATTCCTGTATAATATTCACATCCGATAAATAGATTCTCCTATCCATCCATCCATACATAGTACACAAATAATACCCGATCCATATCACCATCCAGTGAACCAATAACACGCCCCTTCCCTCCCATCCGGCCACCCCGGATATTCTGACGTCATCGATCGCAGTCCTCACCAACTCCATCTGCACACGATCTGCCATCACGACAAACACAACAAAGCAAATAACAAAAAAGCCTCTGTATACTGTAGATCTCATTCGTCTACTATGTACAAAGAACCCCCTCTCGATCCCACCAGGTGCAGCAGCACTGGTGCCGCGTAGCCGTGGATCTGGCTGGATGCGCCGATAAGCCGGGAGACCCTCTGACGCCATGCCATGGCTGGGTCCTGATTGTACCTTGATAGCCCGTGTAACCCATATATAGTGTGGGTGCAGTCTGCCGCTCAGTTATTTCTGCCATTGACTTTCTACTGCTGGATTTTGTTGGGGTTGCATTGGTTACGCTCTTCTAGAATCTCTCCCCTCTGCTCTATCTGCACGGTTTTGTTAAGGTCAATTGCTTCTCATTACTCTGTTCTTTGTATTACTCGACTGAGGATCTACCATGGCGACGCAAAAGCCCAAGTACCCGTTGGGGAGGATCGAGCCGAACTCGGCCAAGTATTTTGCTAGTTGTACGCTGGGAGGGATTGTTGGTAGGTACCTGTCTTTATATCTTATTGTTTTGGAGTAGAGCTAACTATTTTGAATAGCCTGCGGTGAGTATTTCCAATTCCAAAGCTTCTAAACACTCATCCTAATACTATCATCAGGCCCAACCCACACAGCCGTCACCCCTCTCGACCTCGTCAAATGTCGTCGTCAAGTCGACCCGAAGATCTACACCTCCAACCTCTCCGCCTGGCGCAGCATCATATCCAAAGAAGGTCTCCGGGGGATCTTCTTCGGCTGGACGCCCACCTTCGTGGGCTACTCCTTCCAAGGCGCCGGGAAATACGGCTTCTACGAGTACTTCAAATACCTGTACGGCGACCAGCTCTTCCCGAACGCGAACCGCACCGTCGTCTTCCTAGGCGCGAGTGCCTCGGCCGAGTTCTTCGCCGACATCGCTCTCTGCCCGATGGAGGCGATCAAGGTGCGTATGCAGACCACGTTGCCGCCGTTCGCGCATACCCTGCGGGAGGGGTGGGGGAAGGTGGTGGCGCAGGAGGGCTTCTCGGGACTGTATAAGGGGTTGTATCCGTTGTGGGCGAGACAGATTCCGTATACGATGACGAAGTTTGCGACGTTTGAGGAGACGGTCAAGTATATTTATAAGACGTTGGGGAAGCCGAAGGAGAGTTATAATGGGTTGCAGCAGACGGGGGTCAGCTTTTTGGGGGGGTATATTGCCGGCATCTTTTGTGCTATTGTTAGTCATCCGGCGGATGTGATGGTGAGTAAGTTGAATGCGGATCGGAAAGGTGAGTGATTCCATGTCATTTGTGTTGTGTGGTGATGGGTTGTGACTGATGTGCGTATAGCGGGTGAGGGGGCCATGACGGCTGTGTCGCGCATTTATCGCAATATTGGATTCTCGGGCTTGTGGAATGGTTTGCCTGTGAGAATTGTCATGCTGGGTACTTTGACGGGGTTCCAATGGTTGATGTGAGTGAGATGCTGCTGTGTTGTGTGGATGTGATGCTGACGCAGATATATAGTTACGATTCGTTCAAGGTGTTCCTTGGGTTGCCCACTACTGGTGGACATTAGTGCTGCGATTCCTGTGCTGGATAGTTAGGGTTATTTTGGCCATACTCTAGGAGTTAGCAATGTAATGATTGATGAGCCAGTGTGGTTGTGTTTGTTTGTTGTGTAGTCATTACTCCGTAGTGTCTACTCCATCACCCCCGGACTCCGCTGACCGCCCTGCACCCCGACCGGCAGAACGTGACTGGCTCTGCTTCGGCTTCAGCTCGCGACTCCAATCCGTGTCGCAGATCCGTCTCGGTGTCATCCAATTCACCCCGAGGCTCTCCCAGTCGATACCACCCTGGGCCATCCAATTGCCATCCACAACCTGCTAATACTCGCGCCATCACATCAATCTGATCCTCATCCTCATTCTCCATCCCGGAATCCCTAACCAACTCCAACATCCCTTGACCACCACCATCCAACTCTCCCAATCGCATCCAACCATAACACCCACCCAGCAAGCATCACTCAATCCACCTCCCACCAACCATCACAATGGACGACCCAACAACCCTCACCACAACCACCCGCCAACCCTCCACAACCTCCAACCCCCCCAGTGTCGAAAACGCCTACAAACGCAAATGTCTCGCCCTGAAGAAACGCCTCAACGAAATCGAAGAAGAGAACGAACTCATGCGTGTCCGTAACCGTCGCGGCTGGCAATACATCCAGAAAATGCGCCTCGAATCGTGCATCCTCCTCGAACGTCTCGCCAAAGTCACCGGGATGACGGAGGAGGCGCAGGCAGGCGTGAATCCGGAATTGCGCGCGCGAGCGGCGGCCATGATGACGAATATTTCCACTTTGACGGGGGGGGCGGGGGCGGAGGGGAAGAATGGCCTTGGGGGTGGTGGTGCGGCGGCGGCGACGTTGTACTTGGATGATGAGACCGAGGGGAGTTCGGATGAGCAGCCGCCTACTGTAAGTTCCTCCCGCTTTGTTTCTGTTTGGATGGAGGCGATATGAGGATGTATGTATATTGAGTACGGAAGTGAATGCTAACAAAAACATGGAATAGCCCCAGGAACGTCCTCTCCGCGTCAAACGATCCCGGAAATCGAACCTGCCGAACGACAACGGCCTGGAAGATGACCTGGGCAACAACAGCACCGGCAACAAAGAGAAAGAGAACAACAAGGATGCTACAGAATCCGGCGCTGCAGGCGGTGCTTCATCCTCGTCTTTGCCTCGACTGGCACCGGCCCCGTCGCAGGAGGAAATGACCTCTTCCTTCCGCATCCAAACCGGTAGCAATGGCTCCGTACATGACAAGGAGAGCAGTGATCGGGGAAGTCATAACCCCGAGTCTGTGGAGCAGAGGGGTGATGGTGTCGAGGATGAAACGACACCAATGGATATGGATGCGAAGGAGCCGAAGGAGGAGAGGGAGGCATGATACCATATATTTCTTTTTTTTTTTTTACTTTCTTATTTAGGGACATTGAACTTTTTTCTATCTTCATTGTCATCTTGTCTTTGTGCTGTGGTAATAGGTGTTCTAAATCGGGTTATTTTACTCTCGAAGATTTTACTTCTTTTCCTTGTATCCGATTCTTATTCTTATTTCTATTCTCTTTGCTTTACATTGCGGTTGCATTATGCTATGTACGGGGTATTTATTATATTTAGATACCTAGCGAAACATAGCATAACACGCCGTCTACCTTTGTTTTTCCTTTTCCGTTTTTTTTTTCCCTGAGCGATGTCTGAATTGTATGGTATAGAATAGGATATCCGTATTCAGTTATGCGAGGCATTCATCTCAGATGATGAGAGAAGAGCTAGTAGGTGGTAGGTGGTACTTGTTGGAAACGGTTGGAAACGTACACGGGACTATTTTCTACGGGTAGAATATCGAGATGGGATGCCGATGATCGTGTAGATGCTCGAGTGAGTAGCTATCTAAACCAAACCTCATCTTCATGCACCGTTCTCTGACCCATACACCCTACATGAGGCATGGTATCAAGAAGATAAGTTATACATCCTATTAAAGCCCGAAGCCCGGTCCAGTACGCCCCTGACACAACAGCAAATTATGTATAGATACAGGTCAAGGTATGTGATCAAGCTATGCATCGATGCAAGGGTTTCTTTCCCACTCAGATATATGCCGGCCCCTTAACTCCAGTACTGGAAGCAAGAAAGAACGAAAACCGCACCCATAACACTCCGTACGACCGGGAAGTAATGACGAGGGACTGATTGGCTGGATTTAGTGAGCGAGGGTTGTGTTGTTGGAAGTAAAGGTAGGGAGGTATCATTCCACGCCGGCATATAGGTCGACTACGATGTTGATGGCGGCGACCAGGATTTCTGCAGCGATAAGAACGATGACTGTCATGTGGATTAGCTAGGCACGTTAGGGTCAGCTGCAAGGGACTTACCGATCCATTCGAGGTACTCACCGTGGCGGTGAGTTAATTGGTCCTTGAGGACGGCCAGAAGATCCGCTATCACATCGAGTCGTTCGGTGAGGAGGCTCACACGCTGGTCCATCTCGAGGTAGCTGCGGACGGCTTGATAGACGGGTTCTAGCTGGGGCTCAGCCCACATGAGTTCGGGGCTGTCGAGGACCGAGCCTTGGAGGTGGATGTTGATTCGCAGGATGAACAGTTCACCGATCTGCATGTTGATCTGGCGTCGGGTGAGGTTGACACTGCCGGTTTTGGCAATCTGAGCGGGTAAGGGTGCGGTGTTGGAGATGGTTTCGGAAACAAGGTCTTCGAACAGGGAGGTCTTGACGGATTGAGCCAACGCATGGGAGATGGCCAGTTTGATCATGTGGTTCCGAGGGTCGCGCAGGGAGATAAAGTCGTTGTATATCCGGGCTTGGTACTCGCGAGCATAGTAGAAGTTGAAGTTCTCCACCTGGGTATCTTCAGGACTGAGAATGGAAGCAGCAAACTTTGAGATATCGGACAAGAATCGTGACTCGTGCGCCGGGGACATGCCCCATATTACAACCGTGCCGTAATCGAACAGGAACACTTCGGGTGTATGGATGGTGGTGTCGAGATCTGGATGTATTTCCCCCTGGGCTTCTGTCACAGCAGATGTCGAAGCACTTTCTATATCGGTTGCGTGGGATTGGGAGTCTCGGAGATCAATGAGGTCTTCCCGCCGAGAATTGGTGTTATCCTGGACTTCCACCACACTGTCGGAGTACCGGCGTTCATTGGAAGGTCGTTCAGCTGGGCGGCTGTCCATCAGACTCAGACCATTACTCGAGACCCCCCAGGTACCCTTTTGCTTTTCCTCGTAGTCGTAGTCATATGGAGAATAGACGCATTCGTCGTAGAGCTTCGGGTTGGCCCCGCGGGTTTTGGAGCGTGATTTGAGGAATTTAATGATCCCTTCGAGTCGGTAGGAATTGGCCGTGCAATACGCTGTTACCCGTGGCAATCTCTCTCGGTCTGCCTTGCCTAACCTCGCAGCATGACTCCTGGCTGTCGGCTCTTTGATGCGTGCAATTTGCGAGTAAACGTCGGACGGGAAATCATCTCCACCGAGCTCCTCCTCCTCGGCAGTCACAGGATCCGGAAGGAGCTTGAGTTTCTGGGCCTTTTTCGTCGTTCTTTGAGGCCCAACCTTGGGGACTGCAGTAATGGGAGGGTGGGAGGTGCTGAAAGGAGATCCATGGCTGTTGCGCCGACGGAGCTTGCTATTCAGGGCCGAGAGCCCGGTCGGTCGGTATTGACTCTCCTGAGAGTGCGGAGCGGACGACGAGTCGGACTGCAGCGGTCTGAAGGTAGGATCGGCGGAGGTGTTGTCATGGTATGTGCTGACGGTCGCCAATGGGTTGAAGGTCACCGTCCGCGGCGGACGGTTTCCTCGCGGTGACGTATTAGAGGCTGTCGGGTTGTGCTGGGGGAGGAGCGGAGAGGATTCTGTGGTCGGCACCATGGTGGGATCGGGGATGAGACTCTGCTCAGAGCATAGTCTGCAAGCAATCGCGAATTGCACCGGGAAGTCTCCGGGGATGGACAGAGAGGCCGGGTTGGACAAGGAGAGAGAGAAAGCGAATCCGCTGGGACTGGCAGAAGATCAAATTGAGCTCCAAGCTCCGCACGTGCGCCGCCATTCTGCCCAATCCGGTGCCCCTCTCGTTCTTCTGCCTTCCCTCCTCTTCGCCTTGTTCGATGCTCTGGGTTCGCGGTGTCTAGATGGGAAAGCAAAAGAGAGAAAGAAGAAAAAAGCAACTAGCTCGCTCTTGCATGTCGATCGTACGGTCCCTCAGGATTTCTAGCCGGATTGTACGACCCCGGTCAAATACGCTTGCGACAACCTCTCTATCTAGGCACATCTCTGTACGACCAGCCACTCGTCGGATATGTCTTTCCCTGATTATCAGGCATGAACACATGCCGAGAGACTGATAGCTATTGTTTCAAGGAGGATGCAGGCCCCATTCCATGCTCCGCAGCCCAAGCAGTAGTACATCGACCCAAAGGGGTATCATATCGTATCACTATTCTATCTCCGTCATGACTCTACATCAATCGCTGCATCCAGAGCGCTTTTAATTAGAACTGAGATCGATTTTCGAGATGGTAAGGTGTAAAAGAGCGCCCAAGACCTGCTATCTGCGCACAAATCCCGAGGAACCGCCTGTCGTCCTCCTCATGCCGTTCAAGCTTCCCGTGCTGCGGGATTTGTTCAGCCAATTCTGCTTCGCATTGCGTCCGGTTTTTGAGGACTTTGGCGGGAGAGTCGTCTTCGATGACTTCTTCGATACATCCCCATCGAGCACCCGGATAGTGACATCACCCATCCGCACATCCTTGGGAGCTTTCTCCTTCTTATCAAGGAACCTTAACTTGTTGGGCTTCTGCTGCACAAAAGTCCTTTCCTCGGCAGGAGGCGTCGGTGGCCGGACATCGGGGGCCGCATTCAAGATATCATCGGGAAGGAGAGCGGGGAGAGCCGATCGTCGGGCATCTTGCGTAGTGGTGCCCTGAAGAGTTTCTGTGCTTTCCGACAACAGATCATCCGACTTCACTTCCTTCTTTTTTGCTATCTTCGCCTGAGATTTGCGCAACTCGTCCAATTGTTTCCGTTTGTCCCTCTTCAATTGCTCCTCTCTGTAGATAAAATTAGAACCGTCGAGCAACCCAGCCAGAACCCGCTCATCACTCACATTTGTTTAGCCCTTTCCTGCTTCTTAGCTTCCAATCTCATCATCGACCGCTGTGCCGAGTTATCCACAGTCTCTGGGGCCTCATCATCATCACTATCATCACCACTATCCTCGACTTCCTGTCGCGTCTCCGTAGCCTCCTCCATAGCAGCAACCTCCGGCAATTCCGGCTCCTCGCTATCAAAGCGGAAGTGCTTCTTCTTCGCCGCCGGCGCAGACGCCTGCTCCTCCTGCTTGGGTTCACTCTTCTCCGTCGTCTTCGACTTCTTGCTCGAGGGCTTGCTCTCAGGTTCTTGCACCGCCTCTAGACTGCTCCTCTTCCTCCGCTTGTTGTTCTGGGTCGGTTCGGTCGGTTCGGCCGCCACAGGCTCGGACTTGCGCTTTCCATTCGTCTCAGTCGAGCCATTGGCATTGGGCTCTGTGGAGGGCTTCTCAGCGGTAATTTTCCGCTGTCTTGTTGCTGTGACCATTTTCGGTGTGTTGGCGCCGCTGCTGGTGGTGGTGGTGGTGGTACTGCCGGAATTATTGTGCAGGTTTGGAAGGGAAGCCTCGTTGGTGTCTTGTCGAGAAAATAGCCCCTTTGCTGCCGTCACTATCTGAGAGAACATAGATGATTAAAGAACTCCCCGTGTGACATGTAATGACATGGAGAAATGTTATTGCGCTCAAAAGTCGTTCGAAAATTGGAGATCCAGATCCAGCAAATTTGGTCGGTGGATCGTTTTTCCGAAGGCGGCCTGGATGGGGTGGGTCGGATGTATGCGCATGGGGTGCATCTTGTCATCGGAGTAATAATGAGGAGTTGTGTATCAATGCGTTTATCTTGATTTGCTGTATGTAATCCATAAGTGATGCACTCAGACCAAGCCTTGTAGAAATGATTTCATACGCCACATCCCATATGCTCCATAGTCCAAAAACATATCCACGCCCAAACACCATCCCAAAGCATTGCGAACCAGTATATCTTTCCATGCAAAGCAAACAATCACCTGGCACTAACCATCTGCTTACGCTCCATGAGCTCCTCATTCGCAGCCAGAAAATCATCCTCCCCAATATCACTCGCCTCATCCCAGAACTTCCCATGCTCATCCCCATCATCCCCACTAACCGTCCACATACTTTCCCGTAGCCGCTTATTCCTCTCACGATCCTCCTCAATCCTCTGCTCAATCTGCCGTTTATCCACACGCATCCCGCTCCCCTTCGAGCCCCTCGGAGTCCCCGTTTTAGACCTCGTGCCGCCTTCCGCCCCATCCTCAGCCTCCAAATCCAGATGCGCGGGGTGCGTTTCCCGGTCCTTCAGCCCGGCATCAATCTCCGCGATGGTCTCCGAGGACAGGATCTCTTTGCTCTGTAACCCGTTGAGGACTCGACGGACGTGTTTGACGTTTGCTGCTCCGGAGCCGTCGGGTGGCGCGACGGAATCGACAATGCGGAGGATATCTCGTTGGATCATGCGCACGTAGGGAGCGTGGTCTTCTTTCGTGGCCATGTCGCAGAATTGTTCGATGAAGTACATTATGTTGGCGCGGTTGTTCATGTTGTTCTGGAAACAAGTAGCTCGTTAGCTCAGGAGTTTAGTGATAGGCGTGAGTACGCACCCGTTCTAGTTGCTCCAGGATGCAAGAGTGGAGGTCTTCATCCATATCGCGGTATTTGAGCGCATAATGCGCGGCTTTCTGGGATGAAGTCACCGAGGCGTTGAGATGCTGCAGCTGCGCGGTAAAGCGCATGCGCACCTCGAAGGGATCGACCATCATTTTCGGGGCTGTTGGACGTCGGATCACGCTAGGATGTTGGAAGAAAGGCGAGACCGTTGGTATCCCGATGCTGCATACCGAGGCGATCGATCGCGGCTGGCGGACGTGAATGCTTGGATGGAGAACTCCGATTGGAGATCACTAGGGCGGTGTGATGCGATAAGACGGGCAGAAAGTGTGGGGCTAAATCGCCGCCATGTGTCGGGCCAGTAATGTGTCATCGTCATTGATTCTGCATTGCTTACTATTCCTGGGTGCTGTTCGCCTCATCCTGATAAACTGTTCGTTCCAGAGAATCTAGATGCTTTGAAGTTTGTTGTTATGTCCTCGAACAGTCACGCGCGAAACACGCCGTGATATACAGATAGGTTCTCAAAGATTGAAAAGACTATATACACCAGTATGTCTAGATAAATGCAAGTCGCAGCACTGTACCGCCGTGCCCCCAGGTATTCGGGCAATGTACACGCTCTGAAAACAAGAAAGAAACAGATACAGTCAGTAAACGCCAACGTACCCAAATTCATACATATTTTGATGTTGGTATCCCTGTAAACAACAGTCGTAGATCAAATGTGTCGGCATCATATGTGAGACCCGTAATATGTCTAATCCAGTCGTGGTGTACCAGCCAGACTGGCGCCGGATTAAAGCGACGGTCGTCTTTCAATCGTGCTGGCAAGGCTCGTCCCATCATCGCTTTCAAGCAAACCGACCTCCTCTGCCGTGTTTCCAGGACTGAAGGCCCTCTCACGTAAAGTGTCGTCCTTCTGAGAGGCAGCCCCACTGACCACAGACCAGACATCCTTCTTCGTGAGCAGTCCTTGAAGGACGCCTTTATCAGCAAATAGAACGTAGCGGAGACCGAGCCTTTGGAACATCCGGAGTACAATCAAGAATGTTGTATTGCTATTGAGCGTAATAGGCGTTTGATCCATCCAAGGCCGGAGATCCAAAGTTTCAGAAGGGTCTGCGAAGGGCTGGTGGGTGAAGAAGACTTGTGTTGCACCAGATAGTTCGTTATCTGAAGGCGTTGTAGAGTACTTCAGCGCATACGAAAGCTCATTGCGGGAAATGTATCCCAGCAAAATAGGATTTGACGTATCGGTAATGACTGGAAACCCACGATAAGAAGTCGCTAAAAGGAGGTTGCGAAGTGACTCAATCGTATGACCCACAGCAGTTATTACTGTGAGATCATCTACTGTGGTCATAACACTGTGGGCAGGAACGTCAGGCGGAGTCGTATCATCGCGGTGGTCGAGAAAAGGGTACTCGTTCAGCTGAATCCACGACTCATAGATACCACGCTTTCCAAATATATCACCGCACCATTTAGACAACATAACTGCAATCATGATGGGGATGACGTAAGTCAAAGCGCCGGTGAGCTCGAACATAATGACCACAATTGAGACAGTCATCCGCGTGGCACCGCCAAGTGCTGAAGCCGCACCTATAATCGCATATATCCCGGGAGTCACACATGGGATGTCTGGCTCGCACTTGCTGAACAGGAAGAAGTTCGGATAAGCTTCTTGCCACATCCGAAAAGTCATACCCAGGCCACGCCCATATAGTGCACCGATAGCAACCGACGGAAGTATGATACCAGCAGGGATATCCAGCCCAAAGGTCAACGAGGCCAGGAAAAATCCCAGAAGAGCGGCCAAAAGCAAGAGCGCAACAGTACCAGCCGATACGGCCCCCGCCTTGCAAAAGCCAAAAGGGTCATCGGTAGTCCCAGTTCCACATTCTGCAAACAGCGAATGAACGAGCTCCGAATTTTGTGCCCTCATGAATAGATTTGGAAAATTGATCAAGGCACTTAAAAGAGCCACAACCGCCACTTCGATGATCGGCCGTGATGAACTGCGAGACCGTCGCCATTTTGCAATCTTCATATTCAATCGAATGAGGAATGCTCCGTAAAGACCACCAACTATACCGAGAATGATGAATGGAATCATTTCGAAGCGGTGCCATTCACGCGTATACTTGACTTGATAAAGGACAATATTGCCTGTACGGAATGGATTGAGCGCATGCAGAGTCACCGATGCAACCATGGCACAGACAAAGCTTTGCCACATTGTTTTGTCGGGGAAATAATAAGACAGTTGCTGTTCCACAACTGTTAGAGCCGTACATTTCTGTCAGCAGTCTGTTAACTAACCTCCAAACTGAATAGGACACCGCCAATGGGTGCCCCGAAAGCGACGGAGACGCCCGCGGCGGCAGCCGCAGAGAGAACTTCTCGTTTCCTCGCTGTACAATTAGCCCAAGTCACTCAGTGCCAACTCGATGTAGATACCTTCATTATGGTTGAGACTGTGAAATGGCTTCATTATCACACTGGCACAACAACATGCCACATGGACGAGGGGGCCTTCTTTACCGAGCCACAGGCCGGATGCGACGGATAAGCACTTGAGAATATCAGCAAGCTGTATGCACAAAAGTGCGTGGAATTGCGCATACCAGCCCCAGGGACTTGATTGCAAGGGTCCAAGGCCCCATGAAATGCCTGATGACGAAACCACCAAGGACGGTTTTGATCTCAGGGATACCGCTGTGTCTTGCATATATGGCGTAGCTCCGAACCAGGACGCACGCGCAAACCGCAAAAATCACCTGTTCCTCATTAGCAGACAAACACATGCACGGACGAAGAAAAAAAATACAGAGTATAGGACATAGAAGATATACTCAACCGTATATCCCCCGCCCGACGAGGAGACCCCCAGTGCCTTCCTCCACGGAGTCCAGTCTAAACAATCAGAGACATCTGGCGAAGATATTTCGTTAGTATGCGTGATCGAGATCTAGATACAAGCAGTAGCTGACCATCATGCCCCCAACAACAAAAGCTCCGGTTCAAATAGAACCTGCCACCCCCTGAGCCGTTTCTGCAATAACCGGTTTTCAGGTCTCCTAACCAATCACTCGTGATATCAATGCACGCCGCAATGATCCCAACCAAGACACCTGTAGCGATCAACACGATCCAAACGTTACTCGAGTCCAAGAGCTTGCGCAGATATCCAACGACGCCCTGCCCGCTTGCATAGAGAAGCCTCTTTCTTTGACGTTCTTTTGTGTACTCGAAGATCCAATCGATCGCCGTAAGGTCGTCATAACCGACTCGTCGTCCTGGGCCCTCTACATACCAGTCCAAGAAGCCCGAGTCCTTATGCGCCATATTTCCGTCGCTACTGACCGGTTCCCGTAAGGGTTGCATATCATCCGACGGTTGTTCATTGCGAAACAAAGAGCCAAGCCCAGTATTCGTCGCAGACTCAGCAGCACTACTCGAAAAGAGGTTGGGAAAGCGGAATCGAGAGCGTTGTTTCTGTTTGCGTTTGAAGGACAGCCTATGATAGTTGTTAGTCCGCAGCTTCGAGTGCGGATGCTCGGTTGGCCAGCAACTCACGGCTCACGTAGCTCTCCGCTTAAGGATACACCGGGGTGTTGTGGTTCATCATCGCTGTATGGCTGGGTCAGCGATGACTGGGCTTCTGTCTGGGGCCCCGGCTGTCTCATTGACATCGCGGATGGTACGTATCATAGGGACGTGTCAAGTCGCATCCCAAGCAACGACGGCCTCGGTGCCTATGAATAGTGATTGTCCGCGATTGATGCGTTCCCGGCAACTGGTGCCAACTAGCGTCGGAGTTCTGGACTAACCTCCGCGGCTGGGCCAAGGCGGTGAGGGATTGAGGTGTGGGGCGGCGGCGGGCATGCAGCGGCAGAAACCAATCTCAAGGAAAAAAAAAGTGAAGTAATTGGCGTACACTTTTCCCTACTCACCACCAGAGTTCCTTTGGCGGTAGGGCTCAGCATGAATGCTAGACCCTCCTACGAGGGGACTCTTAACGAGTCCCAGCTGTTTGAACAGCTTCCGAATGAGATTGCGGAACTCATTCGCACAGCTTCCGGGACTCAGTACCTGAATGCGCTTGCGGTTGGCGCGTTGAGGCCGAGATGCACAGAAGGCTTCTTTTGCCTATACGAACCGATCTTTGTAGATCTGGCAGCGCGATGGCTCCTGTCAGAATCTCAGGTCGATCAGACCGATATTCTTTCCGCATTTTCACGAATCCTCCCGCTGGCACCATACCTGCGATCCTTTGCAAGCCAATATGCCATGTCTCGGGCTGGACCTCTGTCGGCGTTGGCTGCGTCCGATGAGCTAACACTTTCTCAAATGAATGATGCCACCATCCGAGCCCTTTTGCTAGCGATTTTCAGACTTCTTTCATACGATACAGAGACCTTTTCGAAAGCTGTATCGCCCTCACAACTCCAGTTCCTTTTCCGACACCGAGACCCATCCGTGAGTTATTTGGCGATTCGATGCTTTGGCATGTACATGAGCGCAGCAGATGCTGCTACGGAGGATATAATCAGGGCGAAATTTGCAGACAACATCATCGAAGGGGACTGGGAAGGTATTACAATCGACTACCGCTGTCTCGGTTTGTGGGAGGAACGTCGGTGGAACACCTTGGAGAAGCAAGTCCAACTCGCAAGGTCTACTAGACCCGCCTCTGAAAGCTTGTCTCAAATAGAGACGTTGAGGGAATATTTCACCGCTAGAACCGCCGAGGTCTGCGGTGTCCTTATCCCCCGCCAGCAGGGTACATCGCCTCCGCCGTCTTCCATTGTAAGAACGCCCACTGCTGTGGGTAACTTGCGGAAGATTGCGACAGCCTTGACTGCGCCTGAACCTATACTGTTGATTGGCTTGCCCAACTCCGGAAAGACCACCCTGATAAATGATGTTGCAGCGACCATGGGTCAGTCTGAATCCATGGTCACACTGCACCTGAACGAGCAGACTGATGCGAAGAGCCTTCTTGGAATGTACTCCACTTCCCCTGCCACAGGCTCTTTCTCTTGGCAGCCTGGTGTACTCACCAAGGCGGCAAGAGAAGGTCGTTGGATCTTGATCGAAGATTTGGACCGCGCGCCCTCTGAAGTTATTGGTCTCATTCTGCCTATCATCGAGAGGGGCGAGTTAACCATAGCTAGCAGGAGGGAGAGGATCAAGTGTGCCGAAGGTTTCAAGATCATTGCGACGATGAAGTCTTCTTACAACATATCAGGCGAAGAAATCGCTCCAAGCACCAGCATCCTAGGCAGCAGGTTGTGGCAGAGGGTACAGATCGATTCGCTCACGATAGACGAGGTTCGTGAGGTGATTACGCAGAAATTCCCTCTGCTTGAATCCCGGGTCCGGACAATTATGGACGTTTACCAGAGACTCTGTTCTTCCTTCCATGGTAGCCTTGCGATCAAGAGCTCCCAAGGGCGGACACCTGGTCTCCGTGATCTTGTCAAATTGTGTAGCCGAATGCATAGGCGACTGCAACGCCTCGGTGCAAAGACAGGCTATGAAGCCACTCCGGAGGGTGCTGAGGATGAAAATTTCCTGGACTTTGTGGACGTCTTTCTAAAATACATCCCAGAGAAGAACATGACAGACACCCTCGCTTCGGTTGTTGCCGAGGCGCTTCAGATTTCACCGCAACGGGCACGATTTTGTCTCCACGAGCGCACCCCCTCATATTCCGACCAGGGGAATAGCATAACGCTTGGGAGAGAAGTTTGTCGAAAGATCAAAGTCCCAGGTGGTTCGGCATCAAAAACCGCTGCTGCCTCATCTCGATTTGCTTCCACAAGGGCTGCTTTAGGACTCATGGAACAAGTTGCCGCTGCCATCCAAATGGCAGAACCTGTTCTCCTTGTTGGAGAAACAGGTATTGGTAAAACGACTGTGATCCAGCAGCTGGCTACCCTGATGCGTCAGAAGCTGACGGTTGTGAACCTGTCGCAGCAGAGTGAAAGCACCGACCTCTTGGGAGGATTCAAACCCGTGAATATCCGAACCATGGCTGTGCCTATGCATGATGAATTCGTGTCTTTGTTTGAACTGACCTTCTCTGCAAAGAAGAATCAGAAGTTCCTTCAATCTGTCGGCAAAAGCGTTGCTGCCGGGAATTGGGTACGCCTGGTCAACTTGTGGCATGAAGCCGTTCGCTTGGCTGATGGCGTGTTCAAACCCGGCCACGGTTCATCGCAGGGAGCAGAGGAACAACCAACAAAGAAGAGAAAACTGGATTCGCCAAAGTATCAGTTCTTGCGCCAGAGGTGGGAAAGATTCGCAGCTCAGCTGAACGATTTCGAGTCCCAAGTTTCTCAGGGTGATGCCAAATTCGCGTTTGCTTTCGTCCAAGGCAAGATTGTCCGCGCCTTACGCAATGGGGAATGGGTTCTCCTTGATGAAGTAAACTTGGCCTCGCCTGATACGCTCGAGAATATCGCCAGTCTTCTGCATCATGGAAGCGAGGGATCCCCGTCCGTGCTACTTTCTGAGGCCGGTGATGTGGAGCGGGTGTTTGGACACCCCGAGTTCCGCATTTTCGGTGCGATGAACCCTGCAACAGACGCGGGAAAGAAGGACCTGCCACCTGGTCTCCGGTCTCGATTCACTGAATTCTATGTCCAATCGCCAGACAGTGATCTAGATGACTTGCTATCGTTGATTCATAAGTACCTGGGTGACTTGGCTCTGACTGATTCTCGAGCTGTGCCAGATCTCGCGCAGCTGTACATGGAGACCAAAAAGCTCAGCACCGAAAACAAACTCACTGATGGTGCTGGGCAGCGTCCGCATTTCAGCATTAGAACCCTCGTTCGGGCCCTTGTCTATGTTGCCGATCACGCTCACATTTATGGCCTGCGTCGAGCCATATATGAAGGATTTTCAATGAGCTTCTTGACCGTTCTCAGTCAAGCCTCAGAGAGGCTGTTGGCACCTCTCCTCGAGAGGCACATATTCAGCAACGTCAAGAATGCCAGAGGACTTCTTAATCAGACACCCAGACCACCGACTGATGGTAACGATTATGTTCAGTTTAAACATTATTGGATGCGTCGAGGCCACCTTACTCCCGAAGAGCAACCCCACTATATCATTACGCCATTCATCGAGAAGAACTTGAAGAACTTGGTCAGAGCAAGCTCAACGCGTCGATTTCCTGTATTGTTGCAGGGTCCGACATCTGCCGGAAAGACAAGTATGATCGAGTATCTTGCAAAGGTGTCCGGGAATAAGTTTGTTCGTATCAATAATCATGAGCATACCGATCTTCAAGAATACCTGGGAACGTATGTTTCTGGTGATGATGGCGCGCTGCGCTACCAAGAAGGTGTTCTAGTTGAGGCACTCAGGAACGGATACTGGATTGTGCTCGATGAACTTAACCTAGCACCCTCCGACGTACTGGAAGCAATGAATCGGCTGCTCGATGATAACCGCGAGCTTTTCATACCCGAGACGCAGGAAGTAGTGCGCCCGCATCCCAACTTCATGCTTTTTGCGACTCAAAACCCCGCTGGCCTTTACGGTGGCCGAAAGGTCTTGTCGCGTGCCTTCCGAAATCGGTTCCTGGAGCTCCATTTTGACGACATACCGGAAAGTGAGCTAGAATACATTTTGAAAGAGCGTTCCCAAATCGCCCCCTCTTTCTGCACCAGAATCGTCTCCGTTTACCGGAAGTTGTCTCTGTTGCGTCAGGCAAACCGGCTGTTTGAACAGAAGAACAGCTTTGCTACTCTACGTGATCTCTTCAGATGGGCGCTGCGACGGGCAGATGACCGTGAGCAACTGGCAATTAATGGATTTATGCTACTTGCGGAGCGAGTCCGAAATCCGCAGGAAAGGGCTGCTGTCAAAGGTGTCATTGAAGAAGTAATGAGGGTCCGAATCGATGAAGATGTCATATACAGCTCTTCCGAGATGGAAAAACGTGCACCTTTACTTGCACAGCTAGCCCCAGGCATTGTGTGGACAAAGGCAATGAGGAGGCTCTTCGTACTCGTCTCCACTGCGCTCGAGAACAATGAGCCTGTCTTGCTTGTTGGTGAAACTGGTTGCGGAAAAACCCAGTTATGCCAGGCAGTCGCAGAAATCTACAAGAAGCAGCTGCTGATTGTCAATGCACACGTAAATCTCGAGACAGGGGATCTTATCGGAGCCCAACGGCCTGTAAGAAACAGAGCAGCCATCGAGAGCCAGCTGCTGAGTGACTTGCAAGTTCTTTTCTCCGAAGAGCTCGCACAGTCAAGATCACTCGAGGAACTGAAGCAAGCTTTTAGCGCTATCAGTGCAGATCAGCTTCAATTACTTGATGCTGAGCTAATTTCGCGCATCGAGAAGAACGTCGCTCGTTCGAACGCTTTGTTTGAATGGTCTGACGGTAGTCTGATCACCGCTATGAAGACTGGCCAGTTCTTCCTTCTTGATGAGATATCCCTGGCGGATGATTCCGTCTTGGAGAGGCTTAACAGTGTTCTAGAGCCTCACCGATCTATTTTACTTGCAGAAAAGGGCCCAATTAATTCCATGGTTGTTGCCGACGATGGTTTCCAGTTCCTTTCTACAATGAATCCTGGAGGTGATTATGGCAAACGCGAACTTTCAGCCGCCCTTAGAAACCGAATGACCGAGATCTGGGCGCCTCAATTATCTGAAGATGAGGACATCTTGCCGATTCTTCAAAGGAAGCTCACTTTGGGCACGGAACACGTACCTAAAGGAATGCTTCAGTTTGCCAAGTGGTTCAAAGAGGTGTTTCAAAATTCCTCTACTTCATCTCTGTCTCTGCGTGATCTTCTTGCCTGGGTCGAATTCGTCAATAAGTGCCAAAGCTCGGATCCTCTCTTCGCGATAGTCCAGGGCGCTGCCATGGTGTTCATAGACACTTTGGGTGCGAATCCTGCAGCAATGCTGGCAACAGCACTGCATAACCTTGAAGGAAACCGTCAATTATGCTTGGATAAGATGCATGAGCTTTTCGATGTTGATGCCTCGGCAATCTATCTACAGAAATCAAGTGTCGGCATTGAAGGCTCCTCTCTACGGGTTGGCCCCTTCTGTCTTCCTATGAACAGCAATTCGATGCCAGATCCCGACTTTATCATGGATGCACCTACCACCATTGCCAACTCAGTGAGGATTGCTCGAGGATTGCAATTACCTAAGCCCATTCTTCTCGAGGGTAGCCCAGGTGTCGGTAAAACAACGCTTGTCACGGCGCTTGCCCGAGCTCTTGGAAAACCGCTCACTCGAATCAACCTTTCGGAGCAGACAGACCTCACGGACCTGTTTGGTTCCGACGTCCCCGTGGAGGGCGGCGATGTTGGACAGTTCGCTTGGCGAGACGCACCATTCTTACAAGCAATGCAGCGTGGTGACTGGGTTCTCTTGGATGAGATGAACCTTGCTTCTCAGTCCGTTCTTGAAGGTCTTAATGCTTGCTTAGATCACCGTCAAATGGTATATGTTGCCGAGCTTGACCAAACCTTCAGGAGGCATCCCGACTTTGTTCTCTTTGCTGCGCAAAACCCGCATCATCAAGGTGGCGGCCGAAAAGGTCTTCCTGCTTCTTTTGTGAACAGATTCACTGTGGTCTATGCCGACAGCTTTACAAATACTGATCTGAAGCGAATCTGTGCGAAGCTTTTCCCGGGCAGCCCTGCTGAGCAAACTGATGGACTAGTCGAGTTTGTATCTCTTCTGAACAAGGCTATTCAGGAAAGACGCCTGGGCGCTGTTGGTGGGCCTTGGGAAGTCAATCTGCGAGATATCCAAAGGTGGCTCCAGTTAGCAGATCGTGGAAGCTTGCAGATCTCTACCCAGAGCTTCCTTGAAGTGATCATCTGTCAGAGATTCAGGAGCGAAGAAGACCGACAGTTGGTCTCTACTCTGTACAAGCAAGTCTTTAGCGATGCCTCGACACATGCAAAGAGCTACTACCATAACCTCACACCTGACTACATGCAAGTCGGTCTCGGCATTATGCAGCGAGACTTGGTGTTGCAGGAGACAGCAAGCCCTCAAATGAGGATACTCCCTGGCGACCTTCCTATCTTGGAATCTCTTATGCTCTGCATAGAGCAGTCTTGGCCTAGTATCTTGGTCGGTCCATCTGGATGTGGCAAGACAACTCTTATCAGAAAGCTGGCTGCTCTGAATGGTGCTAGTCTAGTCGAACTGGCATTGAGCGCCGATACGGATACGATGGACTTGATTGGTGGGTTTGAGCAAATCGACTACAGAAGAGAGATTTCGTCCCTTGTGCATCAGGTTTCCCTGTTTCTCCGACGGAATGTCATTTCTGCATACGCAGGTGATGATACGAGCGTAGCTCCCGCTTTCCTTGAGCTTTACGAACAATTACAAGGCCCTGATGTTCAGTTAGACGCGCTATGCTCATCACTTCAGAAGCTGTACCATTCTTACTCACAACCTGCACTCGAGAAGCTTTTCAGTCATGCTCAGCGTTTACTCAAGGTTACGAAACAGACTGATAGCATGAAGGTCGGGTTTGAGTGGACTGAGGGTGTCTTGACACAAGCTGTTCAGCATGGGCAGTGGGTCGTCCTTGACAATGCCAACTTGTGCAATCCATCTGTTCTTGATCGACTGAACTCACTGACGGAACCGAACGGAGCTCTTATCCTGAATGAGCAACGCACCGAGGATGGAAATGCTCGAGTTGTGAGACCGCATCCCAATTTCAGGCTGTTTCTGACGATGGATTCTCGCCATGGTGAGCTATCCCGTGCGATGCGGAATCGGTGTGTCGAGATTTGCTTCTTGTCGGATAGCAGTAATACTGTCGCTACCTCAATGCCTGCTTATACCTATGAGTCCTCCTTGTATCGCCTTCGGTCAGTCTGGGACTTGGATCTTGCTGTGGCTAGCGAAGGAACTACAGACATTCTGCCTGAAGTGTGCCTTGACCATCTCTCGATTGCGGACTTGTCCTATCTCCAGCGGGCGCTGAAGCTTACGCCTCAATATGCCTCGGATGTTGCAAGGGAACCCTTCTCTTCCGCCGTGGATCGGTATGTGTCTGCGATACATGCTAATGCTTCATGTAAGCCTTTTGAGAGTACCAAGAAAGAAGTCATGCTGGGTCGTACTTCTTTCGCTATCCAAGGAAGGTTGCAGCCTCTTCATCCTCTTGTCAACGAGCCGCTGGCGTCAATCATGCACCAAGAGGTGCCTTTCGTGTGGCTCGTGGTTCTCGCCTATCTGCAAGAGTACAAGCTTGACCTTCATCGCCTTAGGCAAGGCTTGTTGCGAGCGGATGAATCAGGCAAACAGCTCAAGCCAAGTCAGATGAGCCGCCTTGAACGGTCTCTAGCTTCGGGGAGGATCCCCTCTTTAATGAAAGACGCAACGCAGCCTGTTGGCCCATTCCTGTCTGACTGCGGCCAAGCCATGTATGACTTCATTCAGGCGCTTGACTATGATGCCCTTCATGCCCCTGACATGGTGCGGGCTCTCCGTGCTATCGTTGACTTCACCTCAGACATGTTCACCTTGACTGCCGCAAATGAAGTGGACCAGGGTGAATTTCAGATTTACCTCCAAATTGGAAAGGAGCTGTGCGCTTCGCTTCTGGACTCTTGGGCTCCATTAAAGCAGTTGGCTGTCGCCTTCTCTCAAGCGCTTGATCGATTCAAAGAGAACTGGTCATTGACCACAGGACTAAGCATGCAGCGGCTTTGGGAATCGTGGAGACCATCAACGCCCTCCACCCAAGACCAATTACAATTGCTGTTAGAGCTAGAAAGCGTTGCTTCTGAATTCACCCAGGTTGCAACGAAGACTCACTTGGACCTGTCTCAGTTGAGTCAGGTGCGCGATTCCCTAATTGGTGGCCAGGAAGCAATTCTGAACGGTGCCGACGAAGGATTTCCGATACAAGGGCTTCGGCAAACAGTCGCAGAATTGGCCGCTTGCGTACAAGATACCGATTCAAGCCAGCGCCCGTATTTCTCGAACAACTTTGAGGCTTTGTGCCAGTACCATGACATCGCATCGCTTGGCCAGTCCCAGCTTGATGATGGCCAGGTGGTTCGAGCTATTCTGCCATTACTCGCCGGCCGTGCTGCCCGGCCTCTGGACGGATCGAGCCTGCAGAGCCAAATTCCTAATATTCTTCACAAGCTTTCCCTATTTTCAGGATCTGAGCACTCGGTGTTCGGCTCGGCTATCAGCGGCAATATCTCTCTATCGCTGCTGGAAAGGTTAGCTTTTATCGGCTCTACAAGCTTGGGCCAGATGGATGCCCTAGAGGTAGAAAAGAAGACTCTTTCCAAGGCGTTGACTCTGACAAGTCGAGAGATCGGCTTGGACCAATTCAAGCGTCTCCGTCAGGTCATGGCGAGGCTGACTATCGAGCTGGCCTTCCTCCACAGAGACTTCTTTGAACCTCAGTCTTTGGAGCATTTGATCATCATTCTTCGCGCAATCGAAGAAAAGGGGTCGTATGATGGTCCGGCACTGCCTGCAATTCATGTGGCCACAAACCTGGCCCAAGATCATTACTTCAAGAGATTCGCAAAGGAGGATATCCCAAGGCTGGTTGCCTCACTGGCTGTCGGTGAGAGTCCCGTGGAAAGTACTGGAGTAGCCATTGTCCAACTAGCTGTCATCTTTCTACGGCTATTTGTCCCGGATAAACCGTTTGACCCTTCTTTGGGCTTGGTTGTGCAAAGAAAGCGACACTCGCAGCGTTCCTTGGAACTTACAACGAAGGCCGAAGCGATTTCTTCCTTCGAGGTTGGCTTCTCGGGCCAGGCGTCCAATATTCGACTCGAATTCTTGCAGAAGGAATTACATGATCTTGGGTCGGCACCCCCTCCCTCTTCTGTCAGCAGACCTCCGATCTCCGAGATCAACCTTCTTCACGGAGAATTCTCCAGTCTGGTAAATTCAGTGCTTGACCGGCGTCCCGAGGAGATTGTTTCTGCTGTAAGTGGCAACGGCGACGAGGATAGCGAAAGACAGCGAATGATCGGTCTGCTGCGTGATAACGTTCGCCAGCTCAGCCACCGCCTGAGTGCCAATTACCGATCGTACGACGACATCACGACACCTGTCGTTCGTTTTCTCCAGATCCTTGACTTGGGTCTCTACCTTTCTTCGAGCCCATCTCAATCCAATGATAGCCAGATACTCAAGGCTGTCAGGGAGACTACCCCCTTCCTTGGAGGATTGATTTATCCCGTCTCAGACTTAAGCCTGCAAAGATCGGAAGCCAATTCAACTCTCGATACCGACCTTTGGTTCCACGAATTGTCTTCCTTGAGAATAGCTGAGAATGCGGATCCAGGCGTAATCGGTACTCGAGCTGGACGTGATACCCTGCGCCGCCTCTTCGAACAGTTCCATGCTCTGTGGAAAACCAGACTGCGAGAGGATCAAGAAGAAGAGGCTCGGAAGTCTGAATTCTACCATTTTAAGGGTTCTTGGGAGGATAGTGAAGAGGTGGATGAAAACGAGCTGCGTCAGCTTTTCCCCACGTACGAAGACGCCGATGAAGAAGCCCAAGCGCCTGGTCGTTTTGACCCGAAGTCTATTTCAATCAGGCTCGCTTCGCTGCACGCAAAACTGTTCCAGTCTGAAAATCGCGAGGAAGCGCTGTCAGCCTACGTCAAGCAGGCTTCCACATTACTGGGTTCCACATGGTCAGACAATCATTCCATGTCGGATGTCGATCCTAAGGATCAGATCTCCGGTGTTCTCTTGCTTCTAGAAGACTCCATCAATACGGGTCAAGGCCAACCAGCAGACAAATATAACTTCTACCTGGACGCGAACCTGGCTGAAGCAAAGCGACTGGTGACTTTGACCCTGGCTACGAAGGCTCGGTTCACCCAAATACAGAAGTCCTGGCCTGATCATGCTGTCTTGGAAGATGTCATCGTGTGCTGCAGGGAGATCCTTCAGTTTAAGCACACTGAGCCTGTCGCAAAATTCATTACCAAGGTCGAAAAGCTGCACGCGCTTGTTCATGAATGGCAGCTTGTAGCAAGCAGAGAGTATTCAGCGGCCACTGTGTATGACGACATCACGGCTATGATTATCAGTTGGCGGCGGCTTGAGCTGTCGACCTGGGCGAAGCTTTTGGACATCGAGAACGACAAGTGCACCCAGGATGTGAGCTCATGGTGGTTTATCGCCTATGAGGCGATCATTCGGGCCCCGATCCAAATCGCCGAATCCGGTCAAATGGAGATGAGCGAGCATGTCCAGGAGATCACTGCTACACTGGAGCAATTTTTCAACACGACGACCCTAGGACAGTACAGCGAGCGCCTCCTACTTGTGAAGAACTTCCAGTCTTTGCTCCGGCTTTACGCCCAGGACTTGCCATCTTTGGGTCACCTGATTTCTGCTTTGGACAATTTCCTTGTGCGTTACAAGCAATTTGAGCCTTCGGTGCACAAGCTCCTGGCGGAGAAGCGGTCCGCTCTTGAGAAGGATATCAAGGAGCAGATTCTGTTGGCCAGCTGGAAAGATACAAACATTGTCGCGCTCAAGGAGAGTTCCCGGCGGTCTCACAACAAGCTGTTCAAGCTGGTCCGCAAGTACCGAGCAGTCCTGGCTCAACCCGCGCAACCCATTGTGGAACAAGACATGCCGGATCATGAGGATTCTAGTATCCCCCAGCATGAGATCACCATGCCTTCAACTGTCTTCCCGGAAGCACTTGCCATGTGTCAGAAAGAGGAAAGAATCTGGGCCGATAGACCCCCTAGATTCAAGAATCCTGACGCGACTGCTGGCAGCATGATGCAACTGTATTCCTCGATTCCCTCCGAATTCGACATTGCCGATGATCTTGACGGCTTTGTCAAGTATGTCATCGAGAGCATACAGGAGTTCAAGTCGCAAACGCCGAAGACTTTGACCGAGGAGAATAAGGACGACGTTCAGCACCTCAAGGTCCAAAAGCGCCGGTTTTATGCGGATACTTTGCGGCGACTAATGGACATGGGGGTGAAGCGTAGTGCAAGTACCAGCCTGATCGAAACCCAAGCTTCTATTGCTCAGGTCCTTGCCTCTGTCCCCGCATTGGAAGCTGACACAGCGCTATCGCATCTGACTACAAGCTCCGATTTGTACTTCCACAAGTTCTTGGACTTGCTTCCTCGCGTTCGCCTAGCAGCGCACAACTACTCGGAAGATCTCAGCAATGTGGAAATATCCAGAAGCTCCGGATCTATGGAGCATCTGTTATCCCTTGCCCGGAAGCAGAGAACCTCGATCTCCCCGGCACTTTCTGCTCTCACGGCACTGCAGTCCACGCTCTTGAAGGTTTCGAACCTCTGGCATAGCTCTTCGATCTTCAAGGCTCCCTCTGAGTTCCTAGTGGAGAAATCGGAAGTAAGTAGGGCAGTGGCATGGCTGACACCTATCCTTGGACTAGCTGCCACAGTCGTCAGTCTGCACGCAAAATTCTCAGGCATCAGTTCGACCAGCATTTTACAAAGCCTGCAGGCGTGGAGGGATACGTTTGACCGTTTGAGAACGTCCTTGGGCAGTCTTCCTGAATTGCCACTCGGTGTTGCCTCTCAGTTACACAGCGACACGGTGGAAGAGGCTTCCGCGTCTTTTGAAAAGTTGAATGTCGACCTCACGAGGTGGGCGGAGGAGCGTCCTGATCTGTCCTTTGTGCTGGGCCAGATAGTTCCGTGGCTGAGAGCAAAGACTATGTCCTCTGACAGTGAATTCGACGAGACCGTCTCTATCGAGCAGTTCGATACCGGTCTCGTTGCAGCGGTCGACAAGATTCTTGTCAGTCTTCAGAAATTGAAGGAGCTTCCATCACTGCTTGCTTCTCCCGGCGCTTTGTCGCGGAGTGACGAGTTCTTCGTCAGAGCCTTGAAAGTTCTTCATATCTCGGGTATCACGACCTCTATCGAGTCTGTGCTCGAGCAATTGCAGTGTCTCCAATCCCGCTCGGCTCCTGGCATTCCCTTCGCCATCGCACTCGTCGCGAGCTTGCTACCGATCATGCACAAGTACTTCCATATCTGCAAAGATGTGGTGGACCGCTACTTGACTGTGCACCGCCAAACCTGCAAAATGTCCTATATTCTTACCAAGTCGTTCGCCCAAATTGCGTCCGAAGGCTTCTGTAGTCCAGCTGAGGCATCTACGGAAGAGAGCAAGTCTGGAAAGCTCGAGAGCGGGACAGGTCTCGGAGAAGGAGAAGGAGCTGAAGACATCAGTAAAGATGTTGGAGATGACGAAGACTTGTCGGAGCTTGCTCAAGAGCAGAAGGGCGAGTCTACCGAAGACATTGAAAACTCCGAAGACGCCGTGAATATGGACCAGGAGGAGATGCAGGGCGAAGAGGGCGAGCGGAAAGAAGGCGATGAAGAAGACGACGAAAGCGGCTCTGAAGAGGAGGGTGATATCGATGAGGAGGTCGGCAGTGTCGATGATCTGGATGCCTCGGCGGTTGACGAGAAGATGTGGGATGGTGAACACGACGAGCAGCAAAAGGAAACGGAGACCGATCAGGGCAAGGGAGTGTCTGAATCCGACGAACAAACCGCAGCAGGCGAGCAGGAGAAAGAGAAAGAAAAGGCTCAAGAAGGCGAGCAGGGAGAAAAGGACGAGGACGCGGAGGAAGAGGAAGACGAAGAAGGAGAAGAGAAGCCTGACGAAGAGGGCGAAGCCGTGGGACGTGAGGACATGGATGTGACGGATCCACATGCAAAGGAAGAAGAAGCACTCGACCTTCCCGACGAGATGCAACTTGACGGTGAAGAGAAGGGCGATGAAGGTGAAAGTGATGATGGCCTTGATGACGGTATGGACGACGACCTTCCTCCTGTGGAAGATAACGACGAATCAATGGATGGAAAAGACACTGCCGAGGACGAGGCGATGGAAGGTGTTGAGGAGCAGGAGCCTGAGCAAACGGAGGAGGGCATGCCGGATGAGGAGGCAATGGAGACCAATGAAGGCGAGGGCAACGAGGAGACGAACGAGGCTGGCGAGGAGGCCGAAGAAGAGGAGAAGGAAGACTTCCTGGCCCAGCGCGACGAGAATGAGATGGCTGGAGAAGAGGTGGCCCCCAGTGAGGCTGTCAATGGTGGTCTCGGGGCCGACCAAGACCAGAACCAGGACAAGGGTGAATCGGGCAACGCTCAGCAAGAGAGTGGTTCGACAGACCCCTCTACCGAGAAAGAGCAGAAGACCGGTGCGGCCCAAGAGGGAGACGAGAACCAACGACACAACGATGAAGGTGGAGCGAACGATGCCAACCCAGATGATCCTCAACTTCAGGCATTCAAGAAGCTGGGTGATGTTCTCGAGCAATGGCACCGACGCCAGAAGGAGATCATGGATGCTTCGAAACAGGAGGAGGGCGAGTCTGAGGAGCCCATGCCCCAGGACACGGATATGGCCGACGCCGACTTCGAACATCTGGCGGACCAAGACGATGTCGCAGACACCCAAGCCCTCGGCCAAGCCAGCGAGGACCAGGCGAAGGCTCTCGATCAGAACAAGGGGGTGGAGTCGGACGTCAAACCTGAAGGCAACGACGTGCTGCCGGATGTCACGGACGACGACCACCAGGACCTTCCCGACAATAAGCTGGAGGATGAGATGCAGTTGGACCAGGGCCTTCCTACCGAGTCTCAAACGGCTGGGGCCATCATTCCTGGCAACACCCATACGCAGGAACGGACCACCGACGCTGCTGGCCAACAAGAAGCAATCGATGAACTAGATGAGGTCGATGCCCATCTGGCCGCCATTCACCTCTCCTCCAACCTCCCTCCCCTGACTCCCCGGGACGAGGCTCAACGTCTCTGGTCGTACTATGAATCGGCCACCACTGACCTGTCTCTGTCTCTGACCGAACAGCTCCGCCTCATTCTGGCGCCGACGCTCGCCACTAAGCTACGGGGTGATTTCCGGACCGGAAAGCGCCTCAACATCAAGCGGATCATCCCGTACATCGCCTCCCAGTACAAGCGCGACAAGATCTGGATGCGGCGCTCCATCCCCTCCAAGCGCAACTACCAGATCATGCTTGCCGTCGACGACAGTAAATCCATGCTCGAAAGCGGCAGTGGTCAGCTTGCCTTTGAAACCCTCGCGCTTGTCGCGAAGAGTCTGAGCATGCTCGAAGCCGGAGACCTGTGCGTTCTCGGCTTCGGTAACGAGGACCACGTCCGGGTTGCGCACGAGTTCGGCAAGCCGTTCTCCTCGGAAGCCGGCACCCAAGTCTTCCAACATTTCAGCTACCAGCAAACCGGCACCAACGTGCGGAAGCTGATTGCCGACTCCATCGCCCTCTTCCGCGAAGCCCGCTGGAAGCAATCCCCTGGCAGTGGCAACGCAGACCTCTGGCAACTGGAACTGATCATCTCCGACGGTATCTGCGAAGACCACGAAACCATCCAACGTCTGGTCCGTCAGGCTCAAGAAGAGCGCATTATGATTGTCTTCATTATCGTCGATGCCGTCAAGGGCAGCTCCATCCTCGACCTCAGCCAGGCTAGCTTTGAGGCGGATGAGAGCGGTTCGGGCGAAATGAAGTTGAAGATGAAGAAATATCTCGAGGGATTCCCCTTCCCTTACTACCTTGTTGTGCGAGATGTACGGGAGTTACCGGCTGTTTTGGCTACGGCGTTGAAGCAGTGGTTTGCTGAGGTTGTTGATGTGTCGTCTTGATGGGTGTAGAGATATTATGTGATTATGTGAAAAGTTAGGATTTTGTTATGATTGTATATATCGATTTGCATTAGACAAGAATTTCACCGTTTTACTCGATCTAATACTAGTGCTTTTAGTATAGCAAAACTAGCAGATCGTGATCAAGAGCATACATCACCCCATGTACGAAGCAGGCCGCAATCCAAGTAACAAAAATACCTATACAATCCCAAGAGCTTTTCTAAGAAAAACAATAAAACAAACCAAATCAACAAAACTCCATCCATGCACCCTCAACTCACAACCACACACACACACATAAAAGAAAAAAGAAAAGAAAAAAGGATTACCATCCATACTTCGACCCCGCCTCCTTCTTATTCCTCCTCCCCGCCGCAAAACTCTCCTCAAGCGCCTCCCGCTGCGAACTCGCCGCATTAACCAACTGCTGCAACGAATGCTTCCCCGGCGCAATCGACCGAACAGGGTTATGTTGCTGCGCGGCCAGATCCGTCGAGTGGAGCATTTCCTGGTTCGCGGCGTATTCTCGGTCCGTGTTGAAATGTAGGACGCGAGATGTCGCGGAGGTGTCGGCGTGGCGGCCGAAGAGTTGTCGGCGTTGCGCTTTGGAGAGGTTGAGGTCGTTGGCGATGGTCGTGAGGGTTTGGGTTGTGTTGGTGGTGGTGGTGGTGGTTGATGAGGTATCGGGGGTGAGGGAGGGATCGGGGGATGGGCCGGCGGGGAGGGCTGAGGTGGTGGGGGTGTAGACGAGGGGTTCGTAGGTGCTGCTTGTGCTTTGCGATTGAGTGGTGGTGGTGGAGGGAGTGTCGTCGGTGCTGGAGAGAGAGAAGAGGCTGATTTTTGGTTTCGGTGCTGGTGCTGGTGTTGGCGCTGCTGCTTGCACAGGTGCGGTCTGTGACTGTTCCTCCTTCTTGCTCTTATTCTCCACCGATGATGAAGCAGATGAAGATGAAGATGAAGCAAGCAAAGCAGCCACCTTCCTCTTCTTCTGCTGCGACGCCCGTCCCACCGACAACGGCTTGAACATCATCGGGTTTCCTTTCAACTTCACTTCCCCCTCCGGCTTCATCTTCAATTCAGATCCCTCCCCCTTAGACTCCTCTTCAAATTCCTCCCCCCTCAAACTCCCCGCCTTCGGTATCGTCTCATCCCCATCTCCATCCTCAGCATCCCCATCTTTCCCTAACATCCCAAACGCCTGCTCACTCCTCATCTCCGCATCCGCCTCCCGATCAAACCCCGGCGTCGCCCCCGTCTTCAAACTAAAGATCTTCCTGGGAGGAGCTTTTTTCTCCCCCGCCCCATTGCCGCTGCCGCTAGTGGTTTGCTTCTTCGGCGCCGGTAAAAGTGCATTGAAGCCCGAGAATGCGCCGCCGCCTAGCTTGGGCTTTTTGCGCGGAGCGGTGTCGTCATTTCCGGGGGTGGAAGTAGAGCTGGATTCGGGTTTTAGGTCGAGGGCGATGCGGATTTTGCGGGGGTTGGAGCGGTCGACTAGCGTTGGGAAGGAGGAGGAGGAAGAGGTGGTGGTGGTGGGTTTGGGGGGTTGAGATTGAGGTTGGGGCTTGGAGACGGTAGCGGTGGTGGTGGTGGTGGTGGTTTCGGGTTCCGAATCGGAGGCTTCGGAGTCAGAGTAGGCGACTAGGGCCATGATTGTGCTGTGCTGTGTTGGGTTGTGTCGGTGGTGGTGGTGATGTGGTTGGTTTGAGGTAGATGGGAGCTGCGGCGATGATAATGTCGAGTGATTTGCGATGGGTTGTGATTGGGTGGATTAGTCAGCTATGCAGGTGCGTGTTATGCTGGTGGTTTACTGAAGGTACTAGGTACACCGTCGGGTTGATTTGCAGTAGAATGTCCAGATATCAGTAAGCGACAGCTTAACAGCTAGTAGGTATTTGAATATACTTCATATTCTTTCACGGATTCAAGCGAAGACACCATCAGCCAGTGACATCATCAAGAAGCCATTAAGATCAGATAAGATAAGATGCGCTTACTAACATGACTCAAAAGGTCCATATCGCGCATTATTCTTCTTCATCCTTCACTCATCTCATCTCACCCACCACATTCGTTTCTCACCTCGTACATCGCTCATTCTACGGACAAGCTATGCGCAACTAACCGCTTCGCGATCCCCAACACACAGAGGTCTTACCACCGCGCCTCTCAAAAGAACACCATGGACACCAACACCACCACCACCACCGAGACCACTCCCTCACACCCCCCAGATCCCTCCACAACCAACCCCAACACATCCAGCACCACCCCCCGCCGCAGCAAATTCCGCTTCAAAGACCCCCACCGCAAACGCCACCACCACCATAACCATCACCGACACACCTCCCCCACCCATACAACCACCCACACCCACACTCACACCACCCATCGCCCCCATCGCACCCACAAACCCCGCCCCCCACACCGCCCCAAACACCCCTCCTCCTCCCACCCCTCCTCCACCCCCACAGCAGCAGACACCATCTCCCCCACCGCCGCCTTCCGCGAATCCCTCTTCGACGCGCTCGGAGACGACGAAGGCGCCGAATACTGGGAATCGGTATACGGCCAACCAATCCACACGTACTCGGTCCCACACATCCCCAAGGGCCCGAATGGGGAACTCGAGGCGATGGACGAGGAGGAGTACGCGACGTATGTGCGGACGAGGATGTGGGAGCGGACGAGGGAGGGGATGGAGGCGGAGAGGGAACGGTTGAGGGCCGAGAGGGCGAGGGTTAATGCGAAGGAGAGGGAGAGGGAACGGGAGAAGGAAAGGGAGAGGGAGAGGGTGAGGTTTGAGGTGGAGGTGGAGGAGAGTTTGAGGAGGGGGAGGGAGAGGAGGAGGAGGGAGGGGTGGGGGGTTGTTTGGGGGAGGTATTGTGCCGGGTGGAAGGGGGTGGAGGGGTTGGTTAGAGAGAATGGGGATGGTAGTGGTAATGGTGGTGGTGGGGAGGGAAAGAAAGGGGAAGGATTTGCGGAGGTGGTGTTTTGGCCGGTGGAGAGTGGGAGGAGGGAGGATTTGGGGAGGGAGGAGGTGCAGGCGTTTATGAGGGGGTGTGCCGGGGTTGCTGGTGCTGGTACTGGTGCTGGGGAAGGGAATGGGGGATTACTGGGGTTGTTGAAGACGGAGAGAGTACGGTGGCATCCCGATAAGATTCAGCATCGGTATGGGAGTTTGGGGCTGGATGAGTCGGTCATTCGCAGTGTGACGGAGGTGTTTCAGATGGTGGATCAGATGTGGAATGAGGAGAGGAAGAAGCAGAGTGATTGAACCTGGTTTGCTGTTGATGTCTGCGAGGCGCAGATATCCTGGCGTTGGAAGTGATACCCCTTGTCGATTGATGTTTCATCAGGATTTTTTGCAAGACTACGTCTACTGCTGATCGCATGAGTCGTCAACTTTTCATGTCCACTAGGGACCCCCATAGATACACTGATATGACACGACACGGCTATGCAAGAACGAACGGAATAAATGACACTGGTTTTCTCTTTTCTTGTTTTCTTCCACTACACTACCCCACCTAGAACCGCGAGTAACGGGTCTTGGTGCGGTAGGCAGTATAACCAACATAAGCTCCCACAATCACAGCAAGGAACAAAACAGCCTTGAACAAGAACCATCCCCAGCTGCCCTTCTGCTTGCGGCGCTTAACACGACCCGAGTCACGACCCTTGCCCGACTTGGGAGAGCTGCTGCTGCCGCTGCCACTACCGCTGCCGCCGACGCTGTACAGGTTCTGCGCCTTGACCGAGATGATGTCGTGGTTGTCGCTCAGCTCACCCGTCTCGGCGGAGAAGCCCAGGTAGGCGACGGAGGGAATGGCAATGTTGTACTCCGGCGCGGTCAGTTCGAAGCAGGGAATCCAGCTGTCCTCGGACTTGTATTGCAGGTCCAGAGTCAAGGACTTGTCCTGGAAGTAGGTCAGGCGAGCCTTGGTAGGGACGGAGGCGCCACGGAGACCGCGAGCCTATGCACAGTTAGCTCATCAACACGCCCTGCCATATCAATATTCACTCACCGAACAGCCAGCCAGTTCATTGGCCTTTCCATCGTGAGCCTGGTCGTAGGTGGTCTGGCCATCACCCATCATGGCCATGACGTAGGGGAACGAAGTACCGGGACGGTTGTTCTTGTACGTATCGAAGAAGATACCCAGACCCTCAAAGTTATCCGTCGATCCGAAAACAGGACCCTGGGTCGCGCGCTGCTTGGTGAGCCACATGGCAAAGCCATCGCCGTGCAAGTTGCCGGATCCCTCAATCTTGAATTCGACCTCGATCTGCTAACATCAGAACCTTGTCTTGCATAGTTGCAGCGCATCACTGACCTCCCAGTTTGTCGCCGTCAGCGGCACGCGAGAGAAAACCCATCCCTGCTGCGACGGGCGATCGGACGTAAGACGGATATATCTAATATACTCAGCATGAAGCTCTCAGACCGCAAAGCGGGACATACTTGTCGGCGCGGATTATCGTGTCACCACCAAAATCGAACCAGCGGCTTTGGAAGTCGGAATCCAAGTAAGGCTGCGAGGTGTCAGTAACAATGCGCAAGCTGCGACGGCAGCCAGTCAGCTATAGATGACCCACCGGTGCAAGACTGTGTGTGCGAAGCTATCCAAGACCAATCAGCAACTCTCCTAATACCTTAGAACAGCAGCATACACACCGGAATGCTCTTGATGTTGTCATCGCCATCGTAGGCGCTGGCCACAGGCACGCTGGCCAAGCCAGCCAGGCACAACAAGGACGAAAGTCGTGGAAGTAACATGTTGTCGAATATCAAGCGCACACTCAAAAGCTCGGTGAAGATTCGAGACGAGCAACCGTTAAAGAAGATAGATGTCCAGGGATATGAAAGATCGACTGCAGCTAATCAAAGCAAGGTGCTCAAGTAGATCGGCGTTATAGTCAACTGTCACCGGGACATCAACGAAAACCAAGGGTTCACCTCGTAAGATACGAGGAAAAGGATGAGCGGTCAATTGAAAAAGGTAAATCCGGGAAAGAGGCGGAGCAGGAGAAAGAACGAACACCGGTATGGAAGAGAAGCGGAGAAGGGGAGGGGAGTCGGGGACAGATCAGAGATCGACGCAAGTATAGTAGGCGATGGTGAAGACCAAACCAAACTCCAAGTGTCCACATCGCCGGCAGTGGCGCAGCACCGCTTCTCTTCCGCCCGCACCAGCCACACCTCCGTCGGAGCTCGAAAGATCCTGTCCGCCTCGTTCTACATACTTCATCTCCATTCACCACTCCCCGTTCCGGATTTCTCGACTCAATCGCATTCACCATGTCTTTCTTCGGCTCCGGCTCTAGCTCTACCCCTGACTCCTCCAAGGAGGTGAAGGATGCCATCGTCAAGCAGCTCCAGAGCGAGACCGCCATGAACAATGCCCGGATTCTGATCAACGTACGTGGAACAACAGCTCCCTGAATAAAACTACCGCTGGAGACCGCGCTAAACCCCCTCTCAGAAAGTGAACGAACACTGCTTCGCCAAGTGTGTTCCTACCCCCGGCTCGTCCCTGTCGGCGAACGAGCAAACCTGCTTGACCGACTGCATGGAAAAGTACATCGCCTTCTGGAACGAGGTCAGCCGCACCCACCACCACCGCATGGGTCTGGAATCGAAGAAGATGTCGCTGTAATCGCCCTCCACATCCCGTTTCCTCACCAAGAGGGCATGGCGCCTCCCCGGTTCTTGCGGCCTCATCCGCCACCGGATTCGCCCTGTTTGAGCTAGGATTAACCGTTCTGCGAGCTATGTCTTATCCAGCGTCAGTGGTCATCGTGGGGATGACCCTTTTGTATATAACAGGTCTTCTGGTTTCGGGCAGCCGGTGGCTCCTTGCGAGGACAGGATGGAACAACACCGGAAAGGCAAGCAAGTTGCACTGGTCAGGCCGAACGGCGGCCCAATGGACATTCGGCTCCATTCAGAGGCGAGGGATACCGCTGATCCAAGACTACTTTTATTGCAATGACCAAATCAAATATGTACATTATACAGTTGCCTCCAAGGGGAAAGGGAAGGAAAGATATCAAGTGACCCAAAGTAGTTCCCCAATATTTGCACAATATAACTACGTAATAGCAGGGGATAGAAAGAAATGGGTGCAGCTGGAGACCATCCACCAGTCAACAGCGGAACGGTCGGCATAACACAGAACCCCAACGCTTCCAGCACGAACACCACCGCAAACACCCTCCTGCCTGGCCAAAAGCGAAAAAATATAGACGATTATGCCCACCCAGACGGAAGCCCCGGGGATCCGAGTCGTGTCATCTCACTCGTTAGATCCCCAGGAGCTGGTATATGGATAAGCCTATATGCAGACCGCCAACAGTTGGGACACGCGAAAGAAAGCAGATGAAACCATAGCCTACTTCGAAGCAGAGATAACGGAGGCCTACGCCAAGAACAGAGCTCTTCAGATGTATGCTCTAAGTCAAAGGCAGCCAAGGGTCAAGTCGGCCAGCGATCAAATAAGAGACGAACCGACGTAGGGGAAAGTAAAGAATGGTGGGTAAACGGATGGCTACCTTAGTAGCGCAGGGAAGAATGAACTAGAGGATGTGCCCTATGTTCAAAACTCGCAAGGTCATCGGCCATCCAATGCGGATGAGACGACATGTCTAAAGCCGAGACAATCATTCCATCATAACTCATAGCAGACACTAAAAGTCTGGGAACAAATGGCCATGTCTGTGTCGGTAGGAGTATCGGTCAGCAATGCCATTTATGCAGAGGTACAAGAGGGCACATACGGGTCTTCACCGGCCATGCCATACTGTTCGGTCTCCTCAGGATAGCGGTCATACTGACTCGCATCTCCCTGTCCACCCCGGATGGGGGGCACATAAGGAGCGTCGATATCCTTCCGGGCCAGACGATCCCAGGTGACCTCGGCAAACCAAGGATGGTTCTTGACATCATCGGACCCGCCATGAAGGTTACCCAGACGCTTGGTCAGGTCTGATGTGATGAGTTGCGACAGCAGGTCAACGGCATCTGGGTGCAAGTAAGGCGGATACTTCACCCTGCCGCGCAGGATGTTCTCGTAGATCTTGACCGGGGAACCACTGTCCCAGAACGGTGTGAAACCACACAGCATTTCGAAGATCAAGATACCCAGTGACCACCTGCGACGTTGTCAGTACGATCACCGGCCCACTTCATGCACCAGTCATAGCAATCCTTACCAGTCGACGGATTTGTTGTAGCCCTTGGAGGAAACCACCTCCGGGGCGAGGTAATCCGGAGTACCGCAGAGGGTCCATGTAATGTCAGGGACTTCCTTGGCAAATCCGAAATCAGTGATCTTCAAATGGCCGTGTCGGTCCAGCAGCAAGTTCTCGGGCTTCAGATCACGGTAGATGATCTGCTGCGAGTGCAGGTACTCAAGTGCGAGGGTGACTTCCGCGGCATAGAACTTGGCGACAGGGTTGGGGAACCGCTACATGAGAGCCCACGGGGTCAGCGTTATGTGGTGCAGGAGGGCAAAGAGATCACCCACCTGTGACTTGCGGAGCAGACTAAACAGTTCACCACCCTCTACAAAGTCCATGACCATGTATAAGTTCCGGGAATCTTGCCATGTACCCCACAATGTGATTAGGAAAGGGTGCCGGACGCGATTCAGCATCCGTCGCTCGTCGTTGGTGTGCTCAATCTGCTTCATCTTAACCACCTGCGCCTTCTTCAGCACCTTGACCGCATAGAAGCGGTGGTTGTGCTTCGACTGCACCAAGTGCACCCGACCGAAACTACCGGTACCGAGGGTGCGCTGGAGGGAGAAGTCATCCAAGGAATACTTTCCCTTAGTGGTGCGGGTATCACTGCGGCTGGATTGTTGAGCCTGCGCATGGCCACTGGATCCGGAATGCATCGCGCCTTGCTGTGATGGGTGGATTATATTCTGTATACTAGCCGCATTGGAATTGGACTGGGGAAGACCAGAGGAGTGCTGAGCAGACGGCGAGGCTTGCGTCACCGCGGATTGCATGGAGGCTACTTGACCCTCGCTGGTTGTCTCTGCACCGGAGGACCGATTGGGTTGATGAGGAACCGAATTTTGAGGCTGGGGGGCAGGGTTGGCTGGGGTACCGGAATTGGTGGCAGGTTGGTGGTGATGATGGTGGTGGAACAGGTGGTGGTGGTGGTGGTTCTGGTTGTGGTGGTCTTCGGCAGCGTTTGGTGACGTCTGCGTCTGGGCCGAACCGGCTTCAAGCTCTTTGGAGAGGGTCTGCGAATCTTTCGTTCGCCGTTTTTTCAACAGGCCTCCTAAACTAGGCATCGAGGACACGGCTCTGGGTGGATTTAAGGGAGAGAGGACCACAGAGCACACACGTGTGTCAGGGTGGGAAAATGCGGGCGGAGGAAGGGCAGCTCGACCCCTCTTTAAGAGTGCTCCTAGAGAGGGGAGAGCAACAAAAAGTGAGGGAGAGCGGCGAGCTTTTCTCTTGGGACGGTTCGGGCGCGGATACAGCGGAGCCACCAACAGAACACTGGTCCCGAACGGCGGTCAACGGAAACTCAATTGAACAGAAGGACACAGTGATGATGTCCGGATGGAGTGCAAGCGTTGTGGACGCGTGACGGGAAGGGCACGCGGGGGGGGGAAGCGGTAGTTGGTTCTTGGGAAAGTCTGGTTAGATAGTATGGCTCGTGTGCGGGATGGATGAGGGGAGGAGGGGTGGGTTAGCAGAGGGTTTCAGCAGGGAGGGGAGGAGAGGGGAGGAGGAGAGGAGACTTGGGAGAGAGCAGCACAGCAACACAGCAGCTCAGCAGTTCAGCAGTTCAGCAACCCGGGAGGTATTATTATTGGGGGGTGGAAAAGGGAAGCAAAGGAGGAGGCGGGGTTGGATTGGCGTCCATCCGCATCGATTGGGCTTAGCGGAGTCGCCTGCTCAGCTGCCTCACCACTACTATTCCTACTATTACTCTTACCCACTGTCAAAGGGTGATGCTCTCCATCGGTTAGTATACAGACCTTATCGACCGGGTCTCACAATCGCGATTCCTCGGCATTACCCCCTGACCCTCCATCCCACTCGTGACCGCGCCGGATGAAACAATCCTCCCCTACGGTAGGATCCTCTCGTCTGGGAGCGGTCGGAGTCGAAGCTATCGCCAGCAACCACCAAGCGACTCCACCGCAACGCTAAAACATACTTTGTCTGGGCCGGTGTTTCCCACACAATGAGGAAAACCCAGCGGCCTCGATGTCCACGTTCATCATGACAGTCGGAACCGGCCTCGAGATCAAGTCGATGATCCAAATCCACGGGCTCCAGCCGATCTCAACCTGCTCCGGCACGCGATCCATGGGCCCTGAGTGTCATTATCATCATCATTCTTATCGAGATCCAGTTCCGGTTCGCCTCACCCCGATGAGGTCATCACCTCCCGTCTTCAGAGGCTGACGCCGAGTCCGACACCCCTACCGAGCTAGTCCTCTAGCGAGTAGCTTACTTGGTGGTGGTCTAGATACTATCTCGGTATGGGATGGTCGCTCGAGAGAAGCGCGTCCTGCACGTTTCCTCATGTCCCGAGAACCCGCGCGCATGTTGGGCAGATGACAGATGGCAGCTGCATTGCTTGTGCTGCTGCCACGACCCGTTATGAACAGGCGCCCCTAGCCAGAAAGATGCAGCGAGACGGAGCGAGGCCTCGAGCTGCGCGGTGACTTCATCACCGCCGGTGGATCGGTGGAACGCCCCGCTTCGGGGATTTCGCTTTCCTCAGGCCTATCAGCGCCCCGGCGGCGACAAGTCCCCGTCCACCTCTATCCTGGTTGGCTCCCGCCCGCTATTTACTCTGGGTCCCTCTCGACGCTTGCATCCAGCATGATTCTGTCGGTGTCGCGGCTCGAGTCTCAAAGTCGCTGCATTTTTCGTTTGCCCACACTCCTACAGAGCCCCAAGTAAAGGCGCATCTCTGCTCCCTGGAAAGACGGTTCCAATTGTTAAAACGTAGCCCGCTCCATGCTGATTCGAACCTCACATCCAACCGAGAAAAGGCTCCTATGTACTCCTACCTAGCAAAAATCGCAACGCCGCCTGCCTTGCGCAAGGGTCCCTCCGCCCGTGTCATAACAGCAATAAGAATACGATGCCGAACCTAGATGCGATAATGGGCCATGTTCTTCTTGATCTCATCCACAATTTCCACCGCCTCGAGAGCATTGCGCGCCTCGAAGTCATACCGTTTCTGCTCGTTGGCCTCGTTGCCGCGCAGCACGACCACCCGGAAGTTCTTTGGGTGTCGTCGGCTCACCTTACACCCAACAACATCACTGAAGCTGATCGACCGCGTCTTCGTGTCCGACGCCGTTTTGCCCGTGTCCGCTGGCATGATATGCATATAGTCGTTGTCAAACGTCAGAATCCGATGATTGGAGGCGGTGAACGACATGGATTGTTTGCGCCAAACGTAGTACCGCCGATAATACCCTCCAATGAGATCCTGTTGCTGAGTGAGTGGGTGCAGCATGCGCTGTCCGCTCTTCTTCCCCTTCTTGCTAGGCGCGCTGTTACTGTCGATGAGGAGCGGCGCATTCGGGGATGAGCTGCCGGGAGAGCCCGTCATCGACTGCGGCCCGAAACGCCGGCGCACCAGGTCCAGCTCCGTAATGTTGCCCAACGCCTCCACGGTTCGATCCAATGGCGCGATCGTGTTGGATCCCATCACCTTGAGTAGATAGTTTCCCTTGTCCAGACCCCATCGCTTGCACACGGAATCCAGGATCTCGGCGATGTAGCTGTCGGTAGACGTGTTGAGGGTTGTAACCTGGGTGGAGGCCTCCACGTTGATGAATCGGATCTTCAGCGTTTTCGAGACACCTAATCGAGGAGTCGCGTGGGACGTGGGCACAGCGGGTCGATCAGCGGGGGTGAGCGTATTGTCGTTCAACGCCGACGAGAATGGTTGCCCTAAAATGGGATTCTGACGAGGTGCCTTGTTCTGCGGAACAGGCTGACTTGTCGGTGCAGTAGTCGTCGCTGCTGTCTCTCCGCTGTCATCTGGAGAGGGTGCCAGGCTGAACATAGGGAAGAGGCGCTCATTGTCTTCAAACTCTGCCTTCGATGCCTCCACCAGCGCGAATTCATCATACTGCTTGCCTCGGGTTCGGCGGCCAGCGGCCCGGTTGTTATTCGACGTAAAGTCGGCAATGGGCGATGTTCGACTGAGCGCGGGAAAATCATACTCAACTTCGCCGTCTTCCACCATCCGAAGCGTCCACATGTTCACGGTAAGCTTACCGCGTTCGACAGCCGGTTCGCGGCTTTCTTCGGTGTACCTCCAGAGGGCTAGACCAATGGCTTCAACAACCGTGACAGGCGCTGGTTGTTCCGCAAGTTTTGACTCGCGGGTGATTGGCAGATCAAGTGGCTCATCAGGATCGGCGGAAAACGGCAGATAGAGCTTGATGTTCAGGACATCATTCAAGCCTTCGCCTGATAGCACCGCAAATTTTTCGACTGGGTTGGCCGGCGCTTTCTTGCGCGCGTTCAGCGCCTTCGAGAGCAAACTTACCGGCTGAACCGTACTGATCGGCCGTGGGGGTGGAAGGTCTTGTAATTCTGGCGCTGGGGCCTTTGGCTTCCTTGGGGATGCAGTTTGCGAGCCCGTGCCGTTCTGTAACTTATGCATCAACGCAATCGGCGATGACGAGTTCAAGCTACCAGTAATTCCAACGCCTGCGAGAAGCGATGCAGAACCCGCTGTGGCGTCAAATTCAGATGAGAGCGCTGACCCGACAGATTCAGCCCCCGAGTCCTCGGCCTGCTCGTTGAGCTCTTCAAGGTCCCGTGGGCCTGGGGGGCCATGTCTCTTTCTCGCAGGTTCGATCACCTGATCCTGGCCGGAGAACTGGATTTGGCGCCTCTTGAAGGCCGCCGCATCCAGGTCATTGTCCGAAGATATATCACTGCTGACCGTGGTAGTGGTATCTCGCCGTGGCCGCTCGTTGATGCTGCTGACAGCGGTGCCCAGTGAGCCGGTACGGTAATGGGTACCGATTGTTGGATGTGATGGAGAAGTGACCATGACCTGCGGGCTTTCCTGACGGTCTGATGAACGTATGGGAGAGGACCCAGCTCTTGTTCGTATAGGCATCTTCATGAACTTAATCTGATTCGCAGCACTGCGGCATGTGAGCATGGAACTTCGTAAGCGGGCTCTCTCCACCCCTTGCCCCGGTTGGCTCACCTTCGAGCGCTGTCACCGTCATCGTCGCTCTCGTCACTTAAGTCGCTGCTGTCGTCTTCCTCAGCATCCCTATGTTTCTGGTGATCGTGCTGTTGCCGATCTCTTCGATGAACCCTTTTCCCGCGGTTTCGACGCCCAATCAGGTCTGTATTGGTCTTTCCGGTCACCATCCCGCCTTCATCATCGTCGCCTTCATCCACAAGCCCGAGTCTCTGCGCATCGCTAGCATCTCGGGCGACGCCTAGTTGATAATACTCCGAGGAGACCGCCGCTGTCGTAGGAATCGGAGGAGAATAGGTACGCTTAATGTGAGCTGCAGCGCTCTGTGCATTGGGGTTTGTAGAAGCCGAAGACCAGCCAGCCGCGCGGAATCCTGGCGTATTGAGTACGGTGTTGTTCACGTTTATAAGCCTGTCACCTATGCCGTCCTTGATGGTAGACAGATAGGATGTGCGCAACTGCCAGATAGTAAAACTGGATCCCAGTTAGTTGCTAGCAACACCGGCCGGCGCGATCACCGTCACTGGGACAGATGAGGGGAACGCGAGGGGCGCGACTTCAGACATACTCTTCATTGTGAAGGAGAGACATTTTAGGAACTGCGGAAAAAACAGAGATGTGTATAAGAGATATAATGAGACTCGTCGCGATCAGTGATAAGGACCATTTACGCCAGGAGAAGCGATACCGCCATCGGGGTTCGAGTGGGCATGATCTCCGGCTGGTGCAACAAGGGGAATAGATAGATGCGCTGCACTCGAGCAGGCAGCAAAGTAGGAAAAGAGAGCGACCGCGTGTGTCAGGACCAGCCTGTAGTAAGAAATGAGGGATAAGAAGCAACGTACGGAGAGGACGTCCTGCGGCGACGAGGTTGTGGGGATGGAAAGCAAGCAGGCTCAGCCATCGCGGGAGGAGAGGAGAACCCGTGGCCGATCTCCGCACCGCCGCCATTTCCCGCCCGGACGCTTATTTAGGGAAGGGCTTCCCCATGGTGCCCTGTGGATCGGATTTTCTCTTGTCAAGCCGGTGCCGGTCATATCAACTATTAATGTGGACTGGGTCGCTGAGTGCTCATCCAGAAGCATCTGGTCTATGAAGCGTAAAGCTGACTTTGAGGAAAGATGCGGGGTATACAAAGCCACCACCAAGATACACACAGACCATCTTATCAAACGCAACAATGTCAAGTGCCAGATTTAAGTGCTCTGACAGTATTATATTACGCTCCCTAACAGAAACGAATCTTTCGGGCCTCTGACTTGGTTCAGAAATTGACAAGGTTATGAACAGACACAACAGACCCTCTAGCCAACTCGGCTCTGATGCAGCCCGGGATAAATCGTTAAGACAGGACAATAATCATCCTCCGCAGAGATGGTGACATCTCCATGATAAAATACAAAATCATGATCAGAAGTATTGGCATAATCACTTGGCCTTGGGCTTTCGAGCTCGGCTCTTCTTCGGCTTCTCCTCCTCGTCGTCAATGAAATCATCGTTCGCTGCTGCTTTCTTCGTCTTCCGTCCCTTGGAAGCGCCGCCCTTCGAGGCGGCCGCTTTCTTGGGCACGCGAACATACTTATCCTTCTTTAGATCAAGCTCTTCTTCACTCTCATCGTTGTTCTTCGAATCGTCTTCAAGGACCTCTTCCTCATCCGACTCCTCGATAGCATCTTCGAGGTCAGGCTTCTCCTTCGGCATTTTCTTCGGTACAGCGACACTGCTGGCCTTAATGAAAGGAAGTGGATGCGAGCGCTGATTGTAAATCCGCGTGAAGGCTGCCTTTGTCTGTGTTTGAAGCTTGACATTGGATTCATCCATGGGGCCCAGTCCAAGCTCCACGAGAGCGTCCCAGTCCTCTCGGGTCAGGAAATAACTGTCCATAAAATCAATAACGTCGTCGACACTATCCTTGCCCTCGACCATTAACCGGCGGACCAGGCGGTCCCAGAGGAGCGGCATATACTGTTGTCGAATTTCATCGCGGTCTCCAGAAGCACGAAGGCGCATATGACCCTGAATTTCTTTCGTATAACGCCAAAGTTTCCCTGTCATATGGGTTAGTGGAACTACAGAGTGAAAATTAGCAGGTGAAACATACCTTGTTTACTGTTCTGTCCCAGCCAACTAGTAAATCCGGGCCGTTCCATCATGTTGCCGTATGCGAAGCTCGCTGGCCGGACAAAACTGAAGACGGCATGGGTAGGCATCAGACTCCATTGCTGCTGGGATCCATGGATCATTCTGTCGACAAGGTCACCATCGCTAATGCTTGAAGCCGCATTGTCTGCCAGTTCGAGCTGCTTCAGCTTCTGTTCTCTGCCCTGATACCCTCCAGCTAACACCGGTTTCGTTTTCAGATAGTTCTCCTGGAGCATCAACGGACTGAACTCATGATCATTGAAGTAGAGCTCAATCTTCTCATTCAAAGTGGTCTTTGAGCTCGGCGAGAACATCTGAGCACTGAGGATCTTGCCGACGATATCCCACGGCTTGAGCACAATGTGCTTTTCCCATGCTTTGGACATTTCCCGTCCCTTTTCATAGTTCAGGTTGGTCTGGTCCAGTTTCACCGTCGAGAGCATATTAATCACTTGTCGGATATCAGCATTCGTGCCTTCAATGAGGCTGTCCAGAACCTGGGGTGGGATCTTCAAGCCCTCGCGGAAGCAGATTGTCGAAAGTCTGGCCCTGATCTGCTCAGCCGTCGGGCGTCTGAACGGAAGTTCAAATGAGACATGATCGAAGGGCTTCATTTTCGGAAGCCTCCGTTCGTTACATATCAGGATCAGCGGGATGTGAGTCTTCTTGGCGATTGCCGCCAGAGCGCCTACACCACCCCTATCACCGGCAGACATTCCGTCAACTTCGTCCATGATGAGAACCAGGTTTTTCTTCTCGCTCTCCACCTTCTTGCCCACACCCGAGAAATAGCCCTGCAGGGATGTTGTGTCCAGAACACCAAGGAGGCCGTTTTCCACGAGCTTCTTGCTCCGGGTGTCACTTGCATTCGTCTCAACAACATCGTACCCTTCTAGCTTTGCGACCAGGTGTGCTGCAGTGGTCTTGCCAATTCCAGGTGGCCCGTGAATCATAACAGAGCGATATAATCCTGAGCCTTCTTTTCCTGGCTTGTTAAAGCCAGCTTTAGCATTCTTGTGCCAGTCGCGGAGCCAGTTCTGTAGCTTCTCGACAACACCTTTGTTGCCACAAATCATATTGAGCGAGGTTGGCGCATATTTGGTAGTCCATAGACGATCATCAATCTTCGCGCTCTGGGAACTTGGCGGCTGGGAACTTGACGGTGGTTGAGGCCCCGAGGGAGTATCGTTGCGCTTGGCCGCCGCCGCCGCCGCTTTGCGTTTCTCCTCACGGTCAATTTCAGCTGCCATCGCTCGAATCTTTTCTTCCTCCGCTTTTTTCTTCGCTTCATGCTGCTCTGCTGCCTTCCCGTCTCCACCATTGGCGGGAAGTCGCCGGATGAGTTCGAACAGACCCTCTTCATTAATCGTCTTCAGATTATGCTGCTTGATCGTTGCAAGCTTCTTAGGCCCAGCGTCTGCTCCCAAGACGACATAGCTAGTCTTTGAGCTAGGGGCTCCAGTAACTTTGCCTCCATATTTCTTCACCAATACTTGCCCTTCGTCACGGCCGAGCGTGTCCAGAACACCGGTAAAGACGAAGGAAAGTCCAGCAAGACAATTCTCTGCTCCCACTGGCAATTCAGCACTTCCAGCTGCAGGACCGGTCGAGCGCTGTGCTTGGGCAGCGAAATTGAATTTCTTTTTTTCGCCAGTATCTGGTGGAGGTGAGGGTGGCCTAACCGTTGGAATGCTATCGAATATGTCCTGTATCTCCTTGCTTTCAGGTCGATCGACTTTGGCAGATGCCCGTGGTTTCTTGGGGGTACGAGGAGCGGCTTTAGCCTGAGCGCCCTTCTTGGGACTGCTTTTCGACTCATGATCCTCATCCTTGTCGAGAACTTCAGATTTGCGCTTCCGCGCTGGCTGAGAGGTTGCGGACTTGGTGGCTCTTGAAGGTCGCTTAGGCAGATCCTCCATTACCACATCCTCATCCGAATCGGAAACGGGTGCCTGTTTCCTACGCCCCTGTCGCCCGGGGGCCGCACTGGCTGGCTTTACCGCAAGTTCCTCGAAGTCGCTATCACCGTCCTTGTCCTCTTCCTCGACATAATCATCATCACCCTTGCCCGGCTTTTTGTACTCTGTCGCAAAAATGTCATCGTCGCCAAGTTCTTCGTCATCGAGAATAGCTGTGGCTTTTTTGGTGGACCCACGTTGAGGTCTCTTCACGGGTTGCTCGGTGACTGTGGGCTTTTTCGGTTTCGGGGACGGCTTCGGCTCCAGATCGTCGGCGGCAGCAGGCTGAGGCTTAGATTCTTTGGGGGGTCTGCCCCTCTTCTTACTGGAAGCGAAATAGTCCGAGGTCGACGTCGGTTCGCCTTTCGATACTTCTGGCTTTCTGAGAAGCCGTTGTCAGCAAACGATTGCGGGTAAGTATCCCAGGAAGACGTACGGCTTGCTCGGAGCCTTCACCCTTGGGCTTGCGGTCTTGGTCGCGACCACTTCCTCATCGTCACTATCATCCACCACCTTTCTAGTTCCTGCGCACTCATCATCAATAAAAGAGCGCAGATCTAAGTAGATGACTAGTTGTCTTACGCTTTTTTCTAGTGGAAGGCTCCTAATTGCGAGGCACTGTCAGCAAGTAGAGCGGCGATTGGAGAGCATCGTCAATTTCCATGCGCAACGGGCCCATCACATACCTCCTTCTTTGCCGCGGGCTTCGCGGGAGATGCGTTAGAGCCTTGACTAGACTTCCCACCAAAAAAGCTCCGGATATCAGCAGGCATGGCGATGGATGCTTAATGGAGCATGCGCCGGCACGCAATGACTGTATGGGATATTATCCAACTCAAAAAATCCCGCGCCCACGCACTCCGGACTTGCACACCACTTGGACAAGCAGGCAGCCAGACCAGAAACACGACGCGCTTGCCTGGAGCTCCGAGGCGAGACGTGACTTAATTGGCTTATGTAAGGAGGAAGCCCGCGTGTGGCACGTGCGCAGCACTTTCTTCCCGTTCGGGAAGTGGAATCGGACCTGCAGAGATGCCGATGGCCTGAAAGTCTGCGGTCCATCCCATCGTCACTCCGTCCAGTCCACGCAGGCCCGATTGTCCCCTCTCACAATGGGTCCGCAGCTCAAGATGTTCTCGGGCCCTCAGATGGCCTTCCTCCGGCCCTCGTGTGAGACTCCCGCACTCCTCCCCGAAGAAAACTTTTTATGTCCTGACACCAATGCCGTGCAGTAGGTCTGTCGACGCCTTTCACGGCCTTCCCACTCTCCCGATGCTTCTCCACGACCTCGCCTGCCCTCGATTGGCTTACCCCCAAGTACGCCGAGAGATCCAAGTCCCCGAAGGGTCGCCCGCATGTCGCGACTGGTGGCTCCTCCCGCGGCACCACGGTCGTCTGGGGTGATTATGGCTTGCGGATGAAGGACCACGACCGTCGGTTGCCGGCCTCATCGTTGAAGATTGCTGAGGATACGATCAAGAGACGTCTGAGGGGTATGAACTATACCCTGTACAAGCGTGTGAGCGCCAACATCGGTGTCTACACCAAGGGTAACGAACAGCGTATGGGTAAGGGTAAGGGAAAGTTCGACTACTGGACGGCCAAGGTTGGCGTGAGCAGAATCGTCTTCGAGCTCCGGGGTGATCTGCACGAAAAGATTGCGAGGGAGGCTTTCCGTTTGGCCGGCCACAAGCTGCCTGGTACGTACCCATCGAAGTGATATTACCAATTATCAACATACGATACTAACTGTACAATCTCTCCAGGCCTCTGGGAATTCGTGAAGAAGGGCGAACCCCCGGTGGTCGGACTGACGAAACTCGGCAACGGAGTGACTCTGGAAAGCCTTAAACGCGCACGCAGAAGCCCCGCCCTTGGTACACAGAATCAACCCAACCCCCCGACCTCGACCTCCTCCTCCTCCTCCAGCCCCTCTGCTTCCCAATAAACACCAGCGCGCGCCCTCCAACCTCCCCCTCAATCATGTCCCTTACCCCCGGTTTCAATCATTCACACATCGTGACATGACATGACGTCTAAGCCCCGACGCCCGAACCAGGCCCATACCCTTGTTCTCTCCTGATCCTTGCCGCCAGCGCCGCCCCTTCCTCAGGGGTCTCGGGCTTCAGATCTTTTGTGTATATTATCATCAGCTTTCGAGACTCTGTTATATTTCCGCTTTATCGCAAGTCTTCATATGTCATATGCGGAGTTAGGAAATCCAATATCAATCTATACTGTACCTTTATCCACAATCCCAGATAACCCCGACGTAGCCTCCCCTTTCTCGAGCTGTCGTGCCAGCGGCGTATCCCGAAATTGTTCCTCATTTCCGCCGTTCGAATCATCCCCCAATGTCGTCCGCATCTCGCTCACTGTATGTTGCGATTGTCCTGATTGTTTAGCTTCGTGCATTTCAACAATCAATCGATCAATCAATTAATCAACATGGAAAGGAAGATGGAGTTGAACATACCACCCAACTGCCCCGTCTGCTTCTCCGGTGTTTCCGTGAACAAGCGAATCGATTCATACCTGTTCCCAACAATTAAGCTCCCATTAGCCCACATTATCCTCTTACATACCGAATACACCAACGTCAAAGGTTGGGGAAGGGGGAAACATACGGAGTACTTTCACCACCAGGTTCAATATCCATGAGATTGGGGTTCGACATTGTGCCTTATGTATATATATGTACGAATAAGAATATATGTAGATACTCGAAATATGATACAATCAAGATTTGAGATTTGGGGTATGTTGAGGTATATAGAGGAAGGGAATTGGGGGTAATGGTGGTTGATATAGTGGTGGTGGAGGTTGGATGGGGTCAGGGTATGACGTAGTCTAGAGGACCGCACCTACCAAGGTTCGGATAACGTCAACCATAGGTGTTCCTGGCTGGGTTTTTGTTGATATAGTGGTGCTGGGGATGGATACGAGGGCGGTTGTTTGGGTGGGGAGTTGTTATTCGTATAGCTTGTTGGAGGGAGCTGCAGTGGTGGTTCGTCTGTTCTGGGGGAGGGGGTCGAGGTTGGTGCATTACGGCCTATCTAGTACTCCGTATCTACTGCTGAGTTCGCTACAGGCGCAAGGATGTCTAGTTGTCTGGTAGTGTACAATCAAGTCATTAGGAATCGTTGGGTATTAGTAGCTTCGTGATTTAGAATTCCATGCCCATTAGATAGCTGTGAACGGTCAATGCTGGAGTCTTGGGGTTTCTGGAGGGTAGCGAACCTTTCGTAGATGCGCATGAACTTGGCAACGAATGCTTCGAGGTGGAAGATTACTTTCTGTAGAATATATTAGTAGCGTGTCTGGAAAGTAGATGGAATGCCCTTACGCTGCCTTGCGTGATTCTATGCTCGTAGAATGCCGACCATCTGATGACATCGGGTTTTAGAGCGTCGTCGACCTTGGCGATGAGCTTGAATGTCAACGTCTGAGATATTGTTAGCTTTGCTGTCGTTTCTTATTGATGAGGCTATCGAACCTTCAGAATGGTTGTAGGCGGTATGCAATGCGTCAAAAGATCATATAACCGTGCGCGGACTTGCAACAGACGAGCCGGTGACCGTTCTGCCAGGATCTCTTCAGCCGTCAACGCAATCAGGGCCTCCCAGTCGGGAGGTGGGATTGGCGTATTATCCGTAACTTTCTCACTGCGATCAAGCCATGTAAGTCCCGCACGCAAACAACTATCCAAGGGCATCTTACTTCTGAGCGTAAATGGCCTCAAACATGAGAAGAGCGCGGCGGAGATTGCGCCCACTCTCCTTAGCGATCCTCTGATTCAACCCACTCGCCTCCGGCCAGCCCTCCTTCTTGCCCGCAGACTTCAGCACAGAGCAAATATCCTCTTCGCTCGGGGCAGCAACCCTGACCAGCAGGGTACGGGACCGGATCGGAGCAATGATATTCGATGTACTATTCGCCAACAAGATCAACCTCAAGTTCGGACTATACTTCTCCATCGTCCGTCTCAGCGCCGCCTGAGCATCACGCGTCAGATGATCAGCCTCATTGATCACGACGACCTTGAACCGCTGCTTCGCCGTAAGATCCACCTGCTGAGTCTGCGCAATCTCCTTCAGCAGCTCCTGAACAACCACCCGGTCATAGTTGCCCACATCCGATGGCGTGATCTCCAGATGATACACCGACGACACGATATTGAACTCCAGCTTCCGATTGCTTGTTGTTTGGAAAACTCTAGCATCGATCTTGATCTTCTCGACTCCGGATCCGTACAATTCCTTCAGCGTCGCGATTGTGCGTGTTTTCTTGCCCGCGCCTGAGGGCCCATACATAAGCAGGTGAGGGAAGTCGCCGCTTTGCGCCTAAAGCATGCGTAGGTGTGTGAGAAATATGCTCCGGTAGATGGGTTTGATCTGCCTCACCAATGATTTCAATCGCGCGGAAAGCTCGGGATGGTATGAGAGAGCATCGAGCGAACGGGGTCGCAACTTGTCGACTAGCAAGGCCATTTTGGCGGTTGGATGTGCAGTTTGAGGGTTCCAAGTCACTTCCTAGAAGGCTCCCTTCTCGATAGCATAGCTTCGACCGCAGACGCGTCGGTCGTGACGCGAGCTTAATTGGTGGCCCGTGCGCTGTGCTGACTGTACGCCTGGCTCACCAATCAGGTTCATCGAGATCTACAACTTGAGATGACCAGCAGTCTCAGGAATTAAAATACTGGTGTAACATACTGGTAGCTGAAGATTGAGACAGATAGGTGCATTCTGTTTTTTGAGCATGAGCCTGGGCCTTGGAGAAATCGTTGAAACGCCTAGATAATATACATAGAATTGTAATCCCACCCATTCCATACAAAACCCTCTATGTACATGCTCTATCTATGATACAATAAGCCAGCGGTACGCTTGAGGCCGTCAGACTTGGCATATTTCCATGCCCAGTTCTTGGAGAGGAGAGAGGGCTTCCGATACTACTCGAAAAGCCACACAAAAGCGGACAGGTCTCTGGGACGGTTCGCTCGATATCACGTACCCAGGGTGATACTGGGTATATAGTTTCCGGGAAGCGTATATTTCGGCTTCGGTCTGCGTCGTAAGAAGTCCAGTTGGTTGATGCCTGGGAAGCAGTATATAGCAATCAGCCATGCCATTAGTTGGATGGCAATGGCTTCAAGACACCGTTGTCGTCATATCGCGCCTCTGTTTTGCATTAGCAACCCAACAAATACTCCAGAGCGTGCCTGAAAAGTCACTTACTGAAGAATGTGTATGACAGCGTAATCGTGTCAATGCCCTTCATTGCCGGATCCTTGGCAAAGTCCGGATCGATAAAGAAGAAGACCGGCATGTCCACCGATTCACCAGCATTCAGCTTCTGCTCATCAAAGCAAAAGCATTGAATCTTGCTAAAGTACGGAGCAACTTGTCCGGGAGTGACACTGTATGTTGCGACACCAATGATATCTGTCGGGCCTTTATTCGTCGCCGTAAAGAACGCAAGTGCTGTCTCGCCGGGTAAAACACGAACTTCACGCTGCTGCGGTGTAAACTTCCACGGTAGAACATCCGAAACCGATCCATTGAATGTAATTCTCAGTCGACGGGAGTCAGTAACCGGGGTTACGCGCGATGAAGTATCCCCGTCGCCTTTCTGGTGGGTGGCTACTGGTTGACCGTTCCAGCCGGTTTGTTGGCAAATCTGTCGAGGTCGGCATGTTAGCTTTGCTGCTAAGGTTCATGACAGGCCAGACGAACCATTTTATACAGAGGGACGGAGCCATAGGCGAGGGCAACGGTTCCGAGAATAAGACTGGCAGTATAGTACCTATGACCTGTCAGATGTAGACCGCAGACAGCATTGCGCTCATCGCACATACATAGTCGACGCATTTCTCTTTTGCGACTGAGGCGTATTGAAAGGTGCGTTGATATTCTGTCGGCATGGATTGCAAGTGAAGAATCTCCTCCCTGCGTCAACGCATCTTGAACCCGTGGGATTGGCCAGGCGAAGGCCCGACCCCGACAAAGGGAGCCTACCCCACGAAAAAATGGGGCGCGAAAACATAATCAATGATTTATAGGTGCTGCGGGGAGATATGGAAAGATACCATCCAACTCCGCTTGGGATAAGGTACCTGGAACACGTGATATGACCACTTTTACAGTATCAGGCAATATCGGCGCGGTATTCTGTCGGCGATATTACACCGCCTTTGACTGACCGCTTGGCTTCTTCCGTGCATCCGGTGATAGCCGGCTTTGTCTCTTTTAGGAAATCCTATTCCTACTACTATGTTCATACACAATTACTTCAAATGGCTAATCGTTTCGTCATACTGGAGGCCCTGGTTCTCTAGGTGATATAAAAATACAGACGCTCTGTAAATTTAGTCATGCAGCATTTGTAGAGTAAGAAAGTTGACACACTACGGGATATATATATACTGTAGCCTGGGTGACCTTGTAGCTCCTAGGATTTGACAGACTACATCGGATAATTCATCCGAAGCTCAGATCAGTCTACCACATACTATCGGTTCTAAGAACTGCAGTAAGCAGAAATGATAAAATACTCCAGGGTTTGAGTATAGTGACTGCGTTATACCGTCACCTGTTGCTTGAATCCCCCTACTTGTCACTCTTAGTCAGGAACGGTGTTCAACATCATCGTTGAATGTGACAAATGCTGGCAAGGCATGCCATATATCTTGAATTTTTCTCAACGGCGGCCTTTAAATATTCTTTATTCTGTCATCTTTTTGCAGCTCTAAATGCTGACATTGATCTGTACAATTTCACTTCTACCGATGGAGATGATGTTATAGCGTTATGACGTTCAATATGTGAGTATCCAGCACTGGTACTGGTTTTGCTAAAATGGGGTATAAGCAAGGCATGTCTCAAGAAACGGATTTTGGTTGATAGTGAGACATTGGATGAATCGTGGTCTCAGATATCAGCTACTCGGGCAATCCATCAACGTCAACCTTTCAAGGTGACAACTTCCCGTATAATAGGGGATGCCTTGCGCACTCATCTAGTATTAACTTGAGATGCGAAATGTTGGCTGTCCTAAAATAGATGTGACGAGATTGTCAGGGGATGAACCCAAATTTGGGACATGATCCCAATAACGAGCACGCATGGTATGTCAGGAAAAGGAAAATGATCAGATAACCTTATCGGTGCGGGAGATTGGCGCTTGGTTCAGATTCCTAACTTTTGTCCCTGTGGCGTTGAGTTTGAAAGAAGAGGATCCACAGACCTGTCTAGATTGTTTGCTTTTGCCCATTGTTTCAAACTTCAACAACTAACAATGGTATACTAATACAATTCGGAATGGCTAATGATGCCCTGTACAGTCACAACGATAGAGATGGAGGCATAATAATGGAGATACAGATGACAGACATCATTCGCTCGCATGCGTCACATCAAAACGCTTCTACCAATCCGACCAAATACACCCCGAACCATCTCGGGTTGCTCTTGGAGACAGGTCAAAAGGATAGCGGCGCTGATGGAAAAGGCAATGCGTTCCCGGTATTGGTACTGGATAAAGCCACAACGGTCAGAAAGTGGTACAACGTTCGACGACGCACAGGAATGGATGACGGGGAGGGCGGCAGGCAGGGTGTGACAAAGCCCGAGTCATGCAGAATTTCAATCTCCTCGAATCATTAAGCTTACCTGTTTGTCATATATTCTAGGCAAAACAGTGGCGGCAGCCCGGGGTGCCACAAACAATGCGATCTCCTGTCGCTTCCGTGCGTTCTCAACGAGTATACTCCAACCACACATCAGACATCCAGCACCAACGCACAGCCCAGAGTCCCACATCAACGGAGTCACTGTATCGCGGCCAAATATCTTGGGACCCACCCTTGTCCTGGCCAGACAGACCGAGTAGTAGAACAAACTCACGAATGAGGCGAGAAAAGCGGATGAGCGCAAGCCGGCGGATATGGGTTGTCTCAAGGATGCCACAGACTTCATCGACCGAAGACGAAGGACGACCTGTAGAGGGATGTAGGTCGCACAGGCAAACTTAAATGTTCGGGCAAATCGAGACACGGCATGTTTCTCACAGCTAGGACCACTGCCCATGTGGACCATCTCGCACGGAATGGGGATGGTCTGCGAAGGGTCTCCCCATTCCATGGGCCAATCGTAGTCTTCGCACATTGGCTGAAGGAGAGACGCCTGACCAGTGTCTTTTCCGTATACAAAGTTTCCTCTTCTAGCACGGCGAAGTGCTTCGACCAGGCGGCCATCCACCTGGGCTACTTCTCCGATCCATTTACCATAAGATTTGGGTAGCCTCTCGGGCATATAGAACCATGCCCACATCACTATCGCTGCACTGGTGGCAAACATCCCCGAGTCTGCGAGGTTAGGAGCGACACGCTCCGCTAGAGTCCTCTGGTTTCTGGACTGTCGCCATTGCTGCCATTGTGCCCAACCCATGCAGACCATCAAATCCGCAGCTCTTGTAAGGCTGAAGAGGGTGAGATCCATGGTCCTACCTGCGAACTGCGGATGGCTATGCGGCTCCAGCTGGATTTTGTCCTGGTCCGCCGCATTACTTGGTTCGCTAGCACCTTGAGATTGGCCACAGGCTCCTAATATTCTAATGGGCCTTCGATTTAGAAGGTTAAAACTGAACCAAGCGGAGAGAAATGCAGAGGCAACTCGAAGTAGTCGCATAGATGTCGCTGCATTAAGGGGACTGAATGTAGAACACCGCCTACGCTTCAAATGCATGAGGCATCGGAAGAAGAGAAAAGGAAAGACTGTTGACCCTCCTGCCAGAAGGGCACAGAACGTTGGAAATGCATCCAGCCGGATTGTGCTTGCCAATGTACGGGACAACTATAAAAGACGGAGTGAGCTCCCCGATCCCATTTGGGTGTAGTCGAGCAGGGCTTTAATTGTATCATACGCACAGGAAAGGGTGCACAGACGATGTAGTGGCTGGAAATCAATGGAGTAACATAGACATACCTCTTTGAGCTTTTCTCCCAAGCTCAAGTCATGCCCCCGAATTCGCCGAAGACAGGTTATTATTTTCGGAGTGGTTGAAGACAAATAGCCAAGTGCATACGCGCGTAGTATGCTGTAACAGTCAGTATCCCCCATCGCTTAGCTATTCCTAACTGGTGTATTCTACATCATCTGGAAAGAGCCGAATAGAGAAATAGTTGATACTTACGGCCGTAGAACCCGGATACTGCTGTAATGCCGGCGAGCGATAGTAGCAGAGTCCATGGTGTTTCAAACCCATTCAGCCCATGCCATGCCATTGGAGTTTGAAATTCTTAACCAAACTGATCTGCTAGGGTCAGCGACTGTGCCATGACTACAACCCCCCGATCCACAGAGGATGACCAGAGAAACAGCGAAATGAAGTAATTTTGGCCACACTCACTGGACTCTGAAGAAAGCAGGCATTCAACTGGCCCCAGACCCCCAGAATAGGAAACGAACACAAACACTTGGCTTTGGCGGACGTTACCCAGAGTGGTACGTGCTCCGTAGTGGGCTGCCGGTTTGTACATATGTAGGATCGGCCGTGGATCCGTGCGACGTGCTATTAAAATTCGGCCTCGGTCGTTGAAGACACGAGGGGAATGGCCGTTAACCTAGTCAGAGCGGTTCAGGGGTAGCGACCAGGCGGATGGCGGCGATCCCCCGTTATGCCACGCTCCAAAGTTGGGGTTCACCGTTCACCAGCCAACCATTAACTGGGCCCGGGGGAAACGACCTCGTGTATTCAAGCCAAGAAAGCATTAACTCCAGCAGAGACGGTGGAAGAAGGCGACACTAAGCGGGCTTCCGGTGAGCATCAAGCGGATGACCAGGGAAATTAATTCCAGTCAGCCGGAAGGAAGCAAAAAGCAGACCAACGCAGCTGGGAGGAGCTGGACCGCTGGGAATATATTGGATGGGCACCAGAATTAGGTCGACTCTCCCCCGGACTGGGAAATTGGTCCGACCATACGGAAACGTACCCTGGCAAACGAAGATTACGGGCCTCGAGCCAACCGGGCGGTGTGTGAGGCCTGTAATTCTGGTATTGAAATTACGTCACGCGACCTCCACCGGAGCGCGAGTTTTTTTGCATGTGATTGTTTTAAAGGCCGACGGCTGCCATGCGACGAGACGAAACGAACGAACGGTTGTGCCTGCTACGATCTATCAGTCGGTTTGGTCTCTCTCCACCATTGTCCACCCCCGGATCCTGCCGTCAGCTCTCCCCGTCTCTTTGTCAGGTCCAATGCGGGGGATGCTGTCTCCATCGTCGAGTGAAGTTGCTCTTCTTGACGCTGTTTTGTATCCGAGGCCCCCAGACATTCGCCCGTACGGTCCTGGGGACTGTGACCGTTGAACCAACCCCATCCGCAGCCCAATCCATACATCCCCATACAGCTCCCCAACCCCCGGCGAACGCTGTCTGTGGACCTTTGGGACGCCAACTTATTGTCGCATCCAAAAGGGCTAAAGTCTTGCTCACCCGCTTTGCCGGCCAAGGCATGTTCGCTCTGTTTATCGGCGCTGTTCTCCCTCAAGACTAGCCCTTGTCGAGTCTCATAGCGACATCATACATTTACCTTCTCACACCCGCCCGCCACCGCCCTCATGGACTTAAACCGGCCGGAGACGCATCATGGCCGGAATACCCCTCAGCCGGGCCCGTTTGGATGTAGGTAAATCGGTTCCCTCTCGTTGTGGTGTTGTGTCTAATGAGGATGGACTCCAGATTCTTTTCTTTCCCCCATAGATTCGCCTTTCGACCCCCCTCCTGGGCCGCCCACTGGCCCAGCATTGCTGGACGATAATGAATCATCCATGCTCGACAACTTCTTCACCACGATGAATTCCAACCATCTGTCCAGCGACTTTTGGCTTCAAAATCAGTCGAGTAAACCGTTTGGATCCGCCAACTTCGACTGGGCTGAGCAACTTCCTCCGACTTTTGAAGGATCTACAACCTCTCTTTCACAACCAGCGCTTCCTCATCACAGCCTGGAAAAGCCTCTTATGGACATGATGCCCAATACTCTGGGCGCAAGTTCCGACATATTTGCAGCTGCTTCCATGTTATACCAAAATGGGATGCATGGGTCCGATTTCAACTCCAACGTCGCTCAGCATTCATTTCCCTCACCCGATATAGATTTCAACACCCTCAGAATGACCGGCCACGGCAAGGTCCAACCGCAGACCAGTCATGCGCCCTCAAAACAGTCAAATATTTCCCCCCGTCCACGGTTACCCCTGGGGGTTCACACTTCAGAGATGCTCTTCGATGTCTGTGAACCGATATCTCCCGAGCAACAACATACCGCGAAGGTTCGTCCCCTTCATTGGGGATCCGATGCGAGCTTTGTGGATCAAGGGTATATTGCACCGCCCGACCAGCCAGACGAAGAGCAGCGGACGAAAGAATTGCTCGGTCACCTAGTGTGCTTGGAAACTCAAAGCAGTGCCGCCAACACTCGTGCACCCAGCCCAGTGCGTATCACCGGGCATTATGACGCAGCTTGGGCGGATGCCGATGCGGCGGGGCAACTCAGCAACCTACGGAGAGGATACAAAGATAGCATGGAAGATATTTCCCAGCCCAAAAAGAAACAGAGAGTCTTGGTGAAGGAGGAAGAAGACGAAAATTCCGATAACGAAAGTCCGCGGCAGAGATTAAAAAAATCCAAGGCGTCATCGTCCCGGCGAATGTCTCATGACGGCATCCGGAAACCAAGGCTCTCCCAGGGTCCGAAACCCGCACGAGAGAACTTGACCGAAGAACAGAAGAGGAATAACCACATCCTTTCCGAACAAAAGCGAAGAAATCTCATCAGACAAGGCTTTGATGATTTGTGTACCCTCGTACCTGGTTTAAAAGGTGGCGGGTTCAGCAAAAGCGCAATGCTCACTCAGGCCGCTGACTGGTTGGAGGAGATATTACGCGGAAATGACATCCTTAAAGCCCAGCTAGCGGAGTTAAAAGCCATGAATGGCTTAGTGATGCCCCGGTAAGCATACCGACTTATGAGACCACGATTTTGATTTAATCGATCCTATAATTGGAGCATATGGGCCGGAATCCCTCATTTGTATAGTGGAGCAATCTCGCGGTCTTCTGGCAGGATGCGCATTGTTCGGACGGGATTCCAGGCTTTTCTTGTCCATGGCCATCAATGAAGGCATGATGTGCCGATTTGCCTTGTTGCAGTCATATTTTTATGCCTGGCTTGTTTCATGCATCATTCATACCCAATAATACCCGCTTAGCCTAGCTATAATGGTTGCCTTGCCAAATACCACACAATAGGTAGTTGATCCCTGCAATTAACGGGGGGGTCACACTTCGTGATATATTCTCGTTCCTCAATGGTTATTCTCCCTCATTGCGCTCTGATCATCCACTCGGTCTACACATGACGATGATGTACCGAGTGGCTGCCATAGGTGGCATAAGCGTGAATGTGCAAATTCTGCCACCGTGATGATATCCCGCCCTTTCCTAGCCCATCTGACCACATCCCCTACGTACCGGTCTGAAGAGGGGACGATTTTCATCATGAACCTCAAGCTAGTAAGTGAAGCACGCTGTATTCGACGGAGTCTCATGCGTGAAACGTAAAATAGCTGCGACACTTACACATAGTGTATGTAGAGAACTGACCACTGAGACACTAGAACGTCTCGCACATAGCGTCTCATTGAAAGGTTCCAGACTTCAGGATAAGCTGCAGACCCAAGGTGGAAGGGATTGGCATCGAAACTCTCCCGCTTAGAATGTTGAAATGGGATTTGATCGTCGAGTGTTCGTGGTTTCGTCTCCCGAGCTGGGGTCTTAGCGTTCAAGGTCAGTGTTGTTGAGCTTTTGCACTTGGACAATTTTCCTCGATCTCGTAAAACCATAGCAAAATTGTTTAGATATCAGTATGCCCGTATTGGACTTGTGTCTTGATAGAAACAAGTGTGTGTTCCAGGATGCAGAACGAATAGTTCGCTGTCAGACTGGGATAGTCGATGTAGGGCCGATATCCACTGTCAGGGGCAGAAGAGAGTGGGGTGGTCCCACCGGCTTGAAAAAGATTAGTGTGCCTGGACAATGTAGTGAGAGTCATGTGACCTCCTCAGCAACGGCGCGTTTATTATGACGCTACGTTCGGGCCGCCGGGGCATGTGAGGGAACTGTGTCGACAGCGACCCGAACCTATAATTTCTATCCATTCTCTTTACTCCAATAGCTACTAAATTCGCTTCAAAATGCCTCCTAAGCGGAAGCACGAGAGCAATGAACCCGAGCGAGAGAGCAATGCGCGCAATAAGCGCTTTGCTTACCTCAAGCCTCAGGTCCGGCAGGTCTCCGAAAGAACTATCAAGTCCAAATGGTCGACGCTTCCGGAGCCGGTCCAAGAAAAAGTCCGCGATATGTTTCGAGCTCTCGAACGTCCTGTTATTGTACGGCAGCAGAATGAGGCCAAACGCATTGAAGCACAGGCGGCTGTACAGGCTGTTGTGAAGAAGTATAGCCCCTTTCTCCATGTTTATAGAAGCAAACTGACGTGTGTCTCTTAATGTTTAAGCCTGGGAAAGCGGCTTCCCCGAATGCCGTTTCCTCCGGTTACGAAAGATTCGGTCTTTGAGTATGAGGCGGCGCTCAAGGAACATGTAGGTTGTGTTCAACTAGCTTTCCTAAGGGGGTCCAACTAATGTGGTTCTCAGTGTTCCTTGGAGGCTTCTTTGGCCACTATGACTGATAGCATTGATCTTCTGAAGGCTGAGGTCGAAAAGGAAGAAGCTCTACTTGAACGGGAGAAGAAGCAACTTCAGGAAATGGAGAAGAATGCAAAGCGGGCGGAAGCAGAAAGGAAAAGACAATTGAAGAACGTAAGTTTGGCATTTATGCTAGAAGTTGATGGTTTTTGTACTGACTACCCTAGGAACATCCTGTCCTCCGACAGTTCAGCAACGCTCCTAATAAGCAGGACCAGAAGCAGGTCGAATTCACCCTTGCAGGCGGAAAGGAGCCCCTGCCGATGTTCGACGAGGTGGGTCTTAGATTGTTTATTCGGTGATGATCTAATGCTGACATGATGCTGTTTAGCTGGAGAATGACCCGGAAGTTTCAAATATATTGAAACAGTTGAACGGCCATCTAAGGTCAATGCAGAACAACACCGCTCCACTCACCGGGTTGACGGACGCAATTGCCAGGTCACATGCGGCCTTAAGTCTGACCTTCATGCCTGAAGACTGAATTTCCCGACCAACTGCATTGACGCGCAGCTAAGAACAAGTCTGCTATCACTCCGCCATGGCACTTTGAAGAAGGTAGTTGACCATGCAAGGCCAAGTCGTTTTTCAGGATAGTTTTGGTCACACGTCCTGATGCGAAATGGGAAGCAACCGTCCCTATAGGCACCAGTCTGCAGGTCCTTTAGGTGCTATCAGAAAAGGGCACTACATGGTTTGTGTATACTATGCCCTTGAAGGATATCAGTGATATATGGGGCTCAAATCACATCGGAGAATTGCACAACTGGGTTATCTCAGACCATTATCAGCATACTCTTACAAGCAACCGAGCTGGGCAAGATTTGCTTTGAACCGGCCATGTATCAAGTGATATCGAGGCACAAATGGACTAAGACTTCACACCAACGGACTATATGGGGGGTAGTATAGTGTATACAAGAACCTGGTGGCCTGGGATGCTAAGTTATGCTGGCTCTCAATATTTTCGATATGATACCCATGTCTTGAAATAAAGAATTGACTCTGTTGTATCTTCTACAAGCAACCTGATGTAAGAACACGCGATTTCATATGCTACAAAACAGTTAGCCGAGGTACGACGTAACTACTACATCTGACGGATAGTCGTTCCAAAAGCTAAGCGGTCAGAACGTTGGCGATTCACCTTGGATGCTGGGTTTCTCGTTAACATGGGCTGACATGTTGGGTGGTGTCGCACAATAACGAACCGTCCAACCGCTCATGTGCTTTTCCGAGGCTACGAGCCGGGTCGCCGCTGCCGGCCCCAATGCGGAGGAGCCCGGGAAATGAAAGATCCAAGTCCCGCACCAGCGGGGAACTTCGATGAGCCGATCGCATCGCGCGTGCCCTCACATTTTCACGTTACAGATCAGCTTCACTACACTCGATTTCTCCTGTTCCCGGTCACCACGGCCTGGTCGAATGTCTGCATCTAGCCATTCTGCCTCCCATTTGTGTTCCGATTCACAGCAACAGTGCCAGCAGCGGGCCGGACTCTGCGCAACAGCCTTGCGCCCAGCAATCAATGACGGAGAAAAGTGCAGCGCCAGCGGGTACGGGCCCAGACCAGCAATCCAGCAATGGCACCACGGAGAAAATCAAGCCTGATGTGACGGACGACGAGCGGACGGGGAGAGAGCCCAGCGCCAACGACAACGCGCAGCACACACCGGCCGTCAAGCCTGACGGCGCTGCCGCGGGGGCTCACCCAAGTCCCAAGAAACGTCGCAAGGTCAATCACGGTAAGGCGGTATCTGCCATGCAATCTACAAGGATGATGGCAGCGACTCCCCTCCTTTCCCTGGTTGTTGCTTAGACCACGTTGCTAATTAGGGTGCCACGTTTGCAGCATGCGTTTACTGTCGGCGATCGGTAAAGTCCTTCCCCTCAATCATGATCACCCACTCGCCCCTCACTCAGTCTACCCGGATAGAAAAACACCCTTGATTCCCGTCGGATTCAACCCACAGAGGAAATACTTTGCTAACGGAAGAGCGCTCGCTCACGTGGCACAGCATATGACTTGCGATTCGGTACGACCTACCTGAACTCTACTCTCCAGCGCATTCCTGTGAAACACGAAGCGCAATGTCCCTTCCAAGAAACCAGCTGCTGACGAATATTACTCTGTCGGAACTGTAGGAGCGACCCTGCACGCGATGTATAAAGCGCAACATTGGCCACCTTTGCCACGATGAACCTCGGGAAGCGGCGAAACGGTCGCGGAGTGAAAACGATCATTCGGCCGCGGATGACGAGGGCTCTTCTAACAATGAATATTCGAATGCCCAAGGGATACCTAGAAACGACGTTCCAGATGCTGCCGGTCAGCAAATTCTCCCAGACAGCCTACCGACCGCCGCTGTGACTGCAGTGCAGCAGCAGCCTGGCAATATTGTGCCCTCTGGCCAGGGTCTCGGCACCCATTCCCAGCAGCGTAAGCTTCAATCCGCGCCCCCCCATTCAAAGCATCATGCTAAGTCATGAGATAGTCCTTGGGTACAACGAGTGGCTAGGCGGACAAAGCCAGTTTCAAGACATGCATACGCTTCATCCTTCCTACATGTTCAATGCACCCGAGGTCACCAACGAATACAACCTTCTTGGTGACTTCCTGAGCAGCAGTCTCTTGGATGATGGAGCAGTATACCAGAACGATGACCTGCAAGGGATATACTCAGACCCGACTTTGATTAATTCGATGGCTACATTGGGCGGTTCTAATCCGTCCATGATCCAGCAGTCTCAACAGTCACAAATACAATCAAATCAACAGTCCCAGGGTGAACAAATTCAAGGCCCTGGCCCTGCAGTGGGGAATGACAAGGCAAGAGAGACGTATTACATGACCGCAGCAGACCCATCTGGGTCTGACCCGCCTGAGGAGCGGATGAACAAGCTTCTTAAAGCGAAATATGATGCTGGTCTTCTTCGCCCATTTAACTATGTGAAAGGTTATGCCCGATTGAATCAGTACATGGAGAGAAACTTGCAACAGGCCTCACGGCAGAAGATCCTTCGACAATTGGATAAATTCCGGCCAAAGTTCCGCGAGAGGATGCAGAGCCTGACCGATATTGAGCTTATCCTTGTGGAGATGTGGTTCGAACGGAGCCTGATGGAATATGATCGGGTTTTTGCAAGTATGGCTATTCCTGCTTGTTGCTGGAGACGAACTGGGGAAATATTTCGCGGCAACAAAGAAATGGCAGAGTTGATTGGTGTACCGATTGAGACGCTCCGAGATGTACGTCGATTTATACTATCCCAGAGGCCATTAACTAACATGATTCATCTCTAGGGCAAACTTGCAATCCATGAAATCATCGTGGAGGATCAACTTGTGAGCTACTGGGAGAAGTTTGGAGCTATTGCTTTCGATAGCACCCAAAAAGCGATGCTCACAAGCTGCACTCTGAAGAATCCCAATTCCAACTCCCCTGGGGACGGAATTCCCTGTTGCTTCTCGTTTACCATTCGAAGAGATACCCATAACATGTGAGTACCTTGCAAAGCTTTGCTAATGTTGCTACGAGTCGCTGACTAGTGTGACATAGTCCATCGCTTATTATTGGAAACTTTCTACCGTCACAGCGGAAGGCCAAATGATGCCCAATATTATGCCTTCTTTCTATCATGCTCTTTTTCTCTTAGCAAGTACTCGTACGGATTAACGGCTGCTCAGTTACTCTTGATGGGTGGACGTTTGCTGCAACATTTTTGCTCTTTCCTTGGTGCATACTAGCTCCTTTAAGTGGGAGCCTCGAGGTGTTATCTTCATGCCCTTTTGTCATTCAATTATACAGGCGGTCAAAATGTACCATAACATCTTCAAGGCGTGATGTTAATTCCAGAACAGTAGATCGTGACTGGCCAATGCCTACCTGAATTGGACTAGCTTGGTCAGGTGCATCTCCCCATAGTAGATTGCTTCGAAGGTTATTCCGAAATGCCAGCCTCATGAATGCAGGTTAAGCCATCAGCACGGTTGTCGACAATGATGTCTCACGGACTCAAAGCGCACGCAGAGGATATCTTTGGTAGGCAGCTTGCTCGCCTGCCCTCATTTATCTTCTCAATTGATTACTGATAATTGAGCAACAGTGTTCGCAAATGATTTAGCAAGTAAAATCTCTAGCGAACCTGAGAGACCCCGTCTAGATTTAGATGAGAAAACTCGAAGCCAACTTGACCAACACTTGGAGTATCTCCCATTGTTGACAGCAAGTCCCTCGACCCCGATCCGTCGCCGACTTGACCAGGAAGGGACAAAGTTATGGAATACCTGCATGCAACTTATGACACTACACAGAGAGAAAGAACAGCTGATCCTTCTGTGTAAAGGTACTTATTGTTTTCTTCAGTGGCCAAGTCATCTGCTGAGTAGGCACAGTGAAGGCCTTCGCATTTGCGATGCTCGAATATGCTGCGCCAAATAACAGCCAAGGTATGTTGCACTATTGGGTGCACGAAAGCGAGTAACCCCATTCTAGGATGCTATAGAGCTTTGGAGATAGCTTTTAAAATGGCATCTACTTGCATAGGTATGATACTTCTCATCGTTCTCCTTATCCTTGTATTTGAATATTGATAATCTGGCCACAGATTCCGGCTGTCTTGATCTCAGCCAGAAGATCATCGAAACTGCCGCTGTGCGATTGGACAGACTTCAAAAATCTGACACCGATGGCAACGAAGCAAAGCTGCAGCAATATACTGTGGAGTATTACATGCTTCGGGTCTACCTAGTAAGGCCCGTTTCGTTTCGAGTCGATCAAGCTGACGATCTGTGTAGTCCTGGTTCCAGGAAAGACTTGACATCGCAGACCACCTATTCTCGAAAATACCGGCATCAAACAATGAGAAGGGTCAAGAGCATGTGATGGACATCTGTTATAAGATCGGTAACTCTGCGCTTTTACGCAAGCAGTATGATGTTTCTGCAAAGTGGCTGGGAAGAGCATTGAATGCATGTGAGCTGATTAACAACGTTGCCCAACCGCCGATTTTATCACTCAGGGATAAAGAGCTTTCGATACTTCATGCTTCTGGTAGGTGCTAAGCAGTTCGGTCAATGTAAGAGATGCTCACTGAACAGTTCGGGCGAGCCTTCATCTCGATACACATGAGTCCAAGGACTACCTTTCTAAAGCGCTGGATGCACTGAAAGCTGTAAGCTTTTGACATCAAGTAAACCCTAAATGCTAATATTGACCAGGGATATGATGGCCTGTTTCCTGTCAAAGTCATTGAACTTGAAGTTCTTAGCAGAGAAGAGTCTAGCGGGGATGCCTTTTTGCAAGGTTACTGATTCATAGCCTGCCATGGATGTCATGATCAACTAACACAACCTTTTATAGTGCTGCAGAGCGCCATTGAGTCATCGGAGCTTGAAAACTCGCATCTCACAATGTAGGGACCAGCTACCTGCATGTTGGGATGACTCTAATCACTTGGCTAGAATTCTATACCATGTACAGAAGCTACAGAGATCATCGTAAGTGTGTAGCCGGACTACCAAAGTATCTCTCTGATAGCGATCCAGTCCGGACCTCTATACCTTATCCCTCAAGCAACTGATCGATCAGTTAATCGTTCTTGGGGCCAATAAACCATTGATAGAGCAGGTGTTTATCAAATTTGTTCATGGGTTGACAAGACCAGGTTCCTGCGTCGAAACAAGCCTTGACATTATCAAAGAGACAACTGCCAGCTTCAAGAGGCATGATCAAGAACTACTGAGTGAAGAAGCGACAGAGGCATCACTCACTGTGAGTTGATCCTTGATTTTGAGCCACCACGAGAAACTGAAATACATCTAGCTCATCTGGAAACTCGTCAACCAAATGATCTCGAATGGCAATCTGTCAGTAGCCAGACAGTGGTGTCTGTTTTTGCTGGAAGGGCCAGTGTTCCATATTTCTCCAAGCAACAAGGCTAAGCTCTTCAGGTAATAATAACACAACACTTAACATATGAAATCTAATGCGAATCAGAAAGGTCCTCTTATGTAGTGAAAACGATGCAAATATATCTCAAGTGACTGAGCTATTTCATCAAATGCCTGACGAATGCAGGTCCTGTCCATCAACATTGTACATGATGTACAAACTATGTCTGCAGAGCAGTGACCCTCTCGGTAAGTAAATTCAAAGGTGCATACTGTGTACATCTAACACGAACAAAGCATACATCTATCTCAAATCGCTCTGTGATAAAGGAACAGAAGCTGTCCCCTACCTCTTGTCATGTGTAGCAGAAGCTTTTAGGCATGAGCAGACACAACAAGGAATTGAAGTCCTCGCAAAGATTATGGCAACCTCGAGCAATGGGATGGAGAATCATCATGCCGCGAAACTCTTTCAGTATGTATTCCTTTTATGTTGTGTTACTCGGGCTAATAATGAAACATGTCTGTCCTTCAATTTCTGTTCACCGAATTTGAGAGTTTGGGATGGGAAAATAATACTTTATTGAACGAGATTGTGACTCTCCTCGACTCAGGTAAGTCTCATATAGAAACTGTGCAGACATGCGCTGAGAACAAGTAGTGCTAGGCAGAATAGATCCCGAGGCGCAGAATGATATATTTTCCGCTTCAGAGCTTGAATGGTTTTCTAAAACAAGCTATAACATTGCTTTAAAATCTCTCAAGTCAACCCACCTCGAGCGCGCCATACGCCTATTAGGTCTTTCCATTAAGGCAAGTTATAGAAAGTTTCTGGTTTGCACCATCTCACACTCCATAGTTTGCAGAGAAATACCAGCATCTACCAGACCCTCAGAACGAGTTTGGCTTTCATCAGCACTATCTCCTCTGCGACTTTCTCAAGACAGTTAGGATCGCAGGAGATACCCGCAAAGAAACCGACGTTACTGAGAAGGTCACTTCACTTCAGGCCTAGCTGGCACAACGCTGACGAATAGTCCAGACCAAGCTCTACCATGAGATACATAAAGCCAGCGCGCACTTCCGAGAACAAACCAAAACTCACCAAACTGAGATACGCAGCACAGAAGCCCAACATGAAGAATGGCTCTCAAATTACCGAATCATCCTAGCCCTCGACCTCGAGGCATCCGTCTTTCTAAATGACTGGACCACCGTCTCCATCATTATTGAAGAATCAAGCGCAATTATAGACGAGAAACTCAGCTCGATCTTCCTAGACTGTATTCTACGATCCGAAGCCGCAATTACAGACATGGTAAGAACTGTCAAGGTATGTCCAGAATTCCTCAATTGATATATAACAATTAACTCAACTACCACTAACCATCTTCCAAAAAACAGGAGCTAGTCCGGACCCTCCACGGCTCCCCCTCTCCCCATCTTCCCAAAACATATTTTCAAGAAACCCTGCCCCGCTATCTCCGCTGTCTCTTCCAACTCTCACTCGATGCAGCAGACTACCACCTTGCAGAATCCGTTCTCGACCAGGCTCTTGTCCTGGCTCGCGACAGGCGTACCGAATCCAGCCGGTCACCATATCCAAGCGATGAGATCCAGTGGTTATCGACCGTTGCTTTCAATCGAGCGGTGGATTATTATCTCTTATCTGCAGATGCAGATTGTCAACGGTGGGCTGAGAAGGCGATCACGCTTGCCGACTTAGACGATTGTGAGGCCTTGGGCAGGCTGTTACGCGGTAAATTCGAAACGTTGAAATGAGATACTCAAGAACAATGAACGCCATCGACAGATTCTCCTCCAAACTACATCCTATCTCTTACACGCTGCTCCTGTTCAACTGTATCCCGATGCGCTAGTTTCAGCACCTTTTGCGCGTCTTCAATAGCAACTAAGGCACGCTGAATCTTTCGCTTCGCTGATTCGAGAGTCCGAATAGATTCCCCGGGTCTATCAATTTTATTAGGAACCATCAGACTAAGATGAATCAGAAAAAAAGAATAACTTACTCCACTGTTTCACGCACCGGAGATCCAGCCCTGCTACTCTTCCGATCATCACTCTGCTCAGATTGAGCCCGGATACTAAATGAACACTGCAGTCAGCATATATATCTTACTCCATCAGCAACTCATAACAATAACAATAACAATAACTCATCACTCACACAGTCCCACCCTTATATCCAAGCGCACCAGAACACACCGCTCGACTCGCGTATCCAGAGCTTCTACCCCTACTCGAGCAACCTGTAGTTATGGCCGCACATGGGCCATTCCCAGAACAACACACAGCGCTAGCACTACTGCTACTGCTACTACTCGCACCAGTACTCGTTGCAAACCTAGCAGTAGGAGTAGTAGGACTAACTGTGTACCGAGGAGGAGTACTCCCCCTCCCAACGATGTACCTAGTTGTCGCCGTTCCACTCTCGAATCTCTCTCGTTCTTCGATTCGATCGTGGTAGCCTGGTCATGACCATTCATTAGTAATTCAACATCTGTAAGACCAAGATTAAGCTCAACAATAACAATAAGAATAAAAGTAAGAGTCAGAACATACGACTAGCCTCATAAGTCCTCTCCGACCGATACCGACTCGACTTCCCATCCGACACGCGAATAGCCGTATGTTGAGTTCGAGATGAGTAAATGGGGTAGGTCATGGTATGTTGCTGTTGCTGTTTCTAGTTCCTTCATGAGCCCCTTATCCTTATTCCACAAGTCACATCCACACATCCATATAACATAGGATGGGAAATATATGTATGTAACGTACCTTTCCGCGCGAGGGATTCATCTTCCCAATCCAAGTTGTCCTTCACCTTAGCCTTCAATGAACACGAATGATATGAATCCAAAGCAGAAAGTAAAGATGTGAAAGCTTGCACCACAATACACAATATGCTGTGGTGACATACCCATCAATTATTGGATGGAAGGAAAGCAAAGTTCGAAGTACTTCTATACGAAGCTATTGGGCGGAGCTTATATAAGTACCCTTATCTAGGGGATTATATGCAAATTTCATTAAATGCTTGGATATGCTCCTGGGGGAAGGGATGGGGTAGGGAGGTTCATCTGAAGTCGCCGGGGTTGGGTAGGGGAGTTTCAATATGCTGACGGAAGGTGCATGGCCTGTGGATGAGATATGAACAATGGTAAATCCAGGTGCGGCAGGGGAGGGAGGGGTTGGTGAAGTGAGCAACTGTATCTCCTAGATGTGTATGAACAAGGTTCGTTGAACGCCTATCTATGAGGTCTGTTCACCGTGAGATGAATGAAAGAACTTGACAGAATAGCAGGTGGTCGTGATTATTCTGGGTTGCACAAACTACAAGGTATATTGGAGATTGCCTTCTACTGATAGGCTATTGCCTGCGACCACATGTAGCAGCCACTACTACGGCTTCAAGGGACGTATAAGAGCAGAAACATCGGCCTCCAGTCTGTTTGATAGACAACAGATTTATTGCAACAAAAAAGATTGACCTAAACAGAATAATAACAAACTAGAACCCGGGAGTCTAGCAGACTTCGAGCAGGCCCGATAAGATTTGGGTATCATATAGAAGGTAGCTATAAAAAGCTGAACAAGAATTGACAATTTGAGGAAAAAAGGCGGTGTTAAAGTTGCAAACGAATAGAAATGGCAAAGAGGCTTTTCAAGAGGCAGGAGCAGTGCCGCTGATGGGACACTCCCGTTTCGTGCAGCGCCGAGAATCATGACAGTCTAGCTTGACTCAGGGCGAACTCCGAAAGAATCGAAAAACTGGAGAATCGAAAAAGATGAACCAGACCCTTGGCAGTCCTTCAGGAGAGCGCAGAAGGATAGAAATAGATAACCCAACACCCGTAATGCTCAGATGAGATGAACCGACATCTCAAACAAACCCCGCTTGATAACATATGAAGTCTATAAGATCCCTTCGCATGGAGGGGAACAGTTGCGCCACTTTGGACTGATAGAGAACGACAAAAGTAAAGAAGAAAAAGAATGAAAGATAACAAAACCTAGAAGATGGGTAGATGCAGGAGACAAGCTCCGTCTTCGTATTTAACCCTCTCCATCAGCATGGACAGAGAGGCTCACCGAAACCTCCGGTGTCTCTTTCGAGCGTATATCCGGAGACGGAACGCGACAGGTCGTATATATGGTATGATTGGTGGCACCATCACCGGAGAGCTTTTCATTCTCCTTGCCGCTGCTCTCGGTCTCAGTTTCAGCGCTTTCGCTGCTATTGCTCCGAGATGTGAGAGCTCGCAACGTAAGACTGAGCTCTCTCTCAAGCTCCTTCTGAGCATGGACATGCTCGGTTGACCCATTGAGCTTTTTCCTGTAGGCTTTCAAGGTGCGACAAACTTGTTCAGTGGACGTGTCAAGACTTCCAAACTCGCTTTTTCCGGAATTCCTAGCGCGAGCCCGAAAATCAAGAGACGAACGGCGAGAGTCGCTCCGGCTGCCACTCTTCCTCGTACCTACTGTCTTGGAATTATGCAAAGAAGGTGATGGTGTATGGGCCTTTTCTTGGCGGACGCTAGGGATAGGGGAGCGCCGATTGGACGTCGATGAAGGCGTCGTAGGTGGGGGTGTATGCCCGTTTCTCGTAGAAGGGGAAAGTGAGAATTTGGAGAATTTGCGTAAGAAAGTCGGAGAATGACCGCGGGCCGGCGTGGGGGTGACGGCAACATTTTCCTGTCGCTGTAATCCGGCCAATTCATGTTTCGAGAGAATTTTGCGTAGAGGGGGTTTGGCAACCGTCAGTTCCTTCATAGGAGCATCGTCGTCCTTGGTGACGGCCTGTGCCATATCCTGTGATGACTGGGGAAGCATAGATACACCCCATATCATGACCAGTCCATCCAGACCCGAGCTGATCAGAATCCGGCCGTTTGGCCTGGTGGGGGAACTGGAGTGATTCTCAAGTAGGCAAGCATCACTCATTCCCTCTGTGTGACCAAACTCACCAGTGAGAAGCACACCCCGCTCCAAGTCATATATGCGAATTGACTTGTCGGTGCCAGAAACCCCCACAAGCAACTTGGAGAAGGTCTGTCCTGACATATCGGAAGCTACTGTCAAAGAATTCATGACGACTGTGTCACTTCCATCCGAATCGATGGCCCGGAAGGAAGTGACTTGGCGACCAGAAGCTAGATCATATTGCAGGACGCATCGATCAGCAGTAGACACGACGAGAACATCCGTGTCAGTAGACAGAGTCATCGACACGGGGGATGCCTTCATCGTGATCACTCTGGAGATCAAGTAGGCAATGACGGGTGCACCGTCAACCTCTCGAGTAACACGGTCCCTGACGTGGATCGTACGATCAGCAGAACTTGAAAGCAGCTTCTCTCCATTATCGACGAAGAGAAGCTGACTCACGGCCCCGACATGGTCATCCATGGTTTGGATCAATTGCAGGTCGCCATTGCTTCGTTCGAACAGCTGAACCATGCGATCACGCCCAGAGCTGGCAACTAAGCTAGATTCAGGTGTTATATGCAGAGCGATGTCAGTGATTTCCCCTCCATGAGCTCGGACTTCATGCACAGATTGCCACGATTGGCCCTGCAAGACCCTATGTTTCAGCGATTAGCCAAGGCGAAGCCTTTGATAACCAGATGACCTACCTCAGGACCCCAAATTTATCCCCAGAAACGAACATATCCATATCGTTCGTAGTACGTACTACCTTCAGTTCGTTGCAAATATCTTCGTCATGTCCTGCGGGGTGCTCGAGGGCAATCATGCGTGAATCCTTACACTTGCCTTCGGTGTTCCAGAAGTTCACGGCGCCTTTTCGCGACCATGTGAAAAATTCCGCTTCAAGTGGGTTGGGAACTGTGAGTGGACGTATCCCAAGAACCCCGTCCCGATGAGCACAAATGCTGATTTGAGCATCCCTCTGGTCAACATCCTGGCACAAGTGGTCGCTCGAAAAGATGTTGATAGCGTTAGTGCTGTCAACTGTCACGACATGAGATCCCAGAGATCCGAAACAGACAATTGCAGGTCCTTTGAATCCCTGCTCCGCCGATGAGCGGCCAGAAAGCGCGGGGGACAGGGGGACAGTCGACGAGCGAATTTTTTCGAAGGTGAAATGCTGGATCTGTCCACCACGCCCACCAACCCAAACACAAGAGCGGTACATGTCGACCGCTAAGGAGCTAATGCCAAAGTCCATATGCTGGACAACGGACAATTTTTGGGATCCTTCACTGTCATCCACAAAGCATAGAGCGCCTGTGTCAGTGCCCACAACTGCCTCCCGGTCAGAGATGCTTGCGACGCCGGTGAATGTGCTTTCCGCCAGCGAGCCCAGCAGGCAATTGCGCCCCAAAAACGCCCGAGGGGTGTGGTTTGGAGAGCTGCTCGTGCCCTCCACAGTCAGGCGAGACCGTGGAGAACCAGGCCTTGCATCTGGAAGCCTCCAAACCTTCACATGCCGAACTCCTACCCTAGGAAAGCTTTAGTTCCTGCCCGAGACTCGCATCATGGCACGATCTACTAGAACTTACGTGATAAGAGTCTGGCCCATCCAGCACATGTCACGGACATACGAGGTGCATTTATTGGTCGAATGGAGCTTTGCTGAACCGGTCTTCGAATTCACAGACCATACGAAAAGAAACCCGTCGTTTACATCACCAAGGCTGGCCAGATACTGGGAATCGGAGCTGAAGGCCAGACCTCGCACTCCAAATGTGTGCTCGGTCAAGATCGAGAGTGGGGTTTCGGAAGAGGCATCTTTTGCCGTCGAGAAGATCAAGACCCTGGGGTTATAGCCAGTCTAGCATGTGTCAGTGCACTTCTTGAGCAGTAAAAAGCCCTAATTAGCCTACCTCTCCTACTGCCAGAAACCTTCCATTAGGACTAATCGCGGTACACGTAACCGCCTTCACCCTCTCTCGCGATGACCATCCCCGCGGGCTACCATTATCGACCGGGTCGTTGCATGGAGACCCGCTGTAAGCATTGCTATGGGTGGTGGATCTTATACTTCCGGAAAATTTCGCTCGACTGTCAGGAGTGGTGGGAGGGGTGGATTGGCTGTAGAACGATGTTACTGGATTGACACTGGTTGCCGAGGGTCGTGCCCTGAAAAAGCGTTGATTCACACAATGCTCGTCGTCCAACTCGGCCAATACCACCACTGAGCCGGCGCAGAGGGCAAACGATCTGCTTTCCTCATGGCTCGAGAAACCATGAGGGGTAGTTGTGGTCGTACCGATCACCGTCTGCAGGTTTAAAGTTGCCTGATTCAATGGCGACTTATGCACGGAGGAGCGCGTTGGCGGTCGCAAAACCGGGGAGTTGGAGGGAGTGATGCGGAGCGATGAAGCTGCCTTGCACCTTGCACTCAACGAGTTGTTCGCCATAACAATTGGGTCTGCGGTCGGCTTCGGTCACGAGGGGTCACGGTCCTTGAGTTGAACGGGTTTCGGTCGCATTGGTGGGCAAAGACCGAGAGTAGAAGGTCTGTATGTCTGCTTGAAAACCAACAAACTATTTTATCGCCATCGGAGGCCCTGGTCCCGGGGGAAGGCGCCGCAGGGCAAGCGAGGAAGGAGGAAGGGCAGATGACGACAAGCCTTGCTTATATATGCGGCAGAAGGTTTCGGTCGCAAAACAGGAGAAGCTCGGTGTCCGGTGTTGACGAAAGAGGCTTTCTGTTATTTTTTTTTCCCCCTCTCTCTATTTTTCCCGGTGGTGGTTGGCGGCGCAGAGGCTGGCGAAGAGGGGACCAAAAGGCGGAGGAGATCGGGGATAAAGAACCAAAGGACCGAGACAAGGAGAAGGGGGCCCCAAAGAATAAAAATAACGGTTCCAAAAGAGTGACTGAATCGAATGAGAAAAGGAAAAGAGCGAGGGAGGGAGGGAAGAGAATGTAGGAGAGGGATGAGTGAGGCCTTGACGAAGCAAAGGCAGAATGTGAGCGAAGACGTTGAGAAGAGCTCCCAGCTGGGATGGACAAGGAGCACCTCACCAACACCACCACCATCACATTCCACGCCGGGCGGAGAGCCGAAAAATGATGGACGAACCCTTGGCGCTGGGCTGCTTCTTAGCTTCTAGTAGCCCTGTTAGCTTCGGGAAAGCTAAATTCGGGGCAGTGGGATCCCGTCAAGCTGATCCAGATCCTGGGCGATCATTCACGATGGGGTGGAGAGAAGAAGACAGAAAGATTGCCGGTGAGGGAGAGGACAGGAATTGTGAGATGCTCGCTTCAACCACTTCCTCTCCATCTTCAAGATGGCTTGCCCACCGATCAAGCCAACCTCCCGGCGAGATTGGGAATGAAAGAAAGGCTTGATCGACCCCCTCACAGGGCATCAAGTGGCCCCGGCTCGGTGGGGATGCTAATCCCTTTGGGTGCTGACTTCGGAAAGTCGAATTCTATTCCACCTCCCTACTTGATGGGACGGTTGATCGTTTGATCGGGGAGGGGAGGAGGTCAAATGAAAGTGCAATCAATCTATTCCCCGATGAATTGCCCAGTGTCTACTCCGTACTGGGGTCTCGCATTGACCTTCCGGTCAAGAAACCTCCGGCAGCCCCATAACCTTAGGCACTATAGTTGTCTAGCGGCCCAAGAGTATGTCACAAAAGGAATCAGGATACGGAGTACTAGTACGGAGTAAAGCAAGGCAGATGCTTGTCTGGTAGCCTTAGCCTCGAGGCTACCTACTTACTAGTCCGGAGGCGTAAGGCTTCATTTCCACCAGCCCCTTGATCTTGAACACAGAATGAGAAAATAATGAGGATCGTCATTCCCTGCCAGTCCTCAAGCCATCCTCGTGCCTCCAAATATGGATGGGACGATCGCAGCCGGGCAAGTGATGTGGCTCGACTGATGCGCGCTCGAGATCAACGGGCGTCTATGCTCTGTAGTGGACAATGTTCTGTATATGGTCTTATCACTAGCTGCTCAGGACCAAAGCTCAGTAAGCTTCGGCATCCTGGGTTGATTCCGTCAACCATCACATTATTCCTTGTAGGTTCTTGCTGAATGTTTCCCATAGTCACATGATAGTGACACCTTAGGCCACAATGGTTCTAGGCCCCTTCGAGAACCCTCTGCGCTCTTTAGCGTCCGGGAGATTTTCCCCAGCTTCCATCTCTCTCGGCCCTTCATATCCTGCTATCTTGCCTAGTCGTCACCATGGCAAATGTCTGCACCTCCTCCTTCCGGCTCTCTCTGCCCAACGTCCTACGAAATGCTCTCCGTTCCGAGTTCGCCTTGGACGTCCATCAGAGTCCCGCATATCGAAGGCTCTCCGTAACGCCTCTCAGTCACCGCAGAATCCCCAAACGAAACTTTGGCTCCTCCCCCAAATCCCAGCTCTACCCATCACCGAATCGTCTATCGCCGCAGGAACCTCCTTCGACTAGTGCTGGTATCCCCACCGACGGACTTGGAAAGGCCCCCCGTGGGAAGCGGTCTACAGAGGATGCATTGACCGAAGCGAACGCGGCATCAGACCCTGCGGACATCAACTTCAGACCAGAGGACTATCCAGCCGATACTCATGCTCTTAAGAAAAGCAAAACCAAATATTCCCGATCGAAAAAGGGACCACGCGACGAACAATCCTCCAGCTCCACTGCGCCCGCCCCCGCCCCCGCCCCCCAGAAGAAGAAGAAAAAGCTAGAGAAGTGGGAGATCCAGAAGAAGGCTTTGCAGGGGAAGTTCAAGGAGGGATGGAATCCACCCAAGAAGCTGTCTCCGGATGCCATTGAGGGTATTCGACACCTACACGCGGTAGCACCGGAGCGATTCACCACGCCTGTTCTTGCGGAAGAATTCAAGGTGTCGCCTGAGGCTATCCGGCGGATATTAAAGAGTAAATGGCGGCCCTCTGAAGCCGAACTCGACGACCGGCGGAAACGATGGGAGAAGCGGCACGATCGGATCTGGGGTCATATGTCTGAGCTTGGTCTGCGACCGAGTACGAAGCGGACACGAGAGTTGGTGGATGCGAACCAACTGCTCTACGGCGATAAGAAGAAGGGGCCTAGGGAGTAAAAGTTGCTACCGCCTATGGCTCGTGCAGGGCTTCGTATGTATATTGACACCATACCTTGTATTATATAATATACTTAGTCGATTTTGCATAAATCGCATATGAAGGCGTTGGTCTGATTTGCCGGGGGTTCTTTTTCTTCGTCTTCCGAATGCCCTTTATTTCCGATCCGGGGGCACATGGGCTGCAGTGCGGGCCTTGTAATATACCGGTTTTGAAGGGTCGAAGTTTTGCGGGGACAAAGTTGTCGGCGTTCTATTGACTATTTCCCCCAAGTTTGTCCGAAAATGATAGACGTATCATGACGGCAGATCTATGGTATGTTGGCGACCACACAAGAAGCGGTTCGTTTCAGCTGGCTAGTGGTGGTTGTCCCATGGGGTTTTGCATTTCCCTGCCGACGGCCGTAGTGCACCTCCTCCACCACCGCGTCCCCCCGACAGGAACGTTATCCTTCGGTTCCCCCTCCACATCCTTCAACGATTATGGCTCACGCAATCTGACGGTATGCCCTAGCTGGCGTTGATTACCTTTTCTCTCATTGTATCATATTAGCCAATCCTTAATTCAGACTTCTCCAGGTGGCGGCTGGTACCCGCCATCGACCTCCAGCTCCGTGATTCCTCTTACCTGCGGTCACCCGCCCACATGGTGACCTTGCAGTCGTCGCCATGCCCTCAGACATCCAGGTTTTCGTCAAATGGAAGGATCAGACCATATTCGCGGGGGAAGATGTCGAATGCGTCATTACCTTCAAGAACGTTGCGGAGACGAACGGAGACCCCAGTAACGGGGGCCAGTCCTCGCATCAGAGGCAGCCATCTCGAGCTACGAGCTCCCATTCAGAGTCCTTATTCTCGCTTCGATCGCCCCAGAAGTTCTTCTTCAGTCCCCATCGCCGTTCGTACCCTAACATTCACAAAAAGAGCCCGTCGCATCGCCCTTCTTCGTCCGTGAGCTCGCCGTTGATCGGTTCTCACAGCTTTCCGCCCCCGTCTACCCCTCGCAGTGGCCCTCCTGCTGGCGGCAAGCACAAGCGCTCTGTATCTATTCTTTCCATTGACAGCGAGGGAACGGGAGAGCCGACTCCCAGAACGTCTTCGCAATACAATCGATCGAGGCCGGTGAGAGGTCATGGGCGCGCTGCAAGCCTACAGGTTCTACCGAGAAGGAACGAGTTCTACGAAGAGTCATTTGCGAAAGGTATTCTCTCTATAGCATAGCTCCAGCCTGTTCGAACCTTAGGCTGACTGCAGTCACTTCCTAGCTGGGCGCAATTCCTTTCGTGGCTTTCCAACTCCAGAGTCCCCCGTCAGCTCATCTCCCGGAAACCCACGAATAGATATTGATACAGCAGGATCCGGCGGACCTACGTCTAATCCCCTATTCGAGTCGCCTCGTACGCCTGCGCGCCGGCCTCAGCTATCGCCGATTGAATTTAAGTTCCCGCCGTCTCCTGGAACCGATACACACACTCGTCCTGCTCTATCCCCGCTGCAAACACCTTTGGAAGAGAACGCTAGCCAGGCAAAACCCAATGGCAAAGAATCGTCGACACTAACTGCGCCGGGCCATTTGCCCCAGCTCACCCGTATCATGTCAACCTCCAGTCTTAGTGGAAGTCATAGAAGCAGCGGAGAGTACAACTCCGTTAGCGACAACTCCTCGGAAACCCTCCAATCTGAATATACCAACTACTCAATGGCGGCACCGCGCCAGAACATTCCTCGTCATTCACGGCACATGTCTAGTATTGAGTCTCCAGGCTTGTCGCCGCACAGTCAGACCCTGCTCATGGGCTATGCGCAGATCAGCGCATCATTCACCGTTGATGGCTCGTTGATCCATCAGTCATACTTTGAAGAAGTGAAGCGGAAAGGTGTTGTCGGTGGTGCCGGGGGTGCGCCCGGTATGCCGAGTGGGAAACCAGCTACAAGTGGCGACAAGAGTCGCAAGGGCGGTGGTTTCTGGGGTGCTTTCAAATGGAACGCGATTGAGGAGTCGTTGAGTGGTCTGCTTTCCAATAACGAGCTGGATGGCCTGCGCGATATGCGAGGCGTCTCTTCTTCCAGATCTATACCGTTACTGTCTACGACCCAGTCGCTCCTCTTTGTCGATCTGCGACTGGCGCCCGGGGAGGAGCAGTCCTACTCATTTTCCTTTACGCTACCAACGGGCCTTCCCGCCAGCCATAAGGGAAAAGCGATCAAGATCTCATACAATCTTGTCATAGGTACCCAACGACCGAGTGGCCATCACGAACCCCAACGAGTTAACCGGATCAGCATACCGTTCCGGGTATTCAGTGGTGTCAATGGTGAGCTCTGTCATCTCCTCGAGGCCGTTGAACCCTCATTATTAACCCATCATAGGCCTTGGAGATATCATGGGTCACGATCTTATGAGCCCCTACGTGCTCCTCCGCGATGAGGCGCGAGTGCAGAAGCTCGGGCCTGTCCCGCCACCAGCAATGAAGCCGAAGAGCATCAGTGGGCCGACCTGGACGTCAGCACCTGACTTTTTGTCGTACGTGGATGAAATCCTGGAGCAGAGTGCGCGGAACAAGTCGCTGCAGCCACCCGAGGCTACACCCGAAAAGCGCATTAGTCGCGACCTATCGGCCGGCCCCCTATGTTGCAAGGATGCCATTGACCTTGCCATTCTCCGGAGCAACCAGGCACTCAATTCCTCGCGCAGTCCGAACCGATTTGAGATTGCCCGAAATGGGCGCCGGATTGCTGTTGTGGTACTCAATCGCCCCGCGCACCGACTGGGCGAGACCATCATCGCGACCGTCAACTTTGCAGATGCGGCACTTCCCTGTTACGCCCTCCGGGCGACATTGGAGAGTTCCGAGCGGGTAGCGGCGCATTTGGCCGTGCGGTCCAATGCCAGCATCCGCCGTGCTACCCGAAAAATCCACGCCTCCTATTTCGAAAACACGCTGTATGCCAACCGCGTTGTCTTCAGTCCAGCTATCCCCGTCTCCGCGACGCCTACCGTCATCACCACCGGCGTCAACCATGAGTGGGAGCTACGATTCGAGTTTGTGACCAGCAGTGTGCACGATGGCCCAGCCCCCTCGGGGGCCCGCTTGCTTGAAGCGGTCTCGGAAGATGATCGCGGGCGCATCATGTCCGCGTTGGAGAACCTTGGATGTGAGTCGTTTGAAGTCGCCCTCCCGATCACGATTTACGGGGAGACGGTGCGGGAACAGCTGCCTGAGGAGAACGAGGGATACTCGATCTGAGATGGATGAGGAGAGGGTACCGTTGGTTTCTCGTAGTCGTCCGGTCCACAGGGGGGGCAGCACGGCAATGGCGGCCTTGCAGACTCTTAGTATATGTCACAATGTCAACAATCCACGATCTACGTAATGAGAACCCTTCCCACCGTCATCTTGGACAGTGTTGTGAACGATGTAATCAAGGGCCAGTTTCCTTGCGGCTGAGGGTTATCACCGGGGCAACGGACGGGGCGATTGCCACCCTGAAGGCTGCAGCACCATGGATCCAGCCTTGGGGGGGTTCCGCTTGTGGGATCGTGGAGAAGCAGGCCGGAAATGCGATCGATATACTAGAGTCGATCGCCCTCGGTCGCCCCTCATTCGCGGTAGTGTAATCGGCCGGCTTGTTTTCCTTGCCTGGCCTGTTGTCGCGCCGGGTTGCTCGTCGACGGAGCGGCTCCATCGCTGATATCCTGCTGTGTACCTCTCCTCGGTTCTCGCATCCCCTTCGTCCTCCTTCCTTCTGACGGCCGCTACGTTGCTCCCCTCACGGTGGTGAATCGGGAACTTTGAAGCAAGTAAGACATACTATACAGTAAGTATTCACCCTGACCCCCATCACCTGGCCTGACGCGACACTAACCTGTCTGGCATTGGCATGTAGGCGCATTCTCCATCGCACTCTACGGTGTACGCAACGCCTGTCTATCTCGACCCAGGCCCCGGGCAAAAACACCCCTGGCTGGTATTTGACTGAAGCGAGACCGAAGGAAAGAACTCTGGAAAGGAGATGGCATCTTTCATCACCACCATGTCTGTCCCCATCCTTGCTTTTTCTGTCTCGTCTGATGCTGGACAATCTGCCCCGCCATCCTCGTCTTCCTCCCATCCGCCCTTGCCCTCCCCCTCCATCCCCCCTCTGGTCCGCCATGACACCGTCCATATTTCCCATACCCCTCTCTCTGAGCCCCCGTCATATCTGTCGCCGGCAGTGCGCGCCCTGAAACAAGACCCAGCTGGACTGACACCTCCCAGCAACGCTCGGACCCGAGCCCCCTTCAAGCCGCGGTCGGCGGCCAAGGGCACCACTAGTTACCAACTGCGACAGTTCGCGGAGGCGACCCTAGGAAGTGGCAGCTTGCGAAAGGCCGTGAAGCTCCCTGAGGGCGAGGATTTGAACGAATGGCTGGCAGTAAATGGTAATCCTACTCCGACAGCTTGGGGCAGTTTCAGCGCCATACTAACGCTTGGTTCACTACGCAACAGTGGTCGACTTTTACAACCAAATAAACTTGCTCTATGGCGCGATCACCGAGTTCTGTTCTCCGCAGTCATGTCCGGAAATGAAAGCGACCGATGAGTATGGATTTCCCCAGGGTAGATGTCCTGGCAATCCCGCTGACGGTGGCTGTCCAGGTTCGAATATCTCTGGCAAGATTCGGAAAACTTCAAGCGACCGACGAAGATGTCAGCTCCGGAATACATCGAGCATTTGATGAGCTGGGTACAGAGCAGTGTCGACAACGAACAGATTTTCCCCAGCCGGCTTGGTATGTACCATCTCCAGGGAGTCAGGAGAGCAATCTACGTGAACTACGGCTGCAGTGGGTGCTGATACACACGATCGTAACAGGCGTTCCCTTCCCTAAGGTGTTCCCCAGCCTTGTGCGACAGATTTTCAAGCGGATGTATCGCGTATATGCGCACATTTACTGCCACCACTACCCGGTTGTGGTCCACCTCGGACTGGAGCCCCATCTCAACACTAGCTTCAAGCACTACGTGTTGTTCATCGACGAGCACCGACTGGCGAGCGGGAAGGACTTCTGGGGCCCATTGGGAGATCTAGTGGATAGCATGCTGCGCAGCGATTGAGGGTCGAGGGGACGAGCACGAGAGAACGGCGTTTGGGAATTGGCATTCGGTTGAGGGCACATTTAACTCGTAGAGGCAGTCCGGCGTTACGTAGCATGCGAGTGGGAATTGCATTTTGACATGAGAAAGTCCATCCCTCGTAGGGATCATGTACACAATAAGGTAGAGCTAAAAGATAGCCGAAAACCCGGCGTGTGCGGGATCTCACGTGACCGCTAGCCGGCAGAAGTTGGACGTCGCCCGTCCATCCCAAGCACGACGAACCACCAGCCCGTTGCTGCTCGCTCTCTCCTCCCCTCGACGCCCCGTCCGTCTCGCATCCAATTCCACCTCCTCCTCTCCTCCTCGACGTCTCCGTCCCGGTCACCATGTTCTCCGTTCGCCTCGCCCGCGCCGGCCTCCGTGCCTCCGCCCAGCAGTTCTCCGTGCCTCGCACTGCCGCCGTCAACGGTCTGAGGACCTATGCCACCCCGGCCCAGGATGTCAGGCCTCCTGTCTCCCTGTTCGGTGTGGACGGCACCTATGCCACTGCTCTGGTATGCGACACCATGACCCCACGCGTTGGTTGCTAGTAGCTTTGAGGGGCCCTTCAATGGCCCGGATCAAAGGAAGAAAGAAGAGAGGGGGAAAGCAGACGGAACTTGGAAATACACCCAAAATTTCGCGTCACCGCTACTACCTCAATCAAGCTTCCCAGAGACCTTGACTAACCGATTGTTGCGTGTGTGTGTGGTATATAGTACACTGCCTCTGCTAAGTCCGCCAACCTCGACCAGACCTCCAAGGCCCTCGCCAGCCTCGGTCAGACCCTCAAGGCCGACCGCAAGTTGACCACCATCATCTCCGCTCCTACCCTCACTGCCAGCGACAAGCAGCAGATCGTCCAGGAGCTGCAGAAGGTTGCTGGTGGCGCCGACAAGGGCGACATCCTCAAGAACTTCCTCGCTACTCTGGCTGAGAACAACCGTCTCGGTCTGCTCGAGGGTATCTGCGAGAAGTTTGCGACTCTCATGGGTGCTCACCGTGGTGAGATTGAGCTGAACATCACCAGTGCTCAGGTACATTCTCTCCACCATCTCATTTGGCCGAATGAATTACATGAATACTAATGGATGAACCCAACAGGAGCTCGACACCAAGACCGTCAACCGTCTCGAGAAGGCCGTCTCCAAGTCCGAGTACAGCCAGGGCAAGAAGCTCAAGGTCATCACCAAGGTACATTCTCCTCTTCTTTCTCTTCCTCCATCCAACCCAACCAATACTAACCAACAACCAAAAACAGGTCGACCCCGAGCTCGTCGGCGGACTTGTCGTCGAGATCGGTGACCGCACCATCGACCTCAGCGTGTCTTCCAAGATCGCCAAGCTCAACAAGGCCCTCACCGACGCTTTGTAAATTACCATCTCTTCTCGAGACTTATAAAATCCAGAGAGAGATGCGCATGAAATCTTGAGCGTCTCTTGAACCCCATTTCTATATTTTACCCTCCTGTACCTCTACCGAATCGATCTACCTACCTACCTCCATTGTTCTCATCCTTACCTTCCTCCCTAGCTTCCTGATTAGTTAGCATGAGCTCTAGTTCTGGAGATGAATAGACAGAATTGAGTTTATACATAGATCCTAACCACTAGCAATCCGTACTTTACAGAGCTTTACGATTGTATTTTATAGATCTACAAGAAAGCATCGATCAATGACTGTCTAGCTGAGGTCTGCAGTCAAAGTATTGGTACTTCGATTTGGTGCAATTTTGAAGTTGGGGATCCATAGGCTGATCCGGTATCGGATGTTGAGTGGTTGGGGATCGTACTCTGTATGGGTATAAATGCCGACTCGGGTTTCATTACCGTTACTATTACCCTCAATTTCCAAAAAAAAAACAACAAAGAGACATAATGAGTGAGAAGTGATCATTCCGCTGGCTCTGCGCTATCTGTTGCATGTAATGTGCTAGCGATGTATCAAACTATCTAGGTAACTATCTAGGTGATCCGGCAAGATTTGAATCCTTTATCCATCCCCGCCATTCACAATACATCAGTCCATCCGTATATTATTCCCCAAGCAAGTATCTCTTTTTCGTATATTAGTCCATTAATGTCCATTTGGAATCCGATCAGCCTGCGTTTCAAATTCGTCCTCATACGCTCCCATCGATACCTGACTGCGGACGCGCTGCAACTCGCGCCCCACAAACTGTGCGACATGGTCGTCGTCTTCGTCTCCCAGGCCTGACTCGCCCAGTTTCTCCTCGTCATCGAGAGCCGACTCGGGTCCCGGGGTGTCACGGCCTGTGAAAGCGGACTCGAAGTCACTGCGGTTGCCGATGGACCGGCTAGTTGACGAACGGCGCACACTGGGTGGACGGCTGCCGCCGCGTGACCGTACAGACCGCGAGAATATGTCGTCGAAGTAATGCGATGCTGCGGCGCGGGGTGTACGAGGGGTCTGTGGGATTCGACAGTTGATTCTGTTGACGTTAGAACCTGGCTGGGATAGATTCTATGAGAGAAGGAATCCATAGCTTACCCTGTATCGTGGATGATCTTGGCGATCAACCCGGTCCATCCACACTGGTGAGACGCTCCAAGGCCTCGACCAGTATCTCCATCGAAGTACTCGTGGAACCACATGTAGTCTTTCCAATGCTCGTCATAGTCGAGAAGATCGTCTCCGTTGTAGACTGCGCGACGCCCCTCATCGTTGCGCGCAAACAGATGCTGTAGCCGATGCTGGATCTCTTCTGCAACATGGCCGAGGTGCATATACTCTCCAGAGCCCGTGGGACATTCGACCTTGAACGAGTCGCCGTAGAACATGTAGAACCGGAGCAGGGACTCAATGAGCAGGAAATTGACACACAACCAGACCGGCCCGCGCCAGTTGCTGTTACCACCAAAGAGAGCACTGTCAGACTCGCCTGCCACGTAGCCGACCCGGAACATCTGGCCGTTGACCTCCATAGAGTATGGGTGTTCCTCGTGATACTTGGACATGGACCGGATGCCGTGCTCTGATAAGAATTCTGTCTCATCAAGCATCCTTTTCAGAATCTTCTCCAGTCGGCTCTTACTCACCAAGGCCAGAAGAAGCCGTTCGTCCTTACCACGGTGCTTCATGCTGGCGATATTGCGCTCTGCCACATCCTGCCTGTTCTCAACAAACCACTCCAAACGCTTCTTGAAAGAGGGGAATTTATTAATCAGTTCGGGTTCGAGCGTAAGAACCGCGTACAGTGGAATCAGACCGACAAGGGATCGAACAGGAAGCTGCTGCGTCCAAGGATCACCATAAGAGATGGCATCGTAGTAAAATCTATTGAGAGTGTCAGTTGTGGATTCTGGAACAGTTGGATCTCACATACCCATCGTCTTCGTTCCACAAAGAGGTCTCCTGCCCCCCTGACTTAAATGTCATGGCATCGCTAATCAGAATAAAGTGCTCGAAGAACTTTGACGCAACTATTCACCATATGTCAGCGGATGAAACCCTCCAGGCGGGGAGTGCTTACTGTCTTCATAGATCCGTCGGTGCTTAGCAAGTTCAAGGGCAATATTCAACATGCCTAAGCAATAGAAGGCCATCCAACCCGTGCTATCAGCCTGCTCTAAGACGCCTCCAGTTGGGAGAGGCTCAGATCGATTGAAAAGGCCGATATTGTCCAGACCTAGAAAGCCACCTTCGAAGACATTTTTACCCTCGGAATCCTTACGGTTGACCCACCAGGTGAAATTGAGCAATAGTTTTTGGAAGACCCGTTCGAGAAAGTCGAGATCCTGTCGGCCATACATCTTCCGCTCCAGTTTGAATGTCCTGAACGTGGCCCACGCGTGGACCGGGGGGTTCACATCGCCAAAGTTCCATTCGTAGGCTGAAAGCTGCCCGTTGGGATGCATGTACCATTCTCGAGTAAGGACGTCCAGTTGTCTCTTCGCAAAGTCAGGATCAATCATCGCCAGCGGGATGCAATGGAAAGCCGTATCCCACGCGCAGAAAAATGGGTATTCCCAAGAATCGGGCATCGAGAGGATGTCGTCCATATACAAGTGTTTCCACTGTTGGTTACGAACGTGCTTCCTACCCGGAGGTGGTGGGATCAGACCAGGGTCACCGTTGGACCACTGATCCCACACGAAATGATAAAATTGCTTATTCCACAGCATACCGGAAAAGGCCTGGCGCTGGATATTGCGTAGATCATCGCTCATGGGAAGTGGGCTAATGTGGTAGTAGAAGTCGTCTGCTTCGGCAATGCGTTGGTCAATGACATTGTCCAGGTACTCTTCATCGAAGTATGTCTCCATCTTTCGAGACAATCTGAATCGCACGACAGCACATTGCCCAGGAGGGATCCCCTCGCCTTCATTAAAGGCGTACCAGGCCGCAAGCTTGGTGCCCTTGTTCTCGGGATTTACCGAGCCCTCTTCCCCGTCAACAATCAGGCGATGGAAGGCATCTTTCACGTAAGGCTGGCTGTTCTTGGTCTTCCAGAGAAACTCGTTGTTTGTTTCATTCTCAGTGAATAGCATCTGGGGAAAGACATCCTCCTCCTGGCTGTCTCCAACGGGTGGAGAAGGAGCGAACCGTACGTAACGCTCCCCCAGCTTCTTGTGGGTGGTTTTAGCGACCAGGTCATGAACCTTTTCGACTGACGGCTTCACTTTCTGATCCTCATAGCCCCAGGCCCAGGTATTACGGAACCAGACCTGAGGAATGATGTGCAATGGGGCCGGTTCTGGCCCCCGGTTGTAGGCGATGACGCGAAATATGAGCTCCTCTTCGTCATCCTCTTCTTTCGCCGTTTCAATGAAGATATCCCAGTATCGGTTGTCATTAAAGATTCCGGTATCGAGGATCTGATACTCGCGGTCTTGCTTCCCGCGTTTGGCGTTCTCATCCACAAGCTCCTTGTAAGGGAATTTGTTCTGCGGATACTTGTAGAGATACTTCATGTAGGAATGCTAAAGGCAAGATAGAGTTAGAAAGTGTAAGTTCCGTTCATCACGGTGAAGGTAAGCACAAACCGTCGGGGTGTTATCAACATGGAAATGAGCTTCCTTGATGCTTTCACCATGGTTGCCCTGCGGATTCGATAATCCAAATAGACGCTCCTTCAGGAAATCACTGGTTCATTGTGAGCTAGTGCGATCAGAATGTTCCAAGGGACAAGGGCTAACGTACTCCTTCTCGTTCCAAAAAGCAAATGCAATATTCTGCAAATTGTGGGTATCCGATACACCAGCAATTCCATCCTCACCCCAACGATAGGTCCTCGACCGCGCATGGTCATGAGAGAAGTCTAGGGCCGTTTGATTAGCGTTGGTTGGCGGCATGAAGGTGAAGCGAACAGAGGGACTTACAGCTCCAGGCATCTCCATTTTCTCTGAGAGCCGGTAGGAAAGCAATGGTTAGCAAATATTACTCGGAATCCAGTCGAGAGCCTCCATCGGAGTGGTTGTAGACTTACGAATAATCCTCGCGGACTATGGCAAGATAAGGTCAACCGTCAGTCCAAGTACGACACAGACGATAAAGAAATCGAACATACCAGTAGCCCATTGTCTCTCCGCGACGTATGGACCCCATCTCTTCCAGTAGCGGGTGTGCTCACGGTCCTCCTTAAGGCGTTTCTCCTCCTTGGATTCGTACTCGTGCTTATCGATGAGGACCATGGTGGGGGATGTGGGGAAGGACGGATCTTGGGTAGGTCAGGGAGATACAGAAACCCACCACAAGAAGAGGGAAAGGGAAAATCAGGGTTTAAGAGAAGGGGAATTCAGAGGCCAGGAGAGAAAGGATTTAAGAGACAAGCGATAAAACGAAGGAGGGGGGCTGGATGAGGGGTTGCGAGAGGAACAGGGAATCGGCGGGAGCTCAGGGACGAGTGGCGGACTTTGGTGCTACTGGAACTCCTGCAGGACAGTTCAGAGCTCACTTATCGGTCATCACGACGGGAGTAGCTAGGGAGTCATCGTCGATCACATCCATGGTCTGGACCGTTGCTCGGGCGCTTAATCTCTGGGGACTCATCCGCGGACCTTGGAAAGCGGACGACTCTGACATCATTGGTCCTACCCAAGAGCCATCTCGGTTCTCTGACATGGAATTAGAGTTTCTTTTTCTCGAGATATCGATCTGGACGGAAAAGGCTCTCCAGATCGGATGGGAGGTTAATTGCTGAGAACTCCCTAGCAGGATGAAGCAAAGCACAAGAGGTACTCTGTACTGAGGATCCTGCCAGGCTTGCCGGATGCTGCGCTCAGATACCCGGCTATGTTGCCACCTGGGCGTTCAGGCACTGCGGGCATGCAACCCAACAGATACCGTCGATACCGTGTGTATGTACGGAGTACGGAGTATGGACCGGTAAGAATCCTCGGCGTGGAATGCATGCCGGAATCGCCCTTTTCGGCTAGCAGATCAGATGACGGGATGCTGTGCAGCCAGCGAGCATTTCATTCCATGTCGTGCTTCATGGTACGTCCTCGTGCATACGTCGACAGAGATCGGCAACAGCAGGGAAACCACTGGCATCCCCTGAGATAAGCACCTGTCTCATACGGAGTAGATAGCTGTCAAAAATGGTACCTGCCATTCCAAGGGCACAAAATTGTTTTTGACAGTCGCATTCGCATCCGATAATTAACCTAACATTCCATGCGTCAGAGATCCATCAGCACACTGCTATCTGACTCAGTCCTATGTTGTCCGGATCTGCGGGTCATTATGTTGAAAACCCAACATTATGACGGAGGCGCTTCACTAATCTATACGTTTTCTCTCAATCAAAATGGACTCCAGGAATAGGCGCGTCATCAGAAAGGCCGAGCAACAATGGCGAAACCATGGATTCAAGTATTTGATTGGGGGACCGCGGGTCGTGGATAACGATCTAGAAATGTCCAAGTATCGCTGGCACCCTTGATAAGAGAAATAATGCATATAATCCTTGCACCGTTTGCTCTCTTGCAGTGAAAATGGTACCAGCTCAACGTGGCATTCCCGTCGCTGGCAGCGGATATTGTATCTAGTGCCAGAATGCGCCAATTCCGTAAGAGGAGAAGAGGGGAAGGGGGGCAAGCCCTGTAGACGGATGGTTGCGATAGGGCAGGGAAATCCTCCGCTAGTGGGAGTAATGTGGCCCTCTCCCAACCCCACAATTGCGATCGAGTCAAGACGTTGGCAACGAAATGATGTGCACCTTTGCAGCCACAGCTGTCTGCCCAAACTGTGATGCGGCCGACCAGCAGCTGAGACGGATCGCCCCCTATTAGCCCACTCCAGGTTGCCCTCGCATGTCGCACGGGTGCCAAAAATCAACTAATGTGCATTTGCATTCGATCTGTCAGTCAAGGCACATCCGTGCCATTTACGTACGGCGTATGCAACAAATGAGTCTATAAATTGGATGAACCCGGGACATCCGATTTTGATTATAACCGCGTTACGTGGCTGGCGGGCATCGATGCCGGCCTTTCGCTTTTTCTAAACTGGACCTGAACCCCAGGAAGGAAAACCGAATAAATGCCCACATATTGACTATATAAACGATGATAGCAATATTTAACGCCCCAACTGACTGAAGGTGCTCTCCTGTCGCTCCTGACCCGCGGGATCGTGGGATGGCCGGGATGTGTGCAGATTTGACCGCCACCCAAGCCGCCAGGCAAAGGAGCGACAGGAGAGCTGAGCCGTCATCGTTTCCCCTTCGACACTTGATCGCCAGCGGCGCGGTGGGGAAAGACGATGACGGGGTGAACAAGCCAACCGAACCGATTTCTCCAGACCTGCCCGCCATATGAGGATATATAAAAGATGATAGTGAAGTCGAACCCATTGAAATCTCCCATTCCGAAACGTGACCCAAATTATATGCTGATGTTGGCCGACCCTGACCTGGGGTATGCAGTCATGAGTTACGGCCCTGGCCCCGCTGTTGTTGTTCATCGCCGCTGGAGTATTGGCCTGCCGATTCCGTGGGAGATGTCGACGACGAGGTGGAGCCTAAAGATAGGACATGGTTAGGGATGCCGATAATCGTGGCGGGGATTCTCCGGCTAGACCTCACCTGTTGATTGATAAAACCGCTCCCCGCGTTGCGCTGACTGGTTCCTTGAGTTGTTTCCGTCGAGAATTAAAGACTGCCGGGCTTTGAGACGTTCCTCGGCTTCCCGGATCTTAGCCTGGAGTTGTTCCAATTCTCGAGTCTGGATCATCATCTGGTGTCTCCTAGAAGTGGATAGCCCGTTAGTCCATGCCGCCCGAGAGAGCCCCGACAGTGAGACCAGGTCGCACGACCGTCGCCAACCCAAGTGGAACCTACTTTTGATCGATGGTCTGTGAGAGGTGATTGACATCGGAATCGAGCGAAAAGGCGCTATCCAGCGCAGTAGAGAAGGCCTGTGCCATGGTCCTGCCATGTCTTGGTCAACGCCAACATTCTGAGACCAGAGGGGCCACGGAAGAGGAGTACGAACGACTGTGGCCGACGGTTAGGCTTCCATTCCTGGTCCAGTTCTGCGTCGGACATCTTGCTGGACGTTGTAGGAACGGTGGTGATAGGCTGATTGTATGAGAGTCTGGGGCGAAAAGGGAGGGTAGATGGGTGTGAAAGGAATAGAAAGAGGGGAGAAAAAAAGGAGTATGCGAAATGAGGTTCAAGACGTGGAGGGATTGGAAGCGCGCGCGTCAGGAACGGAACAGGGGGTTATTAAGTGGATATGATAGCACGGACGGGGTGGACCTTGCGCCTTGGGTATGGAGTGAAAGAGTGAGGTACAAAAATCACCGAAGGTTCCAAGAAGGATCGAAGCTTTGATGACAGAGACAGACCAGGACCAGCCGGGAGTCTATCTAAGTACTCCGTACTATGGAAAGGGGCGGGCAAAGCGATGGCTGGAGGGGGCAATCGGCAAAATTGCAGCGCCCGTCGCACTACTGGGAGGAACCAGTTTTGAGTTATCGAGTCCGATGGGGGGGAATGGAAGGATGGATAATGACAGGGGCTGCACGATCGGCGGGGATGACGATGGCAGGCGCTGGGGGGGGGTCGAGGTGGGATGCAGGAGTGTCCGTGGGTTAATTTCGCAGCAATCCGCAGCCGGGAGTATCAGGCGTGTCCAACATACTCCGTATAAGAGGCTGCGATGGCGGCGATGGCTGAAGGAGAGGAGCAAAGAGGTTGGGTGTCAGGTCTGTGTCAAAGAACCATCGCTTTGGGTAAGTCGAGTCCCATCCATGGGATGGTTCGGGCTCCGCGATTCCCTCGGAGGGTAAATAGTGCAGCTCCTGTCCCTCACTAGTCGGGTGTAGTAGTGGTTGGCGATGGAGCTTTCCAAGGGTGCCCCTGAGTTTGTCCCGGGTCCATGACGCCGTCGCCAGGTGCTCGGCCAATGGGAGGGAAAGTATCACGTGCGAGAGGATCCCCCCCTGTTTGAGGCTTTGGCCTTACTGCCACCCCGCCTCTCTTTACTGCCACATCAACACCAACCATTCTGCATTGCGTCCTTCATCGGATCCAGTCCGATATGGGGTCCATACAATTTACATCCGAGGATGACCCCGCGGGAGATACTACATATATGTTGGTTATCTCTACTCTAATCGCAACTGTCCAACGATTCGACTCCGTTATTCCATTGACTCCAATTGCGATCACGTACCCCACCTGTCTCACTCCTTTACATATTCCTCGCACGACCGCTCTGCTGCCGGTGTCAGCGTCCACCTCCAGGTATATGCCGAGGATATCATCCCGAATCACCCGCGATGACTTGCTTTTTCTGGTATTCCAGCTGAAGATGTGGGCTGGAGCCAATAAGGACGTGGCAAGCCACCATGGTTGACAACCCGGCTATCGATCTATCCGTACCCACGTCGCTTTTGGCAGACGCAAGCCCAAAAAGACGCCTTTATAGTTCATACCGTTTAACCCGTCGGGGTTATGCATGCCACTACGGGAGCGGCTATCCAACACGCCGATCTTTCTTTTCTTACTTTCATATTGGTTCTCGTTGCCAGAAACAGACAGCCTTGGACCTAAAAAGGGAAGCGGGCCAATATTATTGAGCCAGCATCATTTCCCATGAGCGAATTGTTGTTCGGAATCGAGGAAATTTTGATAGATTCAGCCACTCCCAGAAAATGGTCCCTGAATTGTCTCTTGATCTGACCTGAGGTTTGCAATGGAGATTAAATCACATGTCACAGATATGCGGGTTTATTCATTAGGTACCTGCATTCCTACTTGGCCGGGCTGTTTGGTCCAGAGCATTCGCTGGCTTGTTCCCCGTACCCCTGGCTACCCATTGTTTTGAACATGAGTTTGTCAGTTGACGCTGGTACCCCCCGCATATGTTCGACACTCGCCAACACTCGCCATGATTGATGCGAACTGGAAGAAGCTGGTTCGATTTTACAGACCCGACAGTGTTCCCGCATCACAACCTGTCTGTTGAGCCCTCAAAATGATCTCGAGTAGTCATCAAATCCACCCTCATACCATCTTCAGCACAGTAGTCGCAGCAACCGTGTCTGAATGAACTTAGATGACGGGCCTCTGGGAGCTTGAACAGGCCAAACTCTGCCTGACTCATTGTTTCACCGCGTCCGTCGCGACTAACCGAACACACCCCCAAAGTAGTACAGTTACGGACGGGAAGTTCTGCAATGATCTCAATAGAGCGCTTGGCTTCAGCGTATGGGCCTTTACCAAATTGGATGAGCGTCTGGATACAAAGGCTGGTATTAGCCTCCTGACCATATACGTTTACATTACCCAATGGAGGGATGAAGATGGCGGCACCCTTGGCCTTGACCAGGAAATGCTTGTGCCACGATAATCGAACCCCAGATGTTTGTCTCATATAGGACTCGAGCGTACTAATAAACCCATGGCAATGTCGGGTCTGGGTGAGGCAAGACGGACTATGCTTTACGTTGTGATTAGTATATGTCAAGCGCATCCTTAGCAGCATCACTTGATTCTTTACACCTGGGCACTGGGGATGATTGGGTGTGATGCAACACGCTCAATCAAATGAATTCCAACCTCCTGCTGCGGTGTCTGACGATGGCAGTCCACAACCGCTCGAGACACTACCGAAACCATACAGTACACACTTAACTAATGAAGTTTATCATGAATTAGATTGACACAGCTTACAAAGGGCATGGCTTCGAATCTCCTCCCAAAGATCACCGACACCATTTTATTCCTGGATTTACAATAACAAAGACAATGAAGAATAAACAAGATGCTGTAGTTTTGGATGTTTTGTCGGGGACTTCTACCGGTCGCTCATGGTAGCTGGCCTTACAGTATATTTGCGTAAAGATCGATATGGACAACATGCAGGCACCATCAACTGCCCCACTACACCCTGGCAGGATGTGTGACCGGATAAGCCATCCAGATCGCCTCTAGGCTGCTCCTAGGCAATCCCTAGGCTGCCGTTAGGTCTTACGCATCCCCAAGCTAACGCCACTCTGCCTAGCTCGACCCATGGAGGAACCGGACATAAGGCATAGCCCCGACTCCTTCGGAGGTGGCAGGTTTCTCTGCCCCGCTATTTAGTCCCCTCCCTCCCCTCCTCTTTCACTTCTCTTTCATCGCATTTTGGAATTCCTATCCACCCAATCTCAATCAATCCAATTCATCATGACCTCTCTTCCTCCCAGAAGCTGCTGCTACCAGGGCGTCAAGCACGAAGGCGAAGCCACCGGTAGCTTTTCCCAGCTCAATGACTTTGAGATCTACACCAGCTACCCCGCCGACAAGTCCACCGAGCACGGTGTCTTGCTGTAGGTGCCTCGATCTTCTCCATGCAATCTTCAGCTGACCGATCTAGCATCACCGATGTCATCGGTCACCGCTTCATCAATGCTCAGCTGATTGCCGACCAATTCGCCGCCAATGGCTACTTTGTCCTGATGCCCGACCTCTTCTACGAAGATGCCATCCCCTTGAACCGCCCCGCCGGCTTCGATCTCATGGCATGGCTGGGTGGTGCGTACCACAAGGACAAAAAGGCCCACACTCCCGAGGTCGTCGATCCCATCATCGAGGCTTGTCTGAACGAGATGCGCACCAAGTATGGGTGCAAGGTACGGACTCCTGTGAGAGAATTATTAAAATGAAGATCTGACTGGCAGATAGAAAATCGGCGCGGTCGGCTACTGCTTTGGTGGCAAGTATGTCGTGCGCTACCTCCGGCCCGGCCAGGTCGATGCCGGATATACTGCGCATCCTTCCTTTGTCCAGGAAGACGAGCTGAGAGCCATCAAGGGACCTCTGGCAATTGCTGCCGCGGAAACCGATGCCATCTTCCCCGCGGAGAAGCGCCATGAGTCGGAGGTGATCCTGAAGGAACTGGGCCTGCCCTACCAGATCAACCTGTACAGCGGTGTTGAGCACGGCTTTGCGGTTCGTGGTAACCCGGAGAAGCGGACGGTGCAGTACGCCAAGGAGAGTGCTTTCTTGCAGGCCGTTCAGTGGTTCAAGGAGCACCTGTAGGGGCTGATTATCCGTATGAGGGTCTACCTGATGGATGTATGAGATATGAACTACATTTAAAATACAATTATTGCCTCCAAGTATTGACATCTCCTGATCGATACTCAGAGATCGTACTAAGTAGGCCGTGCCTTATTTATCCCCACGCAGTCCAAGCTTATTCATGGGGAAAAGCCGAGCATGTCTGCCTACATAAGCAAATGAGACATAAGTGTACATACAACATGGAAGCATTGGTTCAGTCTAGAATGTACACTTCGTATAGGCTTATCTTTTGTTCTGTCTGTTCTCTTAATCTTTTCCCATTTTCTTGATTTTGTCTAGATTCTTTATCCTTTTCCTTTTCTTTGTATCTTCCCTAATTGCTTAGATCCTTGTTGATTTCATCTACTCTTCTGGGCCAAGCTGGGTCTCCACCCACCAAGACTATATCTCCCGATGTTTCAGCTTCGAAACCAGAACGAGAATACCCATATAGTACATCCCACGTGGGACAGTACCCACTGCATTTTTACTTCATATCCCAAGTTTCTGGGAAACAGGGGCAACGAAACTATTTTCGTCCAGAAAATCAACTCATGCAGGACTAGCATCTCTCCACCAATGAGAGAAGAGGATGTTAGTGTGCATGTCACTGGCAGGGCGTGAATCTGACATGGTCCAAGCGTGAAGACTATAAAATCACTGTCGACTGCGATATATTCAGGAACTATGCGGGGAATTTACTGGTAGTCTGGCTCATCATTCTCGGGTCTTATTTTTATCTTCTGAGTTCCGACACTCGCTTCCACCATTCATTCGATTTCAGCATTGTCCAATTGGTCTTATTCTTCTGTTGCTATACACTGCGGGAACATGGTCAACCTCTCAGATCCAGAATCCTTCCAAAAGCCCCCCAGTGAGCACCCAGTCACTGCATCGCAAGACAGCCCCCCTCCCCCTCCCCTCGACCACGGCAAAGATGCCTGGCTCTTCCTCGCCGCCTGCTTCGTCATGGAAGCTCTAGTCTGGGGCTTCGCCTTCACCTACGGTGTCTTCCAAGACTACTACAGCACCCTCCCTGCATTCCAAAACTCCAACAGCATCGCCATCATCGGAACCTGCGCCATGGTACCCTCCTCTCCTTCTCCCATCCTCCCTCACAACCCACCAAACTAACCACTTCAACCAGGGAATCATGTACCTCGACCTCCCCATCATCTTCACCCTCTACCGCCAATACCCCACCCTCCAACGCACCGGCTGCGCCCTCGGCGTCCTCCTAATGTGTCTCTCCCTCGGCCTCAGCTCCCTCTCCACCACCGTCCCCCACCTCATCCTCACCCAAGGCATCTTCTACGCCATCGGCGGCAGCATCGCCTACTCCCCCTGCATCCTCCTCATGGAAGACTGGTTCGACAAACGCAAAGGCCTCGCCTTCGGCGTCATGTGGGCCGGCACCGGTCTCGGCGGCGCGATCCTCCCAATCGTCATGCAACGTCTTCTCGACCTCTACGGGTTCCGGACCACGCTGCGAGCATTCGCCATCACACTCTTCATCCTCACAGGCCCGCTAGTATACTTCGTCAAACCCCGAGTACCGGCGCCCAAGCGGCCATCGAGTCGGATATCCATCCCAAACCTAAAATTCCTCAGCTCAAGCACATTCCTCCTCTTCCAAGCCTTCAACACCATCGAAGCACTCGGCTACTTCCTCCCCTCACTCTACCTCCCCACTTACGCCCGATCCATCGGTGCCTCGGGCACTCTCGAAGCCTTAACCGTCATTCTCCTCAACGTAGCATCCGTAGCCGGATGTGTCTGCATGGGCGCCATCATCGACCACCTCGACGTAACAACCTGCATTCTTATCTCCGCGGCCGGATCAACCCTAGGTGTTTTTCTCCTTTGGGGATTCTCTGTCTCGTTACCACCATTATTCATCTTCGCTATCGTGTATGGGCTCTTTGCGGGGTCGTATACGAGTACCTGGCCCGGGGTGATGCGGGATGTCGTGAGGAAGGAAGGGTCCGCGGAATCGAGCATGGTGTTTGCGTGTTTGGCGGCGGGGCGGGGAGTCGGGAATATTGTCTCTGGGCCGTTGAGTGAGGCGTTGTTGAAGGGGAGGCCGTGGGTGGGGGATGTGGGGTATGGGTTTGGGAGTGGGTATGGGTCGTTGATTGTGTTTACGGGCGTGACGGGGGTCGTGGGGGGAGGGAGTTATTGCGTGAGGAGGATGGGGTGGTTGTGAGGGATATTGTGGTAGAACTCGAGTATTAGAGATAGAGAATAATAAAAGCACTTGCTTGATTCTTTGGGTGGTATTCATGCAATGGATCATCTCAGCGGGCTGGGTATTTTGTTCCGAGCCTGGAATAGTGCTTTCATGACGGGGGCAGTGTTGAATATAGAGTAGTAGTAAATGTGAGATTGCTTGAGATATGGAGAGATAAATAGGTAGGCTAGAGGCGTGCGTCTCTTTATACTAAATTGTAAAGTGAACCGAGAAAATCTTTAATGGACTGCGTCCTGTATATTCTTTGAGATCTTGGTCGAGAGTTGAATGTCAACTAGTATGCTTTGTAGATATCATGGATTTGAAGGGATGGGTGAGTACTGCTAAGCACTAGTGCTTAGGGTTAAGCGTCATGATGATTGGCTGGTATTCACAGCCACGAGACGCTAGGTCGGGTTACTAGTCATCCGGAGTAGAATCTCCGTGGTTTTCACCTAGTTAGACAGTTAGACAGTAGACTACATCTAGGCTGTGGCTTGGCTTGGCTTCGCTTCGCTGTGGTACGGCTGTGTATCCACGTCAGCCCAACAGTCAGACTGGGTACTTATATCGCTGCTTAGCCTCGGACGCGGCTCCGACGGGCACTCCAGGCTGCTCCTAACCCTAAAAAATAGATTCGATCGAATGGGCCATATTGAAATGCGATTCCCCATTGAAATCCTCCGCCAAATCATCCAGAGTGCGGTGGATCTAGTGCCAATCCGGGATTTGTTCCAGGCCAGATTGGTCAACAGTAGGGGACCATTTGGCAGTTCCGTCCGGAGCGTCGCTGACGAGTCACAGCTTTCTTCGATGAGGAGATCATTACGTTCTTCCTGGACAGTCCGCGCTTGGAGGAAGAGGCATTCTGCTTTCCTACGTCGTGCCGCACCAATAAGGCGATCAAGGGACGGTGGACGGAGTTTCCAGACCGGCTCAAGCGCTTATATCTCTACCGCAAGATTCAGAAACATCCGCGCAGCCGATGTGCCTTTACGTGCTGGGTACAAGAGGTGCTGGACCACCAGTTAGGGACTACTCCGGAAGTGGAGCAAAAGGACGAATGGATAGCAAAGTTGGTCGATGTCACGATATCGGGCCACTATGAGCCAGCGAACCTGTTCAGTCCCGACCGGTGCGAGTGGTGGATGAAAAGAGTCCGGGCTATGTTCCAGGACTCCATGGTGCAGTCCATCCCCATTCTTCTGGCCTGCAGTGCCATCAAACGGGGGGATTGCGCGGAGCTGCAGACGGCGCTGCAGAATGGATTGCAAATGCAGAGGCTGTGTGTACGTTTCGGCGTCATCACGCTAGATGTCGCCGCCAGAAAGGGGAACAAAGAGATTGCCAGAACGCTGGTGGAGCACAAATGTCCCATGTGGTATGACGTGAATTGGAATACCTGCCATGTGGTGCCCGTAGCTGCGGTGGCCCAAAACAAGGAGGCGCTGGAAGTCTGGATCGAGCACCTTTATCAAACGCATCCGAGCTCCGCTGTGCCCGCATGGAACTGCGCAGAGGCAATGGAGAAATTAGCGCGTAGAGGACTGATCGAGATGATGGAGTTCATGATGGAGCGATATCCCGCGACGCTGCATGACCGAATCGGGGCCTTGTCCGCGGCCATCGATAGCGGCCAATGTGCCGCAGCGCAGTGGCTTCTGGCACGCCTCGATGCTCCGCTCCCGCCTGACCGAGGAAGATGGTTATTGACAAGCAGCTTGAAATGCTGCCCCCGGGCCAAGAGAACGCGAATGGTGCAACTCCTCCTGGAGCATGGAGTTGACCCGAATGGAGACGCCCGGTTTCAGACGCCACTCGATGTGGCTGTGGCAGCCGGAGACGTGAGCATTGCCACCATGTTAGTGCAATACGGAGCCAACTTCAACCAACGTCTTCCTCCTGGTTCGCGCTTGATGAAACCATCGCCGCTAATGCTGGCAGTCCGGCAAAGATCGGCGCCCCTCATCCGAATGCTTCTGGAAAATGAAGCAGATCGGACGTATACCTGGAAGCGAAGGAAATACACGGTATACTGTGATGTGGAGGAAGTGCGTAACCTGGAGAAGGTCTTGAGGGAGCTGGGGTGGGACGAGGAGAAAGTGAAGCAGGAAGCCGGGGATTATTGGGTGTTGGGCGAGAAGCTCCGGAACCCCCGCACGTGACCGTGCCGCCGTCAGTCGCCGCGGACGGGCTTCTGGGGGGGGGTTGTCATGGCAGGAAAGAAAGGCATCATCCCTCCCCGTCCGTTCCCCCTAGCCATCGCAGCCATCCAGCCATCCTCCCTTCCCTTCCCTTCCCTTCCATCCCCATCCTTTTCATCCTCTTGCTTCAATAATTCCCTCCCTCTGTACGTAAACCAATTTTAACGCTTTTTTCTCCCACGGTTTTCCCAACCTGGACCCATCATCTCTCTCCACCCCTTTCCTCCCTCGCATTTCCTCCGCGACGCTCCCGTCCTTTTTTTCTGCGCGCATGGTCTGAATCGCCTCCCGGACCCGTCTCCTCGCGTTTTGCTGGCCTGGTCTTTCAGGTATCCACCATCTTCCGCCGTGCTACCCACCACCTCTCTCACCTCTTACCAGTAGTACCACGAGGGTCGACCTTCTCCGACTGAGCTCTTCGGCCCGGCAAGCTGCAACAATTCCTACCACCGTGGCCCCTATTCCTCTATACTTCCCCCCCAGTGGCCGAATTGACGGGCAATGGGGGATGCCTCCTCTATCGGCCTACACGCCCTTTGAGTCGCTTCTCTTCTTCCAGTCTCTCGCCGGCCTCGATACTCCCCCCGCCAACTTCGCCTCCATCTCCGATGTTCTCCGCAATAACCCATTCATTCGCCAGAATGCCGCCTATGACGCGGGCCGGCTCACCCCCGAGGCCCTGGAAGACCTCTATACGACTCTAATGCGAGATGGCTTGGATTCCGTCACTGCGGGTCCGAATGGCCATCATACGGAGACCCCAGTCGCGAATAACCCGAAAAAGCGCAAGATATCCAGTCCTCGACCGGACGGATTGGCCGACAAGAGCGTGAGCCATACCAACATGCTGCCGGGATTGGTGTCGCATCTTTATGCCAGGTATAAGGAGTTGGTGACACGGGAAATCAGGAACGAGGAGAAACGATATAAGGAGATTAGAGAGGAGATTGAACAGCTACAAAGGGAAGAATTCGAAGCTCCTCCAGAGCCTGCGACGAGACCTACCCCAGCGCAGCCGATTGCACCAGCGAAGCCGGAGCCGGCACCACAACCGATGGATGTGGATGTAAAGGAAGAGAAACCCATTCAACAAGCCCGTGGAGAACCTATGGACCTCGCGACACCGCCGGCGGGGACCGATATCAAGCAGCCCCAATTGGAGCCGCAGCGCAAGGACCTGGAGAACAAGCAACCAGCCAAGCCAGTACCGCGCCCACCCCCCACTCCCCAACAACTGCCCGCGCAGCCGGTGCAGCCCGTTGGGCAACCACCAAAGGAACAGGAAAAGAAGATACAACCACTGCCACAGCCACAGCTGCCTCAACAGCCACCGCAACCGTCACCTCGGCCTCAGCCCAGTCCTCAGTCGGCTGCTGCTGCCGCCGCCGCCCGCCCGCCTCCGCAGCCAGCGGCCCCGAATGGAAAGGCGTTCCCAACAGCTCCACAGCCGGCTCTTGTGCCCAAGAATGTCCCTGTCAACCAGGCACCAGTGAATGCGCCAGTGACGCCGTCGTCAAGATCATCCAATGCTACAGCGCCTAGTGCTGGGGTTGTGCGGCCTCCTGCGGTTGCACCCTCGCCAGCTCCGCCGAACGTCAGTGTGCCAGTTCCTTCTACCCCGCAACAAACTCCCATCAGCAAGCCTTCTGTCAAGGAGACCCCTCTCGTTCCAACGGCTAGCCCAGCGCCTCAGCGCCCTCCGCCCCAGGCTAGTTTCCAGCAGTGGTCGTTGAACCCACCCCCGCAAACACCCCAGCCCCCTCCCGCATTTCCGAAGCCGAAAGCCGAACCAATGAGTACTGCTGGCGCTGGGCGGCCGGCCCAGTCTCCCTTACCTCCACCTGTCCCGACGTTTGAGAGCAAGAAGGTACCCCAAGGCCCGCGTCCGACTCCAGCTCCGTCGACTCCCGGTCCTGTGCCCGCAGCAGCCCAGACGCCAGCCCGTAATGTTCCACCGCCGGTGTTCCAGACGCCAATTGGCCCGGCTCAGGCGTCAATCTTTTCGCGGCCAACCAGTGCCCGGCCTCCTCGGCCTTCTATTGACACAGGTGCTATGACACCTGGCTCGATGACGCCGTGGAAGAAGACCCCAGGTTTGACCATCACCATTTCCCCTCGTTCACCCGAGCGGCCACGACCGGAGGAGATCAGTCCCATCAGTGAAAAGGCACCATCGCTGATGGGATCCCGAGAAGCAACGCCCGAAGAGCCTGAGCCTCGTCGCCGGAAACGCCGGTCTGATGCGAAGGGCAACGGAGCAAACGATCAGACCCTCTCGGTTGATCCAGAGAACAAAGCAGGGACGAAAAGGAAGGGTGAGAGGTCAGCCCTGTCCACCGGAAAGGATCGTGATCGAAGCACGGCTTCATCCAGAAGTCGGGGCCGATCAGTGTTGTCGCGAGATGAAGAGTCCATGGCAGACATGGGCTCTGGGAGAATCAAGCATGAAGTACCTAGTACGCCAGCTGGTGTCTCTGAGGCTGCCGAACCCGAACGTCCTTCTGTTAGTCGTCCTGGCAGGGGGCGACCCAAGCGCAAGCGTGCTCCAAGTGAGAGTGTCGAGGCCGAACCGTCTCAGCCGGAGTTCACCCCTCTAAGTCGCCTCGACCCCAATGTGTCCACGACGTACGTAGTCTGCGCGCGGAACTTCCCTCGTACCGGGGCCCCCATCATGAACGATGTCACCACTCACAAACATGCGTCGATCTTCACCAAGCCGCTGACGGAACGCGACGCTCCTGGGTACCGCGATCTCATCTATCGACCACAAGACCTGAAGTCCATCAAGTCGCTGATCCACCAGGGCAGCAGGGCACTGGCCGCAGCTACCGAGGCCGCCAGCACGCCGGCAGGAGACGGGGAGTCGCCGGCTCCCGGTGCGGGGACTCCGTCGAAGAACGCTGTCCTCATGCTGCAGAAGACCGAGGACGTCATCCCTCCAAAGGGAGTGGTCAACTCGGCGCAGCTGGAGAAGGAATTGATCCGTATGTTTGCCAACGCCGTGATGTTCAACCCCATTCCCCAACGGGGCTTTGGGCCCGCGTTCCCGATGATCAGCGACAGCGGTTCACGAGAAAGCACCCAGGTCCCCGAACCGGACGAGGGTGGTATCATCAAGGACACGCTGGAGATGTTCGAGGACGTGGAAAAGGCCGTCACGAGATGGCGCGCCGCGGAGCGCACGGCCGACGAACTCGCCAGCAAGAGCATTCTCTCGCTTCGGCGCGGGAGCGCCAGCGATCTCAACACCGACAGCGCGGATGAAGTCAAGGGGTCATGACCTATTGACTATTCGGACTATTATGTAACATTACACGAATGGAAATAATTACATTTTTCCAGACACTGAACACTTTCTATTTCATAATCATAAGATAAGCTTTTGTAGAAGCCCGTATCAGGCTGAACCCATAACCAGAACATCTATAGTCATATGCATCATGCAAAATATCACTTGACATCATTATCCAGGCATTCCCCCATCCATTAGCAGCAGTGGCAAGCACCCTATGCAGAAATAGGCTGAGGTTTCGTCCGTCCCAACCCCTCCTTGGCATAAAAGTCCATCGGATAGACGCCGTTGTTCTCCGTACTCCAATCCTCTCTGATACCAAGGGCAATCAGCGCCTCGTACGGCGTCAACAGGGGTCTCGAGAACGCATATCCCCAGTCGATACTCAACCGCGGACAAGCAATCTGTACCCAGCATTCGACATCGGACATGGAGGCCAACTTGCCAGGGAAGATCTCACTGAGTAGGAGATTGACGAAGGGGATGCCGCGCTCGTTGAGATGGTTCTCGATCATGGCCATGGTGTTAGGGTTTCCTTGGCGACCGAGGGAGCCAAGGATGATGCCCCATTTCTTGGCCGACTTGGCGGTGTTGATGGCGTCGCGGCGGAGGGTGTGCATTTCGTCGTGGACGTAGGTTTCCCGGGAGAGGGTCCGGGAGTAGGGGTCGTAGCGGTAGGCTGGGATCGCGGGGTTGTGGATCATGGCGGATTCGAGGTGGAAGCGGCCGTCGCCGAGGTAGAGGAGGATGTCGACTTCGTCGGCGGAGAGGGTAGGGGAGGTGCAGCCGAGGATTTCGCCCTTGGAGAGGGGCATGATTTGTGGGATGAGGACCTTGAATCCGGCGCGTTCGAGGACGGGTTTTAGGCCGTGGAGGGTGGCGTTGAATTGGATGGTGCCGACGGTTGCGATGGTCTTGCCGGGTTGGAAGTTGCGCTCCAGGGTGGCGATCAGGTGGGTGGTGTCGATGCTGATGTCGACGAAGATGTAGAGGGTTTTGATCTTGGTGACGTCCACTGGGATCAGGCAGCTGTGGGCGTAGTGGACGAGGAGGTCGCAGCCGAGGGCGCGCGCCGTGTAGTCGTCGATGCAGCAGGCGCCGTAGGTGACGTCGCCCATGATGAGGGTTTCGATGCCCGGGCAGAACTGTGTGAGGATGTCGGAGATGGTGGTCGCGAAGATGAGGAGGCCTTCAGGGAATTGGAGGGCCACGCGCTTTGCGCCGGAGGAGCGGATGCGGTGGATTGTCTTCGGGATCTCGAAGGAATAGTTGCGGGGAAGGAGTTCGATGGCGGCGATGATCTCGGGGTCTTCGAGGATCTCAGGAGGGACTTGGTTTAGGGTTCGGGGGTTGCGCCGGGGGGCGGCTGACGAAGGTAAGAGTGGTTAGTCGATGGCATGGACATGGTAGTATGAGGGGTGATCTGCACTCACCCTTTTGTATACTGGTGGACTCGACATCTCCGGAATTGGGGGCTTCTTTCTGTGCCTGGGCGTCTGCGGTCCGACGACCGACGAACCTCTTCTTGGGCTGTCTCAGGGGAGCGCTCGACGGCGCGGAATCTGCTGGAGTATCGGTCATGGTGCAATGGGGGGGTCTGAAGAGGGGACGAAGAGGGGATGGAGAAGTTGGCAGTGGGAAAGATGGATATTTTATGATGAGTCAGCGGGCGGGTCAGGTGGGGGCCTCCGGGCGGTTCTCCGCATTCCTTGGATCAGTTCATCCGCCATCTCCTCCTCTTCCCAGGAGCTGCAGTTCCTCTCTCCTCTCAGTGCTCACTGACTAAATTCCTGGTATCAGAGAGATATTTGAAAATTCACACTTTACACCTCTCCAAAATGGTAGCCTTCCGGCCGCGACTGAGTCTGTTTTCCGCCCTTCGGACGGCGCCAGCACGCCGCCGCTTTGCGACTGAGGCGCGGTTAACGTCGGACCAGGTTCGCATCGTCGAAGTCGGCCCACGAGACGGTCTTCAGAACGAGAAAAAGTCGATTCCCCTCGAGACGAAGCTCCAGCTTATTGAGAAACTAGCGAAGACGGGCGTAACCACAATAGAGGCGGGATCTTTTGTGCCTGCGAAATGGGTGCCTCAGGTACGGTTCCGTCCTGCCATCTGAGCTGGAAGAGGAGGGAACCGTCTATGGAAAGATATAGGAATACTGTCTTAGCATGAGACTAATGAAGATTGATGGGGCAGATGGCAAGCACTGCGGAGATTTGCGAGCACCTTCTCCAGACTCCGCCCCAGGCGCAGAACGTCATTGCCTACAACTACCTCGTCCCGAATGTGCGGGGTCTCGAGAACCTTATTAAAATCATGGACGCCACAGGTGTTCCTGCAGAAGCAACCAAGTCGCCATCAAAATCCCCGACGACAACCGAAATTTCACTGTTCGCAGCAGCGACGGAGGCTTTCTCCAAGGCCAATACCAATTGTACAATTGAGGAGTCGCTAGACCGTATCCGTCCCATTGTGGACCTCGCGAAAACGAAGAATATTCGAGTGAGGGGGTACGTGTCAGTAGCCTTGGGTTGTCCATATGAAGGTCCGGATGTGCCCCCGGCGAAGGTGGCTGATATCACTGCAACACTGCTCGAAATGGGAGCCGACGAGGTGTCCGTGGCCGATACCACGGGTATGGGCACGGCACCGCGTACCATGGCGCTACTGCAGGCACTCAAGGCGGCAGGCATTGCGAACACGGATCTAGCGCTGCACTTCCATGACACGTACGGACAGGCCCTCGTCAACACCATTGTGGGGTTGGAGCACGGTGTCCGCATCTTTGATAGCAGTGTTGGCGGTCTGGGTGGTTGTCCGTACTCAAAAGGCGCGACGGGAAATGTCGCGACGGAGGATCTTGTGCATACCATTCATAGCCTCGGTATGCACACGGGCATCAATCTGGAGGAGATGTCCAAGATTGGCTCGTGGATCAGTGGGGAGCTGGGTCGGTTTAACGAAAGCCGGGCAGGCAAGGCCATATTGGCTCGGATGGAGGGAGAACAGTAAATTGCACCTGAGATAATATAGCCGTTACATAGCCACCATAGCCACCATAGCCACCATAGCCACCCTCATTTACTGATCTTTCCACTACAAGGTTTCCCGGAAACCTTGCCTTGTAGAATTAGCGTTCTCCTCCAAGTCCGCGTCAAGATTCTAATACCTGTTAAATCATAGAGTGGATCACAGGCTCACTCTAGGGTCTAGTATATAAACATGGCCCTGGATTCTACTACCGACCTGCCCGACTTCTATTCCCTTTGATTATACACTAGTACACCATCCTCCTACTCCTATTTTCTGGAGATGGTTAGGAAGAATATCGACGATGCTCCTGGCCTGGCCCATCTACCGCGCATCAAATGGCCACAGCTTATCCGCCTTGGCCACTGTCAGGTCCTCACCACGAGACTCGGCTTCTCTAGCCGTCTGTATCCATTCGTCATATACAGCGCGATGAGCATCTCTAGCAGCATCCCACACATCATTCGGAACCCAGCCATCGGAGTTCGTATGCAGGGAGGTTTTGAGCCATAACTTGAGACTCTGGATGGTTTCAAAGTCCTCGTAGTCTCTAGCATGCTTTGTCCGTTCTTCATCGGTGGGGAGAAATGGACATGAGTCCTCTAGTCCCAGTTCGTGCCACCGATCGGATATCTCGATGAGTTCTTGGCGAATCGCAGCGGCGCTGTCTCTCCATGCCGTGTGCGAGTAATGGAAGAGTCGAAATAAGGTAGGATCGAGGAGTCTGGCGGGGCGAAGTTTGGGTACCAGACCTTTCATGCACACATCGTATGTTTGGTAGCAGATCGAGGCATCTGTGAATGCTCGCTTCTTGTCAGCAGAAGCCGGGTCGTCCGCATCGTACTCGGGCTCGTGGGGAAGCGTGGCAAAGTCCGGGGTTTCGTTGGCGTAGATGAATGCAGGCTCAATGCTGGTGGATTGCCAGTCGATTAGGCCGGTGATGAGGGTTGGGTCCTTTGCTGAGACGTAGATGTTTCGCTTGTGGAAGTCGGGGTGCAGGAGGGTTGGGGTGGCGGCGGCTTGGATGCGCTTGTCTTTGATTAATTGCTGTAGCACTTTTTGGCTTATTTTGAGGAGTCGGGTGTGTTCTTGTACTGATCCTTGATGGGGGAGTTCGTTGAGAGAGTTCGATTTCGGTAGGCGAGAGTATCCCGTCTGGATCAAGCCTAAGTTATAGCTCGGGAGGTCGCGCCCTGCGTACATACCATGTGTGTTAGAGTTTGGTGGTCCTAGAGGAAGGGCTGCGAGACTAACAAGGGCCACAGTTAGAACTTAGACCACCGTAGAGATCAAGCTCCCCTGGATTCCGGTTCCAGAAGACTGGACTGCAGCGTGGACCGATCCAAAATCCTTTCTCCAAGGGTATTTTCATGTCTGGTTCTAGAGGCGCATCCGAGAAGTATAAACTGCCATATGCTGGAAAGTCCAAGGAGGCCATCTCCTTGATCGCTAATGAAAGGGCCTTGGTACATAGCATGTGCTGCTCCGAGCTCATCTCGGGCCATATTTGGTGAAGCTGGACACCCCCAGCATGCTCCTGGATGATGTATTCAGTGCCGATTGGATTTGCCGGGTTATCGCTCCAGTCGAGGACTTTGGGTATTGGAAGTGAGAGCTTAGATTGTACTGCACGAGAGATATATCAGCAAGCTTTCCAATTAAATTCCAAGACTACAGGAGCCGAGTTCGTCTTACAATATATCATCGTTGCAACCTCCGAGTTGGTCGTCAACCTGGGAGGGCCCGCGATACTGGTCGGTAGCCTTGCCACGACACGACAACCCGTATCCACTGTGAAGAGAAAGACCCTATTGAATCCACCATCTTTCTTCTCACAATTGACAATCTCGGTTGCCCCTGGACATAGACTGATGACTCTCTCACAGAGCGCCGGAAAGTTGAACACAATGCGGCGAGACTCGCGCTGCAGCGCGTCTCGATGTAACCATCTTCCATCGGTATATGTGTAGGGATCGAATCCTACAGGCGTAGAGTTAGTGGCGACACCACCTGCTCGCAAATTGCAGGGCTGAATGGATGATGCTTCTAACGTGGGACCTGGGTCTTTTGAATCGCTGTCAAACGAGGGGTGTGAGATGCATCTGCCGGATATGCTTCTCAAGTCTGATGATTGTCGCTGAGATAACAATCGGGAAGTTTGGATGGCCGCTGAAGCGGCTTCTCGTCTCCGGCAAAGTCGGAGCATGATTCTGTCTTCCGAGCACCCTTCGAGGACGCGCATGGATGAGTGGTAGTGAGCCAAGGCGCTCGGGGGGTCCTTGTCACTACGAGGCCGACCGCCTTTAGCTTTGAGAATCCCTGTCATGTGCCATGCCATTATTCTTCGCCCGGAGGAAACTCGCGATAGACAACTGATTTATCCCAATATGTCCATGAGATTTTATGAATATTTCCGTGCTGGTAATATACACATATAGCACAAGAGAAGAGAGGGCCGAGCTCTATAACCACCAAATCAAACCAACGCCACTCATGCGAATAACCAAGATCAACCTCCACATGCACCATTTTATACTCTCATCCACCAACATCGATCGGCAGAGACGCAAACACCCATTTAGAAATCCGTAACACGTCCACCATAGCTCCAATCTCCCTCGGCACCCCACCGCAGAGGCTCGTTCTTCGGTCCTCCAACCTCCCCAGTCTTGGGGTTCTTCTCTCCCTCGAACTCGGGCTTCAATCCGGGCTTCACATCAGGATGAAGCTCCTCTCCCTTGCCGGTGGCATTGATTTCGGCTGCCACGGCGGGCTCCGAGTCGGGCGATTGGTTGATCTGCGGGGTGCTGAATGCGCCGGTGGACTTGCGTTGGAGTTCTTCGAAAATCTCTTGTTCTTCCTTGGGGAGGCGCGGGGGAGCCGGGGAGTTCGCGAATGCAAAGGGAGGCTTGTCCGAGAGGAGGGTAGCGCGTGTTGAGAAGGAACGGAGGGGGAGAGAGGGTTTGGTGGGGAGACGGCGGATCGTACGGAGGAACATGGTGCCTGTGGTTTGTTGTGTAAAACTGAGACAGCGTGCGTCAAGCTTGTGCTTGGGGGTAACTGGTCTTGTTTGAAACTGTGGGTTGGGGAAGAAAGATGCGGAGTGGCGGAGGTCGGGACGGAAGAAGAAGAGCGACGGAATAATATCCGATAAGCCCTGATTGTCCCGATAGCGTCGGGATTGGCGCCGAGGTTCCTCGACATCTGGTGGCTTGTTCGTGGTCAACACAGTACATGATGGTTCCTGGAATTGGTTGTATAGGCTTTTCTGTTTCTAACAACACCGTTGCTGGATCCAGAAACCCGAACGAGACCATCACGAGGGCCAAGCTGGGTGACCCCTCCATGAGAATTACCTCATCGAGTAAGTCATCACGTGGCAGAGCCATTCGTGGCCGGGCAGATGACCGCTGGTGGCTTTATCGTACCAACTACCATCCAGCCTCACCTTCACCGACCCTTTCACTATGCGATTGTCCCATTGCAACTACTCTACTGCTTGATAGGATTGCCCAATGCTCCGTGCTGTTGTGTCCGCCCCCCAACTTTCAGTGTAGCATACTAGAACTACTTGATTCCCATATCTTTAATCCAGGTGATGTCTTCGGCCCCTGACCGGCAGTCCATGTTACCCCTTCCTGGAGCTCCATCATCCTCATGGTCCCGATTCCGAGAACGGTTCGGGGCCTTATTCCATGGTGCTGATCCTAGGGTCTGCGTTGCATTCTGGCTACTCGGTAAGCCGGCTGTCCCGTAGATGCGCAGACTGATAAGGAACTACTCTGAGGTCACTAACCACGCGAGACTGAACCAGGCTTGATCAATAATGTCCTCTATGTTATCATCCTTTCCGCAGCCCTCGATCTGGTTGGGCCCAGCGTCCCCAAGGGCGTGGTTCTTCTCGCAGACGTCATTCCCTCCTTTGCAACCAAGCTGGTGGCTCCCTATTTCATCTACCTGGTCCCATACCCTGTGCGGGTGATGTTTTTCGTCTTGTGCTCTGCGATGGGCATGCTTCTAATTGCGCTGAGCCCAGCGTATACCGAAGGGGGTACCATATCCACCAAGATCGCGGGCATTGTTCTGGCGAGCTTGTCGAGCGGAGGAGGCGAACTGAGCTTCCTTGCCCTGACGCACTTCTATGGACCATTTAGCCTGGCAGCCTGGGGCAGTGGCACGGGGGCCGCCGGACTGGTCGGTGCTGGGGCGTATGCCCTGGCCACGACCTCCATGGGATTCAGTGTGAAGGCCACGCTACTGGCATCGGCGTGCTTGCCGGCGATCATGGTGGTGAGCTTCTTCGCAATCCTGCCCAGAGTGCCCATGCGTTCAGCGTCAGCCGCCCCGATCCAGTATCGTGCGATGGATGAGGATCGAGAAGATCCACTTGATGAGAGGGAGGGTCTGCTCGGCTCTTCAATTACCCCGAGCCGGGATCAAAAGTGGACCGATACCAGTGGAGGTCTTGGCTGGGAGGCCTTCCGAGCCAATCTGCGGCGAGCCCAAGGCCTGTTCTTTCCGTTGTGAGTACAAATCCGCCTGGAGCGGGATAATGCGGCTGCTCACTAGTGTCCAGTATGCTTCCACTCTTGTTGGTCTATGTCGCAGAATATACGATCAACCAAGGAGTCTCTCCGACTCTGCTATTTCCTCTGGACGGATCGCCGTTTGAGCACTTCCGGGCCTTTTATCCCGCGTACAATGCAATCTACCAGGTGGGGGTCTTCATCTCGCGATCCTCGACTCCTTTCTTCCGGATCCACGATCTGTATCTCCCGTCATTGTTGCAGATTGTCAATTTGGCGGTGTTGACGTTGCACGCCTTGTTTGATTTCATCCCGAGCGTGTACATTGTCTTCGCCATCATCTTCTGGGAAGGGCTGCTAGGGGGACTGGTCTACGTAAATACCTTTGCCGAGATCGGGGACCGGGTGCCCAAGGAAGACCGGGAGTTCTCGCTCGGAGCCACCACGGTCAGCGATTCAGGCGGCATTTGTATTGCTGGGTTTATCGGGATGGCGTTTGAGGTCTGGCTGTGTGATTGGCAGAATGCTCACGGCAGGGACTACTGCCGGAGACTCTAAGGTGTACTTACTATGTAGAAAACTAGTGGAGTGGGCGGAAGGGGATGCATGGGTTTAGATTATCTCGCTGAGCCGGATGGGGTCAGGCACATGACCGGTGGCGTCACGGGATTTGTGGCGAACTGACATGTGATGCCCGCCACGACCTTCATTTCTCCAGCAACTGCTTCTCTCTCCTCCACTCTCCAGGTCATCCAGCGAAGCAGTGAGCGATCGCCCAATGCGCCCCACTGGGCGTGGGATCCTCCGGCTATTGCAGGATTGCTGGACTGCAGGAATGCTGACTGACGCAACCCAGATGACTGGATCAGCCCGCATCCCTGGTGGGGATTTCACATGCACGCCTGCTTTCCTCACGGCTGATCCATGGATGCCACTCTCCGCCATCCTCTCCCCTTCCCACTTCCCCATACTTGGTTCTCGGCTGCCCAATTCTGGAGCGCTGCAATAAACCGGCTGTGGGGAATGGCCGGCTAGCATCTTTCCTACCCTTTGTGCCTTTCCCTTCTCGCTGTCTTTGTACTATCGCCCGAATATGAATGATTTAGTTGCCTTTCCTCTCCCTTAGACCATTACTTCTTTCTTTGATAGATTTCTTTCAATCTCATATAGACTGTTACTTATCGTTATCTTTTAAAGCTTGGAACATGATAGGTATGCTAAAGCCGATACTACTAACCGGTGCCTCACTAACGAGGATGACTTTAGACCACCTCCTGGGGAGACCGTCTACCAAGTTTCGCAAAATCCAGGTTCTCGCCGTCTTCCTGTTCTGGTCGTTGTATCTCTTCAGGTTGGTCGACTTGACCCCTGTGACAGTTGTTCACCTGCTAACAGACGCTAGAGGAAACAAGCATGGCCCTCCCGGTGTCCGCAGGTTCTCCTCACGCCTCTCGGAAAAGCTAAGCGTCTGGCAAACCACCGTCCTCGTCTTTCTCTGGCTCTACATCTCCCGCAACTTTGCCAAGATCGTCGGCCTGGAGTGCCCCGAGCCCCTGGCGAATCTATACTCGCGTTCCTTCTTCCGGGCAACATGGATCAACACCGCATTGGACGCCGGATTCTGGACGGCAATGGGGGTCAAGCCAAAGTGGCTCCGGGATATTGCGTCACTGGTGTTCTCTGGATACTACCTGATCGCCGCTGAGCGGGCGGATGAGAAGGTTCGCAGGGTCCGGGCCACGCTCACGGTAGAGCATATGCGCGTCTCATGGAACAAAAGCACCACCCCGTATCTCTGGACCCTGGCCAGTCTGGTGCGCCCCCGGCTCACTCGCTACCCTCCTCGGGCTATTCGTATCCCCCGGCCAGCGTCGTCGATTTACGAAGAACCGACTAGTGCATGGTTGTACTTTGATGGGCCGCTGGCGGCGCTGCGGGATCAAACTTGCATTGTGCTTGATATCCCAGGCGGTGGATTTGTTTCGATGAGTCCCCGACATTCCGAAGACCGACTGCTGGCCTGGGCGGCGAAGACCAAGGTGCCGATCTTGAGTCTGGACTACAAGAAAGCCCCCGAGTACCCGTATCCGTACGGGTTGAACGAATGCTATGACGTCTATCATTCCATCGTCTCCACCCGGGGTCGCTGCTTGGGGCTCAACGGACGGACACGGCCTCGGGTTGTCCTCACCGGCGACAGCGCCGGGGGAAATCTCGCTGCCGGCGTCACCCTCATGGTGCTTCAGTCGGGTAGTTCGAACGCCCCTGCATGGCAGGGTCAAAACATGCTTCCGCCACCAGACGGGCTAGTCCTCGCCTATCCCGCGTTGAATATGAAGATCGAAAGCTGGATGACGGAGGAGCAGATGGCGTTGATTCAAGAAAAGAGCACGCGTCGGACCAATCAAAACGTTTTACGGCGGAAGGACATGGACTACCAGCGGTTGACGCCGTTCACCTCTCCTGGAACGTCTTTTGGGGATTTCTTCTCTGATGCAGACCCGGAAGCAGGTAATTTGGGCGACATGGCCACCAAGAAATTGGTGCAGCATCAGAAGCTCGACGCCCGTGCGGTGGAGGCGGCCGCGGTCGCTGAACATCAGCCCAAGCAGATCCGCACCCGCTTAGCCGTATCGTCGATGATCTCATACGTCAATGATCGCATTTTGACCCCAGAGATGATGAGGGCCATGATCATCTTGTATATCGGGCCTCACAATCGGCCGGACTTCAACACAGACTATCTCCTCTCCCCCGCGCTGGCTCCGGAGGCACTGCTGGCACGCTTCCCCAAGACCTACTTCATCACCGGCGAGCGCGACCCTCTAGTGGATGACACGGTCATCTTCGCCGGGCGACTCCGACAAGCCAAGCTCCGTCAGTTCCACGAACGACAGGAGCTAGGGCTCGAAAAGTCCAGCCGCGTGTTCAAGGAGAAGGACCACGTCGAGGTCTCTCTCATCCCGGGGATCTCTCACGGATTTATGCAGATGGCGGGCCTCTTCCCCGAGAGCTGGAAACACATCAACCGATGCGCGACCTGGCTGCAGGAGCTGTTCGAGATCTCCCACGCCAAGGGGTCATCTTCCAGTTTGCTCAGGCCCCTCGCCGACAGTGCTTTGCCGAAGGGTCCCAAATCCCAGGGCGGGAGCGCCCACCATCGGCGTCGCCTCACGGGCGAGTCCTCCGCGGACGAGGACCGGCCTCTTGAAATGGGCATCAGCCGATTGACACCACTGACTCCGTTGGCTCGAAGCGCGAGTGCGCCGGTTGATGATGAAGCGAATGGATATGACCACGAAGGATTGGATGTCAAGAAGGAACGCATCCGCAGCGTTTCCCGAGGTCGAACACTGCGCCCGGGGATCACGCGAAAGCACCCGGTGCCGTCGAAGCTGAGCATCCCGTATCCAGACGGGTATTCCTCCGAGGCCAACAGTCCTGTTGCTTTGCGCGAGCGGAATCGGAGTTTAACCAGTCTTGCCAGCGAGGAGGATATATTGGATCGGCGGATGACTGGATTGGCGGGGGGGTTGATGGGGATTGGGGAGGGGGCGCGGACACCATAGCGTTGCATGATGAGATACGAATTGAATCCTATATTGCATGTTGGATGCATCCAAGATGATAGACACTTGTAGTTGGTCGGTAAAGTGGGTTGTGCCATGTCGTCATCTGGTCTCGGCTAATGGATATACAGGTTTACCGACGGTTATGGACGGACTGTTCAATAGATGGGTCAAATGTTGCCTACCCGGATTAACCAGCAGTCCAAGAAGCGGAGTCTTCGGAGATGAGCAATGCGACATTTCCAGGGTCTGCAGAGTGGGTCGGCTTGCCTGATCGAGGAATATGCACGTGCAGTGGCCCAACCCTAACAACCCGCAGGCAATGAGCGCATTGCCGTGGCAGACGGCCAGCATTCAATGTGAGACAGGCTCAATAAGGCCATGAAATGAAAACCCGGCTGGTGCCCGGTCAGGTGACTCCTTGCATATCATCGAAATTGCTTATCATCGCTTCCCTGTATCACGACTCTCGGGTAGCACTAGCATCATGCTATAGCTGGAGCCGAAGCTTTCATCTGAGTGGCTTGTTTGCCAAGCTCAATCCGCACGAGCATCGTGATTCGTGGTACCCACGGGCTACATCGGCTAGCGAGAGGCACTATCCATCTCACTGCAGATCCGACGCGCTCCACCTGCCACCTCAATCGGTCTCCGACGGCATCGGCTCGTCCCCCTCTCGCCAGCGGAGATCTGCCGCAATTGGGACAGGTCGCAATGAAACATGCCATGGTTGCCTTTGCCACATAGATGGGGGTCCGCGAGACAATGCTGCCTAACGTGCGGAGTACCTTGCTTCCGGAGGTTATATAAGGGGCATGCGTCCCGTCGATCGATGACTTGCCGGCACCTCGTTGAGCTCTTTGCCTCCCAAGAACACCTCACCATGCGGGTAACCACGGCAATTGCTTCGTTGCTTCTGGTCGGCTCGGCCGTTGGCCTGCAGAACCCTCATCGCAGGGCGGTGCCGCCGCCTCTGTCTCACCGCAAGTTGGCGGCGCGCGAAGTGCCCGTGGAGCGCCGAACCTCCGACTTTGAGTACTTGACCAACAAGACCGCAAGTGAGTTTTTTTCGATCCCATTCATTACCATTGCTAACATCACAGAATTTCTGGTCAATGGCACGGGGATTCCTGAGGTCGATTTCGACATTGGCGAGTCTTACGCCGGTCTCCTTCCCAACACGCCGGCCGGCAACACCAGCCTGTTCTTCTGGTTCTTCCCTTCGCAGAATCCGGATGCCAGCGATGAGGTGAGTTGCCCACTACCTCCTGTCTCTCTCCGCGCTCACCAAAATAGATCACGATCTGGCTCAACGGTGGCCCTGGCTGCAGTTCGCTAGATGGCGTCCTTCAAGAAAACGGTCCCTTTCTCTGGCAGGCCGGCACGTACAAGCCCGTTCCCAACCCCTACTCCTGGACGAATCTCACCAACGTGGTCTACGTCGACCAGCCGGCCGGCACGGGCTTCTCCCCGGGGCCTTCGACGGTGAACAACGAGGAGGATGTGGCTGCCCAGTTCAACAGCTGGTTCAAGCACTTTGTTGATACCTTTGGTCTGCACGGCCGCAAGGTCTACATTACGGGCGAGAGTTATGCGGGCATGTACGTCCCGTACATTGCCTCCGCTATGCTGGACGAGGAGGATACCACGTACTTTAACGTGAAGGGCATCCAAATCAACGACCCGTCGATCAACAGCGACTCGGTCATGATGTATTGTACGTGCACTTCCCATCCAGTCACTCCATCCCGTGCGCCACTAACCTGTCAGCTCCCGCCGTCCGGGCTCTCAACCACTTCAACAACGTCTTCGCGCTGAACGACACCTTCCTGGCCTACATCAACGCCAAGGCGGATCAATGCGGCTACAACGCCTTCCTGGATGCCGCCATCACCTATCCCCCTCCGAGTCCCTTCCCCACCGCCCCGGAAATCACCGAGGACTGCCAGGTGTGGGATGAAGTGGTGATGGCCGCCTACGACGTCAACCCCTGCTTCAACTACTACCACCTGACCGATTTCTGCCCCTACCTCTGGGACGTCATGGGCTTTCCCTCCCTCGGCTACGGACCGAACAACTACTTCAACCGGTCCGACGTGCAAAAGGCGTTGAACGTGCCTCCGACCGACTACTCGGTGTGCAGCGAGAGCGTCATCTTCGCCAACGGCGACGGCTCCGACCCTAGCTCCTGGGGTCCGCTGCCCAGTGTGATCGAGCGCACCAACAACACCATCATCGGGCACGGCTGGCTCGATTACCTTTTGTTCCTGAACGGCTCCCTCATCACCATCCAGAACATGACCTGGAATGGTAAGCAGGGCTTCCAGCGTCCGCCGGTCGAGCCCCTCTTCGTGCCTTACCACTACGGTCTGGCCGAGCTGTATTGGGGCGATGAGCCCGACCCGTACAACCTGGATGCGGGGGCTGGATACCTGGGTACGGCGCACACGGAGCGTGGATTGACCTTTAGCTCGGTGTATCTGTCTGGACATGGTAAGCCCATCATCCCCTTGAGCAGCGTGTCATACTTTCCTGGAGAGAGCATGCTAACGATGATAGAAATTCCTCAATACGTGCCCGGGGCGGCATACCGTCAGCTGGAGTTCTTGCTCGGTCGGATCAGTAGTCTCTCGGCGTGGGGGAACTATACTTCTTGATGGATCGTATAGTATACCTTTAGACTAATGACGGGATGGCTGTACCATAACAAGCGGATGCAGATACAGATGGATACAATACGATCAGGATAAGGATATGTACATACATAGGTCAGTAGAAAATGATACACGCAGCCGTGTACTCCGTACTCCGTATTGTAAGGCGATTCCTCGCTATATACCTTACTCAAGTCAGGAAGACAGGCCCGCCTTTCTCGCACGCCTGGTTTCCATCCTGGAACCACGCCTGGGTCACTATCCCATCGAACCTCCAAACCAGAATCAAGGTGAATCATTCAGTAGCCCCCTCCCCCTCCCCCTCCCTTTCCCTTTCCCTTTCCCTTTCCCCTTTTTCCCCCTCAAGCCCCCCCACAACCCACGTCACCGTCCCCAACGAAACAACATGTCGTCGCAAATTCCCCATAATCCGAGCATTCCCCCGATCCGTCCGATCATACACAAGATCAAAAGCCACATCTTCCTCCCCACCACCACCACCAGCAGCACCCCTCAAACGCATCCGCGTCGTCAACGTCAGCGTACGAATCAAATGCACCACCTCCAGGAAACGAACCCCGAGACTGGGGGTCTCGGGCATGAAACTATCCCAGTAGATCCAGGGAGATTGTTCAGTGGTATCGTGGTTGTCGGTGGTGGGGCCGTGTGGCGGGAAAGTCACGTCAAATATCACCCGTGAAACGGGGGGATTTTGGTGAGTTCTTGTCTCCAGAGCTGGCAGAGGGGTTGGAGATCGAGGAAGTCGTGGCGATAGTGATCGCAGTTGTAGGAACGGGTCGGTGGGGAACGGGCCGGGGGGCGATGAGGCTTGGGGCGACGGCATGATTCCAGGATATCGGCTTCTTTGAGAGGGTGTAACAACGCTAGCCTGGCCGGACGGAGATAGGGCACGGATTTCGGGTCAATGGTCAGGCGAGACAGGTCGTCACTGAGGCAAAACTCCTGCAAAAATCGGGGATCCGAAACATGCTCGGCTAGAGACATTTTCGGAATCCAAAGATAGTTGTGGGGGGGGGGAGGAGGGATTGAATTGCGAGCGAAGGCAAGAAGAGCAGCTGACTGTTTTCGGTGCAAACAGCTGACAGATATAAGCGGCTGGAAAGACGGACGTCAGATGTACATTAAAGAGGGGTAAGACGAGGGATGTTAGGCTGCAGTCTGTGGCGGAAAGTCGTGGCAGCGGTACTCCCACTTCATGTACTTTCATATATCTAGCCTATGCGGTTATCATTCTACTATATACCCTGCGGCTGCTATCATCCGCCACATGCATTAGTGATGGAGTGCTTGCCGGTTTGCCACCCCCCTCCCCCCAAATAATCAAAGAAAACACAGTGTCTCTATTACATGCTGGCCTAATCTGAAAATGGAGGCTGCTACCAGAGTAGGCGAGAAGTCTCGAAGAGCGATCGATCCAACAATGAGTCTGCTTCAATCTTGATACGTTGTGATTGTATGTGAACAGGCAGACCTTTCGGATAAATATATTGATCTCACGAGATACTCTAACAAGAGACAAGTACGGCTTTGACTAGACTAATAGGCGTGCTGTATACATGATGCTCAATATCATCCAGGCTATTCAGTTCTGTGATCCATTCCACGTTCATTCAAGCACAAATTTCGATTAAAGCCGTTGCCAGACTGTGTAGGAGATCTCAGTGTATCGACTCCGTATTATCTATTTTATACCGGCAAGCTGATGCAATTTCTATCCACAGGACACGGAATCAAGTCACAGTCCTTGGTACAAACCCTCCTAGATACCTTTTCCATTTCATCACGGTCCAAGTTCACAGTTGGCTCGAGAGTCTGCGAATAACCCTGTCAGAACTTTTCACAGGGGTCAACACTATGTGGTCGAGAGAATCTTACCTCCGGATCAATCCCCCGGCTATCACTGCCTGATGACAGTGAATCTCAATGGATCTCATATGGTAAGACTGCAGCGTTGAGATCCTCAACTCGAGTATTGTTCCTCGCAGCAGAATCGAGTTCCGCAACAATGTCACCAGGCACTCCCGCGCTAATGTTGAAGTGGCGGTGGCCGCCGAGAAGAGAGTCATACAGGCCAATACTATCAGCCATTACTGTCTTCGTGATCGGCTCAATAACTGTCCTTTTCCCTGCGTTGTACCTGTACCAGGCGCCTCCGCCCAGGGCAAGTAAAGTGCAATCAACACATGGGGATGATACCCCGCTTTCAGAACCGCAAGCGCTGGCACAATTGCCCGCAGTACCAAGAAAGGCCACAGCAAAGCATGAGTCATAGCATCTACCCCACAGGAATCGGGTGACTCACTTGATCAGGGACACCACATAGTACCCATATTTATGCACCATCAAGATGCTCCCCGGGTTTCCCATGGCCGAGGAGAAATGAGGGGCGCGCGGTGACAAATGACCAGGTTCTCCTCGGGTCATTGTACCGACACGGTCCAGATAGCAATAGCAGCGGCCGAATAGGCCAACTGAGACACGATTAGCGTAGGCAAACAATCGGAAACAGGATAGACTGACCGATGAGAGAAGAAAAGGCGCCCCCTCGAACGCAGGATGATGAGTCCGCAGACTCGCTGCATACACCCACGACAATAACGGACTCCCCAAGATAGCTCCCAGGGTTTCCACGGCAGCCAGTCCGGTATACAGCCGAGAAACCTGATCTTTCGGGAGACTGATGGCGCTGGCGGATTTGAGGAACATGCTGATTCCGGTGCCGCAGGAGAATAGGGCGAGACCTAGAGTAGAGATTAGGTCTGGTCACTTAGAGTAGTGGCTGGGTGATAGCTTACCTGCAATAGCCCAGGATGCTGTCGGAGCGATACCGATCAACAAGGATCCTCCCGGAAGAAAAAGGATGAGGACTCGGGACATCCACAGATCAGGCCATGGACTGGAGAGACGCAGTCGATGGGTCAGGTAGCGGTGGATCCAAGGAAGTCCCACGGTGAATAGAAACAGGCCGATTGCTCCCTTGATACTGTAGATGAGCGTTGCCTATATATATACCATCGGATTAGAGAGTCACCATTCCCGGTTTGCTGCATAGGGGGGTTGGGGCGGGGTACCTCTGCATGGCTCCAACCAAATTGATTCGACATATGCTGGAGCAGGACGATCAGAATGTTCGGGGCCAGCGTCGAGACCAAATCAGCAAAGGCAGCCGACCGTATCACGCCGCCATGTGAGAGAAGTCCGTATATCAAGCTGGTATTCTCCTTCCAACCGGACCGAATCGAGTGGAGGATAGACTTGGGTTCTGTATCCCTCTCCACCTGGGTGGCTGCAGCGGCGGCGCCAGGCAAATAGCAAATGAGAGGCAACAAGAGCGAAAATATCGCCACGCCAATCCCGCACACCATCACTGCGGGCAACACACTCATCATGACCCCGGACGCAGGCGGCGCAAGGAAGGTGGCGACCAACCCGGCGGCCCCAGTGCGCCAGAAAAAGGCGGTTTGTTTTGTATTGGGAACCGCTTCGGCGAGAATTGTCAGCAGAAGAGCATTGAAGACTTTGCGGTCCTCCGCCAATGAATAGAAATGCAAAGCCGCCCAGGACAGCCGAAGGAGGGAAAATGGACGTTTGCGCGCCTAACATGCCGTCAGTCTGTCCCAGTGATATCCAAGACACCCAGTACATACAGACCAACACGAACCATGCGACTTCCAATGCCATGCCCAATGTGGCCAGCAGCAGCACGGTCCGTTTACCCCAGTTACGGGACAGTGCCCCATACACGTATCCCACCGTCAATCCTATACAGTCAGTGTTCTGCTGTAGGACTCATTCAATGGGGGTCTCTACCAGGCAACGCATCCAACATGCCCGCCGTCCCCCGGAGACTGGCCACAACCGGTCCCACGGACGCAGGATCACACGTTGGGCTGGCGCGCCGGCACACGGCCAGTTCGAGGGCAGCGAGCATGGGCGCTTTCCGCAGCTCATCGGCAAATGTCGCCAAAAGATAATGGCACCCACGACAAGACTCAGCGTGCGGTAGTCCGCCCGCGAGGGAGAGTGCCTTTCAGGCGAGTCATCCGGGCGCAGCAGAGGAGCCGTCTCTGAGCGGTCGGAAAAGTCTGAGGACATGTTGGTATCGCGGGGTTCCATTTCCCTTGGTGCAGGGATAGGTAATATTTATGATAGACGGACAGAACCGGACTCCGTTCCAATGGCGCTATCGAGAGCGACTAATGCAACCGGGGAGTCACCTCATCAGGCGCCATCGTGAACACTAGCCTGGATGGGTTACTGCTGACGCTTGGGCCCGCGAGGCTGTCCAAGGAGATAAATAACGATGCCCTTGCCCTCGTTCGGAGGACCCCGATGGCTGATCGGGATCGATCATGGCTGGATGTCGGGACAACTCGTTCGGCCCTTACGCGGGCGCGGGATGCCGCGGCGGGTTCGATTTCACCCTCACGTTCGAGGAGATTGTCATGACCTTGGTGCCCGTCACTATTTTCCTGGCTATAGCCACGATCAGAATCTGGGTGCTGTGGAAGCGTGGTTCCGTGAGGGCTGGAGTGGGACGTGACCGATTGTTGATGGCCAAGCGGGTGAGTCCTCCTCCATCCACTCCATCAGGTTCTGACTGTTTTAGATGGTTACTGGAATGCTATGCGTTCAATCTCTCGCCCTTCTGATATGTGTCAGGTATCAACCACCCCTGACCCATCTGATGCTGGCCGTCACCGCTGTGCTCGTCGTAGAAAGCGTCATCCTCGTCGGTTGGTCCACGCTGGAGCATCAACGCAGTGCGCGCCCAAGCGTCATCTTGAATACCTACCTGGGGTGTATGGTGTTGCTCCAGGGATGTCGTGTTCGCTCGCTCTGGCTAGCAGACAGCCCCCTGGCCCTTTGCATTCTCACTACAACCTCCTTAGCCACACGCCTGGCCTTGTTAACCCTAGAATCCGTGGACAAACCTGCCCTCGAATTAAAGGATTCGCCGACATTAGTCGAAGACCGCGGATCATTCCCAACCCAGGTCTTCTTTGGCTGGCTACTGCCATTGCTGCGCCAAGGTACGTTGCCATGCTTCAAGGAAACACCAGGTATCGCTGTGTCTAATTCCCTCCAGGATACTCAGGCATCTTGTCAGCGGTCGACTTTTCCGGCCTCGAGACGGACCACACGCAGCAGGAGCGACAACGTCGCTTTGCCGCGGCGGTTGAACGCCGACGAGGGACAGACGCCTCCAACTTCCATCTGATCACCATTCTGATCCGCTGCAACCTGGTCGACTTCGCGGGAGCCATCATATTTCGACTCCTGTATATCGCGACGCTCTTCGCCCAGCCGTTTCTTATCCAAGATATCCTGCGCTTCCTAGACGACAGCAGCGTGCCGATCAATCGGGGCTATGGTCTGATCGGTGCGTTCGGCCTAATCTACCTGTTCATCGCCATCTTCACGGCCCACTACGCGCATTGCACCAACCGCTTTGCCCTCGGTTCTTGGGCCCTGTTGGTAAACGCGGTGGTGGACGCTACGCTGAATGCCCCCGTTGCCACGATCCCATCGCCGGGCAAGGTGGGTGCCGCTGTCAATGTGGACGCGGCCAACATCGTCCAGGGATTCCGGGCGATGCACGATATGTGGGCTTCGTTTGTTATAGTAGCTCTTTGCTTGTGGTTGCTATATATTCAGCTCGGAATCGCGTAAGTGCCCGAGACAGGAGTACTGACTTTGTGCTAACTCTTGCAGCTTTGTTGCTCCCCTGCTATCCACCATGGGTAAGATTCTATTTCGCGGGGCCATGCATAGTGCTAATGCTTGACGTCCAGTGTTTACCGCCCTGACTGTCAGTGTCTCGCCGATCATGATCCGCCGGCAGCGGTCTTGGGTCGAAGCGACAGAACGCCGCCTGGGCGTAATCATCCGGACGATTGCGTCCATCAAGGAAATCAAGATGATGGGCCTCGGATCCAAGATGGAAGGGATGATCCAGCAGCTTCGCAGGGAAGAGGTTCGAATGGCAAGGTATGGACGGTAACCTCGGGTTAGACACTGTTCGACTGCTAATCCGCCCCTAGGCGCTTTCGACGCATGATCTCTCTCATCGTACTCTTCTGTAGGTGATGTCGGTCGCTGTGATAATGCTCTGCTTGACTAACATATCCCAGCGGCAGGATCATACCAGGGCGCTACCTTTGTGACCTATGGAGCGTTCGCCATTATCTGTCGCATGACGGGCACATCGCTGAATACGTATAAACTGGACATGTCGCTGTCGGTCCTCAGCATCATGACCAGCCCCTTGTATCTAATGATCCAGCAGGCGCCAACGGTTGTTGCCGGACTGAATTCCCTGCAGCGACTGGATGCCGTGCTTAAGCTCCCACGCGTACCCGATACGCCTCCCCGAGAGGCTGACCGTGTTGCAGGACCCGCTGAGAAAAAAGCGCTGATCTCACTCCAGGGTGTCACGTTGAATTGGGATGGGAGCCCACCGGTCCTCCAAGACATTAATGTCCAGATACTCCCAGGCCAGCTCCATGCTATTGTCGGCCCGTAAGTCTGAACGATCCGCCCTAGGTTTCTCGCTAACTAGATAGAACGGGCTCGGGCAAGTCAACACTCTTAAGGGCTCTGCTGGGCGAGTTGAACCCTACCTGCGGGGCAGTCTCCAAGAGAGTCACCGGAGGGACTGCATACTGTGCCCAGAAGCCATGGCTCATGAACGGGACAATTCGATCGAACATCATCGGAACCGGCGTGTGTGAACCATCATGGTACCAGCAGGTTCTCTTCGCGTGTGACCTAGACAAGGATCTGGCAGCACTCCCTCAGGGCGATCAGACGCCGATTGGATCCGCAGGAGTCGCCCTCAGTGGCGGGCAGAAACAGAGAGTGGTAAGTAGTATCGCGCTAGAGTCGCTCTATAATTCCACGCAGAAGCTCACAGCATTAGGGCCTTGCTCGGGCTTTGTATGCCCGGCCAGAGCTCCTCATCCTCGACGACGTCCTGAGCGGGCTAGACAATACCACACAACACAATGTCATTGAGCGACTGTTTGGGGCCCAGGGCGTGGGTCGCCAGGCGCGCATTACCACTGTCGTGGTTACACATCATGGTAAGCTCGAGCAGGGAGGGTTCTTCTCGCTTCACTAACATGACCCATTCTGATCTAGCAACACTGATTTCCTTGATGGACACTTGCTTGCTCTGTGGAGATGGCAATGTGGAGGTTCAAAGCTCCAGTACTGCTTTGCATCAATTACAGATCGTCGAGTCTGACGACACCCTGGACGAAACGGTCGAGAGTAATGGTCAAAAACTTGTCCCATCAATGAGCCACCAGGCAGATGCTCCACACGCCGCGGAGGGATCCGAACCGGCCGAGGCGGAGGATCAAACCAAGCGCCCCAACTCCCAGAGCTGGCGCCTCTATCGGTACTATGTGCAACTCGTTGGAAACCATCACACCCTGCTCTTTATCGTCCTTAGTGCGACGGTTGCCGGGGTCTCCGTTTATCAACGTAGGTGAAATCTCCCCTTGATTAATCTCTCTGACTCGTCTAGAATACTGGTTGACCGACTGGGCCGATGCGGACTCGAACCACCAACTCTCGATGTATATCACCGTCTACCTCGGGCTCCTAGTGGCGACTCTCGTCATCATTTTTGGCTGGTGCAGGTGAATCAGTCTCTCTGCGTTCTTGATAGGCAGCTGACCCGAAGTAGCCATTATCTAGATATCATGATTCAAAAGGCATCCTTGCAGCTGCATGAAGCGCAGCTCCTCGCCTTCCTGAGGTCAGTGATTCCGTCTCTGGGTTCTTTCAAGGCTAACGAAACTTTTATAGGGCGCCCATCTCCTTCCTTATGGCTGCCAAAGCGGGGGCCTTGGCCAATCGGTACGTATGAATAAGTCGTCCAAGCAGCAGCGGGCTAATGGACGTCTTTAGATTCACCCAGGATATTATGCTGGTGGACGATGAGTTGCCGGTGGCGCTCTTAAATACCGTGTCCTGTGAGCTCTATCTGACTGTAATGGCGTCCATGAACTTCGCTAACTGCCGCCTAGCATTCTTTAGTGCACTTGCAGAAGTGGTGGTCGTCTTCGTGGCATGCCCAGTCATGGCCGCCGTGACCCCGGCACTGTTTATTGTGTTCTGGATACTCCAAGTCTTCTACCTGCGTACCTCTCGCCAGCTGCGTGTTCTCGAAATTGAAGCCAAAGCGCCTCTGTCCCAGCACACTCTGCAATGTGCCGAGGGACTCGCGACCATCCGTGCCTTTGGCTGGACAGCTGCGCTGCAGAAGGAGAGCACTCAGTACGTAAGCGCGGCCCAGGAGCCAATGTACATGTTGTACAGCGTCCAGGTATGGCTGAAGATGGTGTTGGACCTCATCATTGCCGGGATGGGTGTGCTCTTTGCAGGTCTGGTGGTGAAGTTGCGCTCCTCTTCAGAGGCGGGTATGATTGGATTGGGATTCATCAACATTGTATGTCCGAGTTTCCTTCCTCAGACTGTCGCCTGATCAAGTGCTAATAAGATGGATTAGATAACGATGAGCACCACCAGTCGACGGTTCATGGTGGCGTGGACCACCCTGGAGATCTCCCTCGGGGCGCTCTCGCGCATTCACTCCTTTGTCACCGACAGTCCCTCCGAAGACGCAGGCTCCGGGTCTGCAAAGCGACCGATTGCATGGCCGACCGAAGGAAAGGTCGACTTCTGCAATGTTTCCGCAAGTTACACGTATGTGATGACCATCTCGAGGTTGGAGAATACCTACTAACTTCGAGCAGCGCACAAGGCAGGCCGATTCTATCCGACATCAACCTCACGATTCATCCCCGTGAGAAGATTTTGATTTGTGGACGAAGTGGCAGGTATGTTTGCAACCCGGAAACCACAAACGTCATATCTGATCCAGTATGTCTAGCGGGAAGAGCTCCTTGGTGTCCTCCTTACTACGCCTGCTGCACGTCTCTTCGGGCACCATCCGCATTGATGACATCGATACATCCACGATGTCCGTGGCATCGGTGAGATCTGCCTTGACGGTTCTTCCGCAAGACCCGTTCTTCACCCCCGGCTCCATTCGAGATAATATGAATCTGGGAGCGACCGTCTCGGATGATGATCAGATGCAAACCGCGCTCCGCAAGGTTGGGCTGTGGACGTATGTAGAAGAAGAGCTGGGAGGACTCGACAGCACCCTTGATCCGAAGTTAATGCTCAGTCAAGGGCAGCAACAGCTGTTCTGTCTGGCCCGGATGATTCTGCAGAAGGGGCAAATCATCATTATCGATGAGGCCAGTAGCAGGTGAGGCTTCTTCCTCCAACCTTCCTTTCTTTCTTGGCTTGTTATTCCCAGAATGTGTCTACTGACCGTGCAGTGTTGACAATGATACGGACGCCCGGATGAACGCCATCATCCGTTCCGAGCTGCACGACCGAACGGTGATCTGTGTGGCGCATCGGCTGGACCATCTGCTGGATTATGATCGGGTGGTGGTGCTACAGAGTGGCCGGATCGTGGAGACGGGATCCCCTCGGGCACTGCTGCAGCAACCATCAAAATTCCAGGAGCTGTGGCAGAGCATGCATGATACCAAAGGGATCAGCGATAAGTAGTGTAGTGAGGTGAGTTGCGGGATGGCGGGGAGAAAATTGCCATGTCGAACCCGATCATGTGAAGATAAGCCGTAGAGGATGCAGATGGCTTATCCACTCGAGCTCTGACAGCTGACAGGCGAGAGCACCTAACATGCCGGTATCCATTACTGCCTGCCCCCAATGATTACTCCCATTGACATCTCCTCCTGATGTGACTGGCCCTTCGGAAGTAGATGTGAGCAGTGTCCCACCCGATCGCCTTGGATGAAGGTACACACTGGCTATCGTCGGAAAGGCACACTCTAATAAGACCTGGCTCTCATAGTCGGTCGACTCCGTATGCCTTTCGCTCATCCTTGAAGGTGGTTGGTTACTGTTCCGGGCCTACCCAGAAGTAGGGAGTCTCCAAGACGCCACAAATGTACGTCTTCATACGATCTTCAAAGCTATGTGCCCCGCGGACAGTATCCTGACTAACGTGCTTCCTAAGAAGACACCTTAACTGCTGGATGTACCGGAGGCAGTATCCAGCATGCGATCAAACCCCAGGTGTAAGATTGTAGAGGGTTATTGGCCGCTGGTTCGTGGCGCTTCCGGGATAGGGATTGCGAACGCACCCTGGACCGGCGGGCATTTCCCCGGCTTACCTTCCACCGAGGCGGCGGTATGGCCCTTCGCAGTTTTCACTAGGCACTCCAACGTACGATGGCGTAATCCCACTACCACCGGAGTAGGATGGAGCGGAGAGAGGCGCTAGATGGTAATTGCACCAACAGGGATCCGGCCGGTCTACTACCTAGGGTTATGCATCCGGACGGACCCCCGACGGCTGCTCCGCAGCATTCTACGATCCATGGCATTTGTGTCTGGGAATCCTAGCAGGAGCTTGCCTTTTGACTCTCGGATTACGAGATTCTAGTAGGGCGCGTCAAGGTATTGTTCTGAGCAACTGTGCCGGGCAAGAAAAGGGCTACCGTAGCAGTGTCAACTGTCAAGGGTGGGTCAGCGGTGGTCCGTGCCGTGCGCTAGTCTCGACCGAGTGGATTTAGTCGTCTCGCCAAGCCATTTGATGGTCGCAATCCCATTCCCGGCCCGCTATCCCCTCTATCTCTCCGGTAGATAGGTAAATAGTTGATTGTAGACATGGTCTCCTAGGCAGTATAATTCAGCCGAGTATAGTCCGGTGGAATAACCAGGATCATTCCGCTCAAGGCCCCTCCCTACTCATCCTCGTGCTACCGGTCAATTATCCTAGTCGATAATTTAGGTCATGAAATCGGCAAACAGCCCAGGCTTGCTCTTGTGCATCAAGAAGCCAGGCCAGGCTGGATAATCGGGATTATGGCTTCGAGATGTAGGAAGAATGCAACTAGAGGATAAGGACGGGAATGAACAGTCCAGGATGTGGCGACTTGGCTTATCTTCCCACGCCCTGCACGATGTACGGGATCCTCCCTTACATGCACACGCGCATGCGCAACAGAGTGTAGGGAGGAAGGGGGTTTAGTATGATTTTGAACCCTACCAACTGCGGGAACCTGCATTGATAGGGAGAAAAAGCATCCATCCCAGGACACTGTATTTTGTGGCCCCCCAAGTATTGAGCCCCAACATGGAGCTGGCTGGGGCAGTCTCTTATCGGTCAGGGCAGCCACTCATCCCAGAAGGTCCACCAAATTGATCACAGTCATGTACAATCATGATCCATCCACGCATGACGGGTTTCAAGCACACCCTTCCGCTCACTCGCGCCAGCCTAGCACTGCAAGAGACATGGAAGACTTGCAGCTGACGAAGTCAACATTAAAATCAGATGTCATTGCATGCGGGGCCACAGCAGGATTCTACAATCGTTGACAGACACCGATAAGTACCTTGTTCTAAACTAGCGAATGAAATTCGGCATATTGGCCAAGCTGCGCGGCGCTGATCGGCCGTCGCACGTAAAAGAAAGTCATAGATCGGCGATAAGCTAATCTGATGGGCCCCTGACAGATTGACCAGCATTAGATATGTTGCAGACTGTGCAGTGAAACATCGGGGGAACTAGATGCTGCGGGTGGCGGTGATCGCCTCTACCCAAGGTTTTCGACAGTGAGTTGGGCAGCATCCATCGCCGTATCCTACTGCAAGGAGTAGTATCCTCGACCAGTGTCAACTCGGTTGTCTTGGCGATTTGAGGCAAAGGACTCCGGCGATCAAGCATAGAATCCTGCTCTTGGGGAAGAAAGACCGGGCACCAGCCACACTGACCCCGATAGAGTTTCCCAAATCCTGGTAAAGAAAGCATGTCCTCAGAGCTTACCATTGCTTGGATACAATCCTGAACCATGAATGGTCCATGATGTAAGTCTAGTTGGGAAGCCTGTTGCCTCAAGGCCGACCCCGACTCCTGCGTCCGTAGGATGCAAGAGGCCCAGGTACCGATCCCGACCAACCACTTGACAAATAGCAGTGCCATAAGACTGCAATTGGCACGGGGATGTATGAGGTGGATAATGTGATCCACTCCGGGACTGCAGAAACCCATTCTCTGCCCAGGCTGCGGCAGGCGAATTGGTGATTTCGCCCTTTGATGTCTTTCCTATCTGGTTGCGTTCCCATTCCGGCGGCATCCTCGACCCCGCGAGCAGTTGATCTTCCAGCATTGACCGAAAAGACTGATCAGTGAGCGTGCTCGGGGGCTGTTGGAAAATTCAAATATTGCCAGACCACGGCCATCGTTGAGCTACAAAATAATTCGGTACGGCCGTTCTTCTCTCTTCTCGGTTTCGCCCATCCTATATCCCACTCGACTCAAGTTGGCTACTCAGACCCGGTTCGAGTGCTGTTGAGTCCATTGACACGATGAAGCCGGAACCCAGCAACTCGTCCACCAGAACGGTGACTGCCGAAAGACTTGTCGACTTTGACGGACCCGATGACCCGCTCAATCCCCAGAATTGGCCGATGAGGAAACGGCAAGTGCTTCCTTCATTACTGCATAGGTCGAGGCTAATCAATAGCCAATTTCTAGAGCATCCATGTCTGTCATCATAGGTCTCGCCACGATGATGGTCTCCTTTGCGAGCAGCGTGTTTGCCCCCGCCATCCCACTAGTCATGAAGGCCTATGGAATCACGAGGGAGGTGGGAACCCTCGGAATTTCGCTCTATGTCTTTGGCTTTGCCTCGGGCCCATTGATATTCGGGCCCTTTTCCGAACTCCATGGCCGACACATCCCCATGGTCATCGCCATGTTTGGCTTTACGGTCTTCTCCTTCGCAACGGCGGTTTCCAAAGACGTGCAGTCTTTGTTTATCCTGAGATTCTTCACCGGATTCTTTGGCGCCGGTCCTCTCACACTCGCGGGCCCTCTCTTCGTCGACATGTTCAACGCGCGGCAACGGGGCATCCCAATCGTCATGTTTTGTCTCATGGTGTTCACCGGGCCCTTAATCGCTCCATTTATAGGCGGCTTTATCGTCATGAACCCGTCACTGGGTTGGAGGTGGACGGCATATATCCCTGGGATCATGGGAGCCGCGATCACGGTGTTTGTAACCCTGTTCCTCGACGAGACGTATGTCCCCGTGGTCTTGGCTCGCAAGGCCGATCGTCTACGTCGGGAAACTGGGGATTGGTCGATTCATGCCGTCCACGACGAGGTCAGCTTTGATCTCCACGCTGTTGTTCGGGACTACTTCAGCATCCCCCTAAAAATGCTGGTGTGGGATCCGATCGTGTTGTGCATGAGCCTCTTTGGCGCATTTGTATACGGACTCCTCTATCTCTTCCTGACGGCGTACCCGATCATCTTCCAGAAAATTCACGGCATGAACCCCGGGGTGGGTGGACTGCCGTACTTGGGAGTGGTGATCGGACTGCTGCTTGGGGCCGTTGGGATTGCAGCAACCCAACCGTGGATGGAGCGGAAGGCGGAGCGGACCGGGTTAGAGATAATGCCCGAATGGCGCCTTCCCATCGCCATCCCCGGAGCCACCGCATTTTCCGGGGGGTTGTTCTGGCTGGGGTGGACGGGGTACCAGCCCACGACCCATTGGATAGCGCCCACATTGTCGGGGTTGCTGACCGGGTTTGGCTTGTTGACCATGTTTCTGCCTTCCTTGGTGTATCTAGTGGAGGCACGGGCCCGAAAGTGAGTCTCCGTCTATCTGCCTGTTGATTGCAGTCGAGCTGATGCAGATGCTGTGTAGAAGCGCGTCGGCTGTGGCGGCACACACCTTCCTGCGGTCGGGAGCCGGAGGCGCGTTCCCGCTCTTTGCAACATACATGGTGAGTGGTCCGACTCTGGCACGGGGAGCGATGGACCCGAAGCTAACGTGCGACGGGGCTTTAGTTTAACAACATGGGGGTGGAATGGGCGTGTACGTTGCTGGGCTGCATCGGGGCGGTTCTTGTGCCCATTCCGGTGCTGCTGTACGTGTGCGGCGCGCAGATCCGGCAGAAGAGCCGGTTGTCGGTCGCGTAATTGCTAGATGAGCCGGAGCTTTGATCAACAGGAGGAGGGCTGGAGGCCAGGAAGATGAGGAGACAGCGACGAGGAGCATGAAGTAAAATGAGCAATCTATTGGAATTGAATGGCCGTATCGATCCGCCCGCGCCAATGACTGCTTCGCCCGATGGCATCAGGCCGATGCATCAATGGGTGATGATGATCGGCGGGGTGGAGAGGAAATGATTGGGCGACCCGGGAAGGTTACCGTAGCACTAGCGACTCTCTTCCACTTAAGGCTGCCGTTAGTGGCGGGCCTGACGATTGGGGCCACCAAATCAGGACGCGCAGGAATCGAGCTCCGCGAAGCTCCCGCGTTCCAGTTTCATCTTGCTTTCTTTCTTCCTGTGCTGGTTGGCTTGCATCACCGGCTTTGCTGGCTTCCATCGCATGGCTGAAGGGTGGGCACGTGAGAAGCCATAGAATCAACAAGTGAATAAACCCACCCCCTCGACACCAGACAGCCACGCCCCGTCAAGTCGCCAATGGGTCACGGACGGAGACAGCAAAGAGTCCCTCCCTCCCTTGGCCGCAGACGGGATCTCCTCCGCTGATGTGCAAATGGTGTCCTCCCCTAACGTCTGAACCATCTTAACCGACAATGGCGTGCTCCGGAGCTATACATCATCACCACCCGCTCCCTCCACGTCGGTATCCCATCTATCGTTATTTAACTCGCCCATCCCAACGTCGCACAGGACCATGGCTCTCCCTCTGTCTAGGCCGTCCACCGTGTCACCCCCCAGGCCCCTTTTAAATCCGCCCATCCATCCCCGATCCTTCCCCTCACCGCTACCACCGCATCCCCTCCCCACCCCGGGATCGCCTCCGCCCACCTCTCTAGATGCACGTCTTGTGATCGGCGACTTTGCACCGCAAAATGGCCGCTGCCACTCACCCCGACCTCCGCGATAGGAGTAGCACCCAGCCCCTGCTCGAGGCAGATGAGTACGATGAGTACTCGTGGGTGCTGCTAGAAGACCATCCGTTGCGCTCGGCTCCCACCGAATGCTGCCCGGGGATTCTTTGGGTTATCCACAGATGCTACGCGGCGGTGAGCAAGAGATGGAGCGATCGCGCCCTCTCATTGATCTGCCTGTTCTTGATGTTCCTGTAGGTCTTCTCATCTTCCATCGCACTCGATGGTTTACTGACAAACAACCATTAGGGTTGCCATCCAGTTCCTATCACTATTGCCATACGGGGTCTCTTACGTCTTCCTTCGCGATGAGTACAAAGAACAGGCAGGGTTCGTTCATTGGCCCGTGGAGTTCCATGACCAGCCCGCTGCTTGTATCTCTTACAACCCACGCGCACATTCAAATGCAATTCAGTACTCGATCGCTGCGGGCTGTGCTGGGGTCAAGGCCGATATCTGGGTCCAGGACGGTGACCTTCTTGTGGGTTCCTCGATGTCAAGCCTGAGGAAAGAGTTCACGCTGCGCAGTGTCTATCTGGAGCCACTGCTGGGTCAACTAGATGCCAGGAACACCGACCAACTATCTGAATGGGATCCGATGCAGCAAGTGACTTTGTTCTTGGAGATCCGGTCATCAACGCAGGACGTGTGGCCTCGTCTCTTCTCTGAACTGGCTTTGCTCCGCGAACGTGGGTACCTGACCCACCGGAATGGGACGCTGGTCGTCCCTGGGCCTATCACCGTTGGTTTAACTGGGAGGAGTCACGCGGACCTTGATGATACCTATCCACATGGCTTTGAAAGCGTTGTCGATTATCTATTCTTTGATGAGCAATTAATGATGGAGGCTGAAGGGTCCGGTGCCACCCCAGCATCCACCGAGGATGAACCTGAGCAGGACTCAGGGAGCCCAATCCCGGGCTTAGACAAACCACCCTCTAGCGGAAACTTTCCGCTTTATAGCGCATCCGTCAATTTCATCGCGACCATCGGGTCACCTCATCGAGGTCGATTCTCTCGGCAGCAGGTCGAGCTGATCCAGAGCCAAGTGCGAGCCGCCCATCAACAGGGAGTGCTGGCTCGGTACGAAGGCATCCCCTGCTACTCGGAGGGGATTCGACGCATCATCTGGAGGATTTTGGTTAAAGAGGGTGCCGACCTCATTGAGGTAGACTGGACCGGGTGTGCTAGCCGGGGCTGGCGATTCTTTAGGATGTCCGGTAGCCAAACCCGGCATCTTCCTTGGCCATGGGGGTAGCCTGTGAGCTGAACATATATAATGATAATGATTATTCTTTCATGAACGATAAGGGATCTGTGCTCCTCGAGTAAAGATGATAAAGCATCACGAAAAGAAAATGCATACTGAGGGTTACGGGTGCTCCGTCGAAATATACCCCGGGTTGCTAGCATAGCTCGGGCCGCCCGTGGTAATTGCACGACCAATTCCCACCTGCAAGGAAGGGATGAAGCAAGGGGTCCGACTTTAAATCATCGGCAATGTGGCGAGCCGCGGGCGGCATTAATCGAGCATTACTCTGTACTCCGTACGGAGTACACAGTACACAATTACACCATACCTGCGAAGTAGCTAGTCTTGAAGTCGGAACGGATGATTGTCGGGATCGCAGGATCGGCCGTACAAGGTATGTTGACAAATCCGCCTATGATTAGAGCAAGTCAGCACTACTGGACATCAAATATATTACCGGAATTGACCTCGTCTGCTTGATGGTCTCCTGATGAATTTCCCGACCGACGCACCCACGAGAAATGCCTCAGACCACGACACCCAGCAGAGGGAGGGGTGGGAACGGTGTATCAGATCGCGACGGACGCCTGGATAAGTAAGTATAGGGAGAAGTGGTCAGGGCCGAGTTAATCGGCTGGGATCGGCAGGCATTGCAGGTGGGGAAAAGACATTGCTGGCTGTCATTAGTCATGGCTGCGCCTGTACTCCATGCTGCTCCCTGGTGCCAATCCATCCTGCAGGTCGCAGCAGGAGCCTTCAGGTTGCACGGAGTACGTAGGTAGGTACGGAGTACGGAGTAGTGGTTGAAAGTAAGCGAGTAAGAGTGGTACTTTGTAAGTCGAGTGGTAAGCAGCCCGGCCAGGCCCTCTGGACCCTCATTGGGTTCAACATAACCCAGCATCCGAAGGTTTTTTCCTGTCATTTCAAGTGTCTGAGATCTCGTTCCTCCCGTGTATTATCTGTATTGTGTATTATTTTCCAGATTGTGAAGAAGACTGGTGGGTGGAAGCCATCAGATTCTGCTGCTCGGTATGGATCAGATGGAGACTGCACCCACCCATCGACCCAGTGGAGGAACGCATGACACGTCGCCGGCTGCATGGCATGGATGCCAACGGGCAGCGATCGGGTGGAGGGGGGAATGCAGAGGCCAGCTGGAGGGATTGGGCCGATACTTTGAATTCTAGGTACTCCGTAGAGAGTAGTAATCATCGAGGTACTGTGGAAGTATCAGGCGTCAAGGAATCCCAAGAGAGAGACAGGCCCACCCGGTTTCCCCGCTCCCACGACGGCCCCATCCGGCCACTACGTTTTGCAGCCTCCAGTCCACCGCGAGTGCTGCTAGTCCCTCGTTTGCATCCGCTTGATTGGCTTGCTGGGCTCCGATGTGTCCTCCAGGGAACTCTTTCGTCGTTTCCCTGGCTCCGTCCCTCACCGTTTTTCCCTAGTAATTCTTTTCCATTTCCCCTGCCCTCGCTCTCCACTCTCCTCCTCCTCTCCCTCCTCTGCCGCTGTTTCTCCTGCTGCCTCCTGCGTGCTTCATCTCTCCTCACTTCTCAGAGCTTTCTGAGCTGGCTTGGTTCGCTCCCCCTCATCCCTCTTCCCTCCCCATCATCATCATCCCCATCGCCAGATGAATTGATGATCTCCCGTATCGACTGGGTCTCGATTTTCCGTTTCCTTGCCGCCTCCCGTCCGTCTCGTTCAAACTCAACTTTTACCGCCATTTCGCGACCTGCTGAGTCCATCCGCGCCCGAGCCCAACCCAAACTCCCAACGACGTTCATGCTGGCAGCACCCCCCATCTCTTCCGCACCACCCCTCCCTTGACGATGATGATGGATTTCCAGAAACACCATCCGCATCATCCATATCACCCGCACCCGTCCCTGGTGGGCGTCGTGGCTCATGATCCTCGGGTTGCGCCCCCCGCGCCGCCAGCTCGCGCCTACGGGCCACCACGTCCTCCATCGCCGCGGACATTCTACGATGCCTTTCATCGCCGCGAGCCCGAAATGCCTAGATCCGGTGTCACGCCGACCTACAGCTATCCGACCCCCTCGTCGGCCCCTGCCTCCGTTCCCACCGTCTCGTACGCCCATGAGAACGCCTATGCGTCATATCGGACAGATAACAACGGGTATCACATCGCGTCGGCGAACCATGGCTCACTGAAGGAGCAAAATCTTCCGGGGGGCCATCTGGACTCTGATAGCCGCCAGGACCCCCATTATAATCCCAATTACCCCAACAAACAGGATCGTCGGATGGTGTATCGTGAAGGTAGGTCACTTGCATTTCGTTTCATACCGCTTTGATTTCCTTCATTTTCCAAACGGCCTTTTCCTTCCTCTCCTCGGGCTTTCTGGGTTTTCTTGATTTTCCTACGAGGTTGCGGTGTGACTGAAAGTCCGGTGTGTCGGAGGGTCGGGCCGTGATCGCGTCAGTCCTCTCGGAGCATACCTGGCAGAGCAAGTTAGACGGGCGAAGCAACGGAGAATGTATCCTGGATGGGGAGGATGCAAACCGGTGGAAGTCTGGCCATCTGCGCGGGCGCGGTGGCCCGGCTGCAGCCTTTGTTTATCCGTACTACAATCCCACCGTCACTTCCGACGCTCAAGGAACCCAAACTTTGTGCCCGGCTCTGCGGACCAATCAGGGGCAGCGCACCAACCGCGTCTGTGGCGCCTGATCGACTTCCAGCCCAGGAAGCCTCGGGAACGCTATGCCTGATGCGCCCTAGTGCATGATGCCAGGGCATCGCTACCCAAGCGGGTCTAGCGCCGGACGAGCTCGTCCAGGCCCAGAGTCACGGGTTCAGCCCCAGTCGGAACTCGCTTTGCCTGTCGCGCGCCATTCTTTCTTCCTGCATCATCATCATCACCTGTTGCCTCCCCATCTCCTCTTCTCGCCCCTCGGGCTTTCTTCTTCTTCCCTTCCCCTGCTTTTCTTACCTCTTGTAATTTCTCATCTGTCCCTGCTACATCCGTGCCTGATCGTCGCTTTACCCACACAGCTCCCCTTTCCCCCTTTGCATGCGACATGAATCCTCCCCCGTCGCATGACCCAGGGCGTCGGAGGTCCTTGGGCAGCAGTGGCAGTCCCGCGTTTCCGGGTGAGTTCCAGGCGGTCCGACTCGCATCATCTCCCCGGATCTTTGGTTCACCGCTTGCCACGCAACAGGGCGCCTGATTTCTTTTGCGGCCTGGCTGCCTGTGATCGGACATATTGGCTAACTCCGAGCGTCTCCTATCTAGGTGTTCAAGATCAACCACCCGCGGCGCCGCCGTTGGGGACGCGCCGCATGCCTCCTCCTTCGCCCCCACAACATTATCCCTCCCGAGGCCAAACGGGAAATGCCCCTTCGTTGTCCACTCCCTTCTTGTCGCGTGAGCCTCCCAGCAACCCGGCTCATCATCGTCCAGGGAGCAGCATGTCGATATCATCCATGCTAGGCTCGGACGCTGACCGACCAGGCCGGGATGTAGGCTCTTCTTCGTCCATCTTTTCGCGTCTTCCAGTGTCTTCCGCCCCGTACGGAGCCACGCATCCTCCTTCGGCCCCTGGCGCGATGTCGCCGCCGACCGCGCCCGCGCGTCCGTCCCCGCTCGAGTATCCGGGTTTCCGACGGTCCCAAACTCCCGAAAAGTCTTTTGCGAAGAACCAGCCCTCCCGCCCGTACCGATCCGGCTCCGGCGGTGTGCCCCAGCCCATTGCCGACCAAGCCAAATTCGGAGGCCTGTCTCGCGTCCCGCCCCCGTCGCAGTATCCCGATAAGCCCAGCTCCACGCACCCGTCGCCCCAGATTGCCTCTGCCGAAGCCCCGTATAACGAACCCCGTCGCTTGAGCTTCAGCGGACCAGTCCCTCGTCCCAGCAGCCAGCCTCAACATCTGGAACCCCCGGCGCGCACCACCGGCTACAGTCCCTTGTCCCGGCCCGTCGCCGTGGCCGGCGTCGGAGAGGGTCCATTTGCTGCCACGCATCAGCGAGCTGCATCATATATGGGACACGAACCTCAGCACGCCCGATACGGAGGTCTGTATGGGGATCGACACGCGGAGGAACAGGCTCATCGCGATCGGGAACGAGCGATCGCGCACGAAGCGGACACCAAGGCTGCATCTCACCCTCCGTCCCGATACGGCCCGCCTTATGGGGACCGGGAGGCCGCCACCCATCGGCCGCAGCAGTCTCCCTGGGATTTGGCCCGCTCGCAGCCTCCGTCGCCCGAAACGAAGCGTTTTCCTGTTCCTGAGCCGGGTTCCGGTTTCGGATTTGGCGCCATCCAGAGCTATACCAAGTCTCTGGGCTCCCAGCTCGGAGGGTCGCGACAGCCAGCGCTTTCCGTCCATCCCCCTCAGAGCCAGCCACCCCCTCCCCCCTCGCACGAACAGCCGCCGTATTTGAGCAAGCTCCAGACCGAAACCCGCGTCTTCCCGCCGACCTCATCGGGTGGCCCGCCATCATTGATTCACTCGGCGTCGTCGGATGACCAGCGTCGCAAAGGCAGTGATGAGCTCTTGGCGCATCGAAATCTTCTCGGAGTTGGATTGGACTCGAAACGCGGGGGGCGCGCGTCACCCCTCCCCCAGGCCGTGCAGGGTGCCCAGGCTCAGATCCTCGGCCCTGCAGGCGACTCGGGCATCAAGAACGAATTGGGCCGAGTGTTCTCCGGGATTGGAAGTGGTGTCGGAGGTGTCACTGCCACCGCTGGTGGGAGTGGTCCGTCGACCCCCATGGCCCCCAGCCCTTTCAAGCGCGACAGTGCGGCGGGTCGGTCCAGCAATGGGGAGACGACCGCGGACGACAACAAGATTGCTCGCCCGACCTCGGCCAATGGGAAGCGGCAGAGAAAGTCGCGCGATGAAGACAGTCGAGCGGAGAGTGAGGCAGCTGCCCTGGGGGCGGCCCGTGGCCGGCGCAGTCGGCATCTCCATCACCACCATCATCAGTACGTGTTTCCTGGTACCAACAGTCTCCATGTGTTTCATGCTGACGTGTCCAGCCACCACCATCACCGCCACAAGCCGGAGGAAGAAGCTGCTGCCGCTGCTGCTGCTGCCGCTGCTCTTGGGTCCAGTCGTCCCCTATCCTCGGTGAATTTCTTCCATCGCACGGCCACCCCGGGAGAAGGCACCCCATCCGCCACGGGCCCCGCTCTCGGACATCATCACCACCACCATCATCACCACCATCACCATGCTCCCCGACCGGCTGCAGCTGGCAGCAGTGCTTCGGCGGTGACTCCGATGCGGGAGCCTCGCACGGTAGTTACTATCGAGCCGCTTCTCAAGAGTGTCGCGCATCTGCCCCGGCATCACCTTGGTTCGACATTGTATGCGCCCCGGATCGGCGCTCCCACGGAAAAGGCGACTCTGGAGAGTGCCAAGTTTGGATACACCACCACACCGCTTCCCCTGCCTCGCTTTGAAGGCAAGGAAAACTGCACCTTTACCATCCGCGTGCCCCGGTTCCGCATCGATACGGGCCACCGGGAGGAAATCTGCGCCCGTCGCGCGCTCTGGGGCACGGGCGTGTACACGGACGACTCGGACCCGGTGGCCGCGGCAATCCACTCCGGATTTATCCGCGGCGCGTGGGGCGAGGATGTGGACGTGGATCTGCTGGACCTGGAAATCAAGGAGGCATACCAGCATGCCCCCCAAACCGCCCAGGACGTTGGCGCCGAGGATGGCGAGCGACCCCGGGTGCCCCCGGTGCCCCCGACCGACAAGGACCTGCACATTACGCTGCTGATTTTGCCCCGTCTGGAACGCTACGATTCCAGCGTGTTGTTTGGGCTGAAGTCCCGGGCCTGGGAAGGATCGCACGACGGGATGAGTTTTAAGGTGCAGCGCGTCGAATGGGTTGACGAAGGGGTCGGCCGCGGGGAGGAGCGGAGCGGCGAGGCGCGACGCAAGCGACTGCGCAATTTGATGCAGACGGGACGGATCTGCACGGGGCCGGGGGTGGTCAAGTTGGATCAGCTGCGGAACGGGGTGCAGATTCCGCGTCGCAAGCAGCTCGAGAGTCAGGAGCAGCCGTCGGCGCTGCAGACGGTGTCGTGACGGGTGTGATATGGGGTGATGTAGATGTTGATCTTGTCGATGTGGAGTGGATTTGCGTGTTATGATTGCCGCGGGAGGCGTTTTGGGATTTCATTTGTTAGGATTAGCGTGGCGTGGTGCAAACTGATACTTGCTAATCTGAATGTGTTATTGAAGTACATAAGAGATACAGTACGAGTAGTATTCTATGCCTATTTCTGTGAATCCGATGTAGTCCAGTGACCCTGTTGATGACACTGAATTCTTGAACTGATGTTTTCATCACCCCCGCGCGGTAAACTAAATCACATTCAATAAAAAGACCCCATTCATCCCGCAGTCCAGTCCTCTACCACCATCCCATCCCCCTCTCCACCTCCCTCTACCCCTCAACCCTAACTCCCTTCCCTACCCTTCCTACACTCCCCCACCCAACAACCACCCAACAATCCCCCCCCCCCCTATATCTCATTATCATTATGATCAAGATAAGTAGTTACCCCCCAAACCTCTCCAACAACACATTACCCCCATCCCCGTTATCCCTCACCAAAAACTCCACATCCGCCCGACCCCCAATCACCCCATCATCTCTCCGATTCCGACGGACTACCTCCTCCACGGAACCCCCATATATCCGCATTAAGACCTCGCATCGCTCACAGAGTAACAGGCCGCAGCCTTTTGCGTCGAGGGACGTTGGGTCGGTGATTGGCTCGAGGTAGATGGTTTGTGTTTGGGGGGTGCTGCAGCCGAAGAAGGCGGGGTGGGGGCAGAGGGTGCACCAGGGGTTTTTGGGGGTCTTTGGGTTGGGAGTAGTGGGGAAAGGGATTAGGGTTGCATAAGCGGCAGGGAAGTCGAAGGTGGTTGGGGAGAAGCCTTTGATGGGGATTATGTGGTGGGTAGGGCAGCGGAGGATGTGGAGGCGGGAGAGGGCGCAGGTTGGGCAGATTCGGGTTGGTGGTGGTGGTGGTTGATTGGGGGATGGGGATGGGGAGGGAAGAGGGATGTATGTGCCGTGGCCGAGGTCGAGGATGGGGATGGTTTGTGGGGGACCGGTGCCGAAGAGGGCGTAGGTGAAGTTGGTGCAGAAGTGGCAGGGGAGGGTGGTGGTGGGGATTTGGTGAGGGTGGGTGGAGGGGAAGGGGAAGGTGAAGGTTATGGGGTGGGTGAGGGAGGTGTGGATTGTGCGGGTGGTGGTGGTGGTGGTGGTGGTAGTAGTGGTTAGGGCTGGGAGGAGTGGGATATCTTGCGGTTGGGTGAAGGGGCGGAGGGTCGATGAGTCTGTGGGGTTAGTGATGGTGGATATGGTATTGGGAACTGGCTCCGCAACATCCGGATCGAGGGTATTCGCATCGTCTTGCCCGAATGAGGTGAGCTCCTGCGTATTGATCTGAAATGTCGGATCGATCCCAGGGGAGAAGAGTTTGCAATACCGAGTACTGCCGATGCATTGCTCACAGGGAAAGGCGTCTGGATTCTGCACCAGCGAGCAAGCAGGGCCGGAATCTCGACATGCTTTGCACGTTTGTGCCTGAAGCTCATCTTGTTCCAGTATGTGACTATTGTCTGCAGTAGGTGGTTCGGCAGCATCAGGTCCATCATCTTGATATATCGGCAAAGAAGCCAAAAACGCCTTCCCAGCTTCACTAGCCATATGGACCGTGACAATCAAACTCGGGGTAGTCTTCGGTCTCTTCGACAAACGCTTCTGTCGCAATTGTGCGCGTTCGATCTTCGGATCGTAGTCGTCTGTGCAGTCTTCGTCGATCCAGGAGGTGAGGATGGCGGTGGTGGGGGAGCGCTTTCGGAACGAGTACTGGCGTCGATCGGGAGGGGTGCTGGTTGTTCGGGATTTGGGTTCGAGGAAGAGGCGCTTGGCTTGGGCGAGGGTCTGTGGTGTGTATTCCATGGAGTCATCGGGTGCTGGGAGGAGATGTGGTGGGTGGGTTGTGAGGAGGTTGTGGATTGCTATATAGGTGGTGAAGAGACAAGAAGACAGCATTCACTGTAGTCAAGGTAGTGGGAGCAGCTGTTATCTAAGGTTGGATGCTCAGAGAGGATGGATGGCACACCTGGAGTGAGATCGGCACAAACAGCCAGGCAGGAGCAAGAAAGTTGTCGGAACAAAAGGTTGGACGCTGGTGCAGTAACATATACTTCATGCCTCAGATGATGAAGCACCGATCAATCAAGTGAGGTCATCCCCATGATTGTCACTTTACAGTGGAATGCTATTCGAACTTCGAAGGGAGAAGTGAGCTGGAGGGGTCATGATACACACTTTCAACTGTCACTCAACTTCCTTCTACAAGCACATACTCATAAAGCCAATCCTATGAGAACAAATTACATCAGCAACACAATCTCATTCTGCCACCACAGCAGCAACTACCAACAAGCAACTACATAAAAGGGGCTATCACCCAATATCCATCGAGATCCCAAGACACAACCATAACATATCACCACTCCATACAATTCCCTTCCACATATATCGTATCCAACAATATCCTCACAGAACCACCCCCTTTATATCTTCTCGACGAACTGGTTACATTGGACCATTTCTAGGCACCGGACTATACACTATCAGCATTCTATTCATTCTCCCATACCCGCTGTAAGAGGAGGGATTCATACCCAGGAATAATCCAAGCGGCCCCCAGACCCGCCAGCACCACCGTCGCCAAAAAGACAAACGTCAAGAAAGTCTTGGCCCAGAATTCTGCGCGAGAGGGTCTGGCTGCCCCTGTTCCTCATTGATCGGTTAGCATATATACTCCTCACTAAACTGTAAGCATGAAAGGTAAGAAGAGGGGAAAGGCACGCACTGGAATTCGTAGTTGTCACGGCAGTCTCAGTACCCGGCCATGCGGTGCGAGAGGGCTGCGTGGTGAGGGTATTGCAGCTGTCGTATCTCGGAAGGAGGGGCTCTTTGCTGTACGCAGGGAGGGAGTTGGTGTTGGAGGAATCGCTGGGTATGAGGTTGAGGGTATACATGGTGGATTTGTTTTTGCTTTGTAGAGGAGGAAGGAGATGCTCTGCACAAGTAGAGATCGTATAAAGTGCAGTCTTCAAAAGAGCAGTCGTATCTCTCAAAAGGAGAAGTTCTCACAATAAAAGTCTTAGACGAGCAGATGCACTTGTACCACTGAAGATGAGTGGGAAGAGGAAGCGGAAGGGGAAAAGAGAGAAGTGGCGGGAGGACAGCAGATATACTAGGCTGCGATGATGGCATACCATGTCGTCAGGATGTAGTTAGAATGTCATCCTGAAGCCATACCATGACTCCCCAATCTCGCTACCGCTATGATAGCACATAACCTGGCCATACTGTGACAGTAGCACTTGTGACGAAGTATACCATGGATAGGGGCTGTGTTGATGACACTATCTTTAGTAGATGGAAAGGTTACGTTTGGAATGTATCATTGGATTGGGTTTGTTGGGGATATGTTGGGAGTTTGCAAGTTGACCGAAAGAGATATCTGCCCCTCAAGGGCTAGAAGTATAGCCGATATGTTGTAAACATATGTAGGTACTGGGTCTAATCGTAGTTGATATTTAACAAGTTGGACGGGGAGAGGCTATAGATAAGATGGACAATATGCCGCAGAGCATGAGAGCATTCGATGCAAGCGGGATCTCAAGATAATGCAAGTTACTGTTTCTTGAGGGATCGACATCAACATCTATATGGAATCATATCTATAATCCTACGCGAAAACAACTGTGGTCAAGCGGGCTTGATTGGTTCATACCAAAAACAACTCATACACAGACAACAAGATCCAAATATCCCATCCTCGCTGAGCCGGTAGATGTACATCAATACCAGTCAGCTCACTTATCGTACATACTGATAACATCCCCTTACAAAGTCAACCCTAGACATCCTCCACTATGCTTCACCTCCATACATCCATCCCTTAATGGATCTTCAAAACCGTGAGGGCCATAAAGAACACAATCATAAGGAACACCGCGACCAGTGACCAGAACAGCTTGCCCTTCTTGGCTGCCTTTTGCTTCTCCTTGATCAAGTCGATGTTGAGCGGGATGAATGGATTCGCTGTTCTCGTTAGCTTGCTATCTCCATGATCATGTGAAGGCAGCTGTGTCTCACTTTTCGGAGCATCTTGCTCAGAGGAAATAGGCATCCGACAGTGAGCCTCCTCAGGCACGGTGGTGTTGTCGATGGTGATTATGACTTCTTGGTTGGTAGGGCCGACCATATTGTCGATGGCAATGATAAATTCGTTGACAGGATCTGCCATGTCGGTGTGGACCTTCTCGTCCTTGATGTCTTCTTCGACGGTGATAATGACTGCTTCGTTGGTAGCGGGGGCCATATTGTCGATGGCGATAGTAAGCTCGTTGGCAGGAGCTGCCATGTCGTTGGGGACCTTCTCGTCCTTGGGTTCTTCGATGGTAATGGTGACTTCTTCGTTAACAGGAGCAACCATGTCGTGCATGTCGTTGGTGATGTGCTCAGCGGCGTCTTGTTCAACAGTAACGCTCATCTCTCCAGTAGAGACAGCCAAGTTCGATTCGATAACAACGGAAGTAGTGTGTTCAATAGGAGACACCTCATCGATGGAGGTGGTCTGTCGTGCAATGCTGCCAGACTTCTCATCAACAGAGATAGTCTCTTCTTCGGTAGAAGGAGACAGTGTTTCGTCTGCCTCGGGAATGCTCTCAAAGGAGATGTTGTACTTGGGCCTCACGTAGCACATGGTGGCGAACTCACGCTCGGACAAGCCCATGTTGGATGAGTGGAAGTAGATCGTTTGGTTTGGTAGAGGATCGTAGGCGTCTGATCTCGAAGATCAATAGTAGACTGGACAGTTCGTTTGACTATTTGATCGACTGTTCGACTGTTCGATTGTTCGCTTGTCGCTTGTTCGACTGTTCGCTTGGTCAAGATGAAAGATAACAGAATAGATAGATAAGTCGCTAGTATAACTTCCAGCTAACGCCAACACTTGGATACAAATAAGATAGTTGAAGATGAGACAGAGCCGAGCAGACAGGCAGCAACTGGCCGAGTTATATAGCCCAACAAGTTGTATACCTCATGGTGATCCATGTCCTAGAATAGGACGTGGGAGTCATCTCGTGAAGCGTCATGCTGGTACAACTCGGCTGGGATGTGCTATACATGAGCTCATGCTGGTGACATCCACGGCATGGAAGTCTGGTAAAGACCTCTTGGGGTATAGATCGGATCGAGCTCGATGAGTCTGTGTGGACACCGCTTTGGTGAGTCGAGTCTGGTATACTTCGGCTGGGCTGAACCATGGCTGAGAGGAGTCGTGTCGACTCGCTGTTTGACTCACGGAGCGAGAAGACTCATGATTGCCTAAAGGAGAAAGCCGGGACTGCGCGCCGACCAACAGAGGATGTACGAAGACTGACGCGGCAAGGGAGTTATGTAAAGTTCGGGGAAGATTAATCGTTCTTTGTTATTTGGTAAAGTACAATTTCCAAGCCCAACGCCAGACCCATACCCATACCCGAAGAAACAGCTTAACACCACCCTTCATGACCCGTCCCAACCAAAGAAAACCCGCTTGTAAAGGATATCCATCGTGAAAAACAACATTATACCCGCACGAGAGCGGAAGAGATGACCACAACCCAGACTAGCTCTGGAAGCTGTACATCCGCACTTCGCAGTCCTCGCTACCGGTAGCAAATCGACTGTCACCCAGCCCAATGCACGTCACAGGCCCAGAATGACCCGTAAACGTACGCTCACACTTGCCGGTGCGCGGATCCCAGATCTTAACCATCCGATCTTCGGCCCCGGACACAATCCGGAGCGTATCGGCTCCCAGAGCCCACACGCCCTCCAGATGTCCGAAGAACGTACGCAGGCATCGGCCGGTGCTAATCTCCCACAGGCGAATCGTCGAGTCCAACGCACTAGTCACAATGTAGCGAGGAGGTGCCGGCCGGCCAGCCTCGAAGGAAGGACCGAACGGCGAGTTTTGTGAAATCACCGCGTTCGACTCGAGGCCAAGCGTTGCCTGAAGAGAGGCAGGCTCGGTATCCCCCGAGACCGTACTGAGGTTGTCATTCTCGCACTCCACATCATGCTCCTCGAATTCGAATTCCCGGGGCAGAGGGATCACCTGTTGGACCTGTCCCACATGTCCATGGAACGTGCGGATGCAGGTCTTGGTATCCAGATCCCAAAGCCGAGCCGTACAGTCATCCGAGGCCGAAAATACCGTGCGAGAAGCAGTATCCACCCGGACAGCGTTGACCCAGTCGGTGTGGCCGCGCAAGAGACATGTCGACTTGTCCTCAAAGTTCCAGATCTTCACGGTCTTGTCCACCGACGCGGATGCAAGAATGCTGGCGTCGAAATGCAGCCCGATCACGCCGCCACGGTGACCAGTATAAGTCGAGATACACTCGCCGGTGCGCCAGTTCCACACCTTCAGGCTGCGGTCCATACTGCCGCTGATCAACTTGGTGTCATCAAACTGCAGGCAGCGTATTCCCGATTCGTGTCCTCGAAGAGTCCGGAGCTCCTGGCCCGTTTCGGTATCCCAAATCTTGATGGTGGCATCGTAAGATCCGGTGGCCAGGATGTTGTCCTCAAACTGCAGGCACATGACGCCATTGGTGTGGCCCTTGAAGGTTTGGATGGAACACCGGCCATACTTCCAGTTCGTGCCCACCTTGAACCGATCCTTGTACACCTCTTTCCAGGGTCGGTATCGGGTCTTGAAATAATCCTCATTGCCTTCCGAGAGCCCGCCTAGCGACTGACAATGGCGCTTGATCATGGCGGTCTCTTCGTCGCTTGGCTCAGGTTTCCGTTTGCCTAAGCTGGAGCTCTCGACCGCGGGCGACGCACCTTCGGTGAGCGCAGGAGTCGGGCTCGGTGACGGCCCTTTCATGTCCCAGGTTGTGGCGCGTAGTTCGATCTCGCGCTTGGATTCGCGAAGCCTCTTGCGGTCGAGAAGGGGAAGGCCCCAGCCACATTTCTTGCACTTGCGGTGAATATGCTGCTCACACATCCGATGCCAGACCACATCATCATCCGCCAATGCCCGCCAGCGTCGCGAAACCTGCGCAGCCTTGCACAGCGAGGTCGTGTCCAGGTAGCAGAGAATTTTGAAAGAAATCTCCGGAGGAAGGGCAGCGATGAAATCGATTCGGATCAGGTCGCGCACCGTGGTGGAGATGAACGAGAGCTGAGGGAAGCAGCATTGGGCCATAATTCCCTGAAGGATGAGTTTTCGATGCTTCGCTGGGGCGGCGGAGAAGAGCGACCAGACATGCGCAATGCCCTGCTGGTCGCTCTGGGGGAGCGATTCCAACTCCTGTGGAAACCCTGTTAGTCCCCGACAGATAGTGGCACCCAATGTCCCCTTCGTGTTTTCCAAGAGGAGGCCACTCCAAGTACCTACCCGTTGCAATTTGTCCATTGAAGGTTCGTCGGCCTGCCGTCGACACTTGCGGTCTGGCCTATGTCGATAACAATAGCGGGAATTGGCGCTGCTCAGCTCGGTAGGATCCCGATTTTGTGATCCCAAGGGGGCGTATTGGTCGGGGACGTGTTTGGCGAGGAAAGGGGCGACACTTTTGCCCACCAGCTTCGCCGAAGTTGCTGTTACGTTGCTGTGACTGTGGGGCGGCAGTTGACTATGCGCGGCATCGGCATCGATCTCCTCCACAACCTCAGCTGAACCACCGAAGATCGACGTAAAGGAGGGGGGTGCGGCTACTGCCATTTCCTCCTTCGACTGTGTGCTTTCCATTGCGTTGAATGAAGAATCGGTTGAGTTCAACACGCGGCGGCAGTCCAAAGTTGTGCCCTGGAACCGCAGCGCCCGCTACTCGCCCGCTAGCGTGGCCTCGGTTATCTAAGGCAGTTCGCGGTGGTGGTGATAGCACAGGCGTGATTGAATTCAAACGGCTTCAGGTAATCTTTCAAAGTATATAGGCTGGTCGCAGAAAAGTAGAGAATGTGGCGATGAAGTAGTTGTCTCGTGAGGACCCTTGTGGAGGAGGACTGGTGGGTTGGTCACGAGAGGGGCGGAGGACGAAGGACGGGAGACGGAGAGCGGGAGACGGTCGCAACTAGAGGCGATTCGTAGATAGTAGATGGTGGTCGGTAGGCATAGAAAACATTTAGAACAATCGGAACTTGATGCTGGGCCAGCCAAACTCAAGCGCCGCGACAGGGCGATCCGGCGTATATGTATGCTCCGCGACGATCACGAAATGAATAGCCGAAGAAAACAAAAAAAAAAGGTGGTCAAGAGGCGAAGTGATCACGCAAAGGCAGTGAATCGTCTCGTGCTGGGCGGCCATTGGGTCCCGTCACGTGCAAGCGATGGCGCCATCGGAGGCCGCCTTCGCAACATCCCATTCCCCGGGCCCTCCAGCGATCATCACCTACCACCACCACCACCACCACCACCACCACCACCACCACCACTGCGAACTATTGCCGTCTGTCGCCATCGCTGGGGCCGATTGCGGATCCCCCAAGTGTCCCAACACTGAGTCAAGACGCTTTCTCCAGAGGATTGTCGCTTAGCTTCTCAGTAGTCTCAAGTCGGCCTGGGGTCAAGCTGCACCTCGGAAACCCGACCCTCAATGGCCGCCCGGGCACGCTAAGGTCTCGCCTGCCTAGCTCCAGCTCCGTCCTCTATCCTCTCCTCCACCCGCATAATTTCCAGGTCTCTGTTCTTCTAGGCCCTGCTGCGAGGCCCAATTGCTCCGTCCAGGTATCTTGATCCCCCATCTGGCCTCCAATCCCGGGATGGCATTGCCCCCCGATCCCGTCCAGTTCCGTGTCATGTTCCACTGAGAGGCAGCCAGCCAGGTCAGTGCTCGGTACTCCCCTCTTGTTTCCATCCCTCTTCCTCAATGCCTCTGCAGCCTTCCTTGTTTGCTTGTTTGCTGCTGCAGGTGGTAAGACAAGACGCACGGTCTACGGAGACTTACACACCTGTTACCTTACTAGGCCTGTTGACCAGTCGCCTGAAAACTCACCGCCATCTCCCTTTTTTGAGCAGGTCCTCGTCGATCGCACGTGAAACGGAGGGATTGATGAAATCAAAACATCTAGCAGGATCAGCCAGAACCATTACGGTCTCATGAGGTGATTACGCGCTAAATTTATGACTTTTCACGACATTCCTCCGTAACGTTTCTTCGAAACCTACTCCTTCCGGCCATCGAATGAATCGCCATCAATATCCGCATCCGGGTGTTTCATTGGGCATTGAATCATTCGGTCAGGCTATCACGCCAGCGTTCCTTCCTTTTCTATAGTGTCTGATTAGCACCAAGTCCACCGACCCCTTGTCGAGAATGTCGGCGTCTGAATCCTCTTCGGTTTCGAGTGATGCCTCGGTCCCGGGCGACCCGGTGGAAGAACAGGGAAGCTCACTCCCTCAACTGGAGGTCCTTATCTCTCACCTGGTCGCCGCGAAGCGATCTTTGTCATCCATCACTCACGTGTGGCGTGCCAATGAGATTGTTACATCTGCTCGCTCCGCACTGGAAGAAAGTGTCGTGATTTCCGCACGGACGGGCTTTCTCCGGCGCGGGCTCAACAATCAGCTGCGGCTACTATACAGTGTCCGGTCTGAAGTCGAGGAAGTTTCACTCAGGGGTCGATCCGAATTTGCCAGTGTGCTGAAAAGCCTCGACTCGGCCGATGCCCGATTAAGAAAGACCCTGGATTTACTACGTGAAACCATAGTCCACTCTTCATTCCGTCCCGATGGAGAACAGCCCAAAAGCTTACATGATTTTGTGGATGAGCGGGGTGTAGAGGAGCTTCATGCATCTTTGAAGAGCGCAATCGACCGTACCAATGCTGCACGGGCGGAATTGGATTCCTCCAATCTCGCTTTTGACGATGAACTCGACTCCATCAAGAAAGCATTGGGCACGTATCGGGAAGCTACCAAGTTGGCCTCTTCTCGATCGTCGGCCTCTTCGTCTTCATCCACGTCCAACTCGAACCTGCCTTCGCTGTCATCGATGCCATCCATGTTACATTCATTGGAGATGCATGCGCAGGAAATGGCTAACCTACTAGAGTCCTTGGTCCGCCACTTCGACCTGTGTGTAACCGCTGTCAAGCATACTGAAGGCGGCGGAGCTGCCGCGCAATCCATCACGGGCGACATGCCCGCTGCGGTCACCGTCAGTGGGCCTGGAGTGCTCAACATCGAAGAAGGCATCAATGCCAATCTGAACGCTCCACTGGACCCCTTGAGCGAGTCCGACTATCAAGAAATGGTAAATGTTTTGATCAAGGATGCCGCGGAGGCAGAAGACGTGGTGATGGAAATCCAAGACCGCATTGGCGACATGGAATCGGTCCTGGAGAATGTCCTGTCTCAACGGGATATCCTCCTGTCTGTCTACAATGCCACGACGGGCGTTTTCAAACATCTATCGTCTCTTGCATCTGCACGCTTACCTGGCTATATTGCTCAGGCACATAGCTTCACGCGCGTATGGAACGAAGAGCACGAATGCATTGACGGTGGGTTAGCGGACCTTTCCGATCTCAATTCCCTGTATGATGGGTTTTTGGAGGCCTACGATGGCCTGATTGTGGAGGTAACGCGCCGGCGGCATGTGCGGCATCGTGTGGAGAAGGTGCTCCGCGACGCTAAACACAAGTTGGACCAGCTGTATGAGGAAGATGTCAATGCCCGTGAAACCTTCCGGGTGGAGCAAGGCGACTATCTGCCGTCTGACATCTGGCCAGGTATTGGCCGTGAGCCGATGCGAATAGAATTTCGACGCATATCCGGTGGCAACCTCAAGGGGGTCACTGCAGAGCCGCTGGATGGACAAGACCAGCCAGCTGCCGAGCCCCATGAGCCGCCAGCCCCTGTGGAGGACAACCCCGAGGAGGGCGAGGTTATTCCTAATCTACCCAAATCGCTTGTTGAAGGGGCTCTCAATCGGCTGCAGGCCAGGCGCAGAACAGCCACGTAGCATTGGTGACCTTGTAACTTTCGTCAGCCTCAGGTTACAGCTTGGATGCAATTTGTGTGGGAACATGCTATATAGTCGATGACCTAGGTGATGAAATCTAAGGCTAGTCCTGTCTGATACAGGCTATACCTATCTAAATACCATCCAGGGTGGACATGATTCCATTTGACGCATACTCCAGCGCATCATCATGATTCGCTCGGATGTAAGTGCTGATGGGTCCATCCTGGTAGTAGGTGGCCTGGAATGAGGATCAAAGAGAGCTCTGATAGGTCTTGGCCTCCATGTGAGCTGTGCATGTCTTGTTCGGCCTGATCTAGATAGATATTATCTTGCATCAAAACTGCGAACTTCAGGATGTCTTGGACTAGATATTCTTTCAAGTCTAGTAATCAGACTCATATGGACTTCAATATCAAATGCTTCTAGGATACTAGAATCCGTCGTGCTATTACTGGGACCAGCAATTTACTGTGGATAATTTCCACTACACACTGCGGAGTTCAAGGGTCGAATATACTATTCTTCTTTCTCTTGGGCTCGAATCTTATCCCATTTACCGACATTGTATGTCTGCATTGACTTCACGAACGCTAGATACGAATCAATCTAACGTGAAAAGGAGAAAAGGAAGGTGTATTCATCGGAGCTACATGCTTGCGTATAGAACGAGGAGAGGTTCACCACGGCCGGGTGGTGCTGGCCATGGTCAACACCGCGTGCCTCAGGCAAGTAGCGGCCCACTCCAAGCGCTCTCTAGTATGTACTTACTAGTTTATCTCCCCGCGGGTTAGGGCGACGGGTAGTAAAGATAGATGCCGCCCAAGTCTCGGGCCAATCTTTCGTGTCGGGCATCTTGGCATCATTAGTATCAGCCTGAGGCTATGTTCGCTCGATGATATATCTATCTATGTTGCTTGGTTTATCACCGGGACTGATTGAGGCGGAGGAGCAATACTTACTCGGATGTCTTACATGGAATCCGCACAGCCTGGTGGCATCGGTACGAGGCCTACTAATGAAGCGCCTGCCTATTGTTGGTGGCCTTGCTACCTGGATGCATCGGGAGGAAGTCACCCGTTACTGCGACGGGATTCTGCACCAATAAGCTGGAGCTGGAGCTGTCGGCAGGCCACATGATTGGATCAACAAGCCGACTAAGGTATTCAGGAGGAGGCTCAAGGTAGGACTATGAAACTGAAGGTCAGTGAAGACGTGGGGGGGGGTATCGCCTCCAGCTCACTCTTCCATTTCTATTTTTGGTACTCTGCCGGATGAGTCCAATCATGTCCTCCGGCACTTGCGGATCTCCCTGACATCCCCAGACCTCAGTTTCTTCGGTGCCTAGGCGGATTCAGTCGGTGTGGAAGCGCCGGGGCGTGTGGGCACGCCCGGGCGACGCGACTCATCGGTAGACAACAAATCATTCAGTCCTCGTCGCCTCGTTGCTTGCGTAGGTTTCTATGAAACGACCGCACACAGCCCAAGTGGCGATGCAAGTGAGCACCGTCGTTCGGTGGTGAGTTGGGTAACAATTCCTCCTCCTGCATAACGAGATCCTCCCAACAAGGCTCATAATCAAATCTATTTATGAGCCAAACCAGCCAACCCCTTCTCCATCATGAGCAACTCTCGACTGGGGAAGTTCATTCTACCGAACTCTAGGTAGACTTTTCATCATGGCCGAGATCATCTCACTCATCGTTGCGACCGTGGAGCTGTCCCACGGCATCCTTGAAGTTATACAGTCTATTTCCTCCATCCGACAGGAGATCCAAAGGAGCATTCAGGAGGCGGAGTTGGTGGGCATGTTTTTGAACCAGTTGGTTGACATCCTGAAGGACTCCCATCCCTCTTACGTCCCACAGATGCTGCCGTGCGCGCTCTGGATCGCCACGGACTGCTCCCAGACGTGCACCAAACTGAGGGACGTCGCCAACGCTATGGAAGCCAGGCGGCTAATGCGCATAATAAAGCATAGGAGGCTGCATCGAATCCAGGCCGAACTGGAACACCAGAGGTCCATGTTGCATTTCACCGTCACCATGCTACCTCTCATGAAAGGTTCACCGGGGTGAGTCTCTGACTGAGTCGCACCTTACCAACAATGGCTAGCACTGACTCTTTTTCTCCCCAGAGGCTATTCAAATACTCGTCGCGATAGCATTGCAGAGCTAGACTCGGCCAATGTCGCCATCCTCATCCACCAGGCCGAGAATATGGGATCTCGTCGGCTAGAAGCAGAAGCAGAAGCGGATGATGATGAGCCAGTGGAAGATTCCAGCTCCAGCTCCAGCTCACCCTCTGGATCAATCTTAGGAACTACGACCGAAGTCTCAGACTCAGAGGATGGCACCGGGCTTATCCCATTTCCTACGGACCCCTCCCGCAGTGGCGCACTTTTGCGCATTCAGGGCCAACAACCGATGGCTGGACCATCGTCAGCCCCAACTCGCTCTCAGTGGATGCACGCGCTCGTAGCATTCTTGGCCGCTATCTGGAGAGAAACCTCCGCTGGAAACCTGCTTTACGGCCCCTCCTTTCCCATGGACAGCCGCCTGCGGCTTCGGAACCAGACCCAACCCCAGCCCCAGCCTCAGCCCCCAAGTGCCGGAGTGAATCCTTTCCCTGAGCATCCTAGCGACAGCCACACTACGGACCTACTGACCTCAGTACGCCACAGTGTTATGTCCTTTCATGGTGCCCAGCCGGGCAATGGAGCCTACGGTTCTGCTACCCGGCGGGATCCTGCGGATCCTGCATCAAGATACAGGCCGCGGCAGCCGCCCATCATGCGCGTCCCCGCCCTTTGGCAAACCCACGCTTCCGCTTGGACACCAGACTATTCCGACTCATTCTCCGTTCCCAGACCCTCACAGCCGGAGTCACCACTGTCCAGTGGGAGCCTCGCCCATGCCCACTCTCCGATCCGCTGGGAGACACGACAGAAAACGCACAACCAAACGGTTTTTACATCCTACGTGGACGACAGAATGGTGTCACGAATGCAATATCCCTGGGACGATCTCGTGCTGGGCAAAGTGTGGACCACGCTTCGACGGCACTCGGTCAACCGAGATGCCCTGCAGCGGTATGGCTTTGAGTTTCAGGAGGCTGGAAGTTATGTGCATGTGTTTGCGAAGCTGGACTGGGTAAGGCCTCTAGCCGTCTCTGAACCGTCGCAATGACCTTGACTTATTTTGGTGTAGAGCCAGGTGCAGAGAATCTTATAGCCCGCGGAGCGGGAATTTAATGACATGAACCGTGGTGTCCACCATAGCTGGCCCTTTGGACAAGGGTGACTGGATCAGGCCATCCAGTTTACCAAGGACTAATGAATGACGAAGGACTAATGAATGATTTCGGCACGATCATCTGGTTTTAATGTAACTATTATCAGGCGGTAGTATATCAATTAGCGAAGTGCTCCCGGTTTAGAGCACAAGTCTACGTGGATTTCTTCAATTGTTCAGCATACCCATTCCGTGCTGGATATAACATGCTGAGGCATGGACATTTGCACCTCAACGCTTGAACACAGCCAATCCGCGGCATTAACGATGAGATCTGGTTCGTTTCCCCCGAAAGAGAAAAACCAGACCCAAGACTCCATGACCATGTGATTACACCTGATACCCATCTAAGACCCACCGTCCAGCGAGGCCATGGAAGTGGTCAGTCAGCAGGTTCGTTCTCATTTCGAGCGTGTCAAGATGCTTCACACCACAAGTCAGTACAGTCAGTCAGTTTTCCACCCTCCCTCTATCAAGAGTACCAACCCACCCCCACCCCCTATCCATGCATAACGACAACAATCCCTAATGTCCCAATCTACAAAGTACAAACTTCATTCACTAAGACCCACCCTTTCCCCCATCCCCTCCTCCTCTTCCCCGACAATGACACATTCCCCACCATCAACCCCGAGCACCGGCTATCTACAGGCAGGTCGAGTTGCAGAACCGTGTCAGTCCCTGGTGAGTGGAAGTAAGGACAACCGTACAAGTATAGGGCGGTATCTGATTGACGTATTTGGGGGTTGTTTGCTATGTATCATGGCTGGGCTAGCAAATGGGCCAGCCGAGCAGAGCGCCACGTTAGACGTGTGCTCTGCAGTTCTATGGGCAGTGATTCCGCGAATCCCATTCCCTCGATAAGCATCGCATCCAACGCCATCCATCCTTCAGGCTTAGATGCAACATCATCAGCCCGACATATGAGGCCTCGTAGTCAACAAAATCGGTGAACCTGCACTGGATAGGTCCAGGTTCATCCCACACAAACCAAGAAGTCCCCGAGAAAGTCCACGACGTAAGGTGAAAAAGTAAGCACTAAGCACATGCATAACCCTCCGCGGTGCGGATCTGCAGCGCTAAAGTGGCGGCAGATCCCCGAGTATCCCGAGCTAGTGGGCCTTGTTTGGACAGCTTTGCTTGATGCTTGAAGGAGAAGTTGAAGCTGACGGGATTTTGCAGACCTAGACGGCGACATAGACACCGAAGAGGGCTTTTGTGGCTTTTTTCCACTTCGGCTTGCTTTGGCGCAAGCTGCTTGTATGGTGGTACTGGGTGGGTTGGTGTGTGTCACAGTGGTAAACAGGTTAAGCACCAGAATATATAATTAGCGGTGGAGTCATTCTTGGGTGTCGTACTTCCTATACAATTATAGTCCTGTTTCCTTTTTCATCATCCTTCAGTGTACCCGGGTAGTTAGTCGTTCCTCATTCACTCATCGATACATACTTAGTACGTGGGGGTGGTGATGTGCTTTTTCTGATCAGAGGGGAGGAAGAGGCGGAGCCCGTCGTGGGGTTCTTTTGTTCCCGAACAGGAGCACAACTTCTAAGCGGCCACATCGTGGCTACTAGCATCTATCTCCTCTCTTTCTAAGAAGTAAAACAACGCATTGGAAGGAGGGCTAATCCTTCGGGGTCTGAACATGTACGTATCTAGCTTCATACGGATCTGACTTCATCCTTCGATAAAGGCCCTGCGTTTGGTTGTTCGGTATAGCCTCTGACAAAGTATCTGCTGACCAGGGGTGTGGATGGCAAAGAGGGAGAACTTGCTTTGGTGCCCTTACTGAACTGCCTGAAAATATTGGTATAGAGATGGTCTTTGGCCACCACAACATTTAAAAGAGGAAGGAAAAAAGACCTATGTATCTCAGATTCACCACTCCATATGCAGGTCTATATGCTCATAGAATCGATATATATGCATCCAACCATAACCAATCAAGTAGGCAACCCAGTCATAAAACATCATGAGATCGTGCGCATCCGAACCAACTTTTATTGTTTCCCAAGCCCAAAACATCCAAGATCTTCAAAGCGAAAGAGAATAGGTATCAAGTATGATCAATGGATGGATCATTTCTTCTTCCTCGCGGAAGAAGAAACCAGGCGTTTCTTCATGTGTTTGGGCATCTTGTTGGCGCGCTTCTCCCGCTTCTCTTCCTTGACCTTTTGCTTGTGGTCGCGCTTCTCGTCCTTGTCTTCGAAACGCTTACCCCGGGGGGCCTTCTTCGCGAAGGGGTCCTGCTCGCCTTGCTCTTCCGAGTCGGAGCCTTCCACGGACACGCCGCCGCTGATGTCGGAGCCGGCCTCCTCGTCGTCGGTGTGGGTAGAAGGCTTCCCGCCTGCGAGAAGGTTCTGGTAAACGAGGTCAGCGCCCTTGCCGGCGCGGACTTGCTCGGCGTCACGCTCGACATCGTACACCTGCTCCAGGGTTTGGGGAATGTATTGTTGACGGAACACAGCAGCATCGACGTCGTCCTCGCCCTGTTGCTCGCCTTCGGCCTTCTCGGCGCGCGTGGCGAAGAGGTGCTCGACGGCCTCGAGCATCGGCTCGGCCGGGGTGACGGTGGTCGGGCCGTCGGCGGAAATGATGAATTCGAAAACAGCACGTTCGGAAAGGACGTCGACATTCTTGCGGCGGAAGAAGTCGCTGATGTTCTTGATGTCCATACGCAGGAACTCCAAACTGCGGGGGTGGTCGTGCTCCACACTCTGACTGACATCGATGATGTGGAGCTTGTTCTTGTGGTAAAGCATGTTGTACTCGCTCAGATCGGCGTGGACCAGGTGGCAGGTTTGGTACATCACGCGCATGTACCCGAGCAGTTCCAAGTAGATCTCGCGCCATTTGGCCTCCGGCTCCGGGACGTTGAATTCGACGTCCTTGAGACGGGGAGCGGCAATACCCTTCGAATTTCCCACGAAGCCCATCACCAGGACATGGAGACGCAGGTGGATGGGTTCGGGACACGGGATGCCGGCCGCGTAGATTCGGCGCAAGTTACGCATTTCCTTCTCAGCCCACAGCTTGACCATCGCGCGGTTGTTGCTCTTGCTGTAACCTTGTCTGAAACGGAATTCACCCGTCACATATTTGTCGCGGTCCTTGAAGACCAGAATACTCGTCTTGTAGACCTTGATGGCGCGGTGCAGAGGGGTGTCCTCGTTCTCAGGGTAGGAGATGGAGTAGTAGACGTTGGCCTCTTTACCCGTCGACAGACATCCGTGGATCTCGGAGACAATCTCGCGGTTGATCATCTGAAGCAGGATCATACGGGTGCGGGGATCCAGCACCTGCTCGGAGGTGGCGCGGTCGGCCCTGTCACCACCGCGATCACCTCGGGTCGCGAGGCCGGATTGCATATCGTCGAGTTTGATCTTGTTCGCATGCTTCGTCAAAGACTTGACCTGATCGTCCACCGAGGCGCGGGTGTTCACCACCGGTTTCTGTGTGTTGGTCTTCGGGTACGTCCATTTGGGAGCACTGGGGTCGGCAGCCAGCTCGTTCGTTTTGCGCTGGCGGTTGTAGGATTTGGTGAGATCGGCGGGATTGGATGAGTTGAAATCCTCCTCGTCGAGTTCTTCCTCGAAGATATCATCGTAGTAGTCATCGTCCTCCTCCTGGTCTTCCTGCGCCGCAGAGTCTTGCCCCGCCATGGTGGGGAGGGAGCCGTCTGGGTTCACATAACCCTGGTTGGGGATGTAGGTGTGCGTCGGATCCTGACCATCTGCCAAGCCCGAGGCTTGCGCATCAGCGTTTGAAGCTGCCATGGCTGAACTGATGGTTGGGAATGCTGAGTGTGCTAGAAAGCGAGTGAACAATTAATTGAAAAAAATGGGTACCTTTGGGCGCGGGCCCATCCAGGCCCTCACCGCCCGGCAGAACCCCGCGGCTCCCCAACGCGTGCAAGAACCGGGCGGATGGCCTACGCGTGGTCCCGGTCAGCTTCGTCGCATGTCCAGCATCGACCCAGCAACTTCCGTGCGGCCTTCTCCCCTCGCCGCCTGCTACCTCCAGTCAGGGCCGAGGCTCCTGATCCTTTCCCACCCCGGGCGCGTGATGACTTGGCTGTTGTTGTGATTAACCCCGATCCCTCGTGTCGCGCGTGCCTCGTCAAGATGTACGTTAAACAGATTATCATCCAAGGCTTCAAAAGGTGTGTTGCAAATGGGTACCGATAATGGGTGGCGCATAGTATTGATTGCAATCGCTTCATAGCTACAAGGACCAGACCGTCATCGAACCCTTCTCTCCGAAGCACAATGTTATCGTTGGTCGCAATGGTTCCGGAAAGAGTAACTTCTTCGCGGCCATTCGCTTCGTCCTCAGCGATGCCTACACCCACCTGGGCCGAGAGGAACGCCAGGCCCTTCTTCATGTGCGTATCCGCCGCAAGAGCCACCGCTTAGAGACTTACAAATGGATAGGAAGGTTCCGGGTCTGCTGTGATGTCGGCCTATGTTGAGATCATCTTTGACAACTCCGACGATCGGTTCCCCACTGGCAAGCCGGAAGTGGTCCTTCGCCGGACCATAGGATTGAAGAAGGATGAATACACTCTTGATCGCAAGAACGCGACCAAGTCCGATGTCATGAACTTGCTCGAGTCCGCCGGGTTTTCGCGATCGAACCCCTACTACATTGTGCCGCAGGGTCGAGTGACGGCGCTGACCAACATGAAAGATTCGGAGCGTCTGAACCTGCTGAAGGAGGTCGCGGGAACGCAGGTATATGAAGCGCGCCGCGCGGAGTCTCTGAAGATCATGCATGAAACGAACAACAAGCGAGCCAAAATTGACGAACTATTGGACTTTATCAACGAGCGTCTTGCGGAACTGGAGGAGGAGAAGGATGAGCTAAGGAATTACCAGGATAAGGACAAAGAGCGCCGATGCTTGGAATATACGATCTACTCTCGCGAACAACAAGAAATCTCCAGTTTCTTGGACAGCCTTGAAGAACAGAGGCAGACGGGTGTCGAGGATACAGACCTTAACCGTGACCGCTTCATTCAAGGAGAGAAGGAAATGGCCCAGATCGATGCCGAGATTGCAGAATGCAAGCAGCAGATTGAGTTCTTGAAGGTGGACAAGGCACAGCTGGAGGATGAGCGTCGTGAAGCCTCTAAGGCTCTTGCGCAGGTAGAGCTGCAGGCCAAGTCGCTCTCGGATAACCAAGTCGCCGCTCAAGCCTCGAAACTCCGCCGCGACGAGGATCTGAAGACGGTGCAGAGTGCGATTCAAGAACGTGAGGCAGAACTGCAAGAGCTTATGCCTCAGTTCAATGCCGCGAAAGGCCAGGAAGAGGCTGTCAAGTCACAGCTTACGGAAGCAGAGACTGCGCGCCAACGGCTATACGCCAAGCAGGGCCGTAACTCTCGTTTCAGGAACAAGAGCGAACGTGACAAGTGGCTGCAAGCAGAAATCAGGGACAACTATGCCTCTATTTCCAATGTGCAGGGAGTGATGGCGCAGACCCAAGAAGACATCAAGGAGCTTGAAAACGAGATTGCGCTTTTGGAGCCGGAGGCCGAACTTTTGCGCAAGCAGATCGATGGCAGAGGCGATACTATTCACTCTGTCGAGCAGCAAGTTCAGTCTGCCAAGGATGAGAGAGACCGGTTAATGGACCAGAGGAAGTACGTACTGCAGCGATCTAGTAATCCTTTGTGCTGTTGCTGACAATGTGTTAGGGAGCTTTGGAGAGAAGAAGCTAAACTGGACTCAATCTTGTCGAATGCCTCCAACGAAGTGGAACGTGCCGAGCGCAATCTGTCCCAGATGATGGACCACAACACGAGCCGCGGTATCGCAGCCGTTCGCAGAATCAAGCGCCAGTACAACCTCGAGGGAGTTTATGGTACGCTCGCTGAGCTGTTCGAAGTCAGTGATCGGTACCGGACCTCCGTCGAAGTCACAGCGGGTCAAAGTCTGTTCCACTATGTGGTCGACACGGACGAAACCGCCACCAAAGTGCTTGAGATCCTCCAGCATGAGAAGGCGGGCCGAGTTACATTCATGCCTTTGAACAGACTCCGGTCTAAGCCGATCAACATGCCTAGAGCAAGCGACACGATTCCCATGATTGAAAAGCTCCAGTATGACAACAAGTATGAGAAAGCATTCGTCCATGTCTTTGGCAAGACTATCATCTGCCCGAACCTGCAGGTCGCTTCGCAATATGCCCGGAGTCACGGTGTCAACGCCATTACCCCGGAGGGAGATCGTTCGGATAAGAGAGGTGCTCTCACTGGTGGTTTCCACGATTCGCGTCAGTCACGTCTCGACGCGGTGAAGAACCTGGCGAAGTGGAGGGATGAGTATGAGACCAAGAAGAACCGTGGAACCGAGATCAGAAAGGAGCTTGAAAAACTAGACCAGCTCATTACAAGGTCCGTTGGTGAGCTTCAAAAGTTGGAGCAACAGAGACACCAGGTGCAAAACAGCAGTGGACCGATGCGACAAGAGCTACGGGCCAAGCGTGATCTTCTCCAGAAGAAGAACGACGATCTTGAGGCTAAGCGGCGAGCGATTCGCAATATCGAGAGCAACCTGGCAGCTTTGACCGATCAAGTCAACGCCTTTGAGGCGGAGTTGTCCTCGGCATTCCAGAAAGCGCTGAGCAACGAGGAAGAGGCGCGCTTGGAGACTCTCAACAATACAGCCCAAGACCTCCGGCGTCAATACCAGGAGCTTTCCAGCCAACGTAGTGAGCTGGAAGCCAGGAAGTCCGTCCTGGAGGTGGAATTGCGGGAGAACCTGAACCCCCGCCTTGACCAACTTGTCGGCCAGGACATTGACTTGGCGGACGACGACAGCCAAGGCAACTTGAAGGAGACCCAGCGGGAGATGAAGCGCCTCAACAAGGCGTTGGAGAAACTGGGCCAGCGTCTCCAGCAGGTTGATGACTCCATCGAGCAAGCTAACGCGCGTGTGGGTGACCTCCAGCAAAGAAACGCAGAGACCCGGCGAGAACTGGAAGAACTGGCCAAGTCGATCGAGAAGCACCAGCGGCGCATGGAAAAGAGCATGCAGAAGAAGGCTGCATTGACCAAGCAAGCCGCCGAATGTGCGGCCAACATCCGTGACCTGGGAGTCCTCCCCGACGAGGCGTTCACCAAATACAAGAACACCGACTCCAACGCCGTCGTCAAGAAGCTCCACAAGGTCAACGAGAGTCTCAAAAAGTACTCTCACGTCAACAAGAAGGCGTTCGAGCAGTACAACAGCTTCACCAAGCAGCGAGAGACCCTGACCAGCCGACGAGAAGAACTCGAAGCGTCGGAGAAATCCATCGACGATCTCATCAACGTGCTCGATCAACGCAAGGACGAGGCCATCGAGCGAACCTTCAAGCAAGTCTCCCGCGAGTTTGCCAATGTCTTCGAGAAGCTCGTCCCCGCTGGCCGTGGACGCCTGATCATCCAGCGCAAGACGGACCGGGCCCTTCGCCAGGCAGATGAGCTCGAGTCCGAGGACGAAGAGGCCCGCGAAAGCGTCGAAAACTACGTCGGGGTGGGCATCAGCGTCAGCTTCAACAGCAAACACGACGAACAGCAACGTATCCAGCAGCTCAGTGGAGGGCAAAAGAGTGAGTCTCTCCATTTCCACCACCCTTCCAATTCCAATTACCACCCTACTTACCCAATCAACCTAGGTCTTTGCGCCCTCGCATTAGTATTTGCCATCCAAGCATGCGATCCCGCACCTTTCTACCTCTTCGATGAGATCGACGCCAACCTGGACGCACAATACCGCACGGCAGTTGCGCAGATGCTCAAGTCGATCTCCGACTCGACCAACGGCCAATTCATCTGCACCACGTTCCGACCGGAGATGTTGCACGTGGCGGAGAAGTGCTACGGGGTGAGTTTCCGACAGAAGGCTAGTACGATTGATGTGGTGTCGCGCGAAGAGGCGTTGAAGTTTGTGGAGGAGCAGAAGTCGTAAACTACGTGTGGTACTCGTGTTGATGTTGCTACCTGATAATGAACGGATGGGCAGGCGTATGGACCTTACTTACTGTTATTTATCTGCATTCGATTTGCTTTGTACCTTAAGATCGTTGATCGAAGATTCCCATCTTATGTCTTGTCTTGTTTCTATGGATTCGAGCCTGTAGTACTTTCTCCTCATCACCACTCCCTCTACCTATCTCAACACCAAGACTAATTAATGTCTCGTCTCCCCCTCCCCCGTCCACTCGACCAGAATCCTCTCCGGCACATCCCGAACCAGCACATGAATATGTTCCAAACTCCTGACACTCTGCAACGCCGTCCAATTCTTGAACCAGAGGACCTGGTCTTTTGCCTTTGCCTTTGCCACCCCCTCCCCTTCCCCATTTACATCTGTAATCTCCCTCACCAACCTCTCCACAAACACCCTCTGCACAAACCCCTCAATCAACGCCCTCGACTCCTCCGTCACGTCCCCGTTCTCCGGCTTCACAGCCACCGGAGTCCGCAACCACACCACCAGATGCGAGATATCGGGTGTAAGACCGTACGGCCAATCGTTACGCAGGATTTTGTAGTCGTCGGGATGGGCGAAGGGGATGGGGTTGGTGTAGGGGAAGATGGGGTCTGTGGATGTGGAGGTGGAGGATGTGGATTGGGTGGAGGGGGTGTTGGTGCGGGTGCTGGTGCTGGTACTGCTGCTGGAACTGGAGGACGGGGGAATCTCCCAGCCTAAGCGATGCTGACAGATGTAGTTGGTGATGGTGCCGTATTTCAGTTTGGTTTCGTGGGACCAGGCTAGGTAGCGGGTTAGATCGGAGGGTTTGCGTTTTAGGATGCCGAGATCGTTGCGTGCTATTCCGTTTGTTAGTTTGGTTAGTTGGGAGTATCTGTATGGGATGGGGGGTAAGATTGGGGGTTTGGGGAGGAACAGGAGGGGAAGGTTCAGGTTCAGGGACAGGAATGCGGAACCATCGGGGTAGCAGATGGGAGGGATGGAGATGGGGATGGGGGAGGAGTGGGGAGAGGGGAAGGATGATGTGAGGGGTAAGTACTGTCTAGGTAGACAGAATCGAGGTATGTGGGTGGTATGGAATCACCTACCGATGATGGCTTTCAGATCCTCCCAGTCATGAAGGATGAACTCGTCGTCCGTCAGCGCCAGGACTTGACGATCAACCTCGGTCAGATTGAAGGCGGGGGGTTCCTCGGGCGTCATGCTGTCGTTGGTAGACGGTGGTGGGAAGAGTGCAGTGTAGTAGAGTCGGAATTAAGTGCTAGGCTCCACAAGGGATGAGCTAAAGATCGGAATTCTTGGACGAGATAGGGAAAAGTTCAGGAGGCCCAATCTTGAGAAGAGCGCGGGAATCTTTACCCCAGGAAAGTCATCCTCAACGGGGCTGAATTCCGCGCTGCGTTGGCTGGTCGTCACGGCTGGGCACTGCACTGGGCAGGGTTGCGTAGACACGGGGGCTCCGCACATCGGCGAGGATGGCCGCATCACATGCTGTCTGTTATTCCTTCCTTTACATCGCTAGACAGGATACTGTATCGCTATCTACTAGTACTCCGTATCTACGAAGGGTTCGGTGGATCTTCTCAACAAACTTATCGATAAGCCGGTCTGTCGCCCGATCGGGAGTGTCTTCCCGTGACCGGGACCGAAATTACCGTCACAAAACCCGACTCGGTCTCTCGCCTTCCGCCTCGTCTCCCCTCTCTCCTCTCCTCTTCTTTCACCTCCTCTTCCCCTCCCCTCCCTCCTCTTTCTTTTTCTTTTTCTTTTCTTTTCTTGGTTTCTGGTCTTTTCGCCGATTTTCTAGGGGTCGCTGGAGCAATCGCCAACATGAGGTATGCGCATTCCGTCCTTCCACCGCGATTGAGTCGTGGCTGACAAAGCTGTCGCAACAGTACTTTCTCCCCCGAGAACATCACCGGGGCCTTCATCCCCTCGGCCCTTTTCATTGCCGGAACCTACCTCTTCAAGCAGGAATTGACTCCTTTCGCTGTCGCTATCGCCGCTGTTTTGGTGGGCTACAAGCTGTTCAGCAACAGTGCGTGCCGAATCCTGATCGCATGATTGCCATAATCTGACATTTTTCAGAGCCCAGAAAGGTCCTCAACCCCGGCGAATTCCAGCACTTCACCCTGAAGGAGAAGACCGATATCTCCCACAATGTGACCATCTACCGTTTTGCCCTGCCCCGTCCCACCGACATCCTCGGTCTCCCCATCGGTCAGCACATCTCTCTCGCCGCCACCATTGAGGGTCAGCCTAAGGAGGTTGTGCGCTCCTACACTCCCATCTCTTCCGACAATGAGGCTGGCTACTTCGATCTCCTCGTCAAGGCCTACCCCCAGGGTAATATCTCCAAGTACTTGACCACCCTGCAGGTCGGCCAGACCATGAAGGTCCGTGGCCCCAAGGGCGCCATGGTGTACACTCCCAACTTGTGCCGTCACATCGGTATGATTGCCGGAGGTACTGGTATCACCCCCATGCTCCAGATTGTCAAGGCCATCATCCGCAACCGTCCCCGCAACGGCGGCAACGACACCACCCAGGTGGACCTGATCTTCGCCAACGTCAACCCCGACGACATTCTGCTCAAGGACGAACTCGAGGCATTGGCCAAGGAGGACGACGGCTTCCGCATCTACTATGTTCTCAACAACCCTCCGGAGGGCTGGACTGGCGGTGTCGGTTTCGTCACCCCTGATATGATCAAGGTTCGTGCATCCGAACATGGCTGTCGGGCATTCCCGCTAATCAATTTTTATAGGAGCGTCTCCCTGCCCCTGCCAGTGACATCAAGATCCTGCTCTGCGGTCCTCCCCCCATGGTTAGCGCCATGAAGAAGGCCACCGAGTCTCTCGGATACACGAAGGCCCGTCCCGTCAGCAAGCTCGAGGACCAGGTCTTCTGCTTCTAAGCATGTCAGTGTTTGTTTGGGCGAGTGCGGACGACAGAGACTGTCTCTGCACTAGTTTCGGGATTGATAGATCGTCGATAGAAGCCCGTGAGGCTGACCGTTGGTCGTTGGGTGCTTGATATACGGTGTTATGAGTCAATGCGAGAAGACCAGATCCACTAGGAAGCGGCATGTCACTTGATTAATCGATTAACGTGTCTTGCGCCAGGTGTCTCATAGATATTGTTATTACGTCTAGCCAGACTGCTGTACTTCAATCATTGAGCCCACCATAGCCAGGAATTTTTCTCGGTATTCGTCGGCTGTTGTCGTAATCGTCATAGGACCTTGACGGCCAACGACGTTGAAGGTCTGGATCATTCCAGTCATGGCCTGGGCATGCAGCTTGTGTCTAGCCCAGAAGAAATCCAGCAGCACGGCACGATATTTCCACTTGCCATCGGCGGAGGTCAGACCGAGGCGCCATGAATTCTTCCTGCCAACAACGCCAGGGTCCGAGGAGGCTGGAAACCGCACCAAAAACAGCGAGTAATCCACTGCATTAGACGACTGGAGGAACTCCGTGTCTGCTTCCATGACTTGCTTGAAGAACTCGTACTGCTCGCAAGTCAGCTGGATCTTGTCGTCGAACTGGTCGGCAATCTTGTGCAGCGTCTCTTCGCTGACAAGCGGATCGGGCACCAAATCCCGCTCCGGGTAGAAATAATCGGTCGGTTTCAAGTCATAGGTCTCCCACTTATCGCCGGCGGGGTCATCATCCTTACCGTACAGCACATTGTCCATGATGATGTGATGCGCCGGCGTGCTGCCCAGCAGACTTCCGATGGTCCTATACGGGGCGTAGACATAGTCCGTAATCCATACTAGTAGGGAATCGGCATGACCACTCATGTACTCGTAGTATGGCTCGAGCAAATCGTCGCGGAAGAAGGAATGTTCAAAGTGTCGGGGGAGGCTCTTGACGAGGAACTTGCCATTGGAGGTTCTGAAGAAGGTCTATCAGATGTCAGTCAGTATGCAAAGGTTGGCGACCATATTGAAGGGTTGTACCGATCCGGACAATCCCAGATCGCCCATTGGCTTCAACGGGACGGTCTTTTTCTCATTTCGAAAGCTCGCCTTGTATTCATCTTCGTCGATCTGCCATATTTCACTGCGCAGTCGTCGGAATAGATTGCTGCCATAGCGGAAGAGCTTGATGTAGAAGATGCTGAAGAAGGCTAGAAGCCGTCCGATGAGAGTTTTGCGAAAGGTCGATGGGTCGCGGAACAGGGCGAGTTGGATGGATTTGGATAGAGCGGCCTGGCGACGGCTACCCATTTTCACGGTGGTGTTGATGATACCACATGGTTGTTGGCACGACGTCGTGCTATGTAGGAGGAGGTTGGACGGCTTCTAGCGGGTGACGTCAGGATTGTTGTCCGTCCAAAACAGGCAACCCTGAGACGGTAGGGTTGAGGTCAGGGTTGGACCGATCAGCTGATACAGTCACGTGCCACCATGAGTCAACGCTCACCGCCCAGGCAATATGCGATGCCGAATGGAGGCGAAGCCAGAGAAAATGTTCCCCTCCAAAGCAGAGATTCCCCTCCATTTATGGGTCGTCATCTGGTAAGCGGGGCCCGGCGATTTTCCAACGCCATTTTCCAGACTGTCCAGTCATACAGTCCACAAAATCGCCGCTTTTCCTGCCACCGCGGTGCTCTTTCTTCCCCTCAATTAAATCCCTGGCGCTCGTCTTTTTCCACCGCGACGCTTTATCCGACTCCAGCTGCCGCCATGACGTCCCCTGCCGACCTTGCTGTCTCCGTGGAGGGGCTCAGCATTCAGTCCACCTCCGAGACCTCCAAGTTCCCCAACTGCTTCCCCTCCTTGAACCCCGTCGACATCTACAGAGAGCACATTGCTGAGAAGCTGTCCGAGGCCACCGGTATTGATGCTGAGAAAATCTTCTCCCGTATCGCATGGACGAATTCGTTGGACAAGGGTGACTTGGTGTTGCCGGTATGCATAAAAACAATTGGAATAATTTTATATGCCACGCCCACCACTAATGTAGCGTGATATTCTGTAGGTCCCCTCTCTTCAGATTAAGAAGAACCCCCAGGAGCTGTGCAAGGAACTTGCCGAGAAGTTCCCCGAGTCCGACCTCATCCTCCCCCCTGTGCCCTTCGGTGCCCACCTGCAGTTCTTCTTCAAGCCCGCAGGCATCACCTCCACCGTCATCAGCCGCATTCTGAAGGAGAAGGCGGCTTTCGGTACCAACGGTAACCAGGGTCTCCGTGACCCCGCCGATGCCTCCCAGGGTCGCAAGAAGATCATCGTCGAGTTCTCGTCGCCCAACATCGCCAAGCCCTTCCATGCTGGTCATCTGCGGAGTACCATCATCGGAGGTTTCCTGGCCAACCTCTACACTGTCATGGGATGGGATGTCATCAAGATGAACTACCTCGGTGACTGGGGTAAGCAGTACGGTCTGCTTGCCAACGGCTTCAAGATGTTCGGAAGCGAGGAGGAGCTGACCAAGGACCCTATCAACCACCTGTTCAACGTCTACGTCAAGATCAACAACATTGTTGCGCAGCAGGATGGCCCCATCAAGGAGCTCAAGGAGCAGATCAAGACGAAGAAGGAGGCCGGTGAGGACGTTGCCGAGCTTGAGAAGGAGCTTGCCAAGCTCGTCGATGTTAGTGAGGATGAGAACGCCCGCCGTTACTTCAAGAGCATGGAGGACGGAAACCAGGATGCTCTTGCTCTCTGGCGCCGCTTCCGTGAGCTCAGTATTGAGAAGTACAGGCAGACTTATGCCCGCCTGAACATCGACTTCGACGTCTACTCGGGCGAGTCTCAGATCAAGCAGGAGAGCATGACCTCCGCTTACGAGACCATGGAGAAGGCCGGTGTGTCCGAGGAGTCCGAGGGCGCCGTCATCGTCGACTTCACCAAGCACGGTGCCAAGAAGCTTGGAAAGGCCATCATCATCCGCAAGGACGGCACTCCCCTCTACCTGACCCGTGATATCGGAGCCATCCTGGAGCGTGAGGAGGCCTACAAGTTTGACAAGATGATCTACGTTGTTGCCGCACAGCAGGATCTCCACTTGGCTCAGCTGTTCAAGATCACTGAGCTCATGGGCCACAAGGAGCTGGCCAAGCGCTGCCAGCACATCAACTTCGGTATGGTCCGCGGTATGAGCACCCGTAAGGGTACTGTGAAGTTCTTGGATGACATCCTCGCGGATGTCCGTGACAAGATGCACGAGGTCATGAAGAAGAACACCGAGAAGTACGAGCAGGTGGCCGACCCTGAGCGCACGGCCGACATCCTGGGTATGTCGTCCGTCATGGTGCAGGACATGACTGGCAAGCGGTATGTTCCCCCCCCCATCCTCCACTTATATGCCGGGCCACAGTCCTTGAACCTGTCTAATGGTATTGCAGTATCAACGGCTACGACTTCAACCTGGATGCCATGACCTCGTTCGAGGGTGACACTGGTCCTTACCTGCAGTACGCCCACGCCCGTCTCTGCTCCATTGTCCGCAAGTCCGGCCTCAAGGTTGAGGAGCTTGACACGGCCAACCTGGACCTGCTGACGGAGACCCACGCCACCGATCTGGCTCGTCTGTTGGCCCAGTGGCCCGACGTGCTGCTCAACACGACCAAGACTCTGGAGCCGACCACCATCTTGACCTACCTGTTCCGCATGACCCACGTGCTGAGCTCGAGCTACGACGTGCTCAAGGTGGTGGGCAGTGAGCCGGAGACCAAGAAGGCCCGTATGGCTCTGTACGAGTCGGCTCGCCAGGTGCTGCACAACGGTATGCGCATCTTGGGTCTCAGCCCTGTCAACCGGTATGTTTGCCCGTCTCTCTGCTGAATCTAGCTAACCAGTGTGCAGCATGTAATGGAAGCGAAATAAAAATAAGTTCTGATAGTTTAGACAATACCAAGCATTTCTTTAGCCTAGCGAATTTCCGATGGCTCGTAGTGGTTTCGTCAGGGTTATGCTTGTCGGGAGCCAACTCCGGTGAACTCTACTCGTACTTATGGTCTGCCACGTCTGGATATTTCTATCGCACACACCAACATGGCCATCATGCCGACCGGTAATCATCGAGCATATGTCTCCTGGCGGAGCAAGTTTACCTCCCCTCCATCGACGCAACCCCACGCAACCGTGGCCCCCCACTCAGTCTTCCTCATCACGGAGCTACTAGAAGCCATCCTCCTACACGTCGACCCATTCACACTACTCACCTCCGCCCAACGAGTATGTCACTTCTGGAACACCGTCATCCAACACTCCCACCGCCTCCAGATCGCCCTATTCTTCCAGCCCTCCAACAACTACATCCCCACTCCCCACGAACCATGCTGCCCCGAAAACCCCTTCCTCACAAAACTCTGGTATCCAATCTTCTTCCGACGACACCTGTTCACCCTCTCGTTCCCTCTCCTCGCCAGCCCTCTCACCTCCAAGTTCGTTCCGCACCACATCGACGTGTACCTCCGACGGGAAGCCAGCTGGAGACGCATGCTTGTTTTCCAGCGGCCAGACTTGTATGTCAGGATCCTTGAGCTCAAAAGTGATGGTGTAGAGTTTACCGTTATGAAGGATATTGTGTATCATCCCGCGGAGGGGTTCCCGCGACTGGGGCCTCTGTATGCTTTTGTTCGGAAGAAGTTTTCTTTTACTGCGAGGAGGGTCTTTACGTTGCAGCGTGGGTTTAAGCCGCGGGTTTTGGAGAGGGTTTATTGGGTTGCGCATTGTTGATGTTTGGTGGGTGTCTTGATTATTACTCGCATTGTTGGAAGTATGAGAGTGTGCAAATTGGGAGTAGAAGTAGATGTCTTGGTGAGGTTGGAGTTTTCTGATCGCCTAGGATATTTCTTATTTCCTTTCTTCCGATTATCCCTAGGAGCACGAACTGGACCTGTCAATGAGCTACCGCAGCAAGAGAGCTAATGCATGTAGTAGATAGAATCAGACATCCGATGCCAATTCGCACGGGATACTATTGCGGAGAATCCACTACTCTCGGCTTGTCATACATCTACTACTTGAAATCAAGCCGTAGCTAATCGGATAGCTTTCTATGTCTAGCATATTTTCTTGAATTCACTCAACTAGCAATATTTTTTGAGCGGAATCGGTAGAGATGAGTCCGAAGAACCAAAATGTCAATACAGGAGCTACTGTCACCATGTAAGGTGTCTAAATCCGAGATCCTTATCATTACTATGATTTCTTACTACTATCCAAGATATACTATCGTAAAGATCCTCTTAGTACTAACAACTCAATTTTCTAAGAATAAAAGTCTTCTTTTATCCCCTGAATAACTGAAATCTTCAATTACAAGGCTTAATTCATCATCATATCTGGAATTTTCTACTAGTTATTTCCTTCCTTGTCTGAGACTACTACCTGATTAGATCACTCTATTGTAGACAGCTGGAATATAAGAGAATTTTTATAAATCACTACCACCACTATTCTAATTATTTTTACTCAATTCACTCTCTTCTATTGAATTTACCTCCGTCCAATAACAATTCCATAATTTTTAAAAGTCTATGCTTAGGGGACTTAGCCTAAGAAGATAATATGGAGCTTGGGACGGTTATAGAAGTATTACTAGAAATTGTATCTAGAATCTGGATAAGAGGTTTCAGGGAGAGGCGGTGGAGTTTGTAAATTGGTTGTTTGAGGAGGGTTTGGTGAGAGTCAAAGTCGAGTATAGGATCATGGTTCTGGTATTCTCTCCATTGTTGAAGTGAATCTATATGAAGTTAGTGTACTATTCTATCCTCCCAACGAGACCTCGTAGCGCAACCAAACACATGTTTTATATTCACTCAATTACAAATCCTCCTCAGTTCGCAAGCCCATTTACTTTCGTAGTGGAATGTTTCCATGCCCTAGATAGGGATGTGTACTAGCCGTATACTAGTATATATATAAAAGGTGACAGCTATACCGAAACGACTAACCAAAAGACCATGAAATACCGATAAATCGATAAGATAGATACATAACAGCTAGCTTCGCTTCGCTTCGCTTCTATTCCTTTTTACGAAGGCTTTAAATACTCTACCTATCCTAATAACCGGAAAAAGCGTAGCTAGTACATTCATCCAATCTCGATCCTTTCAAGGGTTCTTTTCATAATTAAGTTGTTTATGTATGCTTCATAGTATAAGATAGGCGGAGGGGCAAATACACAAGTACCTAGGTGTTGGGTATATCTGGTGTGATTTACGTGGTAAGGATATATAGCTGAGTGGTATGACATAAAACGCGTGTGAAGCTCACATTTGCATATTTAGTATGATCCGGCAAAATGTTCCACGCATATAATGCAATGTCTGGTTTGTCTGCCGTTGAGTACTGTCTTTCTGTTTTGTGGAATGGTTGCTGAGGGTATCGGTTGATGAAGATTATACTATGATGTTATGATAACTTATATATGATGGTATCTTTGCAACACTACAACCTGAAGCTATTGGTTTCTACTGCGGAAAGTATAACTCTAATCAACTGGACTTAAACTGTCCCGATTCGCGAAATTTACGGGAGATGTCTTACGATCTTAGTCTGAGCATCCTAACCTCTCGCAATATATATCTTCATATGACTGAAAGCCTCCACATAAATTAGTAGTCCACGATGCGCGTATAAGCACCTACGTAAGAGAAGTCATCCTGCTGCTTGATTTCTCTCATCATTAGTGCTGCGCGGTTCAATTAGAGATTTGGATCACCCAAGAAAACTATCTCCACCTAGGAAGAGACCGTCAGTTGTGGTATGGCTACAGGACCTCCGTGGAGATACGGATACGAAGATACGAGTGGACGGCATCGACTTCGACGTAAGTGTATAACTCGGGTTTTTGGGGAAGGGGGGGGGGTCTTTTGTTTCCGAGTTTTCGTCTTGTATTCATATTTATCCGGCTTATGGGGTTTCGTCCGCTTCGGATGGATTGTGGGAACTAGGAAGTAGGACTTGATTGTGATATTGGTGTTAGTTCTACCTGCAAAGTAGAAGTACTTTGTGGCTGGTTGTATTTGTTGCCAAGTTTTACTTCAGTTCGTTGTTTTTGCGCTGGTTGTTGTTGTTGTTCTTCATCGGATTGTGCAGTCATTCCGAACACACCTGGGGCTCAGAAATCTTGTCACTACAGACTGGGATACGATGGATACTGGATAGCCGGCATTCTCTCGGCAAGTAAAGGGGTATTTAATTCCAGAAGGTGGGTTGACTGACACTGGCGGGGAAGTGGTGGGGACGATGCCACTCAGAGCCCTAGATAGCTGCCAACCCAGTGCAATCAGCAACTACCTAGGGATCACCCTGTGGATATCATCAGATGATCCTAAATGTCTCAACCCTTAATTTGATGGGTGAATCTATACGAGACTGACTGGTTCACTCACGGATTCCGACTGCGAACGTCGGACTGACAGTTCCCTCCGAGGAGTCATCTCCTGCTGGATTGGGATGTATGATATCTAGTCTCGAGCGAGTCGAGACGGCCTCAAGCTCGGACGGCTCTAATCCTGGCTAGTCGATAGGATTAGGAATGGAAATGCCGTGGATGGTGTGACGGGACCCAGTGTGGCTGGCCTGACTCAGCGGCTGCTGCCAGGGACTAGTTAGTTAGCCGGCTGGAGTCTGGCTCATTACTTAGATTTATTGAGCGGATGCTGTCTTTCTCTTTAGATTAATATCATTCCGTTTTTCCGAGAACCACCTGTATACAGCATAGCTCTTAGGCCGTTATACTTTCCTCGTTTCGAGACCATCATCAGGATGTTCGACTTTGATATTGCTGGTGGGTCGGCATAATGGCATATTGGCTTTTTGTCAACTTGGATGGACGGAGCTGAGAAGAATCCCTAGACGTCCATGAGCCCCTTACTCGTATCGGCTTCTGCTTCGAGACCAGGGGTGGCCAAGTGCCAAGAGCCAAGAGCTCTCGACCAGAGTCTGGCTCCTCGATCGAGGCTTGTCGAAGCTTGATATGCGGTTTCCACTGAAACCCGTACCCGCTGGTTTCCCTGCACCGCAGTTGTTTACCACCTCCTCTGTAGATATTGTCGACTCAATGATCTATTCCTCAGAACGTACGGAGTGTGATTGATACAATCTCGGAAGGTTTCCCGACAGATCCGGGCAATCGGTTTTGCCGGTCTGGTGTGATGGAGCTGGCGCCGGAGCCTTCGGGTTGCCCAGGCCAGCAGGCTTGCACGTGGTGGAACAAGTTAATCTTTTACGCTTGGCATTGCATCCTGTGCAGAACCTGTCAGACAATGCCCCTGGCTAATGCAGCTAGTAGCCGGACCCGTGTGTTTCAGGTGTCTGGAAGCGGAATCGAGTCGCCCGGGTCTGGTATGGATCGGAGGCGGCAACCTCCGTTTGTGTCGGATCTACGGAGTACCTCGGGAGAGACTCTGAACGTAGGGCTACGGTTGCCGCACCGTGCTGCTGCCGATCTGTAGGAGGCTCCCGAACACGACCCTCTGCCACCTGCCATGCCGTTCTTGGTCGTTTTGAGGGGAGGATGCAGCGCCGCCGCCTGCAGGATCATGATGCTACTACTGGATATTAACTGCCGACTAGCAGGACTCTGTAGACTAGAGGTGCTACAGCCAAACAATTAAAAATGTCTCGGGAGGGAGCCGAAAGCAGGAAAACCCGGATGCCTAAAGTTCCAGCCTGGCCAATGGATGGCCCTACTGGGCGCCAGGAACCGTTCGGGCGAATCGACTCCACCGGACCCTGGCTTCCATTGATTCCATCGAGCTTAGCGAGCTTGGCACGCGATATCACCGCCATCCAAAAGCCCACTTCATTTCGCTCTCAAACCGCCGTCGCTCTTCGTTCGATCTAACTTCCAAGGTCCGTCGGGGGCTCCCAGACATCCGATGTCTCGCCGTCCACCAGGAAACAGAACCTCCTGGAGAAGAAAACGGAAAAAGGAGACACGATGGGGACTGACCACAAACCTACATATAGATCGGTTGCCTCCCTCTCTATGGTCGTCTTTTCCTCCCCATCACACACTCTCTCTTTCTCTCTTTCTTTCCTATTCCACCTCGTCCTTCATTCCTTAATCATACCCGGTTGATCCAGGTTCCACTCTTTTATCTTCACCATGCATTTCCTCCAGAACTCCATCGTGGCCGCCACCGTGGGCGCCGCGCTGGTCGCTGCCGCTCCCCTCGAGCTCGAGAAGCGCTCCTGCACCTTCACCTCCGCCTCTGCTGCCAAGTCCGGCAAGACCTCTTGCTCGACCATCACCCTCGACAACATCGCTGTCCCCGCTGGTGAGACCCTGGACCTGACTGGCCTCAAGTCCGGTACCACCGTCATCTTCGAGGGTGAGACCACCTTCGGCTACAAGGAATGGAAGGGTCCCCTCATCTCCATGTCCGGAACCGACATCACCGTCAAGCAGGCCTCCGGCGCCAAGATCAACTGCGATGGTTCCCGCTGGTGGGACGGCAAGGGCAGCAACGGTGGCAAGACCAAGCCCAAGTTCTTCAAGGCCCACAAGCTCAACCAGTCCAACATCAACGGCCTCAAGATCTACAACACCCCCGTCCAGGGCTTCAGCATCCAGTCCGACCACCTGACCCTGACCGATGTCACCATCGACAACTCCGCCGGTACCAGCAAGGGCCACAACACCGATGCCTTTGACATTGGTTCCAGTACCTACATCACCATCGACGGTGCCACCGTCTACAACCAGGATGACTGCCTGGCCATCAACTCGGGTGAGGTATGTATCTCCCATCTTCTTCCAGGTATCTTGCCAGACACTAATGTCCACTAGCACATCACCTTCACCAACGGTTACTGCTCCGGTGGCCACGGTCTCTCCATCGGCTCCATCGGTGGCCGCAGCGACAACACCGTCAACACCGTGACCATCTCCAACTCCAAGGTTGTTGACTCCCAGAACGGTGTCCGCATCAAGACCGTCTACGACAAGACCGGTACCGTTGAGAACGTCAAGTTCGAGGACATCACCCTCTCCGGCATCTCCAAGTACGGTATCGTCGTTGAGCAGGACTACGAGAACGGCAGCCCCACCGGTACCCCCACCAACGGTGTCAAGGTCGAGGACATCACCTTCGAGAAGGTCACCGGTACCGTCAAGAGCTCTGCTACTGACATCTACATCCTGTGTGGCTCCGGCAGCTGCAAGGACTGGACCTGGAGCGGCGTCAACGTCACTGGCGGCAAGAAGAGCTCCAAGTGCAAGAACGTTCCCTCCGGTGCTTCTTGCAGCGACTAAATGGTCTCTCTCGCGAGCGTCTTCCGTGACTGGATAGTCACGCTGGTTGGTGGTGCATGGTTTCCTTCTATTCTCTGGCCATGAGTCAGAGCCGTTGTATTAGTGCTTAATTAGAGTATCGGGAGTAATAAGCGACTGGAGCCGATGTTTAGGTCCCAGAGAACATTCCATTTCATACCTACTCCGTACGGCGTACTCCGTAATTCCCCCATCATTCGGCCGAAGCCTTGCAATCCGGACTGGCCATCTGCTAACCTATCGGGGGAACCGACGCGATGCGCCCGAATCACACACACACACACACCAGTCCTTGTCACTGTGAAAATCCCCCGATAGTCAGTCCCCGACCCTGTCTCATGCCAAGCTGTGGTCACAATAAGCACCCCGGACCCCTTGATCCGAGCAGCCACCTGAGGGTGAATCTCCGACGAAACTTTGGTTCCCACCACCGCCAACTTAATCGTGGGCTGTGTGACGAAAGAGCGGTGCTGATGTGTCTGCAGCCCCTGGTGGAGTGGACGGAGCTAGAACGGACGGGGAGGAGATCGACAGTGATGGTCACACAGGAATGTGATAAGAGGTACTCCGTACGGAGGAGAGAGGGTGTTATCACGTTGATTGCTGAGTGGAATCGTGAGATTACCAGAGTAATACTTAGCCTCAGGTGTCAAGGTATCTCTGGACGGAACATAATTCGCGCGCGGTCCGATACATCCCTCGTATCGACGTTGGGGATCCGAGCAGGTCAAGTCGCCGATGACGGACGGATGGATGGCTGAACCCCCGGCGACTACTCCGTCCGTAGTTAAGGCAACTGGGGCCAGCGGATCGACAAGGCTGAATTCAGCTGGCACAATAGGAATTGTGGCTCGGTCCTGGCCGAGGGACTATTCCTCCGGTGCAGCTGATAGTGCCCCCTCGTTTCTTTTGCTAGCATTCGTGCTGAACGCCGTCGTCAAAGTTCTCGTCTCGTCGGGCTGCACGGCCGATCTGGTCTGGTCAAGACGCCGTTGCTGCGGGCTTCGCCGGGGACCTCAACCACTGGCTGCTCAGGACAATCCGACCGCCACCATGTTTGGGGCGTCAATGAGATTTCCTTCTGGTGAGGAATGGCGCTTTCCCAGTCGGTTATATATTCCTCTTGTTTCCGCTCTTCGCTTCTGATCCTTCTTTTGCGCTCTGACCGGCCGTTTTGCTCACTCGCTGTATTGGTGCCCAGCCAGCCTGACTGTTGAAGAACCAGGCGTGGTCGAGAGTGTGTCTGCGAAGTGCTCAGCTATTATCTTCTCGATAGTGGCCCTGACCGTTCGGTCTCTCCCGATCAGCAGCTGTCTCTCATTCACTCCGCAGTCATGCATGCAGCTCTCTCTCCTAAGCTCGAGGGTTCCGAACCTGACCTCGAGCGCAATGAGGACCATCGCTTCTTCAGGAACAATACCGTCAGCAGCTTCTCCTGGCATGATCTCACCGTCACCGTCAAGGACCGTCACACTAAGCAGCCCCGGAACCTGATCGAGGGAATCAGCGGGTCGGTTCAACAAGGTTGGTTGCTCCCCCACGGATGCAGACGGAATCTGGAACAAACGCTGATGAAGGTCAACAACAGGTGAATTGGTCGCTCTGATGGGCCCCTCAGGATGCGGCAAGACTACCCTGCTGAACGTCCTGGCTCGTCGCGCGGCTTCATCCGGGGCGAAGACCACCGGAAACTGCTACGTGAATGGGACCGGGGTCGACAATACAACATTTGGTCGACTGACCTCGTACGTGGAGCAGGAGGATGCGCTGATCGGCTCCCTAACGGTGCGCGAGACCCTCAAGTTTGCTGCCGATCTCTCCTTGCCTAGGTATGTCTCCACCAATAGTGTCTATCGCGGCTGGCCCTGACCGACTAGCTCGGTTACCAAGATTCAGCGCGAGGAGCGCATCCAGACCCTGTTACTCGCGTTTGGGATTCAGAACCAGGCCTCCACCTTGGTGGGCACCCCCATCCGCAAAGGCATCAGTGGTGGCCAGAAACGGCGGGTCAGCGTGGCTAGTCAACTCATGACCTGCCCGAAGATTCTGTTCTTGGATGAGCCTACTAGTGGACTGGATTCGGCCGCGAGTTTCGAAGTGATCAACTACGTCAAGAAGCTGGCTGTTGCCAACAATGTACGGGGTAATCCAGTCGTGGGATATGCAGGACGCTGACATTGCCCAGCTCATCATCGTCGCCAGTATCCATCAGCCGTCGACAGCAACCTTCCAGCTCTTCGACAAACTCCTTCTCCTGTCAGGTGGGAAAACTTGCTACTATGGTGCTGTTGCAGATGTCCCGAGCTACTTTGACAGCATCGGCCTCACTCTGCCTGGGAACACCAACCCCGCCGAGTTCATCCTCGATCTGGTCAGCTCCGACTTTACCGGCAGCACGCAGGTCGCCTCCGAGGAACAAGTTCAGCAGATTCATCAAAGATGGAGCAACTCCACGATTGCTGCATCGCTGAATGATAAGGGCTCGCAGCGGTCCATTCTATCCGAAAGTGAAGCAGGACAAATTGATGTCGATGATTTCAGCCATCCGGGAATCCCTAGCATTACCCTCTCTCTCTTGCATCGTTCCTTTATCAAGAGTTATCGCGATGTTGTGGCATACGGCATCCGCATTGTCATGTACCTGGGTGCGTATACTTCAGTACACCGGCGAGACTAATGATACTAACTTGTCTAGGGCTGGCTATCATGATGGGAACCGTCTGGCTGCGTCTGCCTACGAAACAGTCTAGCATTCAACCGTTTATCAATGCAATTGTTCGCACCCTCAACCCACCTCCAAGACATAGCTAACATGGCATGGATAGTTCTTCGGCTCCGCCTTCATGAGCTTCATGGCCGTAGCCTACGTCCCCGCCTTCCTCGAAGACCGCGCCACCTTTGTGAAAGAGCGCGCCAACGGCCTCTATGGCGCCCTACCCTTCATCCTATCCAACTTTATCATCGGCCTTCCCTTTCTCTGTACGCCCTCCCCCTCCCCTCCCCCTCCCCATCCCCATCCCCATCCCCAGACTAACAACCCAGTCCTTATCTCCCTCCTCTTCTCCATCATCTCCTACTGGCTCTCCAACTTCCACCCCACCGCCACCTCCTTCTTCACCTGGGTCATGTGGCTCTTCCTCGACCTCGTCGCCGCCGAATCCCTCGTCGTCTTCATGACCTCCCTCTTCCCCAACTTCGTCATCGCCCTCGCCCTCGTCGCCTTCGCCAACGGTCTCTGGATGAGTGTCGGCGGATTCCTCGTCACCCCGACCATTCTCAATCCTTTTTGGAAATACGTCTTTCACTATATCGATTACCAGGTTG